TTCCATGATGACTCTGTATGGCTGGTTGAGGAGCGCGTTTGATAGGCCCGTCATGCATCCTGTGATTTTTTGGTCAGTCCTTGCAATATCCATTTCTCCCCCACTCTCCAATGCCTGTACGAAGAACCCGGCGTCTAAGAGGGAGTTGTATAGGTGATCTAACTTCTCGTCCCTGCTCATCGAGCGATCTGCGAGGTGGCTGAATCTGTCGGCCTGTATGGATTCTTGGTCGATTCCCCTTTGGTCATTTTCGTCTCCGGATGACTCGATGTCTTCGTCCCATGGGACGCGCCGGTTTGGGTCGTTCTGGTCTCCCATGGTCATGTCTACGTCGTTGTAGGACTGCGGGGTTGGGGTGGTCGCGCGTTCTGCGTCCAGCGCCCTTTTCTTGTTTCCTATTAGTACGCTCTTGATTTTCGCCGGGGACGTGTGGGTGACTGATTGCGCCATTCTACCTACCCTTCCGACCGCGTTCTCCAGGAAGGAGGCGGTCGTGCCGGATGGGGTCTGTGGTCGGGTTTGTCGAGCTGTCCGTTGGGGGCGCGTCGCGCCTCCCTCCGGTTGGGTGGGTTTGGTGTACTGGGTTGGGATGGGTTGGGAGTATCTTTGTGAGGCATGTGTGCTTGGGGAATTATGTTTATGGGTTTTTCTATTGCTACTGTCTGTGTTCTCCTCCATACTGCTTCGACTTTTGCACGGCCTGGACCGTGGGAAAGAAGCGTATGTGGAAGTTCTAGATCAAGAAGCGGTGGACGGTTTTGAAGCTTGTACGAATCATCCCGGCATTTCCAACTTATGTCCGCTGGTATTCATTGAGATTTGCTATCATTTCCTGACTGGGCGCGGTTTAGGGAATCAGCTGTTCTGCAGTTGATGGGGACCCAGAGTTGCCGTTTGTCACTTTCCGCTTACATCTACGACCGCAGCCACGTAACCGCTGTTGACTACGCTTGCCGTTTCTCTGGTGGCGGTGTCGACCTCGAGTCCTTATCGAGCATGATATAAATTAACGAGCTTTTCAGATGATCAGCCCAAGTACTGCACATACTCGCTCCCGGTTTTCGGTTACCCTCCTAGAACTTCACCGCGCTCGCTATAATGTTTAACTTCCGGCGAAAAGAAACACCCTGGGAGGTCGTGGATAGTAAATCCGTTGACCCTATCCCGACGTATTATGAAGACGAAGGTATGTCATTCGGTCCGGATAAACCTATACAAAATCTCATATCTATCAGACCTCGATGTTGTCGCAATAGCAGAGAGGGACATACACGGCACATATATATTCGATGTGGCCCACTCGGAACGGAGTAAAGACCTCCGTAATGCAGTGATGTTCGCGAGACAGCAACTCCTGCTTGAGGCGACGAAGAACGGCTATAATATCTTGCTAACGGAAAGGTCTGTATTTCCCCTTACCACTGCAAGAACGTTGAACTGACCCTGCACAGTTGGCAAATGACTATCTTACGTCGGGGAAAACACCATCGAGTTGAAGTGAAGTACGCAGGGCGATGTATGTCACTTTGACATCCTTCTCATTGCTGCATGGCTGACTTCAATCTTCCTCTCACAGCAGCCCGAGCGCTGGGGAAGGTGTCAGCACGCAGAGGGCCTCCATTTATGGAGATCTTACACTCATCTAATCCAATATAGGATTGGAAATAGTCGAACAACCGAAGTAATTCTATTATTGTACTATATAATATATTTATTCGAATAGACTCACCGACTCTGGCCGATCTCTTGCCTCATGTTGACATGCATCTAGACGCTGTGAAGACGCTTATCATGGGTTGGGGGTGCGACCTGGACTTGACGAATTCAAGCTGTGAGGCATTTCTTGATGATACGTGCAACGTGCATGAGCGCGTCAAGTAGATGTCAGCAAAATGGGGTGACTGCGACTTAAGTTGGTATTTATTGACCAAGGGGTGTTGCGAGAGCATTCCGACAACCTCAGAGTCTAGACAGACCATCTTCCAGGAATGACACGCATTTTTTAACAATTCGCAGAGCCTCCAAATATAATGACAAGTGGCGGGGCGGTGGGTGGGCAGCGGTAGAAAAGAGTGAGCCGTCCAAATTCCGATGGCTCATAAAATATTCATACTACTCCGTTTTGACGATTTTACTTGAGGGCCGCATCGCATATCCTGTCCAAGACTATCACAATGAGTACAAACGAAGTGTGAGGCATGCATTAAAGCTCACTTCATCGTACAGACCTATATTTTTCGCGCCAAGAAGACTCAGGCCAAGCCAGAGTACGCCTGCAGTCATACCGCTTCCGCAGCTGGTCACGACGGGTCTCTCTCCGGAAATTATTTTCTCTGCGTACTGCACACCCGCAACGTTATCAAGTGCAGCGCGCAGCTCTTGCTCAGGGAGAAAAGTGGTATATTCACCATCGGGTGTGCCTTGCTTCTGCAAGAAGAGGTTAAATGGCAGTGAGAAAGAATTTGGGATGTGGCCTGATGAAAGCCCAGGGCGGGGTTCCGGAACAGTCCCCAGGTATCTAGAATATGATATTAATTTTATTCTTAAAGAGAAATACGGGGACGACTGATACCTTCCATGCGCTCGAGCGTCAAGAACAATTTCCGCGTCTGGGTTTGTTTGGGGGTCTAAACTTGAATTCTCAACTATCTGTTGGTAATCTAAAAATTATCAACTACTGTAATGAAGAACGTCATGGTTACCTCTGATCGATCGCACATCGAAGTGTGGCGGCGCATAATGAGATGAAGGAATCATTGTCGGGGAGTTGCTCTCGATCGGAAGACCTTCGTGAACCCAACGTGGAAGACCTCCATTAATAACGCTTGAATTTTGATGCCCAAAAGATCGAAACATAAACAAAGCGCGAGGCGAGGAGAAGACACCGTGGGTGTCGTAGCTTTTACAGGAATTTAGAAGAGCCTGAAACGATGGAATATAATTGGATCCTCACAGTACTACATGAGATGAAGGTGTAACTCCGAGTTTTTCTGGTGGCCATCTTTAGAGAAAGCAAATTACAGGAAGGACCAGTAGCGTCCTACCGCAAGCTTGAGAAAAAGTTTTTTGGTCCGGCATCATGTGCTTCAACCCAAGCTCATGAGAGCTTGCGACGTCATCCAAATCCAGGAATTGCGCCCCTGGTATTCTCTTGGACAAGAACTCGTCTTTGGCATCCCTCGCAACATTTGGCATAAACCATGTCGCGTCAAGTATGGAGATGGGGGTTGGGGACTGCTGGAGAAGGTTGACCTCCTTGGGCGAAAGCAGAAGTGGTGCTGCAGAAGACATAGCCCTCCTGGGCGATCTCGCAAAGAGTAAGCTCCTGTGACTGGTTTTGAGGAATAAAGTCATTGGCAGGAAACTTGAAGTACTTGGTACTAGGTAGAGCAAAGTAGAGTACTGAACTTGGTAGGAAGGGAGTCCTTGAGATCAAATAGATGTCAACATTGCTCCTCTCCTAATGCCTTCAGATCAAAGCACTTGGCTTCTCGCGGTGCCCCAAGATGGATTCTCTGAAGGTCTTATACAGGAGCTTTCGCCAAAGTTAAGAAACCAGACAAAGCTGCCTGCCAGAAACCTTTCTCAACTCGATATCCCATCCTTCAAGGTGAATCCGACAACCGTCGTTACTCTGCGGACGCGTGAACTTGATCCAACTTAGACTGGCACTCTTGATAGCCTTGTTTCTCTTTCCGAGGATCTCCCAAAACTAGATACATACTTCACCGCCACGGTCGCAAAGACCGTAGACACCCTCCGCAATTTGTTAAATAATGACCCCTCGAAACTGGCCCAACATACACTCGTCAATGAGAAGAGCACAGATAGCTATCTAATAGACAACTGGAAGTGGAACGAAGGAAGGTACGGAGTTCAGAAGAGCCTGAGAGAGCTCGTTGATCTCCTTAACAAGGTATGAGGCCATCTACGAGTCTGCCCATCTATTCAACCCCTTCCCGCCGTCGTAGGAAATGAATTCCATCGACAACGCTATGAAGTCAAAGCTTAACAACTACAATCTGGTCAAAGGCTCCCTGACGCAAATGCAACGCAAGAAGACGTGCGGATTTTGCTGATGTTCACTCACCCTCTTCTAACCGACCCTCCAGCGGCAATTTATCCGTTCGCTCCCTAGCCGATTTTGTCTCCGCAGATAATTTTATTCAAGACTCGGAATATTTGGAGACGCTTCTGATAGCGGTTCCAAGGTGAACTAGATCGTGTCAGCAACGAGGGTTGACTAAGTTGACGCTCAGGACACTGGTCAAGGACTGGAACTCGAAATATGAAAGATTGGCAGCAATGGTCGTACCTCGTACATCAACGTGCGAAAACTCGTTTCGGATCTATTTGTCTAATGTTCACTCTTCACCAGCGAAATAGCGTCCGATGACGAGTTTGTTCTATTTAGTGTCGTGATCTTTAGAAGAGTGAAAGATGAATTCTTGCAAAAGTGCCGGGAACAAAAGTTGGTCTTAATATGTTATCCGTCGAACTGAAGTCCTACTAACGTATGCATATAGATTCATAGTCCGGGATTTCGTGTATTCGGAAGATGAGATTGCGAAACAACGACAAGAGCTTGAAATGGCAAAAACGACAGAAAAGGAGCTTTGGGTAGGCACAATGTTGAACTGCGATAGATCGTCTTGCTCATTGACGTTGCTAGACTGAACTTTTACGACTATCACGCACGAACTTCTCAGAATCATTCCAGGTTCTGGTTCATCTAAAGGTTATCCGTCTTTTTGTCGAGAGTGTTTTGCGTTACGGTCTACCTTCAAATTACATGGGAATCGTAATCAAGGTATGTCAATTTTCTCCATTCTCAGCTTTCAATAGCTAATCCTGGTTATAGCCAGAAGGCAAGTCAGCCAAGAAAATTTTTGGAGTTCTGCAATCGCAATTTGCTTACCTGCGCCCACGGTCCAATCCCGCTGTCCAGCACGGCAAGAAGGGCCCTGCAGACGAGTTTGTCGGGGAATATCAAAATATACTCGACCAGGAGTTTTTCGACTTTGTCCTGTACGAGGTTCCTTGGATTGTCAATTAATACTATTGTCACTCGATTGCCTGTGTCAACGCCGTCATGTATGAAATAGTGTCTATTAGCGAAATGATAAGAATACGATCAACACACTAGGATACGACTATACATGGCGATGAGCAGTTTAGAGATAAGACAATAGATGGTACAGATTCGGTCGGTCAGGGGGACGGAGAAGGGTTCGAGGGCTATATAGAAAGCAAAGCGAGGGTACAAGTGTAGGATAGAATATGTGCCCATGGCGTATGCACATGCTTTTGATGCATTGGGCAGGTAAATAACGTCCGTTTGCGCGAGTCAACAACCCGCGACAATGGTGGTAGAAATCTATTTACAACCCGAGATTCGAGATAACTCGGGATACCTCGTCAACGGCTTCCTCGTCAAGCGGGCGGCCTGATCTTTGCGCAGACGAACCGATTACGGCCGACCGAGATGTCACTGGTGGCCCGTACACACTAGGGAAAGAAGGAGCGGTAGCCGAATTGGGGCTTGAATTGCCTCCCGTGTCTCCAGTTGACGTCGTAGGGGAATCCGGAGGAGGCAGGTTTGACGTCTCCGTGATGCGTGAGAGGGAGAATGTTAGGTCAAGAGATTGGGCACGGTTTTGGAGGGAGCGTGGTTTAGAGATCTGCTCCTTAAGTTTAGCCTCAAGCAGTGAATCGGAGCCTCGCTTGATGGCATCTTCGCTATGCCTGGATCGATGAGGAATGCCGGAACCCTGACGATAAACAGGTCAGTTTAAGATGTTTCCTGCCACATGAAAGAGACATACAATCGGGGGCAAATGCGTCCAATAGTCAACTGCGGGACCAGGAGGCCCAGATATATAATTGGTGTCTGGGTCTTCTTGCTCTTCAAGATTGTAGATGTATGCTGGGGAATTGAACAAGGCCTTCACATCGGGGGATGAGTTAGCGAGTCTCAACCGCCTGTCGCCGATCAGGTCAGAACGGCCCATATCCATCGATTCTGAGATGCAATGAGAAAAAAAGAGAATTGATGGATTGCAAGACGCACCATGCCCACGAGTTCTGGCAGTCGATAGGACTTTGCTATCGAAATGTGGGAATGCCTCCGCAAAGGAGTCACCTCGCTTGTGGGTGTGCGCAGTTGGTGAAGGGTAAACATGGACGTTATGGTTGAGCAAGAACTGCTCAAGCATTTCCCTCGCCGTGATGAGGAAGTCACTATTGCTCCGTTGACACCTGAACTTGAAAGAAAACTCGGAAGGCATTTCTGAACTGGGGCTTCCATTGGCGTGGCCAATAGCTTTGACGTTAGGGACAATTGATACCTGCAATTCTCGCTTGACGCGTTCGACCAGGGCATTGAACTCGGGCGTTGAGCAGACGCGTGGAAGATCTGCGCTGGGTGGCACAGCCATGTCTGCCTCAAATGGAACGTGGTCCTAAAGCATGGTCAAATTATGGGAGAACAAACAGCTACACAGTGCGTACCAGAAGCATTGCGGCGGCAATTTGCACCTGACTTTCGGGACCAAAGATCGTGACAATATCAGAAGCAGTTTCCTTGTCGGGAAAGCGTACTCGAGAGTTCGTCTTGGTTTCTATATCGTGGATGAAGATACTTTTTTCTCCTAAGAGAGTGCGATGATATCGGCGAGGAATAGAGACGGTTTCGTCGACGTAATCTTTGTCCTAAAAACCAAAGATGTAATTCGATTACGATTTGACAACAACACTGCTTACCTTGGGATTCACCAATTCCATCACGGATTGCTTCAAGTTGTCTAGATTTATAGCGTTCTTGGCGGGCGTTCGAGCCACAACGTTGTCATCATTGTCGTTATACCCGCCCAGGGCAGCAAACTCTTCAGCATTCGAAAATTTAACGTATACGCCATACTTCTTCATGATTCGCTGAATACTGCGACCACCAACACCAATGATACGCTTGTGGTATGTTTCCGGAACATGAAAAGATATTTCGGCGGGGAGCTCCTCCTGCAACAGCGTCAGGCCTTGTAGGACGGAGTTATCAGGACCAGCAATGTCGATGAGAAAGTTATGGTCGTTGAATGTCTCGAACTTGATCTTCACATTAGTGGTCTGCATAATCTTATTAATCTTGCCATTTTTCTTCCCACTGATAAACTCGCGGTGTTCGTTGGATAATTCAATTTGGAAACGAATTTCATGATGGAACGCCTGAAGAAAATGTAAATATGACCAGGAGATATTTCATGACCCTTACCTTGATTACGTCTAATTCCAGCACAGTGCTGACGGCGGAACGAACCTCGTGCTCAAGGCCATGCATCTCGAAGCACATACTTTTGAATACAACCTCAGCACCAGTCGCCATAGAAATTTGCTTCAGCAAAGTTGTGACAGCCGAAGGATTGAGAGTAGTTGGAGGTAACAAAGCGTTGAACTGGATGGGAAGGAGCCAGAAGGAACCGACGTAATATTGACAAGCCTGCGGCATTAAAAAAGCTAGTTTAGCGTGGCCTGTCAGAGTAGAGAGAAACCCACCAGCTGCATGATAGATCGTATAGTTCGCTGAATATTGACTCTGTGATCTCCATAGACGGTGATCAAGCTAGTAGAGCTACCAAGAGCGGGGAATTGAATAAAGGTAGCATTGTCGCTCATGATGGACTTCAAGTCCTCAGCGCGGTCCGTGACCATCCAGTCCAACTTGCGCGGCAAGATCGCTGTATCTCTTGAGATAACGGACTTGCTCTGAGTAGAAAGTCACAATTTAGGACAAATAAATGAGACAAAGGCGACCAAACCTTGTTCAAAGAACATTGATACAGCATGTCTCTCGCCCTCTGCACTCCAAAGAACTCGCCTGTGATCCAAATAACACGGTTTGTGCGAGTGGTTCCCGGCGAAGGAGATGCCGCAGAGAGGTCCGGACCCATGAGACCCTGGAGCGGGGAAGGAAAGTATATATTTGTTGCAGTCTCTTCCTGAATCGACTGTAAGACGCTGCGTTTTTTACCGGCGACGATTGCGTGCAGCTTTTGATCAATTTCACAAAACTCGGAGTGTAACCCACTCTGGAAGTATAGTTCAGCCGAAGAGTCGTTGCAAAAAAATTTACTGCGAACTCACCAGTTCATCCAACATGACCAGCAGACGAACGCGAGCAAGGTCTACTGAATCCTCTGACCCAGTTACCACCAACTCACAAACCCGCTCGGTTTCGAGACCTGACCAGCCAGCGCTGCTACTGATTCCGTCGGGTGGAGTGCGATTGGAAAGTGACAACGGACTGTTGACGACGGCGATATGGGCTAAGGTTTGAGAGGCAATGTCATCAAGACGGCGTCGGACATCAGGCTTTAATGTGGGCTTCGAGAAAGGAGAGTCGAGAATTTCGGACCGTGTCACCTTGATGGCTGAGCGATGCTGGGTTGGGTTCGGACCGTCAGCGTTTAAGTAGCAATTTGATAAAAGAAGAGAACATGCTCACCTGTATCGGACACTCCTTTAAGATTAAACCACGAGTGATCATGACCTGCTGGTAAGCTCCAGTGATGTGAAAATTCCACCCTCGCCCTTGGTCTGCCAAGAAGTAGGAGACATGACAACCGTGCAGAGACATGGCCATCATGACAAGCTTCTGGATGGCGTCGGTGTCTGAGGTGACAGAAGCGTCCGAAAGGGTACTGGCTGCATGTTGTTGATGATGCTGGGCACCGTATGAGTCGGGATGGGTGGCGGCCCTTAGCTCGGGAGCCTGAAAGTCGAGGGAAGAAGCTGGAGAATGAATGTGGCGCGACCGGCGTGGATAGGTAAAAGATGTGGTGTAGACATCCATGTCCGTAGACGTTGAAGGCGATTATACAAGGATAGATGATGTTCTGGCGGAGGGTATGTGGATAGGAGGGTATTGACACAAAGTGGTATCAATGTTCAAGTCGTCCTGCCCAGTTTTTTGAAGATACGAAGGAGACAGAAGACAGCTGGGCGAGGCGCGGACAGAAAACAGAGACAAGATATAAAAACAGGAGATAAAGGAGGTCCAATTTAATCGCAACAAAATCTAGTTCAAGTCTCAGGCCGCTCAAAAAAACATACACACACGGACTTTGAATCTCATGACATAACAATTCAGAACAATTCACTCAGATTCATACTGACTCGATCAGTTCGAGATTTAGTTTCATATCATTTCGAACCCCTCCACTGGTTGCCAGTCCGCATCCTCAGCCTGAAAGTCGAATAGTTTGTTGTAACACGGCTTTCCCGCTATCGAGAAATGTGTGTAAGGGTCGGATGGCGCTAGTCTCTCACCGCATCGGTAGCAAAAGTGTTGGCGGCACTTCCAGCATGTCATCTACCAAATAGTTAAACCTGTCACCATAAAAATAAAAACCCATTCACTCACATGGTTGCATCCCAGGCTTTTCTCGACATGACATTGACAACCAGGACACTCCATCGTCGACGCGTGAAGCCACTCCTTGTTCGCCTTCTCTTCCTCATAGGTTAAGACAAGCTTCTGCACATTGGCTCGTCCGAAACGTTTCTCAATTGTATGCCGCTCCGCAGATCCTTCTTCCGCAGCGAGATATTCCAGAACTAGCTTCTCCGAGTGCGCAATCGTACATGGTGTGATCGGTCCGTGCCTGGGAAAGGAAAGTGAGAATATCAACAAAATACACCCACCACACGTACCACGTCCGCCGACAAAATGCGCAGAACGAAAAGAAACACTGGGAACACTGTCTTAGGCGGCCCCATCCTGACTCTTGGTCAACATCTGTAGGCTTCATAACAGGCGCCTGACAAGCAGCCACTGGACAATGAATGATTGTCGGGTCTAGGAGAACGAAATCAACCGCCGTGCCGATATCCACGACGCGGTTCCTGACCTTTGTCGAGGTTTCTTTTTTCTCGCAGCCACCTCCAGCGTTTAACTCCTGCATCAGTGACCACCCTGGCCACCTCTACCTCGACAGCCTCCCTTCCTGCCTTAACGCAATCCGGGTCCGGACATCCCACTCTCCCAACATCGCCTTCCTCAATGCACATTTTCCAAAAGTCCTCCAGGCATGTCCGACAAAAAATATGGCCACATGTCAACTCCAAACACTTGGAACCTTTTAGGGATGTAAGACAGATAGAGCATGGATAAGAATTCTGAGAAAAGTGCGATGATTTTGAGGAAGTGTCGTACGCAATTAATAAAGGTGCGAGGATATGGGGAGATGGATGTGAAAGTCTGCGGAGCTTCTGAGTCTAGCCCCCCAATAGAATAGATCCACAAGGGACGCACTGGATGGACATGTCGATCGAGGATACTAAATCTAAATTTTGGAGAAAGTCTCCCGTACGCAAGAATTCGACCCATTGGTAAAGAGCACCTTCTCCTGGGTTCCACATATTCGTAAGGGCATTATGCAATAATGGAATGCGTGCTAGCCAAAAATGTGTTGCGCGAATAGATACGAGTTGGGGTGGCCGATAAAGAGGGTAAGACGGAGGAAGGGTTAGCTCAATCAAGAGCGATGGCAATGTCGATAGTGTGACGCTCTCGCTTGGTCTATCACAAGACATCGTCGTGGGCGACGATGGGCAATCTTTTGTGAGATTGACATTTCGAGGTTCCTCAAACTCAATGGGGATTTCCAATTTGAGTGTGCCTTCCGTTATCTGACTAGAAATACATTCAGGATAAATTGACTAGACAGTTCCGGATGCATGAGGAACTCATTTACAAGAAAACATGAGATCGCTTGCCTCTAAAACGTCAAACTCCTCCTTCTGGAGGACCTGGCACTCGTGTGCATCGGCATCAGAGATTTGAAGCTCTGGGTTGTTCATAAGTCGTGAAGTGCAATCCAAATGAAATAGACGGATCCAAAATATCGATGGCCAAATCCCTCAAATTTGAAGGACAGGGAATGATGCTTGCGGAGTCATAGGCGGGGAGGCCAAGAAACTGAAATCGGCGTTCATGCTTAGACCTAACCCTAGAACAGGATCACGCCTCAAGCAGAACAACTATGTTATCTCGAATACTACGCCTTGCAGGCTCTTCTTCAATTTTAACCAGGAAGCAAATACTGGCACGATGTCGAGCGAGGCCAGTTTCAACGCCTTCGCTACTCCTTCACCGCAGGATGTTGACCACCCCAGCACCACATACCAATGTTAGGTTAGACCTCTTGTGACCTCCTCAGGATGAAGCAATGACACCGATTGGTCGCAGTCACATTTCATTGGAAAAATACCACCTATTATCCGATGCGACCATGGACACTTTATTAGAATCCTTGGAAAATCTGCTGGATGTCTTGGGAAACCCAAGCTATGAGGTGGAATACCACGTGTGTGCTATATCATGTTTCCCGTACTGCTTCCCTCTGAACGCCTTGTTTAGAGTGGTGTCCTGACGCTTTCTTTAGGCGAGCATGGAACCTACGTTATTAACAAGCAGCCTCCGAACAAACAAATATGGTTATCGTCACCGTTCAGGTACTACCGTTTGCTCAACATCCACGTCCACTAACAGCTGAGTAAAATTCCTTCAGTGGTCCAAAACGCTACGACTACTCTGAAGCTGACGACGACTGGGTTTATTCTCGGGACGGCCTTGGTTTGGGCAATCTAATGAATACAGAGCTCAGTAATGCCCTTCAGCAAGATGTTGATCTGAGGTTGTCAACTATATCCGCTCGGCTGGATTGAAGTTTACACACCAAGAGTGTGGCTTACTACCTGTTGCGTGTAGACGATATTTGCTAATCATAACAGCTAATACCAATCATCTGTCCTGACAAAGATGGAGGGAGATACATGGATGTCATCTAGAGAGACATGTTCGAGACAGGCGATAAGGATGCAGCGATAAAACAATGCGGGAATTGAACATAATGTACAGTGGTGTGTAGAAGGACTGTCGGTCGTCGTATGCGATATACTAATCCTGAAGGGCGTGGGCCATGAGCTTATTGGAAGGAAGGTCCCGCAGGTGAGTGTTCATCATCAAGCTGGCGCCTTCGTGATAGAAACAACGATCCCAATAACCTGACGAGAGTTCAGAGAAGAATTCTCATTATAGGGTAATCAGGGTACCTATTGGTATCTTCATAGCGTTGCATCACAATGCGACTTTCGTCAGAGTTACTGGGAAGTGGTTCATAGGGAAGCGAAATTTTGGTTTCAGCTTGAGCTCTCAAACGATCCGAAATGAGTGGCAAGTGTGATTTTGAAAGGCAGATGGGATGAGAGTATGGATACGGATCGATAAAGTGCGTAGATGAACGAGCGGCATTTCTTGGTGGTGACGCAAACGCCTGCGTCAGCCTATGTTGATTCAATGTATGCAATTCTCGGAGAACTGTGTTTGCAGATCTGTACTCGACAACGTCTGGATTGGAGGAGGAGGAAGAGGAGGTATGCTCTCGCTCCTCGTCCGAGATGTCAGCGTCTTCTTCGTAGATATCCTCTTCTTGAGACGTTCCCCATCCTCTCGAAGGTCCATCTAGAATTGGTGGGAGGATCCTCCTCCGTTTGAAATCATGCGAAGAGTCGTCAACGAGGGGTATGTCTGAAATGGATGGGGGAGGCGACGAAGGCCTCTGTCGTTTCAGCATGGTATATTGGCAGAAACAAGGTGGAGTGTCAGTTACGTAACGATTAGTTACATACTTCAAACTTGCACCTTCATTTCAAGCCACCCGTTACGATGTCAACCATGGATGTCTTTGCTGCCATGGGAATTTCTGGGTTTGGAAAGGAAACAAAGAAGAAGGAGCTGGATCCTTCTCGCTTTGACAAAAGCAAGAGGCAAGAGGTGCGTGTTCAAGTTAATTTCCTAAAGCGTCTATTTGACAAAGGAGATTTCAACAGCCCCAGGAAAAGCCTTCCACTTCAAAAGCAGGGCCTTCGGAAGAACATTCTAGTCGCGATTTGTGGGAAGACAAAAATGGTGAACCCAGCTCTTACGCTGCAAACTTGAACGAAGGTCAACAATTGGATGGTGTACACGAGCCAGAGTACGACCCTTCAGATCAAGAAGATGACATTTCTCAGTTTCCTATCACCCATGAAATTTCTCTCAAAGACCACACAAAGGTTGTGTCCGCGCTCTCTTTAGACCCTTCAGGCGCTCGCATTGTTTCTGGTTCACACGATTACGATTGCAAGCTATGGGATTTTGGTGGCATGGACATGCGGTGTAAACCCTTTAATACCTGGGAACCCTCTGGAACCTATCATGTACGTGTTTGCTTTCGATCATTTGCTGTATAACCTCATTCTACGACAGATTCATGACTTGAAGTTCTCAAATGATGGAACCAAGTTCCTTGTTATCTCAGGAACCTGTCAAGCTAAGCTATTCGATAGGGACGGTGAAGAACAGTATGTGTGGTTTATCCGCCGGATGGGACTGAGTACCAATACCAGACTGCAAGGACTACTTACATCAAAGGGGATCCTTACATTCGTGATATGAAGAATACCGCGTGAGTTCATTGTTCTCTTCGAGTGCGTTGAACTAATACTAGCGCCGACGAATAGAGGGCATGTTGGCGAACTGACCTCTTGTGCGTGGCATCCGAGGGACCCTAAATTATTTATGACTGCCTCCGCTGATTCGACAATCCGGTCTGCCCTCATTCGTCGATGACGTCTCCGCCGCTAACTTTATAGTACAGAATATGGGACGTCGAGAACAAGCGCAAGCAGAAGACTGTCATCGTAGTTAAGTCAAAAGAGCGCGGTGCTCGAACCAAAGTCACAGCGTGTGGTTATTCGTCAGATGGTAAACTCATTGGTGGTGGTACGTCTCTTGCACGCATGAGAAAAATTACATCTAAGTCAGGGGTTTTAGCTTGTCTGGATGGTGCACTGCACATATGGCAAACAAGTTCCAATTTTGTCAGACCGAACATGACAATTGAGGGTGCACACGCCAAAGGAACAGAAACGGGTTCTCTTGTATTCTCTGTCGACGGACGCACCATCTTGACGAGGGGGGGAGATGACACAGTGAAGCGTACGTCACTCACGATGTCTCGCTTCACCTCTCTTCTTTAACAATTTGAGCAGTATGGGATCTACGATCTTTCAAGAAACCGCTTGCTACGCGGTCAGAAGTTGCCACACTCTACCCCAATACCAACGCCATCTTCAGTCCAGATGACAAATTCGTTCTCACTGGAGCAGGTGCATCAGCCAAAGGCGGCCAGGGAGCACTTTTGTTCATGGAAAAGGACAACCTCGAAATTGTCAAGACGCTGGCTGTTGACGCAACGCCAGTAAAAGTGGTTTGGCATTCGAAAATTAACCAAGTCGGTTTGGCCACTAATATTTCTCATACTTGCTGAAACTTCATTCTCCCTTTGTAGATTGTCACTGGCCTCTCAAATGGGACGATTGTCGTGCTTTATTCACCTGAAACCTCTCTCAATGGCGCCAAACTACTTCTCAGCAAAGGGCCACCAAGGAAAGTTACGGTTGAAGATATGTCAGATGCATTGGCAGCGCCTACCATCCTCACGCCACATGCCCTCCCCATGTTTCGCGACATGGATCCTGGACACGGTACAAAGAGGAAGCGAGAAAAGGATAGGTTGGATCCAAGAAAGAGCAGGCGGCCAGAGTTGCCTGTTACAGGACCAGGAAAAGGAGGACGCGTCGGCGCAAGTGCGACTCAACATGTGGTTCAAAATCTAGTTAGAGATACGACGAGGGATGTCGATGTGAGTTTCCATTTTGTTTTTGTTACGCTTTTTTCCGTGTTGGCATTGGCTTTGGTGGGCATCTGATTGCTGCCCCTCTTGCGGTGCCTTCACGACAGTCGCCCTTGATGGATGATTGACGCGGTTGCCTTTGACTCTTCGCACGATTCGACGTTATCGTGATTGCTGATGCCAATTTTTTTTTTTTTTTTTTTTTTGCTTTCCAGCCTCGTGAAGCGCTCCTCAAGTACGCGGATACTGAAAATGACCCTACATGGACTGCGGGTGAGTCTTTGTCCCTTCACAGCTCCTTTCCACGGTTGCGACCACGTGCTCGTGACAAATTGGTGTTTACGTGTATTTACGTGATATGAGCTGACGGCGGTTTTTGCCGAAACCTTGTTTGCAGCTTGGAAAGTGAACCAACCCAAGCCCATATTTGCAGAAGAGGCTGTAGAAGAGGAAAAGGATGATGTGTAGCGTAGCGAATGTATGTAAGATAGTAGGCGAGGTCAGAAGTGGGTGGGAAGCGGGGCGCTGAGAGGGAAGGGAAGTGGTTGAAAAGAGGTGGCCCCTGCGCGGGAGATCTGAACCTTAAATTTTGTGGGCTATAAAGACCTAGCCACCTTCAAATCCCCCTAACTCCCCAAAAATCTTTCCTTACCCTACTGTCAACTGTCACACTGTGACGGTCACACACCAATTATGAACACGTTAGAGCCCGGTCACGCTGCCTTCAATGACGCCCACGTTCCCATCAACGGCGACCAAACACCTCATCTCACTGTCAATGGCGGAGTTAAATCTAGCTCGGAAAAGTGCAATGGTGTCCTGGCCCATAACTCAACTTCTCCCTCCGCAGATTCACCTACGACCCCCATCTCCGTAACCGCCTCTCCCGACGTGAAAATCGATATTGATTATCAAGAACAAGAAAGCGACGTTCGTCACGAACCACTTCAAATCAAGCCTATCGATCGCGTTGACAAGTTGGACGGAGGCTCGTTCATTTCTCAGGTGGAAACACCTGGTGTGTTGATTTGTTCCATGTCTAGCCTTTTGTGTCTCATTTTATTAGATATTCCCTCGCCTAATCACACTCCTTCCCTTGTTGACGATATAAACATGGAAGAATCAAATGTTCCAGTTATGAATGGCATGAACGGTCATGTAAACGGTACAGCGTCCGATGTTGTAATGCGTGATGAAGATTCACAAACGCCAGCGCCGCCACCCGTGACTCCTGACGCATCCATGGCTACCATCCCTTCCAATGGTACATCCACGTCTCACAGTTCACCGCGTGATCATCCTCCTCCAATCGACGATGACGACATGCCGCCTCCAGCGAAGCGAGCTAGGATGCATTCCGACGCTGATAGGGCCTCCTTCATGCATGTAAGCTGACATTTTTTTTTTACATCATTACAGGCGTGCTCATTTCTTCTGTCTTTTGCCCCATTTCTCAAGTCGGCCACTCCACCTCCGACGTCGGCAGCTCCACCTCCTTCATCAGCTGCGATGTCAATCGTCGAGGCTGTACTCACACCTCCATCATCGAGTTCTCCCGCTGGTCCGTCGAATCTCAGCATCGCGCAATTCCGATTCTGCCAGTCCACTATTCGGTCGTTGAAAAAGCAAAAAGATGCGGCACCTTTCTTGCGGCCTGTTGATGTCATAGGGCTCAACATCCCCCACTATCCTTCCATCATCAAGACGCCAATGGATTTTTCAACAATCGAACGCAAACTTAATTCGTCGAATCCAGCGAAACCTGATCTGAATCTTCAGAATCCTCGTTATCACAATGCTGACGAATTTATCTTCGACGTGCGCTTAATTTTCCAAAATTGTATAACGTTCAACGGTCCAGACCATGCGATTGCCGCCATGGGAAAGCGGGTTGAGGCAGTTTTCGATAAGCAGGTCAAGCAAATGCCCGCAGCAGCAGAAGTGCATCCTATTTTGTTAGTTCTTGTGAGTCCTTGACTTACGTAGACCTTAGCCAAAGCCACCAGCTCCTAAGAAGATGGCTACGCCTACCCCGCCGCCGCCGCCGCCCCCTCCCGTTGTGCCAGCCAAGAAAGCTCAACCCGTTCGACGTGCTTCTACATCTATGCCTGTCATAAGGCGATCAGAGGCAGAAGTCACTGCTCGACCTAAACGCGAAATTCATCCGCCGCCTCCCAAAGATCTTCCATATGCTGACGCGCCAAAAAAACATAGAAAGGGAAAGCGAGTGAAAGATGACGGCACAGCGGAGCAGTTGAAGTTTTGTGCGAAGATTTTGCAAGATTTACACAGGAAGCAGCATTATGGCATAGCTCACCCCTTCTATGAGCCAGTTGGTGAGCGACATCACCATTGTTCCGACGTTTCAATCTTCTCACGACGGGAATAGACTGGGTCAAGCTGGACATTCCAAGTTACCCGAAGGTTGTCAAGAAGCCAATGGACCTTTCGACCATTAGAAAGAAGCTCGAGAACTTCGAGTACTCTACTGCTCAGAAGTTTTTTGACGACTTCAAATTGATGATTCGTAATTGTTTCCTTTTCAACCCCGCCGGCACCTTGGTAAATCAAGCCGGCATCGAACTTCAACGCCTTTTCGACGAGAAATGGAAGAGCCTCCCACCCCTCCACGAGGTTAGCGACGAAGAGGAAGAGGAGGAGGAGGAAGACGATAGTGAAACTGAACGGCAACGTACGGGATCGCTGTTTGAAAATCATACTTGTCTTGGCGGCTGATATTACTTATCTATAGGCGCGATCGCAATGATGGAAAGCCAGATCGAGGCCATGAGGGGAAATATTGCCGCATTGAAAGGTACCAAGCCGGTCAAGGAGAAGAAGAAGAAAGAAAAGAAGGAGAAGGCTCCTACAGCATCGAGTTCTAAAGCTCCACCCAAACAGCCCAAAGCGTCATCGAAAAAGAAAGGCAAAAAGCCCATCTCTGACGATGACGTTCTAAGCTTCGAGCAGAAGAAAGACTTGAGTGAGTCGATCGGCAAACTAGATGGCGTCAAGCTCGAAAAAGTCATCCAAATAATTCATGAAGGCGTTCCCGAAATACGAGACGTACGTTTTCCCTCATTGTCTTCCTGCCCTTTGATCATCCGTAATGTGTCTCGTACATATAGAGCACGGAGGAAATCGAGCTGGAGATTGACCTATTGCCATCGGCGGTCCTGACCAAGCTCTACAATTTTGTCATCCGTCCAACACGGCAGCCGGCGACTAAGCGCAGTCGGACGGGCAAAGGCACTGGCACTGGTGGGCTTAAGCGGAAGAGTATGGACGAGGATGTCGAAGCTGAGAAGATCCGACAGTTGGAAGAACGTATGGCTCTCTTCGACAAAGGCGCCGGTGGTGCACCTGTTCCCGCAGCTCGTCGCGACGATGACAGTGATCACTCGTCGGATTCCAGTGGAGAGTCGGACAGCTCTGGCAGTGATTCGGAATGAGTTCCTCTTCTGCTCCGAATCATGGACGCCATCACACTTGTACTTCTCCACTTTGGCATTATATCCCGTCATTCTCGCGGTAGTAAAACTTTTGCCCACTGCCCACCTTGCGGTGCCTGTTCCCTCTTTTTTTCTTGCTACCTCGGTGTTGGCGCTATCTTCACCTCTACTATTACACCGTGTCACACCAATTATACAACTAAATAAAATTAAGAACAAGTACTTCACAACTGTATCCTGATAGTTAACTAAGTAGTAGCACATCAAACCCTTTCTCAACTTGGCGTTTGTCAAGTTGAAAACATTTGAGACGTAGATGTTATCTTCGTCCCTGCCCAACTCCATGAAATTGTTGCCACCCAGATCCAGGTGGTTGAGACATGGGATGTCGCGCAAGTCCTGTGTCAGATGATGACACCGACCTGGGATGCTGGGAATGTTGGGCGTTGACTGGCGGAAGGGTAGACCAGCCACGTCTTGGACTATCTGGAGGAGGCGGAGGTGGAGACGTTGGAGGTGGTGGATTGGACGTCGGAATAGCGGGGAACGAGCTTCCCGTGTCAAGGGTGGTCCAGCCAGCGTTACGAAAAGAGGGGTGGTGCGGAATGGGAGCTGGATTGCTCGCGTTTGAGGGTGCAGAGGTAGATGGCATGAAAGGCACTGGCGGTGATACCGTGGATGACGACCCAACAGTAGCCCACCCTGATTTTCTGAAACCAGGTTGCGGCGGAGTGGAGTCTGATGGAGTCGTAGATAACGAGGCCCATCCCTTAGACTCCGAGGGCTTCGTCTCAACTTCCATCATAGTGCCGAGAGCATTATCTGACGAAGTGGGAAGAGGTACCGCTGGGACAGCAGGGGGTTTAACAGGGGGTTTAGGCATTTTGATACCATTCGCGGCTGCAATTTTCCTGAGTTGCTTTTCCTCTCGCTTTAGCTCCTTCTCCTTCCGTTTGTCGACCTCCTCCTTGGGTATGAGCCGCACATTCGCCTGCATATCCTTGAACCGAGCCTTGTGATGGTGCGCGTACGAGTTCGTGTGTTCATCATATTGAGCCACGTTCTTGAATTGCTTATCACAGAGGCTGCAGTAAAATGCCTTCAACGTCGTTGTGATCTCATCTCGAAGAGCGAACTTCCGAGCAACGAGATCCTGGGAACGGAAATTAGAAAACTGAGGCTTGAGCTATAAGGACACATACCTCTCGTGCTTTCCGTTGATCTTCTGTTTCCTTCTGCTGTCGCTCGGAGTCGAGGCCTCGACGTTGAGATACAGTCGTCTCTATCATTCTAACATCTTGGCTCGTCTTCCCCAGGCCAGTCAAGTCTCGCTTAATTTGGAACGGAATAGGGTCAACGCGACCTAAACGGAAGTCAGCAAGCGTTAACGTGAGGAGACGGTCGACCAACCGTCCCCGGATAGCCCAAGGGGTTGTCCCTCAGTCCAACCCAGCTTTGAAAGCATGGCAAAGCCCTTATTATGGGGTTTGATCCTTGTCTCAACGGTGATAACCTCCCGGGCTGGGCCTCGAACATACTCGTCGTACTTGTGAATGTGATCTTGGTCAACATCCATAGTATTTGGAGAAGGTGAACGCGAGACAATGGATATAGCGTCGTAGTCGTCATCTTGATCCTCCCCATCCTGTGGTCTTGCACGCTGGTGAATGTGAGAAGGGGGAAGAGAGGGCAGTGACACTGTCCAGGATTTGTACGATATAATATGAGTACCTTCAAGCTAGGATCGTCTGTACGAGATAGGGAAATGGCATTCCAGCGTGCAATTGTGCTCGCCGACATGAGAATAAATGCAAGGATAAGATGAGTTTTGGTGACAAATGAGTTGAAGTGAAATTCAAATTGGCAGGAGCAAGACACACGTGACCATCGCGTACCCACCTCAATAACCAACTTTCTTCTTTCGTGTCTTTGCTTTCATCTCAATGAGTTCGGACGGCTATTTCGACGGAGACGACGATTTTGACGACGCGGCATTTCAGCAGCTAGATGCCATTGAAGCAGCCGCACTTTCTCCTAGGAAGGATCCTATTCGGCCTTCAACAAACCCGAAACCTCTCGGGAAAGAGGATTCATTCGTGGACGACTTATCCTTTGACATTTCCGAATCCGAACTAGCAAAACTCGATAATTTTGTAGAGGATGCTATATCTGGCAGAGCGCAACCTGTGGCAGGTCCAAGTAGGCTCTCTGGCAAACTTCAGACAACGCTCTTTGGAGATATCTTGCCGCAAGCTGCACCTGCCAGTAAACCTCGTTCCACTCTTGAGAGGACGAAATCTTCCAATCGGAATCCGTTTGGTCAGCAAGCCCCAAAGACGAAGCTTTGGGATCAAACGGCCTTTGCAAAGTCTGGGGTCAAGCGTGGGGGGAACAAGAGCAAAGGCAAGGCCAAGGCTACACAAGACGTTGAAGAAGGCGAAGAGGGAGATATCGAGTTTGAACAATTTCCTGCTCCCTTTATATCTCGTGCGTACCGTTCGTGGCACTGATTTCACAGCTGCGACTGACGTCTCCGAGTAGTTGGGTAACTCGTCACCTCATATGTGATATTGTTCTTGCTGAATCTTATTTTCGTAATTTTGGATAGGCCTGTCAGTGTCTCGTTGTCCTTCTGATCTTGTGCATTCTGACGTTGCCAGCCTGCAGCCCCCTCCAATGAGACTGACCCCAGATCTCCTCGAAGTGAAGCATTGGATATACCCCATCAATAAACCGAAAAGAGACTATCAATTTAACATTGTGAAACATTGTCTCTTTGAAAATACTCTTGTGGCGTTGCCGACAGGACTCGGAAAGACTTTCATTGCGGGGGCTGTTATGCTGAATTGTACTTTCGTCGTTTGCTCTACAGTGTCTTTCCTTTGACTTCTCGTATGCAGTCTATCGCTGGTTTCCCGAGGGAAAGGTCGTCTTTGTCGCCCCAACGAAGCCACTGGTTGCCCAGCAGATCATGGCTTGCCATGAAACATGCGGAATACCTGGGGGTGACAGCATAGAATTAAATGGCGAAGTTCCCAAGGCGACTCGTGCCCGACATGTGAGTTTTTTAACGTGCTTCTACGTCACTCCAATGCCGATAATGTCATAGTGGAGGGAAAAGCGCGTCTTTTTCATGACTCCTCAAACACTCATCAATGATCTCCATACCGAAATCTGTGATCCACTGGACGTTGTCCTTCTTGTTGTTGGTAAGGTCTCTCTTGTCCGTTTTGAGCGCGGGAAACGCCTTATTTTTTTGTCCACAGACGAAGCGCATAGAGCTACCGGAGATTATGCGTACAATCAAGTCATTCGATTCCTCATGGCAAAAAACCCACATTTCCGCGTCCTGGCACTCACAGCCACCCCCGGGAATAATCCTGAGGCCGTTCAACTCCTCATTGACGGACTTCATATCAGTCGGATTGAGATTCGCGACGAGGAGAGCTTAGACTTGAAGCAGTACATTCACAAGAAGGTTGGCCTTTTCCGTGCTGTTGAAAGTCTCACCTCAAATATTGCTAGGTCATCAAAGAACACATTATCAAACCAAATGAAGACATTGAGGCGGTTAAAGAATTGCTGTGCAAAACGATGAACGTTCGTCGAACTCTTTTCATTCTCTCTCTGATCTCTGTTTGAGGTGTCCACAGGTATATATGAAACCTCTGAAGGACTGTGGCTTAATGCGACCCACCGATAATCCAGTCAGTCTTCACCCTTTCAGGCCGCAGATGATCGCCCAAGAGCTGCAACAACATCAAAAACGATTCTATGGGAACTTGTCCCTGTTAGGCACGCTTGCGCGAGGAATGCTATACCTGGTACCTTGTTTATCCCATAGATATTATGAGATGCTGATGTCGAGCCCAGCTCACGGGCTCCATACGTATGTGCTACGAGTGGTTAGAAGAGGCCTCCCGTAACAGGGAGGATGACGAGGATGCTGACAAAGGAAAGAAAAGCTCCAAAGGCAAAAGTTTGCGAAACGATACTAACTTCCAAGCTGTCATGCGAGAGCTGGAAACCCAGCGTTCCCGAGGGTTTTCTACGCATCCGAAGATGGAAAAACTCAAGTCAATTCTCGTTCAACATTTCGGGACATTCCTTGAAGATCCTGGCGCGAAGGCAGGCATCAGTGAACAAGATCAGACCAGGGTTATGGTGTTTTCCACACACAGAGGAGCAGTTGACGACATTGTCGAAGATCTGCAAAAGGAACGGCCACTCATTCGTGCTGCTCGATTCATTGGTCAGGGCACGGATAAGCAAGGCAATAAAGGCCTTGTCCAGAGGGAGCAACTTGAGGTGAGGCCTACCCAACAGCCTTCTGTGAACGAATACATATAATTTTGCATCTACAGGTGATTAATAAATTCAAGGCTGGAGAATATAATGTTCTTGTGGCGACTTGTATTGGTGAGGAGGGTCTCGACATTGGCGAGATTGATGTCACGGTCTGCTACGATGCAGATAAAGCACCTACGCGCATGGTGAGCTTCTTCCTCCATGGATCTTATCTATCCTTATCATTGGGTAGGTACAACGTTTCGGAAGGACGGGTCGAAAACGATCCGGCATCGTACATGCATTGCTGGCTGAAGGTCGGGAAGAATTTAACCTTGAGAAGGCGAAGGGGACATACAAGGAAGTGCAGAAAACCATCACTCGCGGTGAACTATATGAGCTCTACGCCGATGTTGAAAGACTGATTCCTGATCATATCAAACCGGAGTGTTTGGAGAGGGTGATGGAAATTCAGCAATATATCCGTGAAGAACCTCGCAGAGGAAGCATGACAGGCATGTCCAAGGGGGTGAAACGAAAACGCAATGATGACATCGCAAGAAACATTCCCACTGGAGCGAGCACTTCATTTGTCTCTGTACGCGACCTGATCGTGAAATCGCGGGCGAGCAAAAAAAGCAAAAAACTTTCGTTGAGCAAAGACTTCGACAAGCTAGGAGAAAACGACAACACGGACGAAGAAATTGAATCCGGACGCGTCATCGCTCCTCCTCGTCGAACCCAGTCAGCCACACCAGCAGAGAAACAAACTACTGCACCAAAACTCCGGAAGGCATTGACTATCGAAGGAAGTAAGACGAAGCGGGCGAAGTCGCGAAAAAAAGAAAGGAAGCAAGAGGTGACCTCGAGCCAATTTTCACAGCAAGGGGTCGACGATTCGGACGACATGGACATCGAATCTGGGATGATTTTACCATCAACAGCGCTCAGTTTGCAGGTCAATATGCGATCTCCACACTCTGAGGGGAACTCAAGTCCACCAACAGAACTATCGACAAAGATGGCAGTCTCCGTTGTTGATCCGCCAGATACCAAATCTGGAGACCCTTCTCTGAAACGTATGCACCCCGTTATACAATATTTTATGAATCAACTGACCGTCTCATGAAGTAGTTCGTCACTCACCTGGCATCCCGGAAGCCCAACAGTCAGCCTACCAAAGCATGGCCTGGTTGGTCGATGACGACGACGACACTAATCTCGCATTTGAGATTATCGATTCATCTCCACTTAGAGATCGAAAGCAACCTGTTCTCCAACGCATCGAGCTTTGGGACGAATCCATCGAGGTCTCTCAGCCGATAGCACTTCTCAATGGGCATGTGCGATCGTCGCCGTCCCTTGATGCAGATGAATCTGTCGAGTTCGTGGAGAAATCACTCGGAACCACGGGTCCTTCAAATCTTGTAAAAAGTCAGGGTCGATCAGTAACTCCGGAGGCCTCGCCACAGATGCACGGCAACACCAACAATAACAAAAACTTCTCTCCTCAATTCAATCATAGAACATGTCAAGAATCTTCCCCATGGCCATCCCCAAGCTCTCCAGTAAACCAGCCAAAGGGGAGTATGCTTCCCCCAGACCTTCCACGCCGTTTCCTTGCGTCACCTGGAACCCAGGATTTTCCAGAACCATCTTTTCCAATACGCCGTCCTGCCAATCAAAGCAAAAAGCGTCGCGTATTTCACGATGTTTTGGAATCACCCTCTGATCAGATGCCACCCCCATCGCAGCGTCGCCTGCGTCGGCAAATCGAATCAACGCCAGCTCCAGCTCCCAAAAAGACCAAGAGAGCCAAACCTTCCCTTCTCGCGCGGAATCCCAATCCTTTGTTCGATGCTGCAGCGGTGCACTCGGGAGATGAAGTTAGTGAGGGTTATTCCGACAGCGAAGATGATGAGGAAAGCGAATCTGACAGACTGTTCCTGAGAGATTCGCCTTTAACTCAAGTATCACCGTCCTACGACCAAACGCTGGCATACCGGCAGAGTTTACTTACGCAAAGTCAGATTATCAGTAAAATTCCCAACTTTGCCGATCGTCCAGCTCGTAGTGGGCACATTTTGGGTCGGAGGACGACTGTGTCCCGGACCGAATTGCCCTCGAGTTCGCCACCCCCGCCTGATGACGAACTGGACAGTTACGAGATTGGAAGCTTTGTCGTCGATGACGATGAGCCATACGCTCTCTACGACTGACAGGCGAGTTGGAGAACTTATTTACCAATAGAATGATTAGTTGCAGTCACATCAAATAAATGGCCTAGTCATATGGATAGACATGAAGCAGCGAGGAGTGGGAGTAGTGACTCTCACATCTAACCATAACGGTTGGCCTCGAACCTGTATTCAAGTTTAACTGGAAAAGTCGGCAGGAATTCCGGACAACTGACATCTCAACGGCGGAAGGTTCAGGTTTGCTGATCAACTTTGTTCGCGACTTGAATGGTCCCTCTGAAGGATGAGTGTGGCTCGAAACATCTTCTCGTGATGGTTAACTATCGACCAGCGTTTCTAATTTCCGATTTAAACTATCCGCCTGACATATACATCCTCAATATCACCCTTGGATTGTCCTTCGGGTTTGGTAAATCCAGCTAGGCGTTTTTCCTTTGCAAGTTGGCGTACAATGCCCAAGAAATCGTCCACGGCTGCGTCCTCCGTCTGAATGTGAATAACAAGCCGTGAACCTCCCAGGAAGAGTGGCTCTGGAAGAGCACGGCCCCTTTGTGCAATTTCATCGTATGTGACGCCAAGTGGGGAGGGATCGTAGAAAATCTAGAAGATTATCAGGTGTGATGGGAGTGCGTCCTTCAAGTTTTTCGCACCATACACGTCTCAGCTTTGCTGAGGATGGACGCGCCTATTTCTTCGAGACCAGCTTCTGCCTTCCTTGCCAGGGCATGTACCCTGGGTAATTGGGGGAAATTCTTCGTCAATGCATACGCAGCGCACCCCGAGAGAATGCCTATTTGACGCATGCCTCCACCAAAGAGCTTTCGAAACCACCGCGCTTTTGCGATAAAATCCTTAGGGCCAACGAGACATGACCCAACAGGTGCACCTTGAAAAAAGTTGAGAAGAAATTGATAATAAAGGCATAGGCGGCAATCACCTAGTCCTTTGCTGAAGCACAAGCTAACCGAATCAAATGGGTCGCACAACTCCTTGATAGATGTCCCAGTTTCCGCGGCGACGTGCCAAATTCGAGCACCGTCAAGGTGCATTTTAATTCCAAGAGAGCGGGCATACCGAGAGATGGCGACGACCTCATCCTGAGGGAAAATTGTGCCATTTAATGTATTTTCGAGCGCAACGATTTCCGTGGGGGCGCTAAAATAATGAGATCAAGTTTCCGTAAAACTGCACACAGAGAGCATACATATGGACATCGGTTCCAGTAATGATGTTGTCTTTAACGTCCGCAAGAGTGAGATGGTGTCCTGGCTCCTGTTTGAGTGCTGCCGCATTGCACAACAACGTCTTACCCACCGTTTGAAGGAACTACGGCAGTCAGGGCTGCACCGGAGTGGAACGCAGCCCCACCAGCCTCATACCTGGGAATCAGTGAGATTATACTTATCCTCGTTGAAAATTGGGAAGTACTTGTTGATGTGAGCACGATGATCACAAAGGATCGTGTAAGGAGGTTGCTTGAGATGGGTCCTCAACGCAATCTGATTTGAGGCAGTCCCAGAAGGCATGAAGAGGGCGGCTTCCTTGCCAGTTATCTTTGCCATATGAGCTTCCAATGCTCTAGTAGGTAACGGTATCACGTTTGAGAACCAAGCGAGGACGAGGAACCCACACGGTTGATGGCTCGAAGTACACGTCGTCACCCAGAGATGCATGGGCAGCGTAAGAGTACATCTCCTCGGTTGGGACTGCGTACTCGTATTTAGATATGGGTGACGAGTAAGGATAGTTATGGGTAACCTGTGATAGTATCGGCTGAGGAGGTCATGAGCTTTTGACAGGCCAGTAAAGTAAATCAACCTACAGATGAAGGTGCGGGCGATCTCCTTTCTCTTCGCTGCATTGTCCGCTGCCTGTGTTTTTGAGACGAGATCGAATTTCACTTGGTCAATGACTGCTGAGAGAGAGGCGGCCATGGTAAATCGACGTTTATGACGGGTGGGCAAATTGGGTGTTTTAAATATTCGTCGAGACAAGATCCGTGAACAAAATGGCATGTGGAACTATCGGGCCATGCAGCAGAATATTATCGGCTGACAGACGCTTGGACATCCAGTTGGACCAATCTCGCAGAAAAGTTGAACCCTATGTAATTGAACACGATCGATCTGCATCTTACGTAAACATCAATATCTTTTCTCTCTTGCAAGTCTCTTGCCTTTGTGTGTTTCTACCGAATACCCTTGCAATACCCCTCCATTAATCAGATAATATGGGTAACGTTCGTTCATCTTCTCAGAACTTATCTTCTCGGTTTGATTGGTTTGTTTCGCTGATCGTATCCTCCAGGGTGCCAAAGCCGCCCAGAAGCGAGAGAGGAATGCCGATAAGGCTCCCAAAGGCTCAAAGAGTCAGGCCAAAGTGAACGAGTCTGCAAAGTCCATAGTTTGCGGAACCTGCAAGCAGTCTTTTGTGAGCACTCGAATTCTGCTTCTGTCTCATCAAAATTAAACCAGCACTGTTCTTGTAGCTCGTTACCACTCGTGCACCAGCGTAAGTTGGTTTCGTGAAATGATCAGCTTTACCATGTCACTAGATTGACTTGTGTTGTTTCTTTTCCTCCCGTTTCTAGCCTAGAAGAACATGCTCAAAATAAGCACTCAAAGACATTGTCGGACTGCTTCTCAGGTTTTGCAGCTTAATGGTTGGTTTTTATAGACATCGGGGGGGAGGGGGGTGTCACGACATCCCTGATTATGAACGATGCATTCATTACGCCTTCTATGGCGAGAGTCGTACTTTTGTCGAGGAAATAATGATGCAGCTCGAAAGGCGAATATTGAAGTCTAGTCCTCTCATAATGCTCCAAACGCGCTACCTCCACTGGCGTTGGCTGCCCCTCTGCTCTGTAGTTTTTCGCCCACCTTCTTCTGCACGTCATTGAACTTTGCGACACATCTGTCAACGCAGACACTCTCGCCCTTGTTTAAGTCGTCTTCGGCGTAACGGGTACTGATACATTTGCTGTGACATGACCTGCAAAAATAAACGCTGTGAGAACAAGATTAGTATTCGCGTATCAAAACGCTTACTGGACCATTCGGTTAAAAAAGTCCGTAATTGTGTCGAGCCTTCAAATGTTGCAATTGAGCAGGATGGAAATGGGAACCAAAATGACATACTCGGTAACGGCCATCTCAACCTTCTCCAAATTAACCCCACCAGAAGGGGCGGGGTTTCCACCTCTTCCTCCAAGGAACGACATTTTACGCTGGGATGAATTGGGGAGAGAGTTTCTGGCAAGTTGTAACAGTTGTGACGGATGATTTAGGTCACGTTCTCCCGATCACGCTTCCAAAAAAAAAAGTTTTGGATCATCAACGCGCTCACCTCGTCTTACAGCGCGCCTTATCCAAATCTCCTAAATGGCTCTAGAGAATAAAAGAGAGCCCACAACCCTTGCAGTTCATCGGTGTAGATTCGTCGATTATGCTCCGTCTGCAATAACTGCCCTCGCGTATCCCCCCTTGCCACTCCCGTCTGTGAAAGGGAAGAAAAAGACAGGGAAGGGAAAACAACCTTTGAGGTTCGGAACTCTTGCTGTTGGTCACGCCAATGGCAACATTGACCTGTGTGAATGGATGGGCACAGAGCACGATGTTCAATGCCCACAAGCCTGGGTAACGCAAAAGGTGAGTCGTCTACAACTAGTGCATGTACGTGAAAGTTTAATCTACTTTGGACAGACCCTACCAGGGCCCTACCCTTCGAAGGTGGACGCTGTCGCCTTTGCAATACGATACCCAGACGATTTTGATGAGAACGATGTACCAAGATGTTCAGATCTACGACTCTTTAGCTCTGGAGGTGGAAGTGAGCTATTGGAATGGGACATCGAACGCTCCTGCATACGCGTATGCCATTCCTTTTCTTGCGAAGTTCTGATCAATGAAATATAATGATCCTAGAGAACCATTGGTTCGCAAGGAGGTTCAATCTGGTCAATTGCTGCCAACCCGTCCTCCAATTCCCTTGCGCTTGGTTGTGAGGACGGAACAGTCCGATTGTTATCCATAGCAAACGACACCCTGACCCACCTACGACGGTTTGACCGTGTAAAATGCCGGATGTTGAGCATCGCCTGGGGTCCTCCTGTACCTCGACGTCAGAAAACCGATGTTAATGAGGGCAGTTCTGATGACGATGAGGGCGATGACGAAGAGAACTGGGGTGACTCATGGTTAGTAACCGGTGGCTCAGACAGCAGTCTGCGAAAATGGGATGTCACAACTGGGCGGGTGATAAACCGCATGGGAACTGACAAAATTAGGGGTGAGCGCACTCTGGTGTGGACTGTCGGCGTCCTTGGGTACGCACAGTTGGCCGTCATTTAACGAAGCAGGTGACTTATTCTGTTGTTTGCAGTGACGGCACAATTATCTCAGGGGACTCCCTAGGGATGGTTAAATTTTGGGATTCGCGGACGTGCACACAACTGCAAAGTTTCAATGCTCATGGCGCCGACGTGCTGTGCATTGCAATTAGTCCTGTATGTGCACATTCCACCCCGTATTTCTCCCCCATTTTTTTACTCGCCTTTAGGAAGGAAAGGCAATTTACACCTCCGGTGTTGATCAGAAAACCATCCAATTTTCCATCATCAACACAAGCAGTGAAAAAGGTTCCAGCTCCTCATCTACACGTTGGGCACAGACGTCCAGTCGACGCCTGCACTCACACGACGTGCGTGCGCTCGCCATTTGGCCCCCATACACACCACTTCCGCACTCCTTTCAGCGGCATTTTCCCAAAGATGTTGCGCCTATCTTAGCCTCGGGCGGATTGGACATGTCCGTCGTTGTCACTCCCGCTGCGCTACCTACAAGCACCATCGTCAAAATTACTAACCCTCTAGTTACGAGTACTGAATCTACCTTTGAGGATGCCTACCATCGGAGGCTTGCATACTCTGTCGGAGGCGTGATGAAAGTCGCGAGACAAGCTAGGCTTATTACTTGCGCAAGGGATGCAGGCTTGACCGTGTGGAGAATACAAAAAAAGCCAGACGGCGCGGGAACGGAGGAAGAGGCTGCGCTGGAGGATATAGAGGCAGTCTCATTTGAGGGCGGTTGGGAGAAGGTGCTTGAGATGGAGTTCAATGTCAATTCAAACCTGGTCGCCCATCAGATATCAGATGACGGAAAGTGGCTTGTTATTTCGGATGTCTACGAGACAAAGCTGTTTGTACTCGACCAGGATGTGAGTATAATTTCTGTGATCTCTTTTACCGATCCTAAAAAGTCTTTAGGCCAAAGGTCAAGTTAAGCCAAAACGAATAAAGGACTTTTCATCCACTCTTCAAGCCCACATCCCGGCATCGTCTACGAACATACCCACAACTGGAGGTCTAGCTTTCCAATTCACTCCAGACTCATCGAAATTGGTTATATCGACTGCCGTGCCGTCGTACATCTTGGTGGTAGATTTAATGGGCGCAAAACCACATGTCCTGCGGCGATTCGATCATCATCTGGTTAAAGATTTCATTTTCCGCGACCGGGTAGTAGTTGGACGAAGTAAAAATGCTATTAATGGCGATGTCGATATGGCGGATGCGGAAGAAAACGAAGAAATTGAATCAGAGAAAGAGGAAGACAGCGAGGGAGCGGAGGAAACCTCGCGTTCAACACCATCTGCAATTGTTGGCGTCCACCGAATAGCTATCAGCACAGATGGACAATGGCTCGCGACTTCGGATAATTATGCACGCACCCACATATTCAATCTCGATTCAATATCTGTGCGTCCTCCTGCCTGATATTTTCTTCTTCAACTGATCATCTCAATATCCAGCACCACTGCATTTTACCTTCCTTCCAAAGGCCGGTGCAGGCGCTTGCCTTTGACCCCATGCACCCCAGCGTCTTACTCCTAGCCTTGCCCGACAATAGTATTCAGTTTTACGATGTCGAGGCGCGGCAGTTTCCTGTCTGGGGAAAAGAGCTCAGCAATAGTCTTCCTAGACGCTTTACCAGCGCCCACGATCCGGTTATTGGGGTATCCTTCGATCCTGCGGTTTCGGACACGGAAGCCGGGAAGACCAAGTATATCATTTTCTGGGGTGCGACCTGGATTTTTAAAGTTAGCTTGGACACGACTGTCCGCTTTGGGGGACGGAAGCGAAGACGAGACGTAGTGGACGAGGATAGGCCTTGGAGGGACTTTAAGATGATCACGCAATACCGACCTATATTGTGTGTTGACTTCTTGACCAAAGGCGAGTTGGTGGTGGTTGAACGGCCGTTGGTGGATGTGCTGTCGACGCTTCCGCCTGCGTATTTCAAGCATAAGTATGGCATATCATGAGTCTATGGAATACAAAAATTACTATGTGCAAGAATATGTTGTAAGTTGTTGTAAGTGTGTTGAATGAGAAGGGTAAAAAAAAAAGGAAAAGGAAGCCGGGATATGCAATATAATGAGTCCTGAAATGCAAATGTTGCGGAGTTGTGTCTACAATGCATTTAAATCCGAAATAAAAGGTGAAGGTTCAAAGCACATCGACTCGGATCTATATGGTGGGTTTATCTTGCTTTTTAACCTCCCTAGCCGAAAGTAAGAAGTAAGGATTTGGCAGAAAACGTAAAATGGACGACGCACTCCGAATTGATAATAGAAAGATAGAGCGTCCAGAACACCCCGCATGCTTGTGAGAAAGGAACGCGATAAGGAAGCGGCATGTATCTAAAATTCACGAGCTTTGGGGGATAGGTAAGGGCAAGTACAGAAATGAAATAGATTTACCGAAACTCACCTGTGCAAGGGGCCATGCTTTCCAGTTCGCAATCAGAGCCTTCGGATATAGATCGGTGCACTTTTCTTTGATTTGGTAAGGTGTACGACCTTCCATCATGCCCATTGATCCTAGAAAAAGCGCGAGCTGTGATGTCCAGGTCACTTTCAATACAAGGTGTATGAAAGTGGATTGTAACGTACGCCAATTGGAGCACTGGAAGAATTACGATTAGTTAATTGACTTCACCTAACATGGTTATATTACGCACACGATGAGTTGGTCGCAGGCAACTCGCTTGGACAATGCCCTGAAGCTAACCCTCTTGGTGTTGGCTTTTAAGGAGCGTAGAGGAAAACGGGATTCCAAGAAGGAGTTCCAGCGCCCCATAAACGGGCCTACAACAAGATAAGCATCCCGTTGCCCGCCAAAAAAAAATGGTGGTACGAACTAATGGTGAACCCAAAGCAAAAGAAACGAAGGGTACGTAAAAAGTCGTAAGGCTCATATCCTCCGTGTTGTTCTTTCCGCAACTGCACAGAGAGGTCGGTCGATTAATCGCAAAGAAGTGACAAAAACAACGCACTGCTTTCTGTGATATCTGGGCTACAAAGTCACCGAGAGCGTTCAGGCAGCCGCCTGTTATGGCTAACGTTGAGTTTGGGTGAGTATCAAAGGAATGCTGGTATGCTCGAGCTATCGTAAGGGCCGCCATGGTGAGGAGGAGAGATACTTTGGAGGAATTGGGAATAAATAGGAAAGATGACGCTAGTGGCGTACCAGAGAAGAGAGGTTCATTCGTGGTGACGCTCTTGTGAACGATTTTTTGCTTGTGGAGTTGGTATATCTTGGGAACAAACTCTGTCCGCCGATTGTGGAGCAAATCAATTACTGATCATTCACGTGATCAGCGTGTTCTTGCCAAACATGCGCACATACAATCACTCGCGTGACGTACATAAACCACGCCAAAGTAGAATCCGCCAGTTCCAATCTCTCCCCCATACTTATTCCTACTCAACAATCTAATTCTATTTCCTATTTTACATACCCGCCACGCCCAGTAATGCATTTCTCTATCTCCTACGTTCTCGTCATCCTTGCCACTCTCAGTCATCTCGTCCACGCTGCCCCCATTCCGGACGGAACGCATAATATCAACGCAAACAACGCTGGTACTGGCGGTGGAGGTAATGCAGGCGGCGGATCCGTCAATAACTCGCCAGTCAAAGGGGAAGAGGGCTTGCTAGGTTTCCTTGGTGTGGAAAGCCTCCTCAATGTGAACTCTGGTAATTATCCGTTCCGCCCCATCATGTATGCGCATCCACTCACATAATTTCGCTGTAGGCAATGCCGGCCACGGCGGGAAAGCGAATTCGGGTTCGGCGAGCAGTCGGCCCTTCAGGCGGTACGGCACTGAAAAGCAATACGTGGAGACGACCAATATCAACGAGACAAAAGGCAACGCGAATACTGGAACGGGTGGACAGGCCCCTGGCGGGTCGGTTAACGGCCCACATGGCCTGATCAATATTGATTCGTGTACGTCCCTTGTCTGACCCGTTGTTGCGTGTGTTGACTTGTCTCCAATGCCAGTCAACGCCGGAGATGGGGGAGAGGCTGACAGCGGGAATGCCCTTATTAATGTGAAGCGAGCTTGGAGAGTTCGCCATTAGTGAACCGCGGCGTCCTCGTTGTATTATCAGCGCACAACATTTGTATCAACTAGACACACATTGTAGCATCGCAGAATCGTAAAAACCACCAATTCACAAAAGACGCAACTTTCCTGTCACTTCGTTGATGAGGGCTACAGGGGCCGGACCAATACCAAGCACTGTCCGTGAACCTGCCGCGATTTGTGTATGTCCCCTGCGCAAAGCTGTCGGTTCAAGAATATAAAGCAGAACGATAGAGCGTACGCGTCATGTATTGATCGAGCACACAGGTTTAAACTCTTGGCGATCGCTTCCAGTTCCAGTAGCTGATCCTCCGAAGTTGCTTTCAACGCAATTTTTGCCTGACTGTCGAGAGAAAGAGAATTGGAAAAGTAAAAAGTAGGTGACTGATTTTTGTTACCCTGTACGTTCCCAGTGTTGTACAAGCTATGAGAGGGCGTTAGATTCAGCAGTCTTGAACAACAGTAAAAGTCAATACCTTGCTGTTCTTTTTTACCAGAGCCTTATAACATGCAAGCGTAGCATGCCTAAGCTTGACTCAACACTAGTTGTTACACCGAGATAGGAAAGAGCACCATACCCGCATCTATTGCAGCCAGTCAGATTCAATAGGGTTGGCTTCGAAATGCAAGGTACTCACTGGGCCGCGATTTTTCCGGAGGTCATACCCAGATCCGTGCGGACAACAAGAACCTGAATATTGTAATGAATACAATATTTGGGAAAGTGCAGCAACGTACTAGTTTACACGGCTCGAGCAAGCCTGCGGAGATCGCTGCCAAGTCGCCATCTGCCAGCTCCTCGTCTTCATCGTCGTAGTCATCTTCTTGCACAGCAGCAGATTCTGTCTTGGTTTCTGATACTTTTTCTACCGCAGTCACGGGCGAAGCAGATGTACCAGCGCTGGTCAGTGATCCTAAACGATATCCCAACCCGAGCGAGGAGAGGGAAAGAAAAATGCCAAGCGCGACTGTTGAAGATAACAATTTAACAAGATACGGAGGGTGCTTGGAAAAGGTCTATGAACCTTGTGCGCGCCAGGACGGAGAAGACATTGTCGCGACTTGTTGAAACTCTCGGATGTGATTGCTTTGAGTGACCCAGTGATCGAGAGAATTCATGGTCGGCATTATCCGAATGGGATTTTTCTGAGCAGCCTAACAAGACATTCTTAAGTTCGACGACTGGAATGATGCCCACGGCCTCCACCTCTGCCGCGACAGATGCCGCCAATGGCAATGATTCAACGACGACTCCTGCCCGAATGCCCTTTTCCGATCTCGGCCTCTCTCCACAGACCCTTCAAGGTCTTTCAGACATGGGATTCTCGACAATGACATCCGTGCAACAAAAATCTATCCCTGTACTGCTCGCTGGAAAAGATCTTTTGGGAGCCGCACGAACGGGGTCTGGGAAGACACTCGCTTTTCTTATACCCGCTGTGGAATTGCTGCATCGGTTGAAATTCAAACCCATGAATGGTGCGTCGCTTCTGTGGTCATATCTTGGCCTGATACTGAATGGTTGTTGACAGGCACTGGCATTATCATTATTACCCCCACTCGCGAGCTGGCGTTGCAGATCTTTGGTGTAGCCAAAGATTTAATGGCGCATCACTCTCAGACTTTTGGAATTGTTATTGGTGGGACGAGTGTACGTGCAGAGAGGGAAAGGCTTATCAAGGGTGTAAACCTCCTCGTCGCGACGCCAGGGCGTCTTTTAGATCATCTAAGGGTGCGATATTTTGCTTCAGTGTAAAACGAGGCTGATCATGGCATCCTGCAGGAAGCCAAGGGGTTTGTATTTCGGAATCTAAAAGGTCTCGTTATTGACGAGGCTGACCGGATATTAGAAGTTGGATTTGAGGAGGAAATGAAGAGCATTATCTCAATCCTACCAAAAGGTGCGCATCACCCTAGCCTCTTCATTTGGATACTGATCATCCGCCAGAGGACAGACAAACGATGTTGTTCTCGGCAACACAGACCACAAAAGTCACTGATCTTGCACGAATATCACTCCGACCCGGACCAATACACATTGACGTCGATAAAGAGGAGGCTACGAGCACCGTGTCAACATTATCACAGGGTTACGTGGTCTGTCCCTCCGACCGACGGTTCCTCCTTCTTTACACTTTCCTCAAGAAAAATTTGAAAAAGAAAGTGATCGTTTTCTTCTCGAGTTGTAACTCTGTGAAATACCACGCGGAATTAATGAACTATATCGACGTCCCCGTCCTTGATCTTCATGTTCGTCTTCCTTTATCTCTCCTTCATGCCCAAGATTTACCAAGCTGATCAACAGGGAAAACAAAAGCAACAAAAACGGACCAACACCTTTTTCGAATTTATCAATGCAGAAACTGGAATCCTTTTTTCTACTAATGTCGCAGCCCGTGGTCTCGACATTCCTCGTGTGGATTGGATAGTACAATTTGACCCTCCTGATGACCCACGCGACTATATCCATCGAGTTGGGCGGACAGCTCGTGCAGGGAAAGTGGGCAAGAGTCTATTATTTCTTCTGGAAAGCGAGCTTGGGTTCCTGCGATATCTCAAGGAAGCCAAGGTGCCGTTGAATGAGTTCAGCTTCCCTGCTGACCGGATCGCAAATGTGCAGTCTCAAGTATGTTGCTTATTTTTATGGACAGACATGATGTTGACATTTAATTAGCTGGAAAAACTGCTACAAAAGAATTATTTCCTTCACCAGTCGGCGAAGGATGGATTCCGTTCGTATCTACAGGCATACGCATCATATTCATTAAAAAAGATATTCGACGTCAATGCACTGGACTTGACAAAAGTGGGCAAGGCTTTTGGATTCTCGGTGCCACCCAGGGTGAATCTGAACATTGCACCTGGGAACGGAAGTTCGCGGACTGGGGATAAACGGAGACGAGAGGGTGAGAACAGTGATGAAGAGGAGGAAGAGGTGCAAGGACGAGGAGACAAGAAGGGAAAGGCCAGAAGGATGGAGACTAAGGGAGAGAAGGAGGTGGGGAAGGAGGTGTATAAGAAAGGGCAAGAGCGGAAGAAACGGGAAACAGGAGGTAACTGGAGTAGATAGTATTAGTTAATATTTTTGTGACTGATGACGGTGGTGTGTGTGTGACACGGGTTGAAACTGAAAACGTGTTGTTCGTCATCAGTTGGTTAGAAAAACTCAAAAGCAATTCTGCCCAGCGCCGACAGCTGCCTTGCTCCAGTCGCATTTTCAAAGTTTATCACCATCTCCCACATGGCGACAACACAGGTCAGCTTGCCTCAACTTCTCTTTCCCTCTCACTAACATGCAGCAGCACTATCTGTGGGCATCTGGCCACTTTCTCCTGCTCCTCTCCTCTTTGCGCTATTTTATCGCATGGGTAACCTTCAAGAGTGTCTCCACTTGGTGGTATAAAGGTTCGTGCTCATTCTCTTGTTCTCCTATTCTCTGACCTTGCGTTCTGCAGCAAGTTTCACTGGTGCTCTCATCAGCTACGCCATTGTTTGCCAGTACGTTCTCTTTCGTTCCTGCCCAATCTTTCCCGAGCTTATATGGCATTGCCAGAAAATCTCTTGGAGTGTGTTGCTTGCTGTCTTGTATGGATGTTTGATTCCTGAAACTGTCCTACAGACCCCCCAGCCAAATCCCGCATATCTGAAGCGTGCCTTGCTGGATGAGGTTCGAGTCTTTTTACTTTCCGGAAGACAGTATTCTAACCCCCCCAACAGAATGTCCAATACTTCATGCTCGCCTTCTTCTGGTGGACATCCAAGCCTATTACTCGTGCGTGCTTCCGTGTGGCACTGGCATTTCGTTAACACATCTGATTACGTAGTGTCACTCCTGCCTTACATGATCTTCTCGTTGTTCCATGCTCTGACCTTCACCCGCACAACGCTGATGCCACAATTCCTGCCTCCTGGTCCACCGGCTACTTCGGGAGGTGCACCCCAGCCTCACCCCTTGGCCAAGAGACTCCAGGTCTGGGTTAAAGGTGTTTCCCTTTACTTATTTCATATTATCAAGTATATTAAATTCGTTTGCAGCAAATTACGACCGGGCTATGAAAGTAGTTGCCTTTACTGAAATCGTCATCTTTGTACGCGTCTTCCTTGGAGCCCTCACTTTCCAAAACTCGTTGCTCTGCCCCCTCATCTACGCACACTTCCTCCGCCAACGTTACTACCAGTCAGCATTCACACGTGAGGCCTTCAAAGTGACATATGCCCGCATCGACGCGTTTGTTCGTAAACCCGGCAATCCCCCCATGGTAGTTCAGGTGTGGGACAAGGGACAGCACATCGTGCAGAGGTGGGTTGGGAATAGCTTGACGGGAGGTGCTCCGCCAGCTGCTGCACAGTGATGATGGTCGACGGGAGGAGGGTCGCTCGTGATAATAATAATATACGAATGGACTGTTATTTTTTGAGCGTACCAAATACTAGTCAACAAGATTGACGAGTTTTAATATATTCATCCCTTCTTTGGAATTTTGGTCAATGTCCCGTATACCCGTCCCATCCCACCACGTCTCCCAACATATTACCCGCAACCAAGCACCGTCTCCAACTCCAGATCACCAAATGTCCTCTCTCTCCTTCCAGAGTGATCCTAGGAAAAAACAGTCAAAGAGGGATGAGGCCATCCGTAAAAAGATAGAGTCCGAGCTCTCGCGCAAACGCACCATCTCTACCACTCAGGGACAACGCTCTAAGCGTGGTGTAGGAAAGGCAACCCCAGCCAAAGGCACCGTCGCCGCCCTCAAGCCCAGCCCTGCCCTTACCGTTCCCGAGAACATCACCGTTGCGGAAGCCAGTCAACTCTGTGCTGCAAAACGCACAGATTGCGTCCTCGTTGTTGATGACGAGGAAGGACTGAGTGGAATATTTACTGCCAAAGATTTGGCGTACAGAGTACCGACTCTCTTCCTCCGCGTTTTCGGACTAGGGTGTTGACCTTGGTTTTCAACAGGTCACCGCTGAAGGTCTCGATCCCCATACGACTCCCGTCAGTCAAATCATGACGCGCAACCCCATGGTCACTCGCGATTCTACGAGTGCAACCGAAGCTTTGCAACTCATGGTGTCCAGGCATTTCAGACATCTGGTACGTTCCTTTCGTTTTCTCCCGTATCGTTCACTCATGCATTTTGCTTGCAGCCTGTTTGTAACGAAGATGGCAACGTCGTCGGCTTACTAGATATCACAAAGGTCTTCCACGAGGCTCTTGGCAAAGTTGAGCGAAGCTCTGCTGCCTCCGAACAGCTGTTCAGCGCCATGGCTGGCGTTCAGTCCGAGCTCGGGGGAGCCGTAGGATCCAATCCTCAGGCTGCAGCCATGCTCGCATGGGCCGAGAAACTCCGGGAGAAGACTGCTTTGCCAGATCTCACCACCGTTATGGACTCGCGCACGCAGCCGGCTACCGTCGGCCCCAAGACGACTGTCCGCGAGGTTGCAAAACTTATGAAGGAAAGAAGAACAACCGCGGTCTGCGTTATGGAGACTGCAGGTCCGGCAAGTCCCGGGTTACCTGCCGGGTCAAGGATTGCTGGTATTTTTACGAGCAAGGACGTAGTTTTGCGAGTGATCGCTGCTGGATTAGATGCGGGAAGATGCAGTGTTGTTAGGGTCATGACGCCCCACCCTGATACCGCTCCTCCTACTATGAGCGTTCACGATGCTTTAAAGAAGATGCACAGTGTGTCTGGTTATTATTTTATGTGGACCTTACTAACAAACATTTATAGATGGGCATTATCTCAATCTGCCAGTCATTGAAGAGGACGGTCGTCTCGTAGCCATTGTTGATGTTCTAAAGTTGACTTATGCAACTCTTGAACAGGTATGCTTACCCACGTAAAGAGAATTTTTCAAACTCAAATTTACATTTCAGATGAATGCTATGGCTGGTGGGGATACCACGTCGACTGAAGCAGAGGGCGGCCCTATGTGGGGTCGTTTCTTCGACTCTATCGGTCATGAGGATACGGAGTCTCTCTTTTCAGGCTCTCACGTCACTCGAGATCACCGCTCCTTCTCCTCGATCAACGACTTGCACCTACAGCAGTCTCCCCATTCCGAAGTTCACCCCAATGATTCGGCTTCAGTCATAGACGACGACCCCGTCTCCGTTCTGGACGGATATCCACGACACAAGGGGCTTAACATCCCGTCAGGTGCTGCGCCAATTCCCGTTGATGATGGCACCTATGTCTTCAAGTTCCGAACTCCCAGCGGCCGCACTCATCGCTTCCAGGCTCGCCACGACGACGTTGAGCATCTCCGTGAAATTGTTTCGGGAAAACTTGCTACGGACCCCTTCTTCACTGAATTCCAGCCCAAGAATGAGGACTCGCCCAAGCCAGACCCGATTGATTTCCACCTGTCCTACACCGATGCGGACGGTGATACTGTTTTGATCACATCGGACGACGATATCACGGACGCAGTGAAAATTGCGAGGACCGCTGGAACTGATAGGGTGGTGCTATTTGTGCAGGGCGGGAAGGGCTGGGCAGAGGCTGGTGCAGATAAGAGCGAAGCCAAGGCAGCAGCCGTTACCGCTGCAGCGCAAAAGGAAGTCAAGGAGGTGGAGAAAGCAGAGGAGATTATTGTCGTGACCCCTCCTCCCGTTGAAGCACCTGTCGCTCAAACACCACCAGTTCAGACACATCGCCCACGTGCACCACCACCTGCGGAGGAAGTGTTCGGCATCCCCAAAGACTTGTTGCTGCCCGCGAGCATTGGAGCTTTGGCCGTGGTCATCATTGGCATTTTCACGATCTCCAGGCTGAGCTCCCCATCACACTATTAGCCCCCATTTTTTTCAACGGAAAACATTATGACTTCACCATACTTATATTTCCTATATACACAATCTTTTGACGACTTTCAACGACTCCGTTTCGCTACCTTTCCCATAGACTAAGTATAATTTTCTCATTTACCAGCGAATTGATATGAACGAATTTCTCACGTGATTTAAAATGATATCAAAGTGCACTCAAAGTTGACCAGGAGTTGAATTACAGTGCAAGTTGTTGGATACGGTGTGGTCCTCAGCCACCACTTCTTCTGCCTCCCCAACCCCGCGGTGGCGGTCACCCGCGAGTCGCGTTCCCTTAAATGCCCAAGTCGGAGCGGGAGGAAACGTTGTCGGCCCTGGTGCGCCTTACCTTTACCTCATCCTGCTCAATTGGCTAAACTGCGATGCAAATCTCCAAAGACGACGCGAATTTTCTCTGCTTTGTTGGACGAGCTCATCTTGGATGCAACACTGCAGTCGCATCATGAGGTGGCGCGGGGTCGAGCAGTGTGTCCGGTGTGCAACACCCAGTAAGTTTCCTTTGCACAAGAAAACCGAAATCAACTAATTGGCATACTGGAACGTGGAATAACAGGTGCGGTTCAGGTATTTTGCTTTCCATTCTCCTCTAAGCCTCATTCAATCTATTTGAACAGTTCACGTGTCTGGGTCGTCTGCTGGCGCCTCCCAGTCGGGGGTGGGGGCGTCTGCTACTTCCAGATCAGATACGCCTTCTTCCTCAGGTGAACACAAAACGTCCGCTACTGCGAATGGGTCCGCAGGAACGGGCTCCAGCACGCCAACAAGCGTGAAGGTGGACGGAACCGCGTTCTTGGACTGCGTCTCTTGCGGTCGGCAGGCGAGCCTTCACCCGTCTTCATGACAACGTACTTTCTGACCTTCCGGACAGATCGCATCGAACAGATATGCCCCGCACCTTAGTAATTGCATGGGTCTTGCGAGTTCTCGGCGGGGTGCCGTTAGAGGAAATCCTAAATCCAAGTTGGTCCTTTTTCTGGTTCTACAGTGTCTATAGTTTTGATCTATTTTTTGTAGACCAGCTTCCGACCCTGGGGGGTCGCCTTCGCCAGACTCAGATGGTAACATTTCCGACGAACGAAGTCATAACGCGAAAGGGAAAGGAAAGGCTAAAGGGAAAAGGGGTGGTACGCACTAGTATTGTCTTCGCTAGACAGTCCACTAATAGCTCACGACAAACGTTCAGCTGATGAGAGTGACTTTTCTCTCAAGCGGAAACGAGTGAATATTATTTTCTTTCACTCCACGATGAAAGTATTAATGTTCCTAGCCCACCTCCCCCCAATCATCTCCCAACAAAAAGTCAAAGAAAGGAAAGGCTTCTGGTTTGCTGCTTGTTTTTTTATTATTGTCATCAATTATTTTAATCCTACGGGTTCATTCAGGTTCACCCGTTTCTCGTGTAAAAGCAAATCCCGATTTAGGGATGCCGAGTAATGTGAGCTCGTCAAACTCCTATCGATGCCCTAATTGAACCTAACTCCAACAGTCGCACTATTCACCGACTACGAAGTCTCAGTCAAAAATACCATCAAAACTTCGAGATTCCTCCACTGCTTCCTTCCTCGACCGATCGTCGGCATCGTCTCGTTCTTCATCGCCTGAAGGAGTTTATGTCGCTACACCGGCTTCGTCACTCTCAGCTCAAAGCCCCCACCTTGCTACTACAGCCATTGGCACTGGGGGGAATTCAAGAGGACGCCCTCTTGGGACTGGTCCTCCGCGAAGACCGAGCCCACCACGACCTTTGGCTATACACCCATCACACTTTGGTTTGGGTGAGTCCCAAAGTTGACACTTTTGCTTGTCACTGGCTAAATATGTTTTGTCTTTCAGACGTGGAGGAAGGAGAGGAAACGGGTTCATCAACGGATACGTCGGACAGCTCCTAACTGGATTTCGTTTTTGCTATTTATTCCCACATACTCGCAAAGCATCCTGGACTGTGTGCACTCCATTTCGATTACTATTACTTAGTATGTACAATAGATAAAAGCAAACATGCTGATCATGACACTCATGCACGCCCGTCGAGTTTCCGGTCGCACCTGGTACTCGTTTGGTAGCAACATATCAGGAGGAGCGTTTCCGAAGACTTTCATGGAGAAACAAACCTTCGCAGTTTGTACCTTACGTAAATAACCTGCTGGTCACCGCAACTATGACACTGGTTGCGGTGTACACTCTGGCAGTTGCTGCCTCTCTTTCTCTTGGATACTGGGCAGGTACAAAGGCACGTCCGCAGTCCAACCTTTCTACCACTTTGGAAGGGGGCATAGAGAATTCTGTTGAGGAAATTGGTGACGGAAGTAAAGACTCAGAGACTGATGAACATCAAGCTGCGGTTGGCCGAATTTACCTCTTGGGGAAGGTGATGATTACAAGCTTGTGAGTGGTATCACTTCTTCTATTTTTTCTCTGAATCTGTATTGTTGTAGGCCCTTGTTGTTCGAACAGGCCTGGGGATGAGTTCGGGGAAAATAGCTGCTCAGTAGGTCCGCCCGCATTATTCTTTCTCTTCGAACTTAAACGCGACCAGGTGCTCGTAAGGGTCTGAAAAATTCTCAATGATTCTTGAGGCTCAGAGAAATCAGGCATGCAACGCTGGCATGCTACAAAATCGCAATGACAGTGAACCCGAAGGTGAGGCTGCTTTCTTTTGATTTAGAAGCACGTCTTTTATTTCAATTCAGTTGCTGCGGCAGTGGGACCAAGCTGGGTGAAGCATGCCGTTATCTCCAACATTTAATCATCTCATCACCTCAACGTGAAGCCAAACGAAAGTCGTTCTGCGTTGCACAGGTGAAGAAGAGCTCCTCGTGCTGGAGGCTCGAGCCCGAAGCCTGAAGCTTTGTGTAAGATCGATCGAAGACGCGTCAGTGTATATCAATGGCTACCTTTTTTTTTTGGCTCACTTCTTTTAAGTGGAAAGACACAGATCGCGGCTGGTTCGAGGACGGTTCTTGGGATATTAGGATCTGGGAGGTTGGTTAATCAGGTTACTGGCAAGTTGAGACTGTTATGAGCGTTGTGTATATTACTTGTGGCAACGGTATCAATAACAAACTTGCAACAAACACAGGACCCGCCCAATAATTACAGTTCTTCTTCAACAGCGCATTGCTAACACTGTCATTTCTGTTCCACTTTCCCTTTGTCATCTCTTTTCTTTCCCTTGGTCATTAACGAGGTCGGCACACTCAATCCTTTCACCCTTTGCCGCCATGTCGGCCCAGGCAACATCACCAGACGACAGATCTCAACAATATCTCCACACGCACCACTCAGAGGACTTCAAAGCGTCCTACGACGACCTCATCGATGAATACTCTGCACCCTACGCCTCCAATGCGCGACATCAAACTTTTGCAGTCAGCACACCACACACACACCGCCGTGGAAACTCAATCCCACTCCAGAAAGCCTTTTCAAAACATTCAGACGACACCTACGACACCTCGGATATCATCTACCCGCCAGTGATGGCGACAAAGGAAGTGGATGATAGAAGCGTGTGGCAAAAGGTGCGTCGCTTCAGAGTTTATTCGCCCCACAATTAAAAGTCAGGGCTAGCTCCTACCCGAGTCTATGGCATGTCGGTTCTATGTGGCCACCGTCCTCGTCGAAACAACGATAGACTTAGCTATAGAGGGGGAGCTGTTTCTGCGGGTCCGTGAAAAGATGAAGGCCGACTCACAAACGGACGATGGCGCTCAAATGGCCACTTCAAGGATGCCGGTATACCTCAGCATCTTCGCGCTAGCGCAGTAAGATTCAAACCATTGCCATATGTTGCACCTGACTTATATCTCTCTAGCGTATTCCAATTTGTGATGGCTGTGGATGCGGTATATGCCCGCAATACCCTGCAATTCATCTGTCTAACGTGAGTTACGAGTCTTCCGGTTCTTCTCCCCAAAACTAACATTTTGCAGAATATTCAACGCGCTCTTTCTCATTTATGCTATTATCCAAATCAAAGAAATTCGTGATGCTTTGGTGGGCGCGTCTACACCAGGAGTCTCCAATATCCCCATAAACGTCTTAACGACAATAATACCCATCGTAATATCGGTAGCCGAAATCGCTTACATCGGTTTGGGCTGGAAAATATACCACGAATTCGGGTGGAAAGTTTACAAGTTTTTGGGTGCCGATCGCCGCATCAAGAAAATGTATGCCAATTACCAAATCTACGAATGCCTGGTCAAGTTCGACGTCTTCTTCTGGGCGGGCTTTTCAGTCCAATTCATCTGGCTCGTGCTCCAAGACACGGATTGGGAATACTACGTTACTTGTGCCGCACTTCCCCTTTCTATTGTCCTATTGGTGGAGGGTCATTTGGCTGCACGGCACGAAAACAAGTGGATGATGGCGACCTTTATGTCGGGATGCGTCGGTGCGATGGTTTATTTTATTTACAAGGTGTGTGGGATGAGGATCTCTTTCATGTTTGATTGATTTACTTTTGTTAGCTCATCAAAGTGCTTCTTTATCTGGGAACCGACCAGTATCGGCTTGTGTGGAAGTCCCTCACTGTATTCTGTACGAGATTATTACCTTCTTTCTTGAACCTTCGCTCAGTGACCTTACAGCTGTCATTGCCATTGCCCTCCTTTTCGCTACATTCGTCTTTTCCATCATTATCCTGAGGAACTTTGGACAGGGACTCAAGGATGCTCGTACGCATCCCTCTCGTCTTTCAGCCTATCTACGCTAACCCCTTCTCTAGTCGCGCGAAAGAGCGCACAGGGCTTTGGCTCACAAAACCACCGACGAGCCGCCAGCACCAACCTCAACCGCATGAGCATTGATTAAACCTTCCACGATGACCCTTCATGGATTCCCCTTGTACAGTTAGTTGGAAATTCTTATATGACGACGAATGGACTTCCGCACATCTACAACTAGCATCTTTCTTGTCGCACAACCACGCCCTGCACTCCTTCCTCATACCTTACCTTATTCCTATATCTGCTCCTGGCATAACTGTTTGCCGTTTTTGGTACTTCTCTGGTAGATCCATATGTACCTATTTTATTTTATTCCTCATTGGAGTAGTCTACTGTGTTTCTTAGTCGTTCTTTTCGCTTCAGGGTTTCTAAATGTACTTTTAGTATCTGAGTCAATGAGGTTCTTCAAATGGAAGGAAGTCCGATCATCACAAAAGACGCCAACGTGTCAGTGTCAATTTGGTGTCAAACCGGCGAATGCAAAACTAACGATTTTGAGGCTCGCCTTTATCTCTCATGTCTCAACGGTGAGTGCAGACCGGGTACTGCTTGCCACTGTGTCATTTGAAAATCTTTCTGACAGAGTTAGAGCGCCTGGTTTACTTCGCGATCGTTCAACGCTCCTCGGCACCCCACCCATCTCGGGGCGATCATCTCCCTTCGATGGTATCCAGGCAAATGGACACCGCTACGCAGACGACCTCGAGGGTCAAAATGATGAAGCTTTAGAAGGTCTGAGTTCAAAAGTCAGGCAACTGAAGGATGTAAGTGAGTTGAAGCGTTGTTCTGGTCTGGTCTTTCGTCTAACATGCTTTATTCGCTCCCATTTAGCTCACAATTGGTATTGGCAACGAGGTCCGGGAGTCTACGATACAGCTAAGCCAGATGGTGCGTCATTTTCCGCGTCACATTCCGTTGTTTAGACCTGACAGACGTCCGCAGAACGATGCCTTCGCAGAGACGGGGTCAATCCTTTCTGGAACTTTTCGAAGAATGAACAATATGGCTTCGAAGCAAGGCTGCCGCTGGTTGTGGTACATTGTTTTTCTCGTCGTTGTGTTCTGGTTCTTCCTTGTAACTTGGTGGTTTCGACGATGACTCCCCCTTGTATATTAGACCAAAAACTGCAATGGATATACCAGAATTCGAGACCCGAGAACGAAAATAATTACTAAATATACAGCAGAATACTCGAGGGGGGAAAAGAGGGTAGAGATCGTCACCCGTGTAGGTGCAAATATTAATCATCTCGAAGCCTAGCGTTACCAATCTCCCAAATCATCCGCCGGCGAAGGTACGGCATATCTTTCTGGGTAAAAATGAAGTCATCTCGCCCTTGGGAAAGAGCCTGCAGGAACTGGCAAGTAAAAACCCCACAATCGTACCCATTCTCTTGTTGAGGTGTGTCCTACCAGTTTTTGTTAGGTGGGTTACCTAGCAACGATGACGCCTCAAAAAAATGCATACATCTGGTGCCCAGTTTTCCCAATCGGTGAAATCAAACTCTTTTTTCTTCTTGTTACGGTGCTCAGCATCGAGGTATGCTCGCAAGTGCTAAAGAGATGTAAAGAATTGGCAAAAGTTAGAAAGGATAGATGTTGTTCTTCACCTTGAAAACCTGCTCTTTCGCCATGCCCATGCTGTCATACGACTCTATCCGCTTTTTTCGGAGGTTTATGGCTCCAGCGGTCCAGTGAGCATTATTGTGGTTCACAGGTATCAGAATGACGTCTTTGGAGAAGATGTCAATCTGATGGGAGGATAAGCAAATGCCAAGGGGTGTTCGGAGGCTGGAAGAGAAGCTCACTTTCTTTGTCCATTTTGCAAGTCGTGCTTTCTCGTAGCCCTCTTTGGTGAGCTTTGTCCAAAAGAAAGTGCTGAAGAAGTGCACATTTAGCGGCGTCCCTTGCCCGTTCGTCGGTGAATTCTCTTTGCAACCATCAGACCGTGCAAGTATCATAGCACCGTAAAAATTGATGAGTTCGTCGTTCAACCATTGACCGGGTTTTAGTCGCTCAATATCCTGATCCGTCACCTGCTCCCTCGCAAACTTGGCGACGATGCCTCGCTTTTTCAAGATGTTGCTGACAACCGCGTCATCTTGAGAAGGGAGTTGAGATGGTAGGGAAGGACGAGATGGGCGGAGGCGGCTTTCAATCGCTTCGTCTTTGACACGTTCTGAAATTTGCATTTGGTCTAGAGTTGGTGCGAACGGCTTGGGGGGTCCAGGCCTGCCGTGGAGGATGAGTATGTGCTTATGAGTAGTCGGCAAAACCTACGATTTTATAGTCACAAGAGCCTTCTTGAAGGCAGACAACAAAAAGTATTCATCCTAGCAGCAAATTCGTCAGGGGCTTCAGAAAGAAAGAAAAAACGCTACCACAGGGGGTGCCGGTGCTACGGCGGACGATGAACCACGAACGGTGGCTACAAAACGGGACATATCAACAATGTAGATAGCCAAGTGGGTATAAAAAAAGCGCAGACCAATGCTTGCGCTACCGTTGACAGCTTGCTCCACGCGTCGTTCATAATTCAGCAGACCTATGTTGGTCATTGAGTGGACATTAATTGAGTGTAGTAGAAGAAAAAAACCTTTGAAATCATCAAGACTAGAGGAGTATCCTGATGAAGAATTAGGTCAAAAAGACAGAGAAATAGAATGAATCAGACCTTGAACACGTCTGAGGTCATACAATCTTTTTGTGAATTCCTCTCGCATTTGCAAACGATCCGCGTGGACTTTGGCTTTGTGCTGCACATCGTTGAACAAAAGTCGGGACAAACATAACAAACAGGACTCACAACAGTATGGTGAATGTGCTGTCGCTTTTTATACGGCCTTTGCTTGCCTTGCTTTATTGCCGGTTTGATTTTACGAGGAGGAAGTGCTGCAAGCGCCGCATCTAATCCAATTGTGGGAGCGTAACCAAGTAAAAACTCGGGAGGGTGGCCCTCTGGACAAGTTTGCGAGTTGTTGGGTTGAGAATTCAATGAACTGACGCATTCAGAGAGCAGACTCGATCGCGACAGTAAGTCTATCGGCTCTGACGCGAGGCGACGGGTATCTGTGCTCTGAATGTTGGAGAGAGAAGCGTCGAAGGCTAGTTTGTGTGAAAATGCGTCTGAGGTGTTTTCAGGACCTTGGCTCCAGTGCTGTAAAGATTGCTGTCGTCGCAGTTTCTCATCAGAATGAGGAGGAACACCAATATCCGTTCTCGGCCAAGTATCTTCCTGGTCCATTTGACATTGTTCTTCTAACAAATCGAACTGAAAAGCGCCTTTCGTAGAGCAATCTAGATCCTGTCCTAGTTGATTCTGGGCTGGCAGAGCTTGCCCCGTCCGAGTGACCACATGCGCTTCCAAAGCTCCTGGACACCACCGTGGAAGCAGACTCCTGAATTGGAATGAAAACGATGGATCCGCTACCGGAAGAGTCGATAATGTTCTTGGTGGAAGTGTTGGTGATGGTACTGGCGGAGGTGGCGGCGACACTTTGAGAGAAGCAATGGATCCAAACTTCAAACAGGACATATGACGAGAAGACCCACCAGAAACAGATGACCCCCATATCGAACGTCGTGCCCGTCGGGCCAACCGCTTTGTCTCGCTAAATGCCTTGCGTGCTGTCTTGTCGACTAAGAGCACGGAGTCCCCCACCCACCCTTTCCATTCCTCCATGAGTCCTGGCTGTGAAGAACTAGCAGTATGGTCGTCAGACCTTGTCTTTAAAATTCGCGCTTGCTTGACTGAATGGATGGGCTCAAGAGGTTCCTCGGCTGGCCTTTTTACTCCAGTCATTTGGCAGCGATCGCCAAACCAAGATCGAAACCAGCTGCCCCCCTGGAAAACCTCAAGAGGCCTGCGCTTCCAAGTGCTACGAAGTCAAGCTTTGGTAAAGTTTGCTCCTGAGGTGAGGTATGCGGCGCCTGCTGAATATTGAATCCCGGAGGTATAATGAAGGTATAAGTTAAAACTTGAGCGCCGAGGTTGTTCAACAAAGAGTGATGTGGGTGTGAACAACTTGTACGTTAAAAACAATTAAAAATTGCCTCCTTGGCTCAGTTGGTTAGAGCGCCTCATAGAAATATGAGTAATTTTATGATTAGGCCAGGCGCGAGGTCGTAAGTTCAAGTCTTGCCAGGGGCATTATGAATATTCAATTGAAGAAAGTTGTATCATTTTTTGGAGGCGCGAAAACATGCAGGTAAAATGCAGGACATCCAGTGGAGATAAACGATTTCAAATACTGCGTGCAAGACAGGTGGTGATGCTTTTCGGGGTGTGTCCGTCACCTAGGCATGGGCTCTGCAAGGAAAGGGGAAGAATGGAGGTATCTGTTGCCTATAAACAGCGCAGAACAACATCGTATTATAACGTTAACGGTTGTCCACCATCCGATTGCCTGCCCCTCAGTGACCTTTTGTTTCTCTTGCTCTCACACGATCCTAGGCAACGTATAAGATCCCTACAGCTCCTCTTGCTCCGCCTCGATACTAATCTAGCCATCGCCCCACAAGTTACGTCTTTACCCACATCACACCGTCCAAAGCACCATGGGCATGAGCTACCGTCGTTATCTCGCCGGAGAGCGCATCTACGGCTGCTCAACCTGCAAGACTCACCTTGCTACTATTCACTCGATGATGTCTCGAGTACGCTTATCGTGCATTTATGTTCCTGGCGTCGGGCTGATCGGCCACTCTTTTATAGGCCTTTAATGGGCAGCATGGTAGAGCCTACCTTTTCGATGGAGTGTGAGCGCACCCTTTCAACTCAAACCAGTTCCACGCTCATGGCTTCATTTCAGCGTCAATGTCATCGAGGGCGAGCCCAATGACCGTGCAATGACTACCGGAAATCACACTGTTCGGGACATATACTGCTGTAAATGCGGCACCACTCTGGGCTGGAAATATGTGGGTCATTTCTTTTCATCCACACAACGCAGGTCCGCTGACAGACAGTCTAGGATAAGGCTTATGAAGCATCACAGAAATACAAGGAAGGCAAATACATCCTCGAGCGCAATCTCCTCGTGGACGTGCAATAAAGCGTTCACATCTATTCTGATTCGCTCGTCTCTAGGTGATGGTTGTATACCTGCGACCTCATCTCGAAGCCAAGCAGTAACCGGTTGACCCAACTACCCAGCAGGCCGTTTGATCGTATTTCTCTAGGTTTCACCTCACCGTCTTTGGCAACATTCGCCAGTTTCAAGAAGAACAGGAAATAGCAGGGGGTTCTCATTAGGGATGAAGGGCACGCACCATTCACCTCCCTACTCACCCGCACACCGCCAGATTTCATTTCGACTTGTCGCTGACCCTTATCAGTCTTTGTTTCGTGTCGCGGATTCGCTGTCTTCGATCTTGAAACCCTTTACCACCGTTTCATGACGCCTATTTCCGCATCATTCATTACCGACAACTCAACATAGATTCCTCGGTTTTGATAGTCCGCCACCATACTCCCCGCCACATTTCCATTGTCATTTATTTCTCGCGACTTTTGGTTGTTGAATTCATCACTAAACGATATTCATCCTTCGTCACTTACTTTGCTATACCTGGTTTCCGGAACTCGTACTCGGTGTAGGCTCTACGAAAAGTGCCGAGAACTGTACTTATCCCCACGATTTTTTCTTCCATCCATGTACTTGCCTCCGAGTAATCTATGGATGGGTGTATCCGACAGCGCTGAGAGCCAGGAAGTTGGGTGACAATCCATCAAGATAGGACTTGAAGGTAATGCGTTGTGATTTTTTTGAGCTCGGGTGAGGAGCAGGCGACTCTTCTCGTGGAACAATATGGAGACTACCAGGAGCCGAAGCACCTGAAGCCTCAGGAAGGACGCGAAGATCCGTTGGTGCTCTACGCAACGAGACCAGAGCAAGTCGTCGCCATTGTCTCTTCAACCGGGAATAGCGTGCACTGAGCAAAGTTTCACCGTCTCAAAGGATGAGGATAAGAATATTCATAAGTACGAGACATCTCAGTTATTTTCAACCAGATGGATACCCAATTTACATAGAACGATACAGCTTGTTACACAAGTTGGAAGAGAAATAGATATTCTTCCGGGTTGCGGAGCAGTGCCTCGTAGCGTATACTTAGAGCAGCGACCAAGGCAGCGACTCTGAGAGCTGAGCCTGAGCAGAGCTCTTGAGGAACTTGCGTTTGACATCATTGATGAACTAATGAATGACCATCTTGATCGGATTCTGCCGAATCCCCAAGCAAGTGTCCCCAAAGTGCAACAAAATTCTGTTCAACATCCCCAAGCGCGCCGCTGCTGCGTATAAATACTGTCTTTACTTCTCCCCTCATCATCACTCCCCTCCCGCCCAATTCTCTCGTTTCAAAGCTTCAAAGTTTCCTTGAACTACAACAATGGGTAAGTCCTCTTCCTCAGGCAGCTCACCACGCGTCCTAACCCTTCTTTGTCGCTCAAGCTACAATCACCATGTCTCGCCCTTTTATTTCGTCGCCATTGGCTGACCCATCAACTTCAAGTCGAACTGTCACTCAGAGGGTGCTGCCGAAACGCAATACATCATTTCCCTCTTCACGCGCGCTCCGACCATTCCCCACTATTTCGCACGCGTTCCAGCCATCGAGTTCCACCTCAAAAATCACGCATAGCAAACCTATAAAGCTTATTGAACCACCAAAAGACCAAAAAGCCATATTCATGCTCAACCTTACCCAGGCAGAGTTCAGCAGACAAGACGACGATTAGACAACCCCACCATTTTCCGTCACTTCCGGCAATCCACGGGACCACATCCTTGTCACGAGCGCTCTCGCACCTCCCTCCACCCCTTTAGGCCTCGGGTTTCAATAACGCCCATGATAAGAAAAACACCGTTCTATTATTCGAACCTTCTCTTTTCAATACCGTACCTGCCCTCCGATTTACCTTTACTTATCACCTTTCTTCTGCCATAACCTTTGTTGTTGTATTTGTACCGCATACACGGCCCGTTCTCAAAACTACAGTCTACCGCTACGGATTCCGTACCGCCTGCATTATTACGTACTTAGATCGTAACGTTCATACAACGTTCATATACCCATCCTCAATCGCAATCACCTCCTGACAAGGTGGACGATGACTACGACATCCCACGTTGCCATGATAGTGATGATGTGAGTCGCTTTCTGCAGAGATTTGGAGGATCTCTATCAGCGACGAAGTGGTTGTCACAAGCGCGATGTGGATGTTGTCGCTGGGTTCGAGATGTTGGAACGTACCACTGAGAGTCTGAGGGTACATGTTAAGAGTACTCCGGTTGGACTTATGCGGTCACGGCGTCGGTCGTTCCACCCTCTACGCTTAAGAGTAAAATAGTCTGGGGGGATCGTTTCGGCGAAGGAATCCGTTCGGTATTGACGTCCGACAGTGTCATAAGTTCGCTCAGGGTATGCCGCCCTGCGTGCAGAGGGAAATATGTATGGACTAGCATTGTCTGTTCACCAAACGATAAGCGCCAAAGTATGAACAGGGACGGGATCATACGTGCAATTTGAGCAGCGGGAGCACTTGAGCAAATCCAAGGAAATATTCTGATTTCTCGCACTGACGACTTAGGTTCTTGGGGGTAATACGCGCCGTAATACCGGACCTACAGAAAAAGATGTGGAGCCAATTACTACTTATGTATAGGCAAGTACCCAGCGGCAGAACAGATAGGACTGTACTTACAGAACGTCATGCCTGAATTGAGGGCGTCTCAGGGTGTTCTGTTTGGAAGGTATGATTAGGATGTGAGAGCGCCTCATGGCTGTCGCCTCCGACAGTTGCGGGTCTATCGCATTCGAATGGATAGCACGGAGGCGCGTTTTGGTAAGAATTGGGTTAAAACATTTGTTAGCTCTGCACATTGGCTATTAGATCAATTCAAAAAAGTCTTTCACATACACATCGAGATGGTTACCTTATGCCAACACGCCGTTGCATCTCTCCTCCCTTGAAATCGCGTGTGTACCACAAGCATGATTATTTTAATCACTTCTGGTGCCGGGCGTAAAATAAGGTTTTCTGTCGCGCGGTCGAGAACTGGATGAGGACGCTAAGGAATTCGTTGAACCTGGTGTGACATCATGACTCACTTCTTTGAGAAGGACATTGTTCTCCGGGAGCTGTGGATAGACGTAGGATTGAAAAAAACGGAGCACGTTGTGGAAACGTTTTGTTGGCCTTTTGTTGGTCTTTGGATTACTTTCCCATTGACCGGTACATAGTTGCCCGTTCAGGAGTCGAAGTCAGGAACGGACGAAAGGATGAATTCAGGGAGATCCAGGATGATCAGGATGAATCCGACAACGTGGCTGGAAATAGGACCGGAATTCCAGCGAATTTTCTAGTGGGCGAACCAAGTCCGACTCATATTGTCACTCACAGCTGCTTACAGCTTTGTTAGAGCCGTTTACTTTCTGTCTACCGAGGCTCTCTCCGCCTCTTTACGACCTCTCCACGAACTACGACGCCGCGACGACGATTCTCGCCTCTTTTCTGCTTTGCTCTTCTCGTCTTCGGCCCCCTATCTACAAATCCGTCATTTTCGTCTCTTTCCGACTCTCGACGGCAAATCTTCAACCTTCGACCCACTCTCGTTTACGATTGCTCTGACCTTTTTTGAGGTTTGTTCTCGTCAGTTTGCATTCTGTCCTCGCTTCTCACTTAACTTGTTAGAATGGACAACTGGAGAGTAGCTGTGCTGGGCGATGGCGGTGTGGGCAAAACAGCGCTAGCTGTCCAGGTGCGCCCACCCCTTGTCGTAAACACAGTTGGACTTGCAGATTAACGCTTTTTTACCTAGTTTACCCTCAACTGTTTCGTCGGTAAGCTTTTAACCTCTCATTTCTATTGTACAATGATCAACCAAGTATTGTCTTTTATCAGAGGTACCCCTCTCACTTACCATTCTCCGACACTCTCTAACAGCTCTGTAGACGTACGATCCCACGATTGAAGACGCATACCGGAAGCAGTTGGTGGTAGACAATAGGATGTGTTTTGTAGAGGTCATTGACACCGCTGGACAGGGTGTGCCTTCTTTCTCCCCCCGATACTTCTCATTACTCACCAAACACCAGAGGAATATGCCACGTTGCGTGATCAGTGGGTCCGGTGAGTCTTATTAGTACACCTCGTTACCCTAGCTTATGGGTGTTCAGAGAGGGGCAAGGATTTATCTTAGTGTATTCCATCGCCTCTCGGTCGACCTTCGATCGGCTCGAGGTTTTCCGCCAGTCCATGCGCCGAGTCAAGCGTGGTGAACCAATCTTCATGCTTGTGGGCAACAAGTGTGACAAGACCTACGAGCGAGAGGTGTCCAAGGAGGAAGGTGCTGCTATGGCGCGGCACTTCGGCTGTGAATTCATCGAGACCTCGGCCAAGACAGCGCAGAACGTAGAGCGCCTCTTCATGAACCTCGTTCGTGCATTACGACAGACCAGAATAGAGGCTGGGGGCTCAGTGCCGACCAAAACAAAAGAGAAGAAGCCGGGCAAGTGTATCATCATGTAGGGGACTTTTTTCTGGGATTTCTGGGCTTTAGACTCCCTTACATTTTTTTACCTTTTTCCACGATACCACTATGATCTCTTTTCTGCTTCCTTTTCATGTGTATCATTTATCCCTCACTTTCATCGATTGTTTGCAACACCGCACGTATGGTTTCTCATCACATACGCTTTCCGTTTGTACGCCGTTCAAACGAGCAATCTCCTCTGACCTGATGGCCACACCATCAATATACCCATAAGTAACAGCACTATTTGCAAAGTACGTGGCCTGTGAGTATCACTACACGTCGACAGGCTGCGCCTCGTACACACAAAAGTGATCAGTATCATCGACGACCTATCATGCCTTTCCATTGCGAAAATCCTGACTTCTTGGTACATTCTGTGCCTGACGATAATACTTTCCCAGTGAATCGCAATGCAATGGAGCGCAGCGAAATATTTCGTACGCCGTTTGCTAACGTTTCACGTCGCGTCCTGATAGTCGTTTAGGCGACATGTTTGCGCTTTGTGCACCTTGCTCAGACGCATCTCCTGGCGCGGAAGAAAATTTAGATCTCCACGAAAAAGCGGGCATACTAGAGGTTTTACTCCAGCTACTCCATAACCCACCGCCCCCTCCAGTGGCCATTTCCTTTGATGAGAAATTCACGACACGATTACCAAAGGTTCGATTTGAATCCCATACCGTCATTCCGCTGCCACTGCTCTCAACGATGTTCGAGCTTGCGGATAAATACGTCATTGATAGTCCGCTTGTGGAATCCCTCAAGGTTCATCTTGAGGCCCATGCGCCGGCACATCCTCTTCAAGTTTACAGTTTTGCAACGCTGCATGACATGGACAGGATTGCGTCAGAAGCAAGCCAATATGTAACGCCAATGGCATCCTATCGCCTCGATGAAGTCAAGGTTATCCCAAGTGTTCAGGCCTACCACAAGATCGTACGACTGCAGGATTTCCGAGTTAGGGCTCTTCGCGAGCTTCTTCTCGCAGAAGAAATATTTCCACATGGTAAATACTATTTGACCTGGCTTGAACGTTGGGTAAAGTTAGCTCCAAAGGTTACGGCGAATGTACATCTCACCGCGACAAAACGGTGGCGAGTTGGGATAGGCAGCGTAAGGCGTTAGCCGGCAGGATCGAGACTGGTGAGAGATACCGTAAATCTGTTCTAAGATGGGGATTGACGTATCTCCCACAGGGACCGATGTCGCAGGCGAGATGGATGCGCTGAGGGACGGCCTACGCGATTGCGAAACTTGCTATAAAGCCTGCACTGCGGCAGTTGAGATGCTCGCGGTAAGTTCAATCGTCTGCCTACCACGCAATCCTGATTCATAGTTTTCGTGCAGTATAAATGCAGAAAGGTGGCGAGAAGGCTGCACCAGCTTCCCGAAGGATACTGAACCTGTCAAAGGAACCGAGTTGGAATTCGATAAGCTAAATATTATGTGTGTATGGATTGAACGTGTAACTCATGTGTTATGCCAGAATAATGTTCTAAGATCGTTCCACGTTTCTGAATCGCGGTATAGGTACTGCATCGAGTTAAACATCCCCGGTTGGATGGTCTCTCCCCGGTGTCGGAATAGCCACATAACTGCACCCCATGAGAGAGCGGCAAATACCGTAAAGTACTTGGAGTTCGGAGGAATAGGTTTCACCGCGGAGGTCGCCAGTGCTGATTGTGGGGATGTGTTGTATGGAGATGATGATCGAGGGATGAAAGATGCCACGACGCGTGAAACGACGTAGAGTACAATCTGTGATTTTACATTGGCACGTAAAGACTGAGATTTGAACGGGACAAACCTGCTCGTTCACCGCATTTCGGTCGCCAAAGACGGCATAACCTCCTAGGAGTCCTGCCACAAAGGTATCGGCGCTCCTCTCCTTCCCGCCGTTGAACTTCTTTTGAAGTAGGAGAATGACTTTGTACAAAGTTACAAATTTTGCAAGATTGAAGGCATGTTGGCGGGTAGCGCGGAAGATGACCCGCGCCCGTGCTTTCCAGCTGATTTACTGTTAGTTAGTCAACCTAGGCGGGTTAGAATGACGGTGAACTTACTCCCCACGGCCAAAGAGAACGGACATGACGAGTGCATGTGGAAATCGTACTTTGACACCGTAGACGAAACCATTGCGAGCACCCTTAAGGATCGCGAGGTAGTCATGGTAGGCGGGGTTGGTGATTATATCGTTTATAAGTGACATTGAGATTGAGGAGAAGAAACAGTTTACCTCTCGGAGAAAAGGTCAAAGTCCAATCACATGCATTTCAAGTTGCCGGTGATTGAGCTTCAGCTTACGTAAGAACATGTAACCAGCCTCGTGACTTTCCTGTCTCTCGAGGGCTCTCTTTTGAGTCTTCATCCATGGCATCCAAATCCAAATCAAAGCAAGAGGAAGCTCTTCAATTCCTTGACGATCTCGACTCTTTTGCTCCTCCTCCAGAGGGAAAGAATGATTCCACAAACCAAGTAGCAGCAACAACCAACAACGAAGGTGAAGCTGCTGAGGTTCTCGCTTTCCTCGATGAAATCACCCAGAAGAGCTCCGAGACCACTCGTCCCACCAACGTACACATATCGCGGTCGGGCACGCCAACGCTCAGGAAGAGTACTGAACGTGTTCGACTGGGTGGTGGCCCGTCTTTGCTGCATTCTGCCTCTTCGTCAACAACCTCTCTGAACAGGGTTGCCAGCAGTGATGGCGGGAAGGCCAAAGAGAAGGAGAAGCCCGACATGCAGTCTTCTGCATCTTGGGGATGGGGCTCTGTATGGTCGACGGCATCGGCTGCCATTCAACAAGCAAAGTCGGCTGTTGACGAGCAGGTGAAGCACCTTCCGAAGAACGAGCAAGCTCGAAAGTGGGGGGAAGGCGTCATCGAGTACGCAAAGTCCGCTCAATTGGATAAGATAGGTCGGTCTATTCATTGCACGCCATCCAAAGGGGAGTCATCATGATCTATATATAGGCCAAGACTTCAAGCGCGTTGGCCTCTCCACGTTAACTGATATTTTGAACGTCGTCGCACCTCCCATCTCCGAACATGAGGTGATTCAGATCTGGTTGAGCCATGACATGCAAGGCTATGATGGCGTTGAGTCTCTTGTATATCGCGCTCTGGCTCGTGTATGTACAGTCAAATTTGAACTGCTTTTGGCTTCATCTCACTTTTACTGTAGATTATGGAACAGGTTGAAGGCGGTGATCTCATCGTCAACCGAGGGCATGAGTCGCGGCCAAAGGAGGGTACGGCCACTGATGGTCGTGATCTCAACACGGTCGAGGGTTATGTCGCTGCCCTGAAGCTGGCACAGGCAAGTTCTATCTTTTTTCCCCCGGCTTTCCTACAAACAGGTGTTAATTTGAAACTCCCTCTTTCTAGGCAAACATCGAAGATGTTGTCAAGAATAACGTAAAGGCCACCGAAGCTAAACCGGCGACATCTTCGTCGCCCACGACCTACTCCCACGTATATCTACGCATTCAGCCCTTTTTGAATACCTATTCTCAGCCAACCTCGTCATCATCCCCTGAACTAGCTTCAGAAGCCCCCCAGCAGCTTCAGTTCCTGGTTTACCTGTTTGACCCTGAGCACAAGTTGACGCATACCAGCGTCACACAAGCTGTGCCAGCTTCATGGCTCCCAATATGGGATGAATATGATTGGGTCGAAGATCTCGTCGCGGAATCGTTGCGAGTTGGTGTGGAGGTGATTGGCCAGGAATATGTTGTCGCACGAATGGGTTGGGGTGCAAAGGCAAACGGGCAAAGCGGAGTTGCAGAGGGCGAAGTATCGACTGAATTAGGAGACAAGGACGCAAAGGCGGAGGATTCCTGACTCTTGATTTGATCGGAAAGCACTTGATGGCATTTCAGACGCCCCCTCACGATTTTTTACTTGAATCACGATACCTTTGCCTACCTGTATAACAATGTGTATTATTCATGGGACGCCTCTAATGACGCAGCGGCAGAATATCACTATATTGCTACAATCATACTCGTCTCGTCTATTTCTTGACCTCTTCTGGCTTGGGTGGGGGCAAAGGCTTCAAATCCTCTGGTCTGCGACCTTTCGTTCCCTCACCAACTTGCTCCCAAGGGGAGAGAGCTTCAAAGTTGCTACAATTTGTTAGTCAAATTGTGATTCGAGGGCGAGAACTAACGAAATACGAACCGGAAGGCTTGCGTGAGCTGAAGAGGTTCGTAGACAACGCGCTTTCGCTCTTCATCATATCTGACTTCAGTATAGCCCTATCATTGGGAAGTAAGGAATCTGAACCGTTACTCATGGTGCTTGACATACCGTCAGGGGGAAATCCTTGCGAAGAGGGTGGCCCTCGAAGCCTGCAAAGATGATAAGAAAGGTAGGCAAGGGTAAACGGAGTTGGCATACCATAATCTGTGAGTATACGCCGGCTGGGGAAAAGGAGTAAGCACAGCAATGCCAAGGGAGAAGATTAAAACACAAACAGGTCTGGATGTCCCTCGAAGAAAATTCCGTAAAGGTCCCAAGCCTCGCGCTCATACCTAAAAATTACCGTCAACATCAATTTTACCCAGTAGATTCAATGCTAACCAATCTGCACCCCTATAGACTTCAACAGCGCTGGGAACTGGATCCGCCTCTCCAGCATAAGTCTTCACCCTGATCCTTCCGCCAAGCTTCACGCTCAACAAGGAATATACGACTTCAAACCGCTTCTCCCTCTCTGGGAAGTCGACACCGGAGATATCCATACAAGCTTTGAACTGGCATTGTGAGTGGTCACGCAGGAAGGTGAGTACCGGGATGATTCCGGAAGGCGCGGTGTAGATGGTCAACTCATCCTTCAAAACGGAGAACTGTTGGACGAATTTGGGAAGACATTGTGTGATATAGGAGCCGTATGTGTGAAGGGCTTCTGTTGTCTCGGCGTATTTTGAAATGGTGTGATTCGGAGACGTGGGTTCGGTGAAGGGTGAAGCTGACGCTGTATTTGGGCGTTGAGCAGAATTTTGGAACCGGGTAAGGGACTTGTACCGTTAGAAGCAGAAGATGCGTGAATGCATCGCCTCGTTGAAGTTACGGGCCTCGCTGCAGGGCGTGCACAGACGTTTTGAAGGGCGCGGACTGCGCGAAACCCAACGCGAAGTGACATGTTGACGACGGTGAACTGAAGAAAGTCCAGCCAATCTTACCTTCGGGATTTGCCGTGCTACTTCCCCTCCTGTTCAATGGCCACAGAAACAGTGTCCTCATCCTTCACAGAAATTTACGATTCCCTTCCATATTACGATGATGATTTACAGAAATTTCCAGAGTTGAAAGAAAAGGTGGACCGCGAGATGGCTCGGGAACTGGTCCAGCCCACATCTCTTCACCCCAACGTACCTCCACCCATTCAACTTTTTTCTGTTCGTGAGCACATCTTATCACGCGCCTGCGATTCTAACATATTGACATTTTTGGCTTCAGAACAACCCCTTGCTGAAGGCTGAACTACAACGTGTTGAAGCCAGCCAACCGTTTCCACCTCTTGATTCTCTCAGATATCAGTTACCTGCTCCTACCTCGACACCAGGAACGATACAGGAATGGAAAGAAGCTTTGGATAATGCCCACGCTCAGTTGCAACATCAACGAATACGGTAAGTGATACTTGGTTCTGGTGGTCGTATGATGTCTGACGTTGGTTGGCAGACAAAACAATTTGGCGCTATTGCAAACCTATGGTCCCAATGCTTGGCGGATACAAAACTATCTGCTAGAAGAGACTAAGAAACAAACTGAAAAAGCAGCTGAGGAACTGGTGCAACTTACGGTAGAGGTCAATCGGGACCGAAAAAATACGCAGGTGCGTTGAAACGATGATTGTCTTGCACGATGCGCTAAAAGCTATGGTAGGATCGATTCGGGAAACAATTGACGCAGCTGGAGACGCGGTGGACGGAACTTATCTCGAGCGTGTTGCAGATTGAAATGGCGAATGTTGCATTGGATGCTGAGATTAACCGACTAAATCAGCGAGAAGCTGAGCTGGCTGAGCTATGATGTGCTATTGAGGTCTTGCCCTGTAATATAATACAATTGCACACCAGACTAAGTACACAAGTTGAAGTCGGTTCTTTCAAACGGTAGGGTTTTGACTGAGGTGAGGCCGCATTTGATCCGGGGAGGCCGGAGGCGCCTTTGTTGGCAAATATTCACACACACACGAAAGTAGATTCTTGCTAGATTCCGAGTAGATTCTCTCCCTTTCACTGGCGGTTTGCTCCCCAGGTCGGTTTAATTTCGACACCCATATCCTCATCTCCTTTCTCATGGATTTTATCTAGTTAATTGACGGGAAAACGAATAACAGAGACAGGCGTCTTTGCGACGCGTCTATGGCTCATATCGACCAAACACCGACGCTGTTGCCGAACTTGACTAGCAAGGAGGAGAACGAGAAGGCGGTGGGGGGTGAGGGGCGTGTATGGGGAGACGGTGAGGTAAAGGCGTTGGGAGATTTACTGCCAACTCCTCTCGTGGCGGATGGCGGCACCATGGAGAATGTGTCGTCGACGCCTTTGCCTCGTCCGACCCCAGCTCGTCCCTCTCTTGTTCCTTTGGGTTCTCAAACAACACCAGCTGCTCCTCAGCCAAAGAAATTTAGTACAGTCAACATCACTAAGAGGTTTCTTGAGAAGAATTCATCTGCCTCTGGATCAGCATCCAACTCAACGTCTTTGACGATAAAGTCGGGGGCTCCACTTGGCAAGTCGTCTCTTTGAAACTTTTGGTCGAACACTATTAATTGGCCGATGCTTCAACGGCAGCCAGACCGCCAACACAACCAGCATCTTCACATTCGAAGCTTGTGACAACTAAACTTACGGCAGCCCCAGCCATCTCAACTTCTACGGCAGGATGGTCTCGTCCATCCTCTGTTGCCCCACCTCCCGCAACAAATTCACCGAGCAACGATCCTCTTCCCTCCATCACAAGTACAACTGCAGCAACATCGGTGCCGCAGTTGCCACACGCGGGAAAGGTCATCCAACCTCAACCACGAGCGGCCGTCGCACAACCTGGAACCTCACAAAGGGAGACTGCAGTTGGTACCAAGCCTGTATGGGGCAACGTCAAGCTCTCGACAGCTACTGCTCTGCGCCCAGATGTGAAACCGAATGACTTCCCAACGGCTGCTGAGGTTGCAAAAGGTCTGTTCTCATGGTAGTTGATTGAAAATTTAATAAACCTGACACTTTTTACAGTTGCGGCACGCAAGCCGCCAATAGTGGATCAAGCCAAACCGGCTGTTGACGCTGCAGCGAATCAGGCAAGGTTGGAAGAAGCTGATACCTTTCGTGGAGTACATTTGGATCCAAATGCTCACCATTGGGATGAGGTCGGTTTACATCGGCTCGCCATTTGAGCAAATTTAACGGAATATAAATTTCTTTTTAGATGGAGGAAGATAATGATGACTTTTTAGGAGGCGTAATCGAATTCGGAGACGGGAGACAATATAAGATCGAAGCCAACGAGGACCCCCCACTCCAACCATCCCTCGGCTCAAAGTCGCAACCAGGGGTTATTGCACCTGTAAGCAAGGAAGAACGTTTTGTTGACGATTTCGACCGGAGCTGGCCAAAATCGCGGTCATCACCTGCGTCCTCTTCTCGAGATTTCACGCCCGCCCCCCTTTCCCATGGGTCTGGGAGTCCCCAGGTTTCCCCTGTCGCACTGCAGAGCGCCCACTCACCGCAAGACTCGTCCCGTGTTCTTTTTAATGAACGCTCAAACAGACTAGAGCCCTACAGTCATTCACACCGTCCTGGCCAAGGTCAGTACCCATCTAAGCGGACAAGTGTCCAGGAATCGTCGACGCCACTTATCGACTTGCGGAATCGAGATTTTGGTGCCCCCACAAATGTACAGGTCCTACAAAAATCCGGGGGTGAATACGAATCGCGTGCACGACGATATAGTGGTAGTGGCAGTGGATCAGGGCCTTCGCACGCTTTCAGTAACGACAGACCCCGCGACCGTGACCAGCCATCTCGACGCGATGGTCCTTCCCCACTGACCAGAGATGGAATTTCGCCACATCCCGATTATATGGGCAGGGGCAGAGACTTCAACGCAGAAAGGGGCAGACGCACTTCCATGGCACCTCCTCCAGTTCCTCAACATGCTATACGCAGATCCTCTCAAGAGGGTGGACGTCAATTACCACCTCACTTGGCTCAATCTTCGCCTGAGGCCCCCCTCCACCAACTTTCTTCTCGCGATTCGCGACTTCCGCTGACAGAACCGCAACCTCCTACACCTGGGTCCAGTCAACCTCACCCATCTTATTCACCTGCCGTTTCAACTGCCTCTATTGGGCTTGTTTCTCCAGCGGCCACTGCCGCCATCACTCTACCACACCTAACTGCGCCGGAATTGGATGAAGCTCGGAAAGATGTAATGCAGAGCGCTGCAGCACGGGCCAAGCAAAGAAGACAACAAGAAGAGGCTGAACGCGAAGCCCAAAAGGAAAGAGCAAGGCGGAAAGCTGCGGAGCTCGAGGAGAAAATGAAGGCTGAAGCAGAGAAAGCGAAGCAGAAGGAGTCTCATGATGCTCCCACAACTGCGCAGGTGAGCATTGGGGAAGATGTCGTCATCGCGGTTATCGAGGAAGCTGTTAAGAGCGTGACGGCATCCAAGTCACCTACCAGTGAGTCAGCGGACGAATTGCGGCGACCACCATCTTCTAAACATTTACATGTCCAACCAGGTGAATCCTCTCGTCTCATACCATCCCGTGCCTCCGTAGCTACTCCAACTAGTCCACTTCTTTCTCCTGCGACACAGACGTCCTCCTGGCGTGTCAAAGTCAATCCACAGCCTCTTCCTTCACCGTCATCTACGTTACGACAAATACAGCCTCGACCACCTGCCCCATCCTTTCATCCTCCCCCGCGGTCAGCGCTGGAAGAATCAATCGCAGATGGAGCCAACGAGGACCTCGAGGTTGTCGACTTTTCTGATATGGGCAAGTTCGTTGGGATACCTGAAGCTAAAAAAGAATCCTCTGAAACTGAGTTCAATCTTAGTGCCGCCGCCGTTCAGCGTACGTCGCGAGCTGTTGCAAGTGATTTCTTTGAGGATAAGCTCACCTCCACCATTGCGCCTGCACCTACGAAAACCGACTTTGGCACTTGGAGGCAGAAGGTGTCACAGGACGTTCTCGAGGTTACACCAGAGAATAAGGCATCTCTCAAATCAGAAGTGGAGAATGACTCCCCTCAAAAGAAAGTCCTCTCACCACGAGACCTTTCAACGCCTCCGAAGGAACCTCTCCCCGATATAGCTGTCTCTGTAGAGGCAATTGCCGACGCTGTTGTGAAAGATTCCCTCCCACCACATTTGGTCTCGCAACGAACACCAAGGAACCAGGGTTTCTATAAAGAGGCTACCATGTCAGCTTTGGATGATGCCATGTCGCGGATAAAGGGTGCAATAGTTGATATACACTCCTCTGATGTTTCAAAGGATACCACCGCCCTCGAGTCGGAACATTTACAGGGTCGATCCTTGCAACTCACGCCCCAGAAGTCCGCTGCCCCAAAAGAGCGCTGGATCCCACCTGCCCTTCGTCTGCGAAATAAGTTTGATTTTACGGATGAGCCCCGTGAAGTTTTCGACGTGACCGGAAGCGAACCTCCTCGATCGCCTGTACCTGCGTGCAATGCATACACTGTCCAAATATCTTCTATATCCCGAGCCGTGGAATTCATTCATAAGAGGCAACTGCACGCATTCTTCAGGCCAATATTCCAGACACAGTGGGATATTCTCTCCTTCGACCCACCTGTCGAGGGAATGAATCGACGCGACCTGTCCCTGAACGATGTTTTGTTCCGTAAACCACCGGGCGGCCACAAAGGCAAACCCAGGTATCGAGTGATGCTTCCGAGACATGGGACCTCTACAAACCGACCAAGGGTTCAGATGCCATCAGCCAGTCTGTTGAAATCAAATGGTGTGGGTGCCTTTGGACGCCCCACTGTAGCCGATGGTGCTTCTTCTTGGAGAAATCCAGCTCCGTCACCGAAAGTCGACTCTATCAACGAGGAGTCCCCGTCGGTTGCTCTCGACACAATGAGTCGCTCCCCGCCACCTGAGCTGCCGCAGTCTAACATTGCTTCAATGCCAAAGTCAAACGAATCATCCCCGTCAAAGTCTGAGCCCTCAGCCTCATTGCGGTCGAGATCACAACCAAAAATGCCGGCAGGTTCTGCCGTTGCTTTCTATCGCGATTCTCGCATTGATGCCGTTGAACCAGAACCCAAACCCCTCGTTAACTTTACAGTGACAAGTGAGCTAGAGGAATCCGAAAGCTCAGACGTGGCCGATGCACAGACGACCTCTCCCGTGCCGTTTGCATTGATTACTCGTGACTCAAAAAGCAACCCGTGCAATTCTACGATTAATGGAGTTAAAAGGTCTTCTCCACTGGGCCGTTCCAAGGACGATTCTCTAATAATGTCAAAGACAAACAGCAGAAGCTCTGACGACTCCGTGAGTTTTTCTTCCTTCTCCCGTTGGACCTAATTAACATAATATGTATATTCTCTTACAGACGGAAGGGATTCTTATCACGCCACCCAATCATCATGCGGCTTCTGCTTGGTCAAGATCTTCTTTGAGCGTCTCTGTAAAGGATTCCCCCGCTCGAGGTCCCGATCCTGAACACCTTAAAGCTGTGTGGTCCCAAACTTCGAACAAAGCCAGCATGCACGCCGTTAACTCATTGGAAGGCATCGCAGATGACCTGACAGCTTTACCCTTCACTTTGCAAGATGTTAAGTCTGAGGATGGTGAGACGCCTCCCCCCTCAATTCCTCAACCCCCATCTCGTATGTCCCTTCACGACGTCACAAGGGCCTTCCAACAAGTCCCGGCGTCGTCCTCTTCGAATGCCGCTCCACGAACTCCCATTTCGCCTCCTTCAACTAACGCTCCTGTGGCTCGTCCCTCATTTTCGTATTCACCGCTACCTCCCAACGGCATGCGTCCCGCTTATTCCTATGCTTCTCCTATGATGAGTCATTCTCCCGCACCAGCCGTTATGTATCCCCATGCAATGGCATCTAGCCCAGTTTCTAGCAGGATGCCTATAAACGGACACACCCCTCTCTATAGTCAGCCCATTTGGATGCCGATGGCGGTACCCGCACATCAAAATCAGGGAGGCATGATGAGACCTGTCGCATCACCCTACCCAGCACAGCTGATGCCATATCCTTCGCCCAGTACCCCAACTCTCTACGCACCCCATCCGCCCCCGCCCAACATGATTAACCAACCCCAACAGCAAAACGGTGCTCAGGTCAATCGCGGCCGCAATATGGCTCTGATGAGTCCCGTTATGCCACATGCTGGACCGAGCATGTATGCAGGTAGCCCCGTGTTGATGCACGCGTCGGGCATTTCAGGACCTCAAAATCATGGCTATGTGCCAGTGCCAACCGCTCGGGGTCAACCACGAACGGACAACGGGCAGATGGCTCCACATCAGCACCCACCAAACCAGCACCAATCATCCATTGCCTATAACCCCGCTCCTCCGTCATTTGCCAGGCCAACTTGGTGATTGAATTTTTGTCATTTTGATTTTGCTTTTCACTTGTCTGTTTTCCTGTTGTTGTTTTCTTACGGTATTGTTTCTCATATCGTATATATTGCACACAATTTCATTTTCCGTGGTAATAAGTCATCGGCATTAGGCCAGAGAGATTTAAGATGAAAAGGTATATCTCAAGTTCTAAACTGCAAGTTGAACCGCTTTTTCAGCTGCATCATCCAAACTGTCAAACGCGACAATCTTCAAACCAGATTCTCTGATCATTCTAGAAAAAGGAATTAAGGTTATCCATCAAGGATAATTCGAGAAACGTACTGCTTGGCTTCCGCCTCTTTTGTTCCCTTCAGTCTAACAATCAAGGGGATCGTGAGTCCAAGCTCTTTGGTGGCTTTGATGACACCCTCAGCTATGTAGTCGCAACGCATGATGCCTTTAAAAGAGATTGGTGAGATTTGAAAGTAGAGTGATATAGTTGCGTACCGCCAAAGATATTTATAAATATGCTCTTGACTTTGGGATCCTGAAGAAGAATTTCAAATGCCTTCTTCACGGTTTCGGGGGTAGCCCCTCTGTAATAATCTCAGGTTAGCTGGTTTCACTGAATATGATCCAAGAACAAGCACCCTCCCACATCAAGGAAGTTCGCCGGATTGCCACCATGAAGTGACAGAACATCCATAGTCGCCATGGCTAGTCCAGCACCATTTACCAAGCAACCGATGCTGCCATCGAGTTTGATGAAACTGAGGTTGGCCTTTTGGGCTTCAACTTCTGATGGCTCTTCCTGAGATATGTCACGCAGGGCGAAAATGTCTTTCTGGCGGAATTCTGCGTTGTCATCAAAGCCAAATTTGGCGTCCATGCTAAAGAAGACATGAGATAAAGGATAGAGTAAATGAGATTGCCAAGTTCACCAGAGTACTTCTCCGTCTGTCGTCAGCGCCATAGGGTTGATTTCGATCTGGGTTGCGTCTTTTTCTTTGAATATCCTGTACAAGTTAATGAAAATATCGGCGGCTTCTGATTGTGTCTTATCAGTCTGAAAACCAAGTTTTTTTGCGACGCTTATGGCCTCATCCTTAGAAAGACCTTTCTCGAAATCGATAGGGGTGGTGATGATAGCGCTTGGGTTCTTGGCTGCAACCTCTTCGATGTTCATACCACCCTGAGCGGACGCGACGAGAACGACTCCCTGCGTGGCGCGGTCGTTCAGCACGGCAACGTAGTACTCATGAGCGGGTTGACGACGCTCTGCCAGCATAATCTGGATGTCTAACGCTAAGCGATGATTGGGTAACTGGCGAGAGTCAACCTACGGCGTTGCAGATCCGCCCATGTTCACCCGTTTGTTTGGTGATGAGCTTGGAGCCTATCATCTTGCTTGCAATTTCTTTGGCTTGTTCAGGGCTAAACGGAAAGATTGAAGACCAGTTTATGTAATGGTGAGCACGGACGAACCTATCTACCATGTGGACACCTCCTTGGAAGCCGTTGTCGAACTTGCCCTTTCCGCGACCACCAGCTAGAACTTGAGCCTTGATAACCAGCTTGTCCTTGCCTGATACGAAACATTAAGGCGTGCCATATGATAGACTAGGTTTATGGTTACCAAAGTTAGATGCGGCGGCATACGCTTCCTGGGGAGAGGTTGCAGCGACGCTCTTTGGCGTAGGAATACCGTACTGGTAAGATTGTATCAAGGCGTGTAAATAGAGAATAGATTTGAATGTAGCTTGCTTACCAAGTTCAAGAGCTTCATGGATTGGTACTCATGTATAGACAGGTATCGCCGCTGAACTGTAGACGCTGACTGGGCGTGGGGTCAATTAAGTTAACGTCGAATACGAGAGTACTTACGCGTGCCATGGTACCCGCCTTCCTCAACGTCGAGAGCATTTTGAAGGATGTGTGAGGCCAAGCACTGAACGTACTGAAATTGCGGTGAACGATGACAGCGGAAAACCGCCGGAAGTCGGCGAATTGGCCGGATCAACGGAGGGAGATCATAAATTCATAACGCGGGTTTGACTTGTTTTTTTTTAAACGTCATCATATATTCTCATCATGCTTTTCCGTGCAATTTACACCAGTGCGATATGCTCTGCCCAGGCCAAAACAAAGCCTTTCATTAAAAAGTTTCCTGTAACTTTACGTCTTCAGTATCTTTCTTGGGACGCACACTGTTTGGCTGAATTCTGCTCTGCTGAAGACATAACCCGGCCGCCTTTCTGTCGACACCTAGACAATTTCTGGTTGATCCAATTACTGGGCAGGCGATTCACCCTCATCAGGTCGACAAAATTGACCCTGACGTTATCTATGATGTTGCAAACCCCTTATCACTGACTACGAAGATTGTGTCGCATACGCGCATAACAAAAGATATGGAAGCATACAGCTGAATGGGCTAGACCTGACTGTACATTTCAAGGCAAAAGGTGGGGTTAGACAAGCGTGATATGTGAACTGACTGATTAACTGCAGACCTGGACTCCAAATGGATTCCACCAGTCACTTGTTCTCTCAGTTGTTGCCCATCTTCCAGTTCCTCACGCATTTTTGTACTGTAATGTTGTCGATGCCCAATGAATGGTAGCTCAGCCCCTGGCTCCATTTCATATACAATGTAGGTCTTGAATGTTGCATGGTGTTCGATCCGAATTGCTGACGACAATGAAACCGAGAATCAGCTTTGAACAGTGTAGCACTCTCCTGTCGACTCTCACACTACCTCGACGCCCCCCCCGGCCGTTTATACCTGTAACGGTCCCCCACCCTCGTTTCGTTTTACCCAAACTCAGGCACATGGAGTGCTTGACATGCTTTTCTCTTCGGGCAGACTTTTCCTTCCCTCAGAAGTGATGGATGAAATACAGTGAGTTCCCCACCATTTTCAACGATTCTACCCTTCATCTCAGTGTCATTTTTCGACGCTCTAAGGCCCTGAAGCGATTGCACAAATCCGTGGTTTCTTCGCCAAGATATCATCCCGTCTTGAACCTTTGAAAGTGTTGGGAGAGCAAGTGAAATACCATGGTGAATTGTCCATTGTTTATTAGACACAACTCAGTGGCGTTCCAATTGCCTGAAGAGACAACAACAATCCGTGAACCTTCCTGTCTCTCACCCGACCTGCTCAGGGCACGTCTTTGGGCAACGCTCTTTGGCGTAGGGATACCGTTACCGTACTGTATCGAGGCATGTAATTTGAGAATAAATTTGAATGAAGTTTTCTTATCGAGCTCAAGAGCTTCATGGATTGGTACTCATGTAGTATCCGCCTTCCTCTACGTCGAGAGCACTTTGAAGGAGCGAGGACAAGCGACCAGTAGTCGGCGAATTGACCGGATCAACGGACCGGGAGAGAGATCTTAAGGTGCTATACGAGCAAATTTTTCTTTCACCAAAGCGACGACGACGGTTGACTTTTTTTGTTGAATCTTCCTGTCTCTCACCCGACCTAATCAGGGTACATCTTTGGCAGATTGATGTTGTCCTCGCCTTGAGTTCGGGCTACTTATTTCTACGTGGGTTGTCCGAAATTAGGCAGAGGAATATCACTCATGTACAATATTTCTCAACACTTTGATACCCTGTTTAAGGGGAAAATGTCAGGAGACCAATTGGCCAATCGCGAGGATAGCTTGAGGCCGTGCTGGTCAAATCCTCGCCTAAATCCCATTGTCCTCCTTTATATTCAGCGTTGACGTAGATACGAATGACCTCTCGATTGTATCCCACACCTTCCTCTTCTCCAGCTAAAATGTCTACACACAACACGACCAATGGCATGAACATCGATGTTCTGATGCAACAGCTGTCCGTAGCTCAAACAGTTCTCAGCCAGGCGGTTGATCTCCTCGACAATTACCTCACGTCGGACGAGCAGCTCACGGTGCACTCTAAGTTTCTTCCAGGATCAACTATTGGTGCGCGAATACCTTCTCGTATATGAGGAACATGAATCTCATGCCATATACCAGGAAAGCACCTCCGCCATGCGCGTGACCACTTCGTCCTTCTCGCAGAGTCTATGAATACTCCTCCGCCATACATTCTATGCTATGACACGAGAATCCGAAACACACCCATGGAAACCAGCCGGAGCTGTGCTCGTCAAGCTCTTGTGGATACCGTGAAGCAACTTGGAGAGGTGGTCCCGGACTCGAAGCTGAATGCCCCAATAACCCTGCAAGCTATCACTCCACATATGCACGAGTTCCAGACAACCTTCGGGAGAGAGGTGGGGTCATCCACTCTGTATCTCTTTGACGCGGTCTCATGGCATCATAGTTGTGGTTTGCAAGTCTGCATTGTGTACATCATTGGTCCATGGTCAGATCCTTACTTAAACCCCTGAGTTGCTCATTTTATGCTCAAACAGGTTCGAGTGATCGCAGGAGAAATGGTATGCCCATCTCCCTCTGCTACCCATCTAATTACTTTACATATATCTAATTCTTTTCAGGGCATCAAATTGACGGACGATTTTGGTTTCGCCCCATCCACACTCGTATACCAAGGTGAACTATGTGCTCATTAGAGGGAAGATTTCGGACGCTGATTTTTTCTCGATCAGATCGAGAAGCACCACTTGGAAAGGCGAAGATCTAGTTGGAGTTGATGGTCTGTAGCTTATGTACTTAGAATACCCTTAATCCGATCGCAGCAGCGTCGACTTAAATGTGTTGGTTGGACGGCGCCGCCAAACACCGCCTCCCACCCATCATTGGACCAGCACGCTTGTTCTTAAAATTAATGCGATAATTTCAATAGCAATACAAGATGTCGGAGAAAATGATCCCCATTGATGGAGAGAATCAGAAAAAGCGCGTCGTAAGTTTTCTCCATATCCATCCATATTGCGATTTTGATTGAAGGTTGCCTTCAGTGCTACTTTTTCGATTCTGATATCGGTGGATTCCATTATGGACCTGGGCATCCGTATGTTTCTATTCGCCTTCTAAATGGTAGTAGACACGAGCAATCAATTCATTTTTCCAAGGATGAAGCCTACTCGCATACGCATGTGTCATTCCTTGGTAATGAACTATGGTCTCTACAAGAAAATGGAAATATTCGTGCGTCGTTGTAAGGTCTCATGGGGCAGCTTATCGTCTTATAGTAATGCTGTTCTGTCATTTGCGGCATCCGTAGCGCGCCAAACCTGCCACGAAACGTGAAATGACCCAGTTTCATTCGGACGAGTATGTTGACTTTCTAAGTCGAATCAATCCCAGCAACATGAACTCTTTTATAAAGGAGCAACACAAATGTTTGGCTGATTCCTTCTTTCTCTGCGAAACCTAACGCTATTCGCATTGATAGACAACGTTGGCGACGACTGCCCCGTTTTTGATGGTTTGTTCGACTACTGCTCAATTTCAGCTGGAGGATCTATGGGTATCCACTTATTCGTTATCAGGGCGTGGCCTTTTCACTGAATAAATTGTACAGAGGGAGCAGCCAGACTAAGTCGCGATAAGTGTGACATTGCAGTCAATTGGGCTGGTGGTCTGCATCATGCAAAGAAGAGTGAAGCGAGCGGATTCTGTTATGTTAACGGTCAGTGCTTCAGGTATTTCTTCAACTGGGGTTTAATTCGTTGTCAATTTTAGATATTGTTCTCGGCATTCTTGAGCTCCTACGGTCAGTTTCGCCACATGCCGGACTGGCATTCGTAGCTCATCTTTCTGCAGATATCATAGCCGAGTGTTGTATATTGATATTGACGTGCATCACGGTGATGGCGTCGAGGAGGCTTTTTATACAACAGATAGAGTCATGACTGTCAGTTTCCACAAGTATGGGGAGTACTTTCCAGGAACAGGGGAGCTGCGCGTGAGGTTCTCCTTTTCTTGAAGTGCGTGACAACGCTGACGCAGCGGGGCAGGATGTCGGCGTCATGAAAGGTAAATATTACGCATTGAATTTCCCTCTACGAGACGGCATTACGGATGAAAACTACAAATCTGTCTTTGAGCCGGTCCGTCGTGGCGTTTTTTTTTCTTCCAACATTACGACTTTTGCTCCTTCAGGTGATACGACAAGTCATGGAAACATACGATCCTTCTGCAATTGTTTTGCAATGCGGAACCGATTCACTCTCTGGTGACAAGCTGGGATGCCTAAATCTTTCGATGCGAGGTACCCTGATTTGTAGCACTGATATGCAGGGCAGGCTGACTTCAATTAGGCCACGCCAATTGCGTCAAGTTTGTGAAATCCTTCAACAAACCTTTGCTTCTTCTTGGCGGAGGCGGTTACACCATGCGAAATGTCAGCCGTGCATGGGCGTACGAGACTGGATTGGCTGCCGGGGTGGAGCTTGGCCCAGGTTTGGAGTCTTCCTCAATTGTTTTTCACCCTCTCTAAGTTTGAAGCACAGATATCCCCGTGAATGAGTACTACGAGTACTTCGGTCCCGACTATGAGCTCGATGTGAAATCATCCAACACAGACGATATGAATACGCCTGCATATTTGGATCGCGTGAAACGAATAGTGCTGGAAAATTTGAGGCATGTTGGTGGTCCTCCTAGCGTCCAGATGTCAGGTACGAATCGTTTACCCTCACGATCCGATCCATTCTGAAGGTATTCCGACAGATATTCCATCCATGCCTATTGATGAGGCTCTAGATGATCCAAACCAAGACGAAGACCTGATGAACCCTAACGATCGTCGACCTATGCGTCTTCTCGACTCACGCCGACAGGCTGATGGGGAACTTTCTGACTCTGACGATGAAGGCGAAGGAGGGCGGAGAAACCACGGTAGCCATCGAGATCCGGACAGTAATGGCGAAGAAAGTGGTGGTAATCACAAATTCGGAATGGGAGTTGGTATCCTTGCCTCTGGCTCGACAACGACACACGGGGCTGGGCCTAGCGGCCACCATACTGCTGTGCGGCTAATCTCAGCTTCTAACGTCGGCGCCGCGTCTTCTATGGATGTCGATACCCCTTCGACCGAGAGTGTGACAGAACCGCCTGCCACTGCTTCTGTGGCGGATTCCACCACCGCTCAAGTCGAACTCCCCAAATCTATGGTAGAAACAGATGAGATGGCTGTAGATGTGCCTTCGTCTTCCGCTTCCTAATGACTTTTTGGGTTTTAAAGTACCATGTAGTAACTATATCAAATAGCGCACGTGATGCCGCGAAGATCTCGTCTGCCCAAATTCAAAATGTGGACCTTCGAGTCATGCTCGGAGCTCAGCGCAGCGCTCGAAGCTCATCTTCCATGGCGGACACTTTTGGGCGACCTGTGACGCCGCCTCCGCGGACTATACAGTCGAATCTACAGTCAACACCAGAGAATGTTAGGCAGATTGAGATCAACCGGTTGAAAGGTGAGAAGTTCCTCTGCGTAGAACGATTCGCTCATTTCGTGTTCTTAGCCAAGGCCGCACAACGTCAAAGGGAATCCGAAGCAGCCGCTTCGTCCGTACCCAATGCAAACCGCAAACGGCCCCTGGGTATCACTACTTCACCCACAGCTCCTACACCCTCATCATCAAGGCCCCTTAAACCGGACTCTCGCTTCGGAAAGTACTTCGAATATGACCTCTCCAAGATGGTTAACTCGAAGGGTGGTTTTTTGGTTGAGGACGGTGAGGAGGTTGACCAGGATACAAGAAGAAAGGAGATGGAGAGGGAGAAACAAAGAGCCGTCCAAAACCTGGAACCTCGTACGCTGCCCTGCGTTTTCTCCCTTTTCCAATTCCTGACTTTTAGACAGCCATATTTCTTGACCCTTCCTTAAACCCCAAATGTCAGGAATGTCACACTATTGACATAGATCAGGCTCTAAAAAAGGTCTTTGGTTGCTTGGTTTGCAAGAAATGTCAGAATGAAAGGCCGGAGAGATACAGTCTATTAACGAAGACGGAGTGTAAACAGGTACCTCTTGAACCTTCTTCTTCTACTCCATTTCTTACAATGGTGCGTGCTAGGACTACCTTCTCACAGATCGTAAGTCAATTTGTTTAGGGAGGTCTTTCGATGTTTGTACTTACCTGTCGTAGCCGAGCTCCGTGATCATGAGCTATTACCCCATCTCCTGAAAGCTAATCCTCACAAATCCACCTACGCAAACATGATGCTCTTTCTCCGATATCAAGTGGAGGAGTTTGCGTGGAAGAAATGGGGCTCTCCAGAGGCTCTGGATGCTGAATACGAGCGAAGGACAGCCGAGAAGAAAAAGCAGAAAAATAAGAAATTCGAGCAAAGCCTGAAGGAGCTGCGGAAGCGGACAAAGGAAAGTGTTTGGCAACGACGGAAGGATGAAGAACATCGACATGTTTTTGGCCAGCTGGAGCGAGGTCCAGACGGAACAGGCCAGCAGGTCTGCCACGAGTGCGGGTTTACGATAGACGTCGAAGAGCTATAATGACGACAATCTCTGTTCCGTTGTGATATCTAACGAAGCACCTACGATTCCATCAATTCAAACGACGATACCCCAGCCTCCACCAACTGCTCTACACCTAGGCTTCGGTGAATCTTGGCCACTTTATCAGATGGATGTTCTCGCGCGTCTGGTTGCTGTTCATGCGAACAGCCTTCTTGAATATCACTTAGAAAATGTGCCTCATGCGTAATAAACTTTTCTGTCAGTGTTACCCCCTCAACAGTCACCGGGTGTGGTACTGCCGTTTTCCGGTTTCCAGTGATGTCGTGAATCACGTCGCTTGACAATGCCCCTTGCTTCTAAGTGAAGTTTAAATTCTTACACCTAATAATACATAGCACCAACACCTGGAAAGACACAAACTACCCTCACTCTTTTACCCCGTTAAATCGACAATGGAGGATACCAACCAAGTCGAGCACGAGCAAATTTCGACCGCTCTCGAGGTGGAGCAGATTGAAGTGAACCTCTTTCGGTCAAAGTCGCTATGGCTGCCACTCCGGGCTCGAGGGGTGTTTGGAGGGTAAGCGACAGCGATAGTGGAGAGGGGCGCATTCTGACGATAGTATCTAGTCAAGTCATCAGTCAGGCCTTGGTTTCGGCTACAAATTGCGTTGATCCAGCATTCGCACTTCATGTGAGTTCCCGAAAACCATGCAAAGAGACAGAACTCGCTTACTTACTTATCCAAATTAGTCTTTACATGTACGTGGACTCCAGTCCTTGTTTTGAAGCGCAAGATTGAGATCTTCTCAAGTGCTATTTCCTCACAAGCGCGTCCCCGTCCACCCCAATCGTATACTATGTCGAGCGCCTCCGCCAAGGACGGTCATACTGTACCCGCTCCGTGAAAGCTGTCCAGAATGGCGAAATCATTTTCATCATGCTATGTTCGTTCCAAAAACCAGAACCGTGGCAACCCTCACATCAGTGGCCCATGCCCAAGGTCCCTGCGCCGGAAGAGTGTGAACTGGACGAAACGAAGTACGCTCGGGCGATACGGGAAAAACAGCTACACCCCAAATTAGCGGCGCTGTACCAAGATCTTGTTGCTGTAAGGTCTACCCCGGGTAGACAGCGCGGTAGCAGCTGATTGGCTATGGAATTTAGGAGCGGTCTCGTAGTCCTATCGCTATCAAGCCTGCGGCGGAGCATATCGTCACGTCAGACGGTGTTATTACCTACATGTATTGGATGAAGGCACGGTCGATACCAGAATACGAGCCCTCTTTCCAAAAAGTGAGTCACTTTTATTTGCTTCAACGGCCTTCTAAAATTTCCCAGTGCATTCTGGCATATTTCTCCGACCACTACTTGTATATCTTTCTACCTTGATTTTGAATGACCTTGTCTGATTTTGTCGTGGATCAGTATTTCAACTGCAGCTCGAATTATGGGGCTGCGAAGGGGCGGGAAGGGGAAAGATGCGTTGACTATGACAGTACGTGTTTTCAACGTCAAACGGACGCCTGTTTGTGACGAGTATTTGTTCAGTCTACGTTGGATCACACAATTTGGTTTTACAAGCAAGTCTACGTTAAGTATAAGAGCTTTTCAGTGCCTGATCGTACATATCATTTGCAGCAATGACTTTAACACTGGCGATTGGATGCTACATGTGGTAGGTCGCGGCGTGCAGTAAAACATACGACGAGGTTGAAAGTCGTTTCAGATGCAGTCACCCCGCTCGGGATCTGGTAGTGGGGTCGTTCATGGAAGGGTTTGTGTTTTCCATGTTCTGTGCGTCCATTGATTCATCGGATCGTGACAGTTATATACTCGGGATGGCACATTAGTTGCCGTCACCTCGCAAGAGGGTGTGGTGCGCGCAGATGTTAGAGGACCTGATGAAGGAAACAAACTTAATGCAAAGCTCTAGCTTATGTGCGAGCACTAATCGTAATACTAACAAATGAGGAAAATGCAAAGCTCTAGTTTATGTGCAAGTACTAATAGTAATACTAGGAAAAAATGTAGATTAGTTGCCGTCTGTGGTGCGTGTGGATGTTAGAGGACTTATTTAATGAAGGAAATGTAAAGCTCTAGTTGATGCGCAAGTACGAAAAAAAAGTAGTAGCCCACCGCGAGGGTCGAACTCGCAGCCTTCAGATTGTAAGAACCCGCCTAAGAGTCTGACGCTCTATCCGATTGAGCTAGGCGGGCGGTGTAAGTTTGATGGAGTATGCATCGAAAGTTGAATTACGCTTGACAAAGATCATGGAAGTGCGGTCAGCTATGTGATCAAAGTGTGATGAAACAATTGACGATCACAGTGAAAGCATGCATAAAAAGCAAGTGTGATATCAGTGAGCGAATGTCTTACGTCATTCGCGGCATCGAATGACCGGAGTTGCCTGGGTGACCCGCTGACAAGGTGAGCTGACGTAAATGCGCAGCAGTATATGTTGGTGACCACAGCCTTTTGTCGATTTGTCGTCTTTCTCTTTCTGACTCCCACTACTAGCGTTAATTTCACCGCAGCACGCTTCAGCATCACTAAAACAATGTCTGAAGCACTTTCCTCGCCGTATCCGCCTGGTTTCGACTCGTACAGTCTTGATTTTCTCAAGCAACAGCAAAGCCTCGACTTCTTCTCGTTCCATTCGCCTTCAGACATCCTCGCACCACATCCCGATCTCTTTGAGTCTGATATTGACTCCAATTTAGAGGCGTTCGATGATCAGCTTCAGCTCCTGACCGTTGATTCCAATTCCGCCTACTCTTTCCTCAGATCAGATCCCCACGGGCCTTGTGGACCTCTCTCCACCATAACAGTCTCATCTGACTCGGCTTATGATTCCCACTCTGAGACCTTTTACAGCGACCACGCCTCTTCCTACCAATCCTTTGAACCTCATCAACAGAATCCCAACCCATTCATTGACTTTGACTTCGAGATGGACTTTCAGCAAAGAGTTCGTGTTGGATCAGAGTATGCCGCCGCGCAGCCCAGCATCTTAGACGACTCTGCTGATCCAACCTCCTTTGGCGCTTTACCGCCCACTCCGCCTCGCAGCCCAGCCCTGCCCCTCGCTTCAGTCAAGTCGTATGAGAAACCTTACCCCAACCGTACCAGCTATTCCGACTATGGCCCACCAAGGCGCAACTCAATCGCCGCAGACTATTATTCTCAAATTGGCTTCAACCCCTCGGCTCTTCATCCCTCCATCTCTCCATTGCATCCGTCCACTCAACTTCCCCCGGTAGCTTCAGTGGCCCATGCTCGTTCTTCTGACGAGTGCAAAGGTGACCCAAGAAAGAAGTACAAGTGTGCTGCATGCCCGCGTGGTATGGTTTTTTCTCCGCCTTCTTCTGCTCTTACTTACTCTTTTTCATCAGCATTTGCGAGGGCTTATAATTTAAAGACCCACATGGCGACGCATGATCCTAATAGGCTCAAGCCCCACATCTGCCCCCATCGTTCTTGTGGTCGTTCGTTTAGCAGGAAGCATGATCTTGGCCGTCATCTCATCAGTATCCATCGTGATGAATCCGTAACTTCCTCGCAATCAGTTTCCTCAAAGAAGTCGATCGGTGTGGAGAATGGTCCCCGTGGCTGGTGCGAGACTTGTGGCAAGGGTTGGGTTGGACGTAACCCTGAGTGCAACTGCCTCGACGTGAAGTAGATGCACAATCACATTCCTAACCAAATATGCTTTCCTTTGCGTAAGTTTTACCCCCCACAAATTCTTTAATCATATCATTAATCAATGATCGTAGGCACTCGTCTGCCATCCCCCACTCGTTCGGCTCCGCAGTCGGTTCTCGTATCCATGCCCCCTCCGGATTCCCTCACCTGGAATCGCTGTCGCGCCACGCGTCATTCGTTGTATCACGTTTCGTACCGCCATTTTTTGCAAATCTTGGCCCAGTGACGACGTGATCTCGATATGAATTTCTCTGCTATTATATCTGTGTTGCTTTATATCCATTTTTTATATGTGGATGGACTCGCCGTTTGGATAGCCTTGTTGTCCCTTGCCCTCCTTGATCATCTATCTGCTTTTCTATATAACTAGTTCTTGTATTATTTCTGTGCCCTACAAACAAACAACTCCCACTGAATAAATTCAACTTCGCGTATACATTTGGTACGACAATAACATGCAAATCCACAAGTTGGTCCAGTACAGGCTCTGTCTGCAAGCTCCTGCTCCACATTCGATTCGCCTCAACTGAACCTTGTTGGTTGATAGGATCTCATGCGGATTAGCTCCGGGAGTGGTTTTGTAGATAGATCAAAGGGAATGCCACGAACGGCAAGATCACAAAAAGCAGGATCTGAGAAGCAACAAGGAGGGCGTAGGTGCCCTGGCGACCTACAGTAACGGCCACCACAACGAAGGAACGAGGCTCGTCAACCTCGTGATCAGTCAAAAATGGCTATCCAATGGAGTGGATGTAATGAAACATGTTTCACGGACCGAAGTCTTCCAATGTGATTGTGATATTTGAAGTCTGCCCAAAGAGCCCACAATCGTGTGAATCCAGGCGAATCCCCAACTCTGGACCAAAGGAGGGTTTTGTCGGATCGCTAAATCGTGAGGCTCGCTTAACGTCTGCGATGGCGTTCCCACGAACTTCTGCGAGGAACGAACCGGTTCGGCGACGAGCAGGCGATTGGTAGTAACATGGTGACCGCAAATCTTGTTAGTAGATTATTTTTCAGACTGCTGGCTTTGAAACAGAGTCGGGGGCTGGATTCATAAGCGAATGTGGTGGAGACGGGCAGGTGAAGACTGCTTCCAATCCGTGATATGAGTGCATGCGCTTCGAACGATCCAGTAAGAGCAGTGTTTTTTTTGTGTCTTTATTGTCAGACCCACCAAAAAAAAATACCGTAGCGGCCAGGATCAAAAATTCTGTGAGGAACAAGGTCGCTTAGCAAAATTATGGAAGTGGGGACAAAAATGGCATACGTGGAGTTGAATAGAACGGCAGCTGGCGATGACGTCGACTTTACCGTGACCTAGATGTTGAAGAACGAATGTGAGGTTATTTTTTTTGTGCTGGGTTCTATAATCGCTTCTCCGAGGCACGTATGAAACGGGAAACGTCAACAAGGGAGGTGAAGAACCACTTGGCTGGCGCTGAACGGGGGCCTGTGAAATTTGAAAGGGAAGGTTTTGAAGAAGGATTAGAGACGCGGTTCCTAAGAAAAGTGCAAGAGGCAGATGGTAGTGCCCAAAATCCATACGGCTATACGGTTATTAATGATGCTCAAAATAAAAAATACCCAGATTTTTTTACCTGCATCTTGGTCCGATTTAAGTAGGTGCTTGCAATTGTTCGGATGATGGTATCCCGTGAATGCTTGCAACCAGCTTTTTAACGGGAGGCGGACAAACACTGCGAGTGCCTAGATAACGGATAGTATAAATGCTATAAATTTGGGAAAGAAGTGCAGGACGAAATCATACCACGATTATGATCGTATCTTCGAACAGCCAAACAGGGCTGCGTTTTAAAGATTCACTGACAACTAAAAATTTCAGTACATCCGCCGCAGTTGATACGACGCAGAGGTAAGAAGTTCAGCCAAGACCTTCGATACGTTTGCAACCTCGGATGAAACACAGAGAGGGTACAGGAAGAGCCGGCTAGACGAGGGTTTCGCGGACGACTGTGGAGTCACGACCTGCGCTGGTAGGCAAGGTTTGCATAAAAGAGACAAGAGATAAGGATGTTGAATTTTGGGCTGGAAGACTCTTACCGAGCCCAGCAACACAGATTGTCGTTGACTCGAGCACTTTATTTGAAGGGGTGGCGGCCACCATGGGGAACGATAACAACAAATTTGTGAAGTGCTTCCAGCTTGTATGCACCCCGGTGGTGGACGACAGTCCGCAAAGAAGAATTGGGGCGCTGGAGTGCGCTGCAGAAAAAGGACAATGGGGATCCATTCGAAAGCACCGTGGATTGTGAGGCCGTGAAGCAAGTCGGAGGATCAAACTGGATGGAGGGCGAAAAGAGTCATTTATAACGGACAAGTGAGAAACCCAGCGTAAGTATGTACATTGGAACCTGCTGAGGTTGCAGGCAACTGCAGATTGTGCAAAGCCAGTGCCGTTGGAAGTTGATCGGGCCTCCATGAACGTTCTTGTGAAGTGACATTGGTGCAAGTACCGTATAACAGCTTGATAAGTTGATATGAAACGCTACAGTAGTCTCTGTGCCCGCTTCCCTTGAGACTGTGAGAAGACGATCAATGTATTGTGTTTTCTGGCCTTGATTATGGATGTCAACGACCTTCATCCACCTGACGACTATAGTCACAGATTCTTCATCTGGCACGAATGGATACAGGTTTGCATCCCATTTTGCGTCTACTTTCTTCTCCTCTAATCCCTCAGCAGGCCAATGGACCATTGACATCGGAGAATGTCTTCGACTACTTTGCCACATCCATGTTCTACGATAAACAAAGCAATAATCAAGTCCTGCGCATGCAGACTATACATACTGGAATGCCGATTGTTAACGAGGCAGAAGAATTGAGGTAAGCACATATTCACTATCTTGGGTCTCAACATTCATTACAGTTGGCCGTCAGGCGGTTCGTTGGGATAGAATTTGCAGTCGTTCATGCGGAGCCTCCGTCGTTCTTCGTGATACAAAAGCGTGAAAGATTGTCTCCTGACGAAGGTGAGCTGCCAGTTTCAATGGCTTACCTCGTTATTCTTACTCTCCATCCACAGTGAGGCCCTTAGCAGCGTACTTTGTCACCAACAATCGAATTTACCAATCCCCTGATCTGTACACGGTTCTCTCGAACCGCCTTGTGAGCTTCATTCATTGCCCATCTTAATTAACCAGTTTAAGTTCTCTCTAGCTGACCTCCGTGTCTGCGCTCCAATCATCACTTGATATTCTACGCAAACACCGGCCAGACTATACTCCGCGTTCTGGTTTTGTTTGGCCGATTGTAGATTCGTCAACGGCTGAGGATGGTGCCAAGAAACGAGACGCAGAAACTGGTGATGCCTCTTCCGTCATTTCACAAGCAAGGCCCACAGAAGAACCCAAAAAGCAACAAAATAACATGCTCTTAGTTAACGCGATGCGTGCCACTGCTTTGCACTCAAAGATGTCTTTTACAACGACTTCGGCAGCACATGTTGAAAATGCAACGACGGAGACACCTGTAGCAGCCCCGATGCGCTCCTCCGCTACCCCTGCTCCAGCACCTCAAGACACATCCACCAAAGGTGATTCCACAGCTGCCATACAGGATGCTACTCGAGCCCCTCCTGGGGCTGGCAAGAAAAAGAAGAAACGTTCGTGGATCAATACTTGACTCGAATTCTACTCAATGAACTTCATAGGGATGTCCTTGGCAGCAACGTCCGCGCCGGCCTAGCCTCATTGCGACTCTACAACTTCGTGTGGACTTAAACCGTTATCTAACATTGGTCTGGTTTTCTCTTTCAGATCTTGCGCGCGGAAGAAAAGACCTCGAAGGGCAGCTATGTGCGGCAACTACAGTTCTCCGTAAAAGTAGGCAGCAAGGAGCCCTATGTTACGGATGCCACGAGGTCATACCAGCAAGGAATCTTGTGAATCACCCAACGGGCTCTGGGTAGTAGTTTCCTGGTAATCCCATGTAAACAAATTCTAGAATTTCGCAGTCTCCCTGGTTAAGCCCGAAGTTTGAACTTCGTTCTTACTTTCAAGTTTATCTCGCGCCAACACTCGTCAGCTTCTCTGTAAGCCAGCCCAACGGTGTTTTCATGTTAGCCCCTCGAGAACCCAGGCCACCTCCACCGAGAGAGAGTGGGTTGGCGGACGCGAACGAATCTTTCCTTGCTTTAGCAGCTAGTTGCACTTGAGAAACAGATATAAGATGAAGGGCGAGGAAGATGGGCTGAACCACACACCTGATGCGTCAATCTCCTCCACATTGGTTTCAAGAACCAGACCGCCTTGAATAATCTCAGCAAGTATGTGATGTACCTAGTATAATGAGTCGGAATATAACGATTTGCATGAGGTATCTCTTACAAACCTCATCAAAGTGAAAAACGAGATCAAGTTCACAAACGTTCTCGAAAGCTCGATCCAAGGATTCAACAAAAACCTATATTCGACAGGGATATAAAAGAATAATGGTCGCAACACAGATATGGGACAGACCTGGATCAGATCCAGTATGCCGAGCTCGCTTTCCGCACCATCCACCACGAATACGAAAAAGAGGGTTGCATAATTACGATAGACTACTCTCCATTGTTCGTCTGCCCCACCCTTTGGTCCAAGAAATGCCTCTAGTTCAGGAGCATCCAAGAAATTGCAAAGGCCTGAGGGTCGTGTGCAAACAAGAGAGAATATCTTTTGCACTACCGTTTGAGCTGATTGGTGCAGGGGCGTATAAAATTTAGTCATTCGAGCGACTCCAGAGGTGTTGACTATCAATGGGGCGTTAACAGGCAGGACAAGGACATCATCAAATAAAAACGCAACAGATTAGGACGGCGTGGATCATGGTCACTTGAACTTGTGATACAGGTTAGTTGGAATGTAGGCCACTGCGATGACCGCCAACTTGAGGATGTGATTAAGGCCCTTGAGCAGATGAACGTTGACCAGTAGATGAGGGCATCATTTAAGCAAGCTAAGTGCGTAAAAGCATTGTAACGATCACATGACTATATATGGTGCCAATAAAATTAAGCATTGTCCCGAGGGAGCTTCCAACCAGGTTGAAGCCTTCCAGCCAGGCTTCCCACAGGACCAGAGAGTCCTCCTTGACTCTTGAAGCTCTCGAGGAAATTTTTGATCAGGTTGTAGTCAATCGACGCTTCCCCAGAGTCTTCATCTTCATCTTCTGCTTGCTCAAGGGTAGCCTTCAGCTCCGCCTCCATGGCAGCATCGATGTCCTCATCCTCATCCTCGTCTTTGTCATTAACATCAATCCGGACTGTCTTCTCTTTCCCTTTCCCCTTCGTTTCAGGTGCTTTTGTGGCAGGAGCCCTCGAACGGCGATTGCGAGCTAATTCTTGGTCTAATGCCTCCATGACGGTTTCAAAGGAGTCAAGTTTCGGATTGACATTGGGTCGAGGACCGGACATTGGCACCCGAGGTCCAGGGTCTTCTGCAGATTTTGATTGGTTGGAGCCTGGAGTGTGATTTGACAAGGGGACCTGCGGTTTTAAGGTTGCACTCTCAGGGAGAAAGGCTGAAACAACATGTGAGAAAAAGTTACTTTATGGAGAGTGTTGAAGCATTACCACCACGACCTTTGCGATCTCGGACAATATCATTCCACTCTTCGTCACTTAGGCCAAGGGCTTGCCTGGAAAACTCAAGGAACTCAGCCTCCTCTTCCCCCATGTCGATATCAATCTCTCCAACCACCTGCGGCCGGTCCTCCTCCGACTCATCATCATCTTCCATGGCTTCTTCATCTGTTTCATCGTCTGAATCAACGACGCCATCGAAATTATCACGAGGTAAAATAGGCTTTCTAATAGGTCTCTCCTTCACAGCTGGGACTTTCGTTGACTTGTTCGTGTCATCATCCTTGAGGTGGTCATCGCCTTGGAGGTCTGGAATAACGGTCACAGGCGCCACTCTCTGTGAGTTGCTGTGATACGATGCTGGCATCTGTCCGTACTCAGATGGGTCAAGAGCTGGAATAAGTTGATCCATTGCGGCTTGTCGTTCAGCTGGATCGGTGTCCATTGACTTCTCCGAATCGTCATCGCTAAAGGGATCGTCTGAGAATTCCTCACTGTTACAAAAACTGTAAGTAGTGAATCTTAACAAACCAGAACAACTTACTCCTCAAACCTGGCACCCTCCAAATCGCCTTCGCCTTCAACGAAATCTTCGACTTTCGTAGCTAATTCTTTGAGTCTGTCGGCCTGCTCCAAAGTCGTTCGGTCTTCAGCCGTCTCGGCTGTGTCAATTTCCATAGCGTTTGGGGCTCGATTCTTGGCAGGTGGAACGGTTGATTGTAACATCTGCTCGAAATCTTCCGAGTCAAGATTTAACCATTCATCGTCGTCCTCGGTTTGGTTCGAAGTGGATGGGGATATCGTTTCCGATGCCGCAGCATCGACTTGGGATGCAAATGACTGACGCGTAGCATTACTACAGTGAAATTCAGATGATGATTTTAGAGGGAAGAAGAATAAATTACTCAGTTTGCCGGACCTCCACAAATGTAATGGCCGCTTTGTTCTCTAGCTCCCTCCAGAGTTCAGAGCCTTCCACTTCGCCTTTGAAATAGTTTGCAGATACTAGATTCTGCAAGAATTTTTGATACTCTGGTGTTCGGCGAAGAGCATCCTTTGCAGCCTCAGCCTAAAATACCGAAGTTCGTCAGAGAAACAGCATTGCGAAATTAAAAGAAACTAACGGATGACTTTGTACCCTCAATGGTTATGTTGGAAGTGCTCAGCTTGCCTTTGCTCTCTTGATACAGAATTTCAAAGCCAACGGCCTGAAGAGATGTCAGTTCTGGAATGATCATCACAGGAGAATACGGACGATTTTCATACCGACATCCCTCCAACGCCACTCGCGGGTTCCCTCTTTTTCTTGCCACCGTCCAAAAACCTTGGGCGGAAAGAATTTTTGTCCCAGCAGCTGTGCGTACGCCGTTCTGGTCATTTTTACTGGTTGCAATACCGACGTACCAGGCGGCAACCGCAACATCCGATGGGCCGCCTATCTACCTATCTCGTCAATGGTCACAAATGGCCCGTTCTCGAACCTCAGACTCACGCGTAGCTGGATCGCATCCCTCGTATAGAAGGCTTCCACTGATTTCTGTACGAGGTGAGGCCTTGCAACCAAGGCTTTGGCGATGTCAATGGGAATGTAAGCATTCGTAGTGTGGACATGCTTTCGCCTCGCAGCCGGGTAACTGGGACATTATTAACTCAGGAAATCAGAAATTTCCAAGAGACAAACCCAGATATCCGTTCCCATACAGCTTTTTCCACAATTGGAGGGGCCAAAGTCTCCACAAATGGGTTCTGGACCAACTTCACGGCATCGTCTGGCGTTATGAACTCGTCGTCATTGTCCGAGCCCTCATTATCACTTTCCGTTGAATCAAGGATTTTACGACGAATCCGTTTTCTAGATGGTGGAGATGAGTGTGAGAGGGGGATGAGGTGTAGGCGGGAGGCGTAGATCCAGACCTGTAAGATGATGGCGCATAAATAACACTATTCCATCGCCGAGAAAGTAGACGGGCGTACCCTGTTCTCAGAATTTTTTGGCTGCACCCACAGTGGCAATACCTCCGCGGCCTCTATGAGAAGAAACTCTCCATCAGAGTCGAAAACACTGTTCATGTTAGAAGGATGCAAAACATGAGACTGAATCCTGCCCACCTGATAACGAGGTCCCACTGTGAGCTGATCTCCTTCAGCAACCAAACAGTACACCATTCATCGTCTACAGAGTCTCCCACTCGCATTCGACCTTCGAGAATCCAGTTGTCTTTAACTTCAGGATGCGGGACGACTTTGACCTCAAAGGCATCGCGGTGCCATATATGGTCGGGAAGCAAGATGTCAACATAATCTATCAAGACCGCCGCAAAAGTCGTCACAGCAGCTTTGTCCGATACGTTTTGAGCTGGGTAGATGGTGTATTGAAGCGTATCTTCGGAGATTGCGGGAGGTCGATTGAAGATGTCCATGATGGATGGGAGCTCAAAATAAAATGATGTAAGTACACAACACCATACAAATGCACCTCTCGCTCTGGTGAACGATGGCCACAACAACGTCCTTCAAAGACCGCAATCTCATTGCGGTCATTGGAGACGAGGTAAGATTATTCAGGTTTAACAAGTCCCGCTAATAACCACGGGCCAGGATTCAATCACTGGGCTTCTACTTGCGGGAATCGGACATATCAATGAGCACCAAAAGAAGAACTTCCTCGTCGTAGATGCTAGTGAGTATACTTCTTGTCGATAGCAAAGAGTGCACTGAGGAACTCTGTTTCTTCCCCGCAGAAACTCAGGTAGCCACGATTGAGGCCGCGTTCCAGGAATTCACTGAAAGAAAAGATATTGCTATTCTATTAATCAACCAACATGTACATCCGACTGCTTCCGCGAGGACGACATCTTATTATCATTCTAGATCGCGGAGAAAATAAGGCCGACAGTCGATAAATACCAACAAGCGTTCCCCGCACTGCTGGAGATTCCGTCAAAGGACCACCCCTACGGTACATATGGTTGTTATTCTGGAAACGAGACAACGCTGACCTGGGAATTCAGACCCGTCAAAGGATTCCATCCTCAAACGCGTTCAGAAGTTGTTTGGAGATTGACGGGAATACCATGAGCTTTCTGTCCTTCAAACTCTAGATACTGTCATTGCCTTGTTGTAAACTAATAGTCCTCGAAGCAGGTTTCACAGAGATAGATGAAGTGAGATACAAATACATGCAGGTCTATGACACCCAGCGCATCACAGGCTCGTGTTCTCTGACTCCAGGAGCTCGTTCCACGAACACTCGCACATTGTTCGGATCGCGTGAACCTAAGATGGGGAGGATGAAATGCGTCTTCAACTTAAAGTACCAGCAATAAAACTTACTTGGTATGTCGACAAGTAAATATCGAAACACAAAGTAGCCATCATTGTTCTGAAAGGCACAAAGTTTAGACTGGTGTCTGAGACCAGTAATCAAACACCACCTACCCTGACCAAATCTGCATGCACCTCCCCGTCAGTATATGTTACCCCATGTGTTTTCGTTGCATCACGCGATGCTTTTGTCGTTCCTTTCAGAGACGAGAACATGCCCGCAAAATTCCACATTCCACTGCCATGCTGTACTGTTGTCTCCTTTTCTTCCGGGCGGGGCAAAGTTGGCAATGGGGGCCGAGGCAGTGGAGATCCAGTGAGGTACTTGAAAAGATTTTTCCAAGAGTCCCAGACTAGACCTGCATGTTCCTTTGACCAATCAACACCCTGCTCGAACGTCAAGTTAGACAGCCCAGCGAATTTGTCTCTCGCCCAATACGTTGCAGAGGTGAAATAAGACACTTCTGAGTGATGGTGTTCCGCAGCCTCTGCCTGGCCTTGCACGTAGAAGGTCATGATCATGTGCTCTTGACCATTGGGATCAACCATGATTTGGGACGTGACTTGTCGGTTCCGGTGTCGAGGACGGATTGCAGACGGAGGGTTATTGTGAAAGACAAGGGGAGTATTCAGGTATTTCGCGATCTATACGCGATATCAGAAGGTTATGTTAGAAGAACTGACGAACGGACTCGAGGTGACGCCTTGATGCGTTCGCAAGCATCCCCATACAACACCGTCGCTGAATTTTTGGAGAAAAGCTCTGATGTCAAAGAGTATACAAGGAGGACGGAGAGGCCGGCTCCCAGCAAGATGACTCCGAAATTTGTTGTTCGGGCCGTAGTACGAAGAACTGTAAGGCCATAGGATGTGAATCAGTCGCTTTAAAAGGCTGTAACTACACACCCTTTCCTCCTGCGCTAAGTTCTGACCACTTTGGTACCTTCTCTCCCTTACGTAGCGCCGATTGCGACAAGCCGAGTTGAAATGGTCCGACAGTGTCATGTTTTGCCTCTGAACGGTTTGTGTCCAGAGAGTGTGATAGAAGCGAGCCTGGTTCACTGAAATCCAAGTTGTCACGACGGGTTGCGTATCTTCTCGAGGGAAATGCTAGCGCAACGAGGGGCCTCGATAGGGAACGCAAATTATTTGTTGTCCGTGAGCAGCGGCACAGAGCTGAGAGATTCATGTCGACAGTCCAAGTGCTAAGCGCTCAGTTCAAACAACGTCACGCTGCATAAATAACAAGCTCAAATAACGTGCGTAGTAGAACAGTATCAAAAAGTACAATATTAAGAAACAACGGTTACGATCGTTCTCCCCTTAACCTCCTCGCTAATGCCAGATCCTTCGGTTGGATAGTAACACGCTTAGCGTGAATGGCCGCCAAATTCGTGTCCTCAAATAATGATACCAGATATGCCTCGGCAGCTTCCTGCAAGGCCATAACAGCGGACGATTGAAAGCGCAAGTCGGTCTGTGTGTCAGGGGTGAAACATGATGAGCAGCATGATTATATTGGTATCGTCGCCACACACCTTAAAGTCCTGAGCAATTTCACGGACAAGACGCTGGAAGGGGAGCTTGCGGATGAGTAGCTCGGTTGACTTCTGGTAGCGCCTGATTTCACGGAGAGCGACGGTACCGGGCCTGAACCGATGAGGCTTCTTGACTCCACCAGTGGCGTTCTACATCAACCAGAGTTAGTTGAGTGAGGGATGGCATATGGGTGTACTCACACTGGCCGTCTTGCGTGCTGCCGATTTGGATGCGAGTTGTTTACGAGGGGCCTTGCCTAATCCAAACGATGGTGAGCGACGAAAGAGCGATGAGGATGGCAAACCAAACATACCTCCGGTGGACTTGCGAGCGGTTTGCTTGGTACGCGCCATTACGAGGAAGGGAGCTTGCTGTTTGTGGTGAGGGCTTGCTGTTGTGGTGGTGGTTGGGGACGAAGGATCAATGGTTTTGGAATATCAACCAACGCTGCCTTTTAAAAGATTTGGAGGTATCAAGTAGTCCACAAACAAACAGCACGCGTTTCGATCGCGTCTGTCACGTGATTTATCGCGTTAGGTCAACTACGTAACTCAAGTAGAATCTGAAGCTTTGAAATTTGAAGTCTAACATTGTCTACTTGGCTTCAAATGTTTCTAGTTTCTCGATCACAGATTTTTTTAGCTACGTATTCAAAGTTTGGTGAGAGCGTCATCGATGGCGAGGAAGAACATACCGCAGGGCTGGGAACAGCGCCTTCAAAATAGTTGAGCACCAATTCAGTGGCTACCCAGTCGTGCTCAATGGCACCCAAGTCTCTAAAAACAAGTGCACGGGGTCGACCAGGTGTTGGGGGTGAAAGGAAAGCGTCGAGCGGTGTGTGTTTGGTCAAAGGTGAGTTGGGGAATAAGCTCTTCAATTTCCTCATCGGTGACGCTGCCGACTGAGCATCGTCTTCTGTCAGTGTCCCCTCTTGCTTGCCTTTGACAAGTCGCGCTTGTAAGGCACGCATAAATGCATCTCGTAAATGTGTGTAGGAGGTCGAACGCGTTGGCACTATTACTGTTTAGGGCAGAACCGACAGGAAAGAGAAGGTAGCGCACCAATTCGTATAACACACGCGGTGTTTCTCACAATATATTTAATCTTCTCCTCGGGGCTCAAGTCTTTGGGGACCTGAGGCGGGTGAGCGAGCCTATATTACCATTGCTAGCAGCTCACCATCAAATTAGGATTGTCGAGGTCGGCATAGAAACCAATTGAGTAAACCTTGATGTTGAGAAACGAGACTGTCCTGACCCCTAGGCCGACAAGAGATAACGGGGGTATATTGATTTTGGAAGGGACACGGATGGTTTTTGGGAAAGATATTGAAGTCGCTGGGTCAACTGACAAGTCGAGGTGAGAAATGCAAGATGCTACAGACTGAAAACGAACCTACTGAGTCCTCAGGAGATGGTTTTGGAAAAGGTTGAGAATCGGCATCGAGATGAACGGTGCGAGGTGAAAATGTCAAGTAAGTCGCGAGACTAATAGCAGTTGCCCATAGCAAAAGCCGCGGTTGGTTTCTGGCTTGCGGTCTTGGAAACAAAAAGGACGCAAAGCGACGGGGTGATATCCGAAGGGGTTGTGCAGGCCGACAGCGAGAAAGGAGGGCCTGACGGAACATGTGAGGCTGGCTACCTTTTAAGTATTTAATTTGACTTTTCGGTTTATCAAAAGTAGTAATTTTGGTCACGTGCCATTGTACACGACCCCCGCAGAGACATTTCTGCAAGAGCTTGCGCGTACACCTGCGCACAGATTCCAGACCAATTGTCAGTGCTCTTCTACTTTCCCGTGACACCCCAGCGACGCGTCACCCAGCTTCCTTTCCTTTATAAAGCAGTCCCCCCGTGTGTTCATCTTATCTTTCTCACATCCCGTCATGGAATCTCATAACCATCCCTATCAAGCTCCCATTCCGTTCGGAGACATATCCGCTGTAGTCCCCATGGACGACGACGAAGTATCCATCTTTGATACGCCAGATGGTGCTTCAGAACTCTCGGATATTGAGAAGCAACGTGCTTCTCTACAATCATACCTTGATGCCTTGCCTTACGAAGGCGAGTCTGTCGAGAATATGCAGGAACGACTGGAGAATATTATCGGGAAGATGTATATTTGCGCCAAGGCAAAAAACTGGCTACTTCTGAGCACTTGGGATGGCATGCTTCAATGGTATATCGCTTTCCTTGTTTCCTTGACCCTACCTAATTTTATTTAGCTGGTTATTGATGCGCTACCCCATGCCCAAGACAACTCGCGCGAAACTCGTCCGCTTCTATTATGAGCTTTGTGCGATGCCCGGCATCGAACCTCGCGTTATTCGAACTTGGGCTGATATGTTGTCTCGACTTCTCTCAACTAAACCAGGAATGAAACGCAAGCTTGAGGCTGAAGATCTTGAACTTTCTTGGAAGCCTTTGTGGCGCGTTTTGCAGAAAGAATTGTGGCCAAAATCTAATATTCGTGATAACACGTAGGGCTTGATTTTGCAGTTCTTCTATTGCCGTTGACAATTCACCCAGGAGGAATCTTGTTAATATACTCCTATACGTAGCTGAACAGTGTAAACGCCACTTTCCCGCTCAAGACATCCCCGAGATGCTTGAAACCTTCCTGCCTCTTCTGACGCCGGACGTATGTTCATTTGATAGTTTTAAAATGCTAGCTGACTGATTCAACGGATCGAACAGTCTGTGTTGGTCATCACCCCAGTGCTGACTTCATTTTTGCCTCCATCGCACACTCACCTCTATTTGCCCGCCCTTTTCAAATTATGGGAAGCCTTTAATTCGTCAGCTATGGACGACAGACTTCTTGAAATGTTTGGAGAGCTTTCGGAAGAACATGTTGCCGGAAAGTTTGGGAATGCAGGCGAGGGTGGGGCAGACTGGAAGGATGTAGGGATATGGACGGATATTCAGTGGAATACACTGATAGGGAAAGGCCTTGGCTCTATGAGTGAGTGAACATGATTTTTAAGTGTCCATCTACAAGTTGACCTTTTTGGAATACTCAGACGTTCCTGTGGGTGCTATGAGGGTAAATAGTTTCCGCCAGCTAACTCAGCAGTACTAACGATGCTCTTTTAGGGCGCTTCAAACACATCAGCACACGCCGATGCCACCGACAAAAATTCGGCAAGGATAAAGAAGACCGTCAACAGAATCCGTAAGTTTAGTTTTTCCCACCTCTCCAATTCACCTTAATTTCATTGGGCGTTGTCAGATTCGATTGCCAAATTACTCGTATACTCTATGCGGCTCGATGGCGACGTTCGTGAAAATAAGCCGTCAAGTGGTGGACTACAGGGCAGAGCATTACCCCGAAAAAGTGGCTTCGTCGCTGGATCGCACGCTCTTGATTCATTAGATCAAATAATCACCAGCACGGAGTCATTCTTCCACCCGTCCAACAATGGTGCATGGACAGCATCGGTGAGTCTTTTATGTTGTGTGGATATTGAATCTCACTTAAAATAATCAAAAAGTTGACCATGTTTTTACATCGTTTGACTTCGGAGTTCACGAAACGCTGGATGGAAGAGGAGCTAGAGAGCTGTAAAACACCTGTGGTATGTTTTCCCTCTACGGAGGTCAATCTGTTTTTTTCAACCGACAACTCCAGGCCCACCGCCTGACACCCTCCATTCGACGAAGTTTTGTTTTGATTCTGCGGACTCCAGCCTTGCTCGCTATGTTTGCCAAAGACCCGACTGCTATGAGCTATGCTCAAGGGGCACTTCGCGCACTTGCAATGCTTGATTCATCTTTAATCATGCCTGAACTTCTAGACCGCGCATATGGTGGTCTCGAGATTGTCAACGAGACACATCGAACAACCGCAGTTTTGAGCATGCTATCAGGTATTGCGAGACCATTGGTGACAGAGAAGGTGTGGCTGGGTGGCCAAAGGCATGTCGTACCACTCTTGGAGCTTTGTATCCCTGGAATCGATCTTGTGCGTTTATTTTTAACACAAATAGTACCGGTCTTGATGAATTACCAGAATGACCCAGGCAAAACAGTTTGTGCGACCATGTTCATCGTGTCCGTAATACAGCATATCAAAATCGGAGACTTATCCATGCATCATAGTGGCGTGGCGTTTACAGGCGACACTCCTGGAGACGAGATAATGGATATAGATGACACCGGCGACCGACTGCCAGATGGGACAGAACCAGGGGAAACCCCAACCCTGAGCAGAGAAGAGGAAAGGTCGCTTGTGCGTGACAGCACAGCGGGTTTTGCGGGTATGTCACACATGCCTTTCTCTCCATTCTATACTTGAACAATCATTTTAGACTGGGTGATATCTTTGTTCCGTCGCGTCTTGTCCCTTTATGAAAATTTGCCCGAAGAAGGCGGCAAAAAGAACACGACAGGCGGAAAGCAAGAAGAGAATGTTCTCAAATCGATCAAGAGCATGCTTGACGTCATTTGCCTACATCTATCTGACCAACTCTTTGACCTTGTTCTCAATCTCGTCTACGATTATGCAACTACGAACGCGAAATCGAACGCGGTTCGCGCCTTTGGACAACTTGTCGCATGTCTTGCTCGAGTGCGCCCAGAGGAAACAATGGCGAAGTTTTTGCCCTTCTGCATTAACCAAATTGAGGACGAATTGAAACATGGTGCATCGAGTGTGCGTACGACGTCTACTCATGCAGCAGTACCTTCCGATACAACACTCCATTGGAGTACGTTCTTCATTCTGCGCTGTAATTGTCTTTTGAACCTTCCTTAGACATATCGATTTTACGTGGTTGTCTTGGGTATGGAGGCAAAGCAGTGAGTGCTGCCATCATTTGTTCATACCGAAACTGTTCTTATTTTTACGTTTAAGTTACTCAAATATCAGTCAGAGATTTTGGGTCTGTTGAAGCTTTTGGTTGACAAGACGAAAAGTGAACGCGGCTACACAAGTACTGGCCGTCTCATTACCCGGATACTCAACACCACCGGAGGCGTTTATCCACTTAACACCCGCTTCGTTAACACAGACGAGTGGGACACTCCAGGTGTGTATACTTGACGCCTCAGAAATCCTTCGTTGAGTGATCACATTTTAGCCTTTGACAAGAACCATAATACCCAATGGGGACGGCTTTATGAACCTCAGGATGTTGTAGTCGAGTGGCATGGTTAGCATTCTCTCTCACCTTGGTTTTGCTTTTCTGACGCTTCGACAGTGCCGTCTAGTGAAGAAATTGCTTTCGTTTTGGAGGTCATTGAGCAAATCGCCAAGCCTAGCCTAGCTGTTGTGGAATCATTATTGTCGTCAACGTCTAAGTGGGACAATGTCGCGCGCAACGACTTCTGCCGGTGAGAACATTCGGTATTTTCCCTTTGAAGTGGGTAACAAATCTCCTTGCTCTAGATATCTGCATGCATGCAAGTCCATTTGGTTGGGCTTGCCGACATTTTTCAAAGAGCAACAGAAACGAATTGCGAACCCATGCCTGAATCTGGAAATTGAAACAGCTGATATGGTTATATCTCCCCTTGACGTGAATGCCGGGTTCACGCTTACAGACCCGAACGATCCACGATATAAAAAGGTGGTGCAAAGCCGCTTGAGATTCTGCGAAATCATACAGCAAGCCGCCTCGACTCTGAGACGGAACACTAACGGGGAAGATCATATCGATGCTATTATCGCTGTGATAAGGGCAATCGACACTGCTTTGCTTGCCTACGGCTTGAGCAGAAGCGACTTTGACTCGATGCAGAAAAACTATGTCCAAGCCCGCGAGTGGGTTACAACTTCTTACATTTATTGCAGCTGATCATATCATTGCTTGTGCAGCTTGAACCGATCGTGGACCAGGCAGAAGGACAATTCACGCCTGGTCTTCGTCAAGCGTGCGCACGTGTACCACAGCGGCCGTGTTTACATGCATGCACTTTACCGTCATCGCTCTGAGCTTGACGACAAACTTCTTGAAGAACTGGTGGAGTTGTCGCTCTCGCAGTACACTAGAATTCGAAGGTACGCGTGCATGGTCCTCCCGCAACTACGAGGTTAAATCAATTATGACAATTAGACAAGCTCAGGCGGTCATCCAGAACGTCACTGGAGTAAGTCATGCTACGTGACCCGTACTATCTAATTTCCAACCAGCAACAGTATTTTGTTCGGTCCACGCGCTTTATATTACCCATCCTCTTTGGTGCTTTAGCCAAAGGAAATGATCCCGATCGGATGAAGGGCGCTTTGTATGTGCTGTGGAACAAGGGGATAGGTTGGTTCTTTTTGCTCTTGCTCATGCTGAGTTAACATGCTTCTGTGTAGCTGCATACGCCCTCGCCGGTGGGTAATCTTGCGAGGACTACAAAAAAGGATTATCCGAATTAATTTTACCAGACCAGGGATTCCACAGCCGCTACCTTTTGTCACTGCTCAATTGCCAGCATGAGGAAAAGGTGAGATATCCGACATTGCATTCCCGATTGCAGTAATTAGAACCAGTTCCTACCAGCCTTCTGTACAAAAGCTCGTGAATACGTTAGCTTCGGACTGCATCGGGCACCTCAATGAGGAGGCCGTCCATACGGACGCTTACGTCCTTGATACACCTCGTTTGGACAGCGTTCTCGAAGACCTACGCAGCGAATTTTCTCGTTCGTTCATCGATCAGGGACTTTTGGCTGATGTCATGGGCAAGGCACATATTCGCATTATGAGACGGGAGGATGTATACAACGATACGGTAAGCGAAACAGATAATACATTGTTGGGACTGTGATTAAAAGTTATGATTGTTAGGTGACGTCGATTCTTGAGGTTGCATTGAGGCCAACGACACATGTAAGGCGCAATTCAGTTGTGAACCATCGCGGACTGACTTGTCGATTCCAAGTGGCGCTATGTCCAAATGGCATCTCGATTCTTGTACGGACTACTGCGTCGAGACGTTCCAACCTCGCCAGATGCCACCAGATTTTTCGTGGAGCAGTCAATCAGTCCGCAACCCACGATAAGAGCTAACGTTCAAAAGTGCGTCACGATACACCCCTAAAAAAATGTAAAATAAATTCTTTTGTTAGAGCCGTCATTAAAGTCCTTACATACGCCAAGATAAGGACCTACGCAAAATCTGCAGAAGAACTTTGGCTTGAAGAATGGACTAATCCGTTACAACAACAGGTGCCAATTGGGAATCCAACAAAATTTCTTGAAAGTCTTCAGCACCCAAACAAACCAATGCAAGGGCAAGTTTTTTCGCCATCTTTCTTTTACTTCTTGACGAGGTCTTCGTAAACAGCGGATATTACATTGACAAGATACAAACAGGCTTTTTGGCATGGACTCCGAGTATCAAGGGTTACCGGCCTGTGTTGGATCACACAGCGCCAACTGCTTGGGACCCCAGCTCTGCCGCCTCCCTGCAGTCAATCCACAAAATCGTGGGTCACAGGGACTATTTCAAGCAGTTAGCCCTGCTCTGGGGTCAAGAAACCAGCAAAAACGGCGGTGCATTAGAAGTTCGTCCAGAAAATGTCGCCTTCTTCAAATCTCTAGGTAAAATTTGAGGACAGTCAATACTAAATACTGGTTTCTAAACATCTGTCGTAGCCAAAGTTTTCCAAGACGCTCTCTTGGATGATATTTTCGCGGTTGTTGACCCATTGCTATCGGACTCGGATAAGTATAAGCAGCGCGCTGGTGCAGAGATCCTTGCAGGGACTCTCCGTGGTTGGTGTTGTTTCAGTAGCCTCTCTTCTTTATGGGTGCTGATTTTTCTCCAGGATCAAAGCATTGGCCCCAACAATCTCTAGATAAGCTCTGGTCGTGGACAACAACTCGACTGAACGGTATCTTAGCTCAGATTAAACCAGAAACCTTGACCTTCTGGGAAAACATTTTTCAAGTGAGCGGTCGGGATTGATCCTGACAAGATATGTATATTCTTAAACTTTAGCGCAGTATCAATTGTCGCAGCGTGATCCGCGACGAAATGCGGCCCTGGTCGATTGGATATTGACCCTCCCCCTCGAGTTCAACGGCGACTCCGCTTTCGAAAGTTCGTTGATAAGAAATAGAATGGAGGCGCTTTTCGATTGACATTCTGTGACAGTGACAAAATCCCTTTCTTTGTTCAGCGTCTTGGTTGACAGCCTTGGGATATTTTTCAATCCGAGATCCGAGAAATATGTCACAATCTTATTTGACAATGCAAATACCGGATATGCCGAGGTATGTATATTCTATGCTGCTCCTTTCGATCGTTCATCTCGTGTCCAGATGCGGCAACATGTTTGCCATGGCCTGTACTTGATCACGCGAAACCATTGGCAGCCATGGTACCCCTCCACTCGCGCCTTTTTAGTTGCATGTCAGGAGTTGAGAGATCCTCTGCATATTCAGTTGGTTGTTTTCGTTCCGGTTAAAACGGGACTGACTTGACATATTCTAGGGATCCTTGGTATATGAGTCGGGTTTCGGCGATTCTGGAGAAACTTCCAAAATGGAGGGATGAGCGTTTATCTCCGCCACGAGTCAGTCAATCAGAGGTGATATCATTCTACCATCACCAAACTCCCTAGTGTTAACCCGTCTTTACAGTACGATAAAGTTGGGTTAACTCGTATGCGACCACATTTCCCAATTCTTCCTACCGCTGACGGTTAATCTTAGTCCTGCAATGGATATGGATCTCTGCGCACGGCCCTCAGGCGTGCCTGGTCTTTCCGTATATTGTCCCTATGATGTAAGTGCTTTAGGTACCGCTTAATGGTACCGGGTCTGACATTGGCCCAGGCCTGAGATTCTTCGCATGTCGGAGCTGAAAGATAACTCTGAGTTGCAAGCCTACAGTTCCGCCGTCTTATATATTCTGTCGGCGGTGTCCCCCCCGATCGAATACGTAGCATTGATTCTAGATAACTTTGTTCTAGCCATCAAGTCATCCACGGTGATACCATTGCATATCTTAGGCATGTCATAAAAATATTGATCAAACCTTTTTTAGTCCTGGAAGATTCGTCTTCATGCACTGCCAGCGCTGGTGGTATTCTTCTACAGAAATCTTCTCTCGATCTCACAGGATGGGGTCGCAAAGATTATGGACGTTCTACTCGATTGCTTGTCAGACGAAAATGTCGAAGTTAGAGAAATGGCTTCCAAAGTACTCTCAGGCGTGGTCAGATGCTCACAGCGGCAGAGCATCGTGCCCCTAAAGGTGGAGCATTTTTTGTCGTTCTCGCTCAGTCACCTCCTGACCTGTTTGTATCAGAACCGCTTTGTCGCTTTGGCTCGCAAAACTTCTCTTCCACCACGGCGCGATCCTACCTACGCGGGTGCCTTGCGTTCTCTTCACTCGGCAATTTTAGGAATCTGTGCGCTCATTGAAAGTCTTCCGTACTCGGTTGAAGTATGGATGCCACCTCTTACTGAAGGTATGCCGCTTATGCGCCACCGGCGTTTTTTTCTGACGAATCTCAAGTGTTGGCGCCTCATGCCACTGACCCACCCCCGATCTCAACCACTGTCCGAAAATGCGCGTCTGAATTCAAAAAGGTAGATAGCTTCCTACTCTGTGGCTTCCCTCATTAACTCCGTTTCTTCCCAGACACACCAGGTACTGGTGACCCAGCCGGCTTTCATTTGTATGACCTAACCGCCATTCACAGGACAATTGGCACAAGGATCAACAATTATTTAACGAAGATCAGCTGCAATCTCTGTCCACCATGTTGGTGGGCACGTCATACTGTTCGTGTATATTTACATGTATTCAGGCATTTGCTAACTCTGAATGATACAGACGCCTGAGTATCTTTCTGTCCGTTATTTAACTTATAAAATATCGGCTACTGCAGCCATTGGCGCCTTCTACCTCTCAATGTATCATACTCCCCCCGAGGGTGTGTGACCCGTACAGTGTCCCTTCCTGATTCTGGCGCAGAATGTTGTTATCGAGCCGTGTACAACATGTGATCAATCCTTGCCGCTTTCTTCATGAACATGAGCCCTTCATATGGAATAGGAAGACGAAAATGCCGTGACTGAAGGTAAGATTTGAAAGCCAGGTTCCCGTGTACGAAGAAAAAGGGGGTCTAAAATGCGACGTTCACTGCAACTCTGATCGAGGGGACTTCGTTACCACCCTTATGAGTTCGGATCGATTAAAGATATGAAATCAGCAAGAATCAGCGGTCAAGATGGGCGTCACGATTAATCTGCGTCGAGGATTGAAATTTCGAGGTCGAATTCCGAGATGTGTCATGTCGTTCAGAACTATGAACGTTCATTCAGCTTTGAGGCAGTAATGTTGTCTTGTTAGCGTTTTTGTATCAAGATGCAGATTCGCTGATTTGGGAAAGTTTGGTGTAGCTCAATAAGCGATCAAAGGTTGTGGGGTACACATTCGATACTGTCAGTAAAGCTCAGTAAAGCTACAATGTTTGAGCTGATAACGCGGGCACCTCTCAAACATCACGATCGATGGTGCCTCTAGGTCATCGATGTCGATCATTAAATAGTTGGTGCACGCAAAGCGCGCTCAAGGCGTTTACACGTGTAGTGCATGTGGAGAACAAGAGTGAAGGGATGCTCGGTTCGGAGTTTGAATGAAGCAACCCTGACATGAACGGAAAAAAAAAGTGGTTGAAGCGAACGAAGTGTTGTGCATTTCTGTTGTTGGTGAATACTCTCGTCGATACAGTAGCATCGATAGCGGAGGAAGAGAAGCAGAGAAAAAAGTGATTTGCGGTACTGACAGACAGTGATTAATTATTGGGCACGTTGCTTGAGATCAGATTTTGTTTGCCTGCCCTCTGCCTCGCCTTCTCTTCCTCTTAACCTCCATTTCTACACACTTTTTCCTCCCGTCCGCGTCTCTCTCTCACCGACAACGACTCTCATAGCTTGCAAAGTTATCGCTCGTACCCTTACGACCCTCACGCCAGTCTTGTTTTTATACCTATCTCAACTGCTATCCTCCACGAGGACGAGGGACTATCTATCCAATCACCATATATCTTCATCATCAACTCCTTTTTTTATCTCTCGGATACGCCCAAGTGTTTAATTAACAGGTCAGTTTCCACTCCCCACCTGCCCTGCTGCAACCTATCCCTCAATGTTTGTCATTTTTCTGACCCACAGTTAAATGCACGACACAGTCACGACCTCTCCCACAACGACCACATACCGCAAAACATCATCAAACGAACTATTACCCCCATTTACCCTTTCTTCAAGTCGCCTTTCCCATCCCAACTCTCTTGGTTGGTCCCAACTACACGACTCTGACGGTGAATCAAGTTTAGAGGTCCGTCTGTCCTGTCGTCTGCCACGTGTTGTGCCCCAACTAATATGTTCATAAATAGGATTGGCATTTGTCGACTCCGGATTCGACCATTCATTTGACTGCTATTGTTCGCCCAGCAAAGTTCAACAACTTACCTTTTTCGTCTACAATGCCTGCTCGTACAGAAAAACCCACAACTGACCGAGGTGTGACCAACGGCCACCGCTGGCGGTTCAATAATAATGGTCAACTTGTCGATTCAGAGGCGGCCTCTGCTGGATGGGAGCTGGCGGACGAGATCGTACGGTTGAAAATTGGAGAGGTTACTGGAGATGCCGATGACGTCCACGTCCCAATCCGGACTCCCCCAAAGTCCAAGCTGGCCTCGGCAGCCGTCGCTCAACTTGCCGACACCAGCCCTTTGGAGACATCGTCCAATACCAGTGTTGGTTCATCCCCACACGCATCCGATCATCCTATTGGTGCCTCCCATTCTCGAGGTTCTTCAACAGATACCACGATATCTAGCTCGCACGAGTCAATTGGCGGCAACACTCTTTTGACGCACCCGCCATTCAAAAGTGGGGCTTCTGTGGAGGCAAAGGAACGCCCCCACTCCTTTAGTGGTGGTCTCTCTAGCGCCGACCTACGTCGATTGCAGCAGGCTGGTGACTCTGAAATTGTGGATCGTCAATTGCAGCAGCAGCAGCAATGGGCGCAGAACCAGTACCGCGAATCTATGACCTCTGAACCCTCGTACCCGTCCCTTAGCAATTACGTTCACCGACCACAGCCTCAGCTGCCTCCAAATATGTACGACCTGAGAGTGGCTTCCCAGTCTTCCGATCGCGACGAGCAACAACCAGATTACCCGCAACAACAACGCGGTTACAACGCGGCTCTCCATCCCATGACTGCACAAGCTCCTCCGCCTCATTTTATTCAAGGTAGACCCAACAACAATGTTGCTGGAATGGCGTACCGGCAGCCAGCGCCTCGTGGTTTTCCTCAACAGGGTTTGCTCCCCAACCCGTCCGCTCTGGGCTATCAAAACGGCCAACACACCTCTCACCTCTCGCTTGGTAATACGCAGCAGTTGTATGACATGATGCTTCCAGGGCCACCCCACGATAGTCACCCAGCCGTGACTCGCGTTCAGCAGCAGCACAACGTCTTCAGGGGTACCCACCATCACTCTGCGTCCGATCCTTCCGCACTTCGTGATGCGGCAACCCTGGCACTTTTAAACAATAATTTGCAGACCTTTGGGCCCGCGATGTTCCAGCCGGGCATGCCGCCCCCACCTACAATGCCGCTATATCCCAATCAATTCTACGGTGCGCCTGACGTGGCGGCCATGGCACGCCTGCAAGCTCAGTACACAGGTCCCTATAATGTTGCTGCTCCGAATTTGGGGATGGACGGAAATGTTTCGAGCCCTACTAGCTCCAGCAGTCAGCATGGACCAAGTGCAAACAATAGAAAGCTGGGTTTATATAAGACGGAGTTATGCAGGAGCTGGGAGGAGAAAGGAACGTGCCGCTATGGTGCCAAGTGCCAATTCGCTCACGGGGAGGACGAACTTCGCAAAGTGTCCAGGCATCCAAAGGTAAAGAAGCTTTTCAACTAGATCGACAATTGCTAACCTTCCCTTTTTTACTACTTAGTATAAAACCGAGATCTGTCGGGTGAGCTTACACGTGGCTTGGATTGCTTGTCTTCGACTCATATTTTGTTTCTAGACGTTTTGGGTTTCTGGTTCCTGTCCATATGGCAAGCGCTGCTGCTTTATTCACACAGAACTTCCCAGCTCCGGAGCTCCCCCCACCGCCGGCACGCCTGGCGCAGAAAGTGCACCAATGCAGCAACGGTCTGATGGCCGTTCCCGCTCGATGAGCACCAACAGCGACCCGAACGAGGCGTCTCTTTCCCTTCTAGCTCGTATTTCTGCCAAAAGCAATCCAACGGCGTCGACTCCAATTGATATGAATCCCAATGGCTTCCAATTCACAGGAGGGCGTCCTCCAACTGGCTCACTTAGAGTAGATACCTCCGCTTTGGACGGCCCTTCTGTGAAGCAAAACAAATCCGCATATCCCTCTTTCGCAAGCAATGGTATTCTGTTGCCAGCGCCTGAACCTATCACAGCGAAGTCACCAGCACCCGTCACTGCTGGGCCTGATCTCGGAAGACACAACCTTGCTCGTATGGAAATTGTTGGGTATAACAGTGTAAGTTTGGCTTTTGCTCCTGCCGCCAACTCACGCTGACAAATATGGCAGAATTCTAAGAAAATCAATACCTCGAATTCGAACCCACGACATTCTTTCAGCGGATCTGAAGATTTCGGCCCTTCTCCAGGGCATTCGTTCGCATTATCTGGTGAAAATAGCCACCCTCGAGTGAACGGACATGTGCGTGCTGGGAGTGCCGGAAATTGGGGAACTTTTGGCCGTAGCAGCCATCTCTCGACGTCGACCTTTCCGCACGGCCCAAGCCCTGCTGGCGAAATTATGGGAAACTCGCCCTGGTCAACTACTGATCTCGCTGTCGGCTCTTCTCGCTTGAACGAGAAGACGTGGGCCTGATCCTTCATAACGGGAACCTGGAGTATATCCCTCTCTATCAAACTTTTTGCGGCAATCTTGAGTATTCGCCGCCTGGTCGGACTTGCCTTTCTTTCCAAGATATCCCTTCTTTGTCTTTGCTGTGCTTTACTTGACATTGAGTAGGATTTACTCACCGTACTGTTCTCCTCTTTGTATTGCTTTTCCAGCGCTTTTTTTTTGTTGCGGTCGTTCACAAAATCATCCCTCGTCACACAATCCAGACATCTTGATATCGTCCACATACTACTTTTATCCCAACACATACATCATATATCGTTGTCGTCAACAGTAACATGTTTTTATTCCATCTCAATCATTATTCTTCAATATTCTCCTCTCCCAGACGATAGTTGAACAGAGATATAGATATCATTAGAGCAAATGTAATGTAATCACTGTCAACCAGATCAATGTATCTACAACCCAAGAATCTGAATCTCTTTGCGAAAAGCCGCAAGTCGTCCCCTAGCGTAACCTATGTAGTCAAACTCTGGATCTGCAATGTTGCCCTCGATGTCTTCCCTTGCCTGAACGATTCCCCAGATCGCCCACATCGCATGGGACGCCGGACTCCAATTGCGAACCTGTTGGTCAAGGTCTAAAACCAAGCGCTCGAGGTCAGGCGCCTCCATCACTGGATCTTCCCCCAACACCGTGGTATGTTGCACATAAGCGATATAGAAGTTCCGTCGTTCCTGAAAAGATGGGTATCGGGTGAAATCTAGAAGGTGAGGCGTAGAAGAATGATAGTTTGCCGTCCACTCGTGAAAGTGGTTTGCAATGTCAAAAGCAGCCGGGTTGGAAGAGGCATATTCAAAATCAACGACGATGATCTTCAGATGAGCCAATTTTAGAATGCGATACGGGTAATTCGGATAGTTGTTTATATCACATACCTGTCGATGCTCATCGAGACCTTCCGAGGGATGCTTCAACCTCAGCAAGTTGCCGTATTGTGTGTCATTGTGAGCGAAAACTCGTCTACGACCAGTATGGAGATCGTCTACTTTGGACAGCCACAGCATGTATCTATGCCATTCCTGTTCAAAACGATGTAGATCGAGGTCTCTTCGCACGATATCAGATATGGAAGGTAGCGCGAGCACTTGTCGTGCTGGAGCTAACCATGACCTGACATTCCTCTCGACCCCTGTCTCCCGCCCTTTGGGTTCTCCGGTCTGAGTTGAGTTTCCCTCCACCACGTCAATGTCGACGGAATGGAGCTCAGCCATTCGGGCACCGATCCAGCGACTGATCAATGGATCTCGTATATCATTGGGCGTTAGGGTTGTTGATTCAAAGTATTCCTCGATGCGACCATTCTCGAACGTTCCATAGACAATCGGCCCAATGTGGTATTGCGATGATAACATATGGAGGGTATGAAGCTCGCGGGGCCGAGAAATAAGAGAGCCCGATGAAGGGCCGTATATGCGTAGTAATAGGGTATTGGTTTTCACCAAACCTATGCTAGATACGAAAAAGACAGCATTTGTCAATGCCCCGGAGATTTTGCGAACGACGATGTCCTCAGACTTGATAGCTGAGTTTGACCATGATGGTATACGGAGAGTCCTCAATAGGTCAAGAAGGTGAGCAGCAAAGACAGGTGTCTTATAGTGTCTATAAAAAAAATAAAGACTCTATGGTCAGGCCAAAAATATGGTGGATGAAGGATCAAACCGTCATGAGGCATAACTCAATCTGCAGCTTTCCTTAATGAATGTAATCATAACAAAAAGCCTCACCTTGCTTCTAAACTAATTTTCGCATGGCGTAGTCCTTCTTCCTTCACGACCTCCACACGCCTTTCTGGAAGGTGTGACGAGGTCGAAGCACAGACAATGAAGTCAGCCAGACCCTGAATGGACGTAGTGGAGAGCTGTCTGGAGACAGAAGGTGTGGTATCTAAGGACGGGGGTGTGGTAATGGAGGGGGAAAGAATCGGAGATAGATAAGGAGACATCTTGCTCGTCGTCGAGGTCGTGGTAATAGAAGAAGAATGAAAGGAGTCCGACACAGACAATAATAATTGCTCAGACCATTCTCACTCCACCACGTATCTCCATCTTTAGCTATATCCTTTTTCTTATGCTGGGGCGTTCGGAACTACTGCGTTGGACCTGCATTGGACACCTCTTTTGTCGTTCTCATACTATTACAGGTCGTGTGCCACAGCCGATGACCAATTCAGCAATTTCATTGGTCACTAGTGACTAGTGAGGCACATAGCTGCGTTGGTCCACACTGGGATTTATCCGCCGATAAGTAACTATCGTCTGGGGACAGGCCACGATATCTCTGTGAGACCCTCATCCTCATGTCAACCGACTCGTGATCACCGTCCCGCGATATATTCCTGCGTCATGAAAGCGTCATGTTCCTAGACTAGCCTCACTTGACGTTGGTAGTCCCTCAGTTTATCACCCCGTCGGTGGCTTTTTATAACCTGGGGTAACGATCGACATCTCTCAACCTTTCATTTCGGCACTCCCTTGAACCGGACGGTCGACTAGCCATTCTGCATTTATTAATGGTCGATTGCAAATCACTCAATGTTTCTCGATTTCCGCGATCACGACACGGGTCATTATTCGCCGCACATATCGGCAGTTTCGATCTTTTATATGCGCATCCGACGGGCTTTTGACTTCTAGCCAAGCCATCTAAATCCTTTCGACGCCCAACTCATACGGTAGGTCAAGGGCGGGCTTTCAAATTTCTCACCAACGTACCATTGAGCTCGAAATGTGGCAGGTTCGAGAATGACCTTTATCGGAATCTCAATTAATTGAACAGCCCTTTATCCCCTCGTGCCAACGAGGAAGGGTTTCGTTCATACCTCGGGTTGGCTTCGGACGAGGAGCGCTGGCTTTGCTAGCTCATCAAATGCCGCTGACACACTCAAAAGCCTTTCATTTCTGTCATGGTTAGCGCAATCATGAGACGAACGATCGTGATCAGGCCTTATGGACAAACAAGCGCGACGCAGACCATGATCATGAGACCACTGAGATGAAAGCTACAACAAGATTGAGAAACGATGACAAGGCCACGTTGCAACGCAACAGCTACCGATTTCATGTCCAGCAGCTCACGAGAAGATGCAAGGTTGGAAATCGTATGCATTGACAGATGCGTATCGCATGACCATGGTGGTGTCATAAAAGAAACCGGTCGTATCGGTCATCCATTTCCAATAAGTAGTACAGATTTCGTTTTGATCTGCGTGCTGCTAAACCTTCTCGGTCACGCTTGATTCAACGGTTGAATCCGTCCGTGTCGTGGTTTGTGGATCGTCGATGGTCACTCTGCGGAGGAGGAAAGACGTCTATGAAGGGACGTCAGTTTGTAATTACAATATCTCTCATGACGGGGGTTTCTTACAAGGAAGGCGACGCCTAAACACGGTGAACAGACCGCCCATATCGTCTTCGTATCAAAATTAGTCAAGGCCACCAAGATGTACCACATGAATGGAATACCTGAATTGAAGATGAAACAACATGCAGAACTTTGGATCTAAATTCCGATGGCTCAAGTGAAGCAAGTCCTGTGTAATCAATTGATGATCCAGAATCCGAAGAAAGAAGACCGGGAGGAAGATTAGCTGAAGCCTGAGCATAAAAAACGGCGCCAGCGACGGCCTATAACGCCCATTAGCAGAGTTAGTTGGACAGAAAATTTATACTCACGAGGCCAACCGTTGCACCAGTGAATCGGACGAGGAAGAAGGCGCTTGTTCCTGTTGCCAGTTCATTAGGCTTCAAGGCGTTGGCGAATATCTGATAGGGTGCGTGAAAGAGCATCCCTAATCCAATCCCGGCAACAAGTGGATAGAGGATTTGTGTGAGAACGCTTGAATGTTCGTTAAGAGCGCTTAACAGTCCTGCTGACGAATATGAGGAATGTTTTGGAAGGAAAGTGTTGTCGCAAACCGAAACCAGCTGTAGACAGCAGCAACCCGACCGAAACAATATTGTTTTGCGCGCTCGTATCGTGGCTTCGTTTTTGCATATACCCGATAAACCAGGCGGCAGGCATCGAGGCCAATGATGAACCAAGCGAGTAAGGGAGAAGCTTAATGCCAGCCTCAAAGGGTGTCGAACCGTTTGCGGCCTTGAAACTGTGTTAGGAATAAAGGGGACCCAAGAACGTCATATGGTGACCTGATAAAATAATGCCAAGTAAAATGTCCCTGCATTGAACGCGAAATTGTGCAGGAAAGTTATGATGAGAATTGTGACTGGGAAAAGGCTTCAGAGGAACTGTATGTCGAGAAGCATCAACGCCTACTTGTTGTAAGGTCAGTAAAGGTCGTCGCTGGAAATAGACAGTCTCTTGATGTATATTTTTCGTAAAATCCGCCGCAGATCAGAATTGCAAGTCCTGATATTACAAGTACCAATGTAGAAGGTTTAGACCCTTACATTCATCCATTAGATCAATGCTGGGCTCGTGATATGGGAATAAGCTCACATCCCATTTCGGTCGCAAAGCCAAACCCAATGATGATACAACTGGTGCCACCCATGAACAAGAACCTGTAAAAGTTGAGTACCCAAATGAAACCCAAGGCCAAAAGGAAATTACAATCCGCCGAAATCAAACTTTTGTGCCAGAGTACGCCATGACGCGCTGGATGATTGAATGAATGTGATGCCACGAAGCGAGCTTGACAAGACAACGAGAGCAACGAAGCAGATTGGAAGGTTGATGTAGACTTGAATTTGGTATCAGACCTGACCTCCACAGAGACAAAAGCACACTCACAACCCCATCTCCAACTCAGTGGACTTGATTGATGCACATCTATTTTCTCTGTCAACTTGCCAGCCGCAATCGAGCAGTCGCTTTGGAACATACCGCTAAAAACGCCACCGAGGAGGGGGCCAGCAATAGCTGAGCAACTCCATGTAACACTCAAAGCCTGAGACCATTTCGCGCGGTGTTGCACGTCTACGATCTCCGCAGTAATAACCCACACGGAACTTACGATGCCGCCCCCACCGATTCCAGCTAATAAGCGAACATCAACCTGTATCCACATGACCAATGTATTATAATTTACCTAGTGCACGGGCCGCGATAAGCCATTCAATGGACTGAAATCGAAGCTAAGATTAGCAGCGTGTAAAAACGTCGGTAATTTTACCTACTCGAGCAACACCACAAAGCAATGAACCGATTGCAAAAATGGAAATGCTGGAGTATAGAACGTTCTGTGATAGGTTAGGCATTGTGAAGCGGTGTGAGCGGCAGAATGGTACTAGCCTTACGACCAACAAGGTCAGAGATCCGGCCGTACAAAGGTTGAAAGGCGGTTTGCGTGAGCATGTAAGCCACGCCAACCCATGTGTACTGAATTTGGGAGGCGTTGAACTCGCTTGCAATCGTGGGCAAGCTCGTCGAAACAATGGTCTAGGGCCACGTGAGAAAAGAAGTATTCCGCGGTAACGACTTCGGCGTACCGCATCCGTAGTAGCCAGAAATAGGGCCATCGCAGCACTGTGGGCAAAGGATATTAGAACGTTCGTGCCATGCATACAATGTTAAAGCGCTTCGTTACCCAACGTGAGCCACGAGAAGGCGAAAGGTTGACAAATTGTTCGATGGCTGGTCGTTGTCCCCAAATGTCACGGAAGAATGAGTATCGCTGCATACTGACACGTCTTGGGTTGATTCTATCTGTGGCGACGAACACGTAGAATAGCTCGACGCGTCCTTGGTTCCATTGACCTTGATTTCAAGAGCGCGCGTCGAGACAGTGATAGGGATCTGTTTTTCTTGAAACATGGCGCGTTGGACTGCAGTAGATACGAACGACATACTTCCACTGAACCTTTTATACGGCGAGGAATGGCTTGGGTCTCCGGCGAATTTCAGATCTAGGACACGATCGACCTTCTATTTTTCTTTGGCAGAATATTTCCAGGCATGGATAGAGTACATAGAGGCGATCTAGTGGCAAGCTCCCCTGGAAGGGGGGAAGGGGATCTCGTGAACGATTTCAGGCATTAGATTTCGATTGGCGAGATTGCAGTGAGCCATTGTTTTAATGGACACAGACGGCAAGAAATGACAGAGAAGCCGTTGACGTCGACAGTAGTGCCGCTGGAACGAGATATGAACAGAGGTGGGCCTCGTTGCAGCGTGTGCAAGTTGTGGCTGAAAGATCGGCATGTAGATCGCCGACGTAACACTAGCAAGCACTAGCACCTGCTTGTCATCACCTTCTGAGCGCTCGCGCTAATTTCCAAAAGCAATCGAGATCTGACGATTCACAAGTTCCTTCATAAAGCTTACCTAGAAATTGAAATTTTGGTGGCGTCCATTCTCACGCAGAATAAATACGAGGTTGTCTAGGAAGCCTGAGATGAGTTGTGGGTTCATTTGGGAGGGTTCACCGTTTGAATTAGTACCAAAATAATTACTCTATTTTACCCTGTCGCCCGCTGCCGTTTGTCATCCACCTCCCCTTCCCCTGACTCGTCACCTTCACCGGGGTTCTCGGGACTACTAGTTTCTGCCTTTGCTGGGGTGGGAATCATGAGACTTCAGAACTTCAATATCGACCAAGAACATGCCAATGAAAGATTAGACACCAATCAACCCTCGTATCTTTTGCCACGCCCGAGACATCCAACCACTTGACCATGACGAAGAAGGTAGAAAAGATTCCGTACCATTGTCATCATTCTCAGCGGATTTTTGAGGTTCACTTTGTCCGCTCTTTTCACTTGACGCCTTCGAAGGAGCCCTGCCTTCAGTGTCGTCGGCATATGCTTGCAAGAGTTCTCGTTGCCGTTTTGAAAGGGACCTGAAAATCTTCAGCACAGGAGAGGATGTAGAAGTGGCACCAGTACCTCGGCAGAGTAACCGCAAATCTAACGAAGAGATCTCCACTACCAGAACCGTATAGTGGTGGCACGCCCCGCCCTTTCAATACCATCTCCTCTCCCGGTTGAGTACCTCCAGGAACACGCACATCGACATCCCCCTCTAATGTTGGAACGCGGACTCTGCCACCCAGAACCGCAGTGTGAAATGGAATGCGAGCGTCGTGGTAAAGGTTAGATCCCTGTCGCGTAAATGCTTGCGAGCGAGCGACGTTGACGCGGACCAACAGATCTCCATTGACACCTGCGCCGGATATTGGAGCATCACCCATCCGATCCAAACGCAGTGTCATGCCATCTTCAACGCCTACATCAAAGCTAAGAAAAAAACATATTTGATTTTACCAAACAACCTACCAGCAGGTATTTTAACTTGTACCGTCTTCTTCACCCGAACCTTTCCAATACCCCCGCACGATGAACACTGTCCAGAACGCGGAACAGTGGTTCCAGTTCCAGAACAGGTTGAACAGGTGCTGGCCATGTGGAAACCTCCATTGAGCACAAACGTCTGTGTGCCGGAACCGCCGCACGTTCCGCACTTGGATCTTGAGGCGCCGGCCTTGAGCCCAGAACCAGAGCAAGTGCCACAGTCAACCACGGTCGATACGTTGATAGTCTTCGTTGTGCCTTTGCATGCATCTAGGAAACTGACACCAACGGCTGCTTCAAGGTCTTCACCGCGCTGAGGTCCAGTGGATCGAGACTCCCGACCTCCCCCAAAAGCGCCGAAAAGAGATTCAAAGATGTCTGCATGCGATCCAGCTCCTCCAAATCCTTGACTAAAACCACCAAATGATCCAAAGCCACCACCTTGGGTGAATGCGTTCGGATCGAAACCAGGCTGTTGCGACGAAGACCCATATTTATCAAATGCGGCGCGTTTATCTTTGTCTTTCAATATCTAGAAGCAAAGTAGTGAGCAAAAGGGGGGAAGCGCAGAAAGAACTTTGGAACAAACGTCGTATGCATCCTGAATTTCCACAAATTTGTCCCTTGCATTCTTGTCTGGATTCGTGTCTGGGTGGTATTTACGAGCCAGCTTGAAAGTTAAGAAGCTAAGGAGCGGAACTGAAGGAGTAAAACGGACAGTCATACAGCAAAGTAACTCTTCTTTATTTCAGCAGCGGTTGCGTTGGCCTTCACGCCAAGCACGTCGTAAGGATTCTTTGGGCCTGCAGCCGCGAGGGGTGCAGTGGCATGCAGACCGCGCTAAGATTGGTTTGAGCTGTGTATGTCCTCGAAGATGGATGGAAATACCTTGTTACTGCTTCGTTTCGCGTGGCCAATTACATGGGGCCGTCCCGAGGTTTGCGTCCGGGAACAATGAGAACGGAAAATGGAAAAATGGCGTGCCTGTTGTCGAGAGCAGGAATAAAACGCGATAAATGAGGAGAAGCCCTGAGCTGGTAGCCGTGAAGGCATTGAACACTGACAGAACAGAAACGAAACACCTGAAATTTGGTGTTTGCCACTGTTTACCAGCAACTGAGAATTTTATTTATTCAGGGCCAAAATTTGCTCAAACGCGTGAAGGCGCCCGCGCCACAATAAATGCGGTCGACCGTCGCATTCTGATCTAAGAACTAGTACTTATTTCTTTTACCAAAGGGACCTGGCGCTAACTCATATAGGTATGTAGGGACAATCTCCGCCTGAGCGAGCCGGAAAAAGCTCGTGAGAGGTTTTGCGCGGTGTCTTATCGTTGTTGACGTAGAAATTGCCGTCTCCTACTTCACATTCGTCACCTCTTGGCGTGTTCGCCACCAGGATTTTCCATAGGATACAAGAATTTCGTCTCCTTTCTTGATCTCCTGGGAGCTCCAGATATACATGCGCAGCTCGCCCCCTTGGTCTCGTGTATCAGAGAAGATGGCGTTGGGCTTTTCTGCAATGCCCCGGTAGTCATTGATAAAGCGAGCCTCATTTCCCATTTTACTTGCATCGATGCCAATACTACTCCCATCCACGAAACGATGGAGGCACAAGTCGTAATCAAATTCGGGGCGATCATCACAGTGAATTTCACCTACAATATTCGGACAAAATTCAGGAGAATATACGTCGGATTCAAGGAAGCAAGCCTACCCATATAGTCCATAATACATGCCTTGGGAGGTATTTTTTGCGCTGCAAATAAACCATATTGCCCACAAGCTGGATGGGAGGAGACCATTATAGGTCGAATAACAACCTTGCAGTTCCTTGTCTGCGTTATCTTTTGTGCAGGCGTTGGCGATTCGACTATGAACTGTCGCGCTGAAGAGGTTACTGATTGGTGATAACAAGGAGATATAATGTACTGGATATGTTTTGGCCAATGTAATGGCTGCGATTTCACCTTGGACGGCATTCCATGAAACAGTTTAGAGGCAAACGTTTACACCAGGGCAAGACGACACCAAGTTGAATATTGAATGTTGAACGTTAGGTCTTGACCAAGTTTTGACACTTTGAGTGTGCTCACTGCCACTAACTGTGGGAATTTTTAATCTCACGTCGTTGCATAAACCTATTGCATACACTCATCTGCCTTGGTGAACCCACTTTTCTTATGGGCAGATCCGCAACAAAATCCGTTGCTCGGGTATATTGCGACGTCAATGCTCGGTTAGGTCCTTCGTGGCATGAATATGGTGCGACCTTATCTTCATTGTGAACACCCCATCGTGACACCCTCCAGATAACCTACAGGTTCAATGGGGATCGCAAGATCATTACGAGATAGTTCGAAAAGTCGGGCGAGGGAAATACTCTGAGGTTCGGACGTCAGCTGGCGACTATCATCGGCCAATACTCATCCTTGTCTGCTACGCTTGCGTAGGTGTTCGAGGGCGTGAACGTGGTCTCTGAAGAAAAATGTATTATCAAAGTGTTGAAGCCCGTTAAGAAGAAAAAGATCAAGCGCGAAATCAAGATTTTGCAGAATTTGGCCGGGGGCCCCAATGTTGTTGCTTTGCTTGATGTCGTCCGCGATCCCGCATCCAAGATTCCAAGCCTAATTACCGAATACGTTCACAACGTCGATTTCAAAGTCCTATACCCCCGCTTTACAGACTTGGATGTTCGCTTCTACATGTTTGAGCTTTTAAAGGTACCAGTCGACAACTTTGGCACACGTTGGGCTCATTAACGATTTACTAGGCACTTGACTATTGTCATTCAAAAGGCATCATGCATCGAGATGTGAAACCCCACAACGTGATGATAGACCATGAGCATCGCAAAGTAAGATATTTTTTGAATCCTCTTCATATCATCATTCATCATCGTGTAGCTTCGTCTCATCGACTGGGGCCTGGCTGAATTCTACCATCCCAAAACGGAGTATAACGTTAGGGTGGCATCCCGCTACTTCAAAGGCCCCGAACTTCTTGTGGACTTTCAAGAATACGATTATAGTTTGGACATGTGGAGTTATGGTTGTATGTTTGCTTCGATGGTAAGTGCCGCTCCCCTTGAACGGCTTCCGTGCTGACACTACGGCAGATTTTTCGAAAGGAACCCTTCTTCCATGGACACGACAATTATGACCAACTCGTCAAAATCACGAAAGTCCTAGGCACTGATGAATTGTATTCTTACATCGACAAATATAACATCAGGCTTGATTCCCAATACGATGAACTTCTTGGAAGGTACGCCCCCTATCAACTAAATGCCTCGGCAGTTTGAGACAAGCTCTTGGTCCAGATATCCAAGAAAACCTTGGACTCGTTTTATTACCTCGGAAAATCAGCGTTATATTTCGAACGAGGCTATTGATTTTCTCGATAAACTTCTTCGCTATGATCATCAAGAGCGATTGACAGCACGGGAAGCCCAATCTCAACCCTACTTTGGTGAGTTCTACCAAGTTGCGTCAATTAGAATCTTGTTTCAACGGCGACTGCTTTGTTGTAGATCCCATCCGGACTGAGAGCCCCGCCACCGCTGTTGATGGAGAGAGCGACTCAGCGTCCTCAGGATGATTGATATCCATGGATTTCCCGCACTGTATTCTCCCTACATGTTTCATGTACGTCTTAAGTATCTATAGAGCTTGTCTTATCTAGCTTCTCCGATAATTCCTTAAAATAGCGTCTTATGGTCATGGTATGTTCCTTATTTTGAAGACTTGTCAATACGTTGCTAATAGCGTTTTAACCGAAGATACGTCGGGAATGTTCCGGCCTGTTAGTTACTTCGGACAGCAATAGTGTATCAAGCGTGAAGTCCGAAGCTTTTTGATCAGAGGTTCAACCGTTTCCTTGATGCCATGGGTCATGTCGATCTTTCTCGCTATAAAACTGCAATTTTGTATTGAGCAGCGGTTTTCCTCAGGTTCAATTCACTCCAGGATAGTCATGGTATGTTCCTTATCTTGAAGACTTGTCAATACGTTGCTAATAGCGTTTTAACCGAAGATACGTCGGGAATGTTCCCGCCTGTTAGTCACTTCCGACAGCAATAGTGTATCAAGCGTGAAGTCCGAAGCTTTTTGATCAGGGGTTCAACCGGTTCCTTGATGTCATGGGTCATGTCGACCTTTCTCGCTATAAAACTGCAATTTTATTTTGAGCAGCGGTTTTCCTCAGGTTCAATTCGCTCCAGGATGCATCCACTCGCACTGCTGACCATAGGATTCCAAGCCCTCAACGTTGTTGCCTTCAACAACAGTCGACGCGACAACGTACGCCCTCTTCAAACCTTTCTCGCCATTTCATTGATTATCTCGAGATTTAGTTGGTGGTGTAAGCATTGATATCGGAAATTGTAGCTTTGGTATCACATAATTCTATTTTCAGCTACTGGGGCCAAAGTTCGAATACAACTCACCCTCAGCACCGACTAGCTTTCTATTGTGCAGTATGTCTCCATTCGGTGTCTTGATTTCGGGGAATTCACAACACACATGAAGGACAATGTCATTGACGTTTTTCCTATTGCATTTCTTCACAAGTTTCTCGGAACCGGAGGCGCTCCTGAAATCAATCTCGCCAATGTTCGTAAGGTTTTCCCCCTCTTCCGTCACGATTCACTGGAATGACAATCATAGACATGTAACCCCGGGGAAAATGGTACTTTTCCTGGAACGAGCCTCATAAACTGTGCTTCCCTTGCACCGGATATCACTAGTTGCCAGGCAAAAGGGAAAATTATCACGTTGAGTTTAGGAGGGGCTGAGGGCTCCTTCGGCTTTCAATCTAGCAGTCAGGCAACGGCATTCGCCCATACCATCTGGAATATGTTCCTTGGTGGCAGCTCCGCGACTCGCCCGTTTGGGCATGCAGTTCTTGATGGGTATGCATTGAACGTTGAAATTCTTACCTCGCTAATCTTTGTTAGAATTGATCTTGATTTTGAGAACGGAACCTCAGATTACTTCGCCACATTTGTAAACACAATACGTTCCTTGGAAAAGGGCACAGATAAAAGGTGTGTGACGGCCTGAATAGATGGTATGAATGTGTTCTGATTGCCCTACCAGATATTATATCACCGCTGCACCTCAATGCACCTCCCTGGACAGTGCCTGGAGCGGCCTTCTCAATTCAACAAGTTTTGATGCAATTTATGGTAGGCTAGGCCATACTCCTGTTTGTCCATTTTACCGACTTCTTTAACAGTCCAGTTAGTACTTAGCCAATAATTCGACCGACTCATGATTGCTACTCACCACGATCATTAGATTTTACAACAATCCTTGTGGACTCCAGAACTTCGGCTCAGCATCGGTGGGTGGGTACCATGCGTCCTTTGATCAGATCTAACCGCGATTTAGTATTGGAACTTTGGCCTTTGGTGAGGACAAAGTCTAATAGCGTCAACTTGAACATCCAACGATGTCATTGATAGGGATCATTGGGCCCGAAAAACGAGTCTTAACAAAAACGTCAGGGTGTTGATCGGAGCACCTGCTTCAAGTGGCGCTGCACAAGGGGGCTACGTCAGTGTCAACACTCTAAGGAACATTACGGTCCAGATGCGAAAGAGCTTTCCGTCATTTGGTGGTGTAATGTTATGGGACGCGTCGCAAGCCTACGGTAACTGAAATTGTGGATTCACCAATGAAATCTCATTGGGGCAACAGCCAACAACAGATACGACAAAGCCATTAAAAGTGCACTCTCCGCCGCGGAAGGAGCAAGCTATAAGCTTCCCATTTGCTTTGCGCCTGCATACGCCATTGGAATTGAGTACCCTGCCAGTTCGGAGGTTTCCTTTGAAGGGTAAGTCTTACCCATTGATTCGCAAGAGCAGCATTGACGATCTATTAAATAGATATATTTGGCAGGTTAGGCTCCGAGTGAATATATAAGTTAAGCTTCTAATCTCCGTATATTATTAGGCTAAATGGTCCTCCTCGTCCAAACCAACAAGCGATCCGAATGGTGATTGGAGTCCAAGTAGGTCGAGTTTTGTACTTTCAATGGACCAGGCTAAGAAGTCCCAGTCAGCGCGTGCAGGGGCACTGCCGCGTCATCTCACTCGTTGAACTCCACGTCCGTTTGCGACGGGATCGCTGCGTGGTCGAGTAGTGTAGCGTATCTTGGTGGAATGCAAGTCTTGTATAGGTAACGCAACTTCAATTTTCTAATTTTTTTAACTAAAGCGCCATCTGATATGCATCAGTCACCATCTGTGGACTGCCAAGTGGGGCACTCGTGCCAACGTTCCGGGAGGTCTGTTCTTTCTCTCTCCTCGAATATTCTGGTCTCTCTCTGAGTCGAATTAGGCGCCGCCCATGTCTGGACTAACAACGAAGCTTGTACTTCGTCCGCGTTGCATCACGTTAGCACCACATCTAGCTTTCCGGCCACTAGCACATCTTCCCTTCCTGCACCCGACTACTAAGAGGTTTACCTTGGTACATTACAGCATTTTGTGACTTGTCTGAATTTCATTATTTTTCGAGATAGGACTGATAATATTTGTGTAAAAAAGTGTGATACACCATGCTACCGTGTGAGGAGTCTTTCTCTGTGAATGCGAGATAAGCAGCGCTCGTGTCTTAAAACCCATCACAGTCGGGCATAATCGGGTCAAGTAAACAACCAGGTGTTTAAACAATTCTTCCGGGAATGTATGTACTTATCCATTAAATTCCAGTAGGGAATCACTCCAGACGGATGAGCGTCGCATTTGCGAGGGTATCGTGTAGGAGCAATACACAGAGATGCATTTCAGGCAGGGACAGAAAGTATTCGGCTCTCGCAAGGGTCGACGGGTCAGGATAGGAGCGCCAAAGTCGAATTCAAGCAGAGCCATTGGGTGGAGGGTGGTCAGGGGGTGTTTGAAAGGGTGGCTGTTGGATGCGACGGGGCAGAGTGCTGATTGCGAACCGAGTCCTATGTGCTTTACCAATGCCAAAAAAAATGGTGACGCAAGATGCAGCAGTGGCCCGAATCGATTCACGAAGTCTGTGGAGGGAACTTGTTCAAAGAGGGCCACAATAATTCGAGATTGTCTTGGAAAGGTAGGACATCCTTTGGAGTCCATCTATAGCCTTCAGATTCCAGCGTTACGAGATTTATTGGCTGTCGGGGGTGTGTGTCTCCGATGCCAGTTAAATGGATCTTTTTGCGCCTTCCGTCGGATTAATGTTTATCCTGGGGTTGCCACGACCCCTACCACGGCCTCTCCTGGGCCGTGGCCGAAAACCGATGTGGTCCGAGTGAGATTGCTGAGAGGAATCCGTGGTGGGCGCTGTCGAGCTGCTGACTTGGGGAGAAGGAGAAGGAACCAAAGGCCCATAGTGTGAAGGAGCAACGCTCGCGGAGAATTGACGATTGCTTGAAGCAGAATTCTCCGCATTTCTAGGCCCCCGAAAAGAAGGGTCTGGTGCTTGGGGTCGGGAGGAAACAAATCTTCCCGCTCGTCCACGTACACGAAACGGTCTCTCGTTCAACCTGTTTTCTAAGTTGTTATCTGGTAATTGTGAAGGTCCCGACGAGTTGTTATTGGCTTCGTCGTCCGCGGCCTTGGGTTCTTTCGAAACACGGGGGGGAGGGGGAGGGCCAGGATCATAAATTGGATTGTAAGCACGCCACTGCTCTCCTGAAGGCTGACAGAGCCGACCTCGGACAGAATCGAACGTATACCAAACACTCTTTGGAGGCGTTGAGGATGAATTCACCATCGCGATGAGCCTCCTATAAATTGTATATCCCGCATGTGCGTCATTGGCTGCATCTGACAGAGGTCAAACAAATTAGCGTAGCTTCTTAGGCGGGAGCAGTAGGCATCTCACATAATTGTTGTGGATCGCGCAGTTGACCCTCCCAGTTACTCCGTGAGATCTTGCCTTTGCCAAGTAGGCGATATTCGTACGATTCAATGACTCTAGCAAGACCGAGAGAGGAATTATATTTCCCTTTCCATCGATCATTATCAATGGATCGGGCAAGCAGAGAAAGGTCCACGCAGTTGTATGTCGAAACCTGGTGATCTTTATATAGCTTCTGGGTATCGTCTGGTGAAATCGGTCAGATAAGATATTTTTGGATCTTGACTGAAGAACTAACGTTGGATGGCGACGCCAACTTTTAGAAAGTCAGAGCTACCGAGTATTTCTTCCAGTTTGGTCGGGAATTCTGTACATAATGGGGGTTGCGATAAGAAATTACGAAAGTGTGTGAGATCAAAGGCATTTACCTTTCATCGCACTGATCTGGAGCAGAAGAATTGTTTCGTCGTTAGCCAGCTGCACCAAAGCGACCGGATTCTCCCCCTCTCCCTTGACAAAATTCGGTTTCCATTCGAGGTCGAAACCAAATGCGCCAGGTGTAAGGATTGACAACTCCTTATTTGCTAGCTCAGCATCCTGAATATACAGTAGCTGGGCATCTGGACATCGTTCTTTCCAGGAATAGGATAGGGTTGGGGCTGGGCGGGGTGGAGTCTTTTCGAAGAGGGAAAAACTAGGCGGGTCCATTGCTTGGTAATTGCTGAGGGGGAACTCTACGTAATCGGGTGGCTAAGAATATTTTTTTGAATGGCGTGTACCTTGCGTGTACTTTGAGCGGTTGTTCTTAAAATAAAAGGTGTGAACACGGCCAAAATACGGAGGCTTGGCGAGATATGGAAGCTGAAAGATGTTCAGCCGGACCCCATGCGATGATAAGGAGTATGAACTGAGCATTATGTAGTATTTTTTTTCAGTAACGCTGGCGTTGTGGCCGTTGTGGATTATCCTTTTGTGAACGCTTGGGTGGCTTGCACAACGCCCAAGTTGCGGAGTCACACTGTTGTGACGGTAGGCTGAGACAGCCAAGGTCAACCAGGCAGGCACAAAATTCGTTGGCACTGTTGGCATTGTATTGGCATTTCATGTGGGACTCATGCCAGAGTCCGCACAACTACCTCTCGACGTCTTTCAGCATCTTCCTCGCCAGCACTCTCCTCTTCTATCAGCTTCTCTCTTTCCTGCTGTATGCTTTCTGACGCATGCCTACGCATGCGGGCCTGCGGCCGTCTATTCTTGGCTGCCGTTTTTAAAATAGCGACGAAAAGTCTTGGCAAAATCTCTTGGTAGGCTAACAAAAATAGATCACTGCTGCAAGGCATAAGAACAACCCTCTAGGCAGCTCTCTAATTCTTGGCCCCATCGCACCCTCCTGTTTGCCATGAATTCCGTCGCCTCTTACCACCATCCCCGCTCTGAGTGCTCCTCCACTCCCTATTGCCATCCAGATGACTTCGACAGGATGATCTCCTCCGCAAAATCAATTCTCGACCAGGTTTGCCCCCTTTGCCTTCCCATTGCCTGGTAAAATAATCCAGGGTCGCAGGCGCCTCCCCCTACGCTTCGTGAAATTCTTGGAGCATACCGATCTAAAGGCGACGGCGACCGTGATATGTTGCTCGCAATGTTAAACGCCAAAGCTGCAGAGGACCAGGTTAGCCACAGTGGCGGTCGTCGTCTTGTCCCTCGCTTACGTCGTATTATAATAGCGGTTAACTTCTATGGCATCTCTGCAACGATCTGTTCTTGAAGTTTACCATCACTCTTCCGACCATACCGAACCTCCGACGCGCCACATTAATGGAAGTCATGACCACTATTCATCTTACACACAACCTTCGCGTCCGTGTGAGCAACGACCTCGACGTGTGCACCAGAGCCGTGGCAGCCGCTCTCCACGTCGCCCTCCTTCGCATCTGCCACCGATTGATTCAAGGTCCCTCCTCTTGGATCATCCACGAAAACGACGTCGTTCATCTCAGTCACCGCATTCTTCTCCTGCAGCCGTTTACGAAGCGTCACATTCATCTGAACAATTTCCTCCCTCCCCGTATTCATCGTCCGACCGCAGTGACTCTGCAGAATACTCACCGCGCACAAGAGCTTCCATGGCCATTGGCTCCTTGTTATCATCAGGGCCAAGACGAGAAATTAACGAGGATGCATCCCAAGAACGGGATTAATTGCAGGAACCAGTTCATATAAATCCAATCCATGCCCTTATTTATTTCATGTTTGTTGTACTACTGGCCATCACCTATCTTACTGCAACTGTTTTGTTCTCTTTCGTGCACCAGCGATTTAGATGTAATTTATTTAATTTTTCTACTAGTAGCCTTGACTTTTGCATTCGAAAGGTGGCGTGTCAAAGCAAATATCCAAGCAAGTCTGGGCATGAAATTCCTTGTGCAAGCAGTATTCTTGGCAAAGGTGCATTTTTAGACAGATAACTACCGGGCCCCTTGGCCGCCATGTAGATCCGACGTGAATGGTTTATCGCGCTTGGCGCAGAGTGGCATCCCAACCACAAGAATATGTAGTATATATTTTCCGCAGCAAAGATTCTATTTCTTTATTTGTTTTGTTTTTAGTGCTATAATTTGGGCTTCTGAAAACCGGTACCGCCGAACTATGAGCGGAGCCAAAGCTATGTGACGCTATTTTTAGATTTGTGAAGAAAGCACGTGATGAACGTGTCAGTGGCTGTGCTTGGTTCTCAAATCCAGAACGCAACCCCTCGACGAGCACGAAGATGTCCGATGACGAATTCGACAACATTCCGGATGATTTTGCTGGTGTCGAAGGCGTTGATTGGGATCAAATCCTAGCTGCACCATCCCGAGTTTCACCGACAATCGATGTTCTGGAACACACCCCTTCTCAGCCTCGGAGCACGGAATCCCTCGAACTTGAAGAAATGGATGATGTATTTCTGGCTGAGCTGGATGCTGTTGAGCAGAGAGTTTATCAGGAAATGCAAGCAGGGTCGTCTAGGTCGCAAACCCATGGCCCAAGTATGCACACTCGCACAATTGTGGTTGCACAGGCTGTTACCAGTACGCCTTTTCTGCTGTTGAATCGTATCCCAAAGGCAGCTGACTATCAGATCAGGCAACTGTACCACAAGTGATTGTACCAGCCAAGAGACCATATCAGCCACCATCTCCAAAGCAATGTTACCCATCGCCAATAAAGAAAGGGAAGATGAAGGAGAATGCAAATGTGGATTTGCAGCAAGTCCTGGGCAGCTTTGAAGATGAATTGACTTGTCCTATGTGCGTACATAACCTTTCGACTTCTCATGATGTCCTGATTTCCAAGAAAGATGCTGCGACATCTTGTATGTTTCTCTCATGCAATTTGGGTCTCAATAACAGACGACCGAGACAGGGCTGCCTCCCATGTAGCCAATCCTTGCGGTCATACTCTGTGCGGTGATTGCGGGTGGCAATGGAACGTCAAGAAGGCAAGCCATGGAGTTCCCTTGAGTTAATCCCATTACTCATTGTGCAGCCAGAAAAATAAAGGGTGTCCCATATGCCGAACAACTCTCTCAAAGTCACAGCCACTAATACCGAACATTGTAATGGACAACATGGTGGAGAAACACATCAAGGTTCTAGCGATTGGTGATGAAGATTGGCAGATAGGTGGGAAAAAATATAATGAATGGGGTGCACGGAAAGAGTAAGCAGGGTCAAATATTTTGTGCATTGGCGCTGATGGTACCCCGGGTAGACAATGGAAGCATGACTCGAAAGAGAGAACAGGATACAAGACTAAGAAATGCAAATACCACGGCAACATGATTGACCTGAGTATTTTCGAATACCAGGTGCCAGACGATGAAGACGACGGTGACTTTGAGCTTGATGAGATAGACGATGGAGGACAGGATTTGATACCCGCAACCCCGCGCAGGAGGCTGACGCGACGAACCAGAATGCTTGTGCCACCGTAGATGAGTGTGATGTCATTATTCATGAATGACATACAAGTTATGACGACAAGACCCAAGTATGATCGCGATCGGTCTCATCTTCCTTCTTGTCCCCAATGCCAATGTCCATCGTCTTCACCCCCTCGTTGGGTGACAATCTCCAGCTCACAGTCCCTTCTATTCAAGACACTATTACACTGCGTTTCACTGCCCAACTCAGCGCCCAGCTTCATGCTCAACTCAAACACGACCGCGGTCGCGTCCAGCTGTGGTCCGACCTACCTTCCCTTGCCCATACATCCGGCGGTAACTGGTGTGAATTCGACTTCGAGGAGACAATTGTTGATGACTCGCCCAATCGCAATGCCGTAAAGATGTCTCTTACTGCGAGTCCCAACTCCTTGCACACGACCACCGAACACTTCCTAACTCTTCAGGTTGCAATACCCACTGCGATCCGATCTCAACAAGTCCAATGCTCGTTCACCTATAGATTGGTTTACCCATCTGGCGAGGTGAAATGGCTGGGACTGTTTGGTCAAAACGGGACCTTGGTGCTAACCCGGGCACATGACTTGGACCCATCAACGAACACTCTTTTTTTGTTGGATGGATGGAAGTCAACGATCGGAAATACGCGCGAATATTATGCATCAGGGAGCGAATCCACGCCAGTGGAGATTGCGAGGTTTGCCCCAATGGACTATCGCGTCTGGGCCTTTGGGAGCGAGAGGTAACGTTCCCCAACCTTTGTAGTCTCCGACCCGCTGAGACATTTATCTTTGCAGGCTTCTTTCCGAGCCAAAAAATGCCTCGATGTTATTTCTCGTGCCGTGTCAACGGGATGATCATTCCATGGTTGTCTCCCCAACTTATACTGTGACCGCTTCCCCAGGGACTCTCCTGGACGTCTCGTTTACAGGCAGCATCACGCACTCTTCTTCTCAACCCAGCACAGTATCGCTCCAAACACGCGGCAGTAGCGAAGACCCAACTACCTTCTTGAAGAGAGTCCTCGACAATACCAATATACGCCTTCTCGCCTACGTCGAGACTCATGCAATTCTTGGGTCGGTTCAGGATCAAATTCCCGTCCAAGTCGCCATAATTCCCATGGAAACTAGGAAACTAAGCAACCAAATCAGCCTTGATCTCGCCGACCTGGCCTGTACTCTACCTTCCGATGCGACCGATTTTTCCATCTTTTCGCCCCTCAGCCTGGATATCCGTTTTTTAACATTGCCTCTTTCTGAGAATGGAACCCTCTCATTTGAAATAGATTCAACTGGAAGCGACTTTTTGCTCAGTCCCGTTCACAGCTTCTTCCCCACCAAAAGCTCGACGACAAACGGGTTTTGGAAAATGACAATTTTATGTCCACACAAGCCATCCATCAAGCCACTCAGAGATCTCGATATCCTTCCCACTCCTCCCCCTTCCCCCCGCCGACGACCTATTGTCAAGCCATCAGTTTCTTTTGCTCCAATTGATACTGTGATAACTCCGCTGCCATCGCGAGTTTCAGACGTGGGCTTTTCACCCCGTGAACGCGAGCGCTATCTCTTTCCCAACGATTCTCCCACTTTATCTGGATGGATGACACGTCCCAACAAAGAGCCGCCCCGAGAGAGTATTTATAGCCTTATCAAATACCTTTGCGCTACTTTTGGCGTATTCGTATCAGTGCTCTATCGCCTATTTGGAGGTTTCATCCCAGACATAGACTCGGATCAGGAAGAGACTGACGATGAAGCGGACGGAGATTGTGTCGTCAATCCTGATGACGAGGAAGGCTCGCATGACGATATCGTTGTGGTAGATTCGGACCCCTTCGTTCCCAGTGCGGTTGTCTCTCCCACTCAGTCAATTGGTTCGACACAAGACACGTCACAGGATGGTGACAACACTAGGCAGATTTCAGCCGCCCAAACTTGGAGCGACCAAGCTTTGCCTAAAGCCGTAATCTCCTCGTCATCGCCCGAGTTTTATGCGGAAGTCATGGATGAAGTGGGACAAATCACAATTGCCTTTACCAGAGTGTCATTGGATGAAGACGTCAACACTGTCTTCAAAACAAACCCTAACTCGATTGCCCATGTTGTCGAGCTCAACGGCAGAGTTCTGCATGGCGCTGTTAGAGAACTTGCTGCCGAGAGCGTCGGGGGCCTCACGCCCCCAACTACCTTCTTCCTTCTCAACTTGTGTGTCGTGAACGGGGGGTTGATAAAGATATCTCCTGCAAAATTGGATGGCCCGTGGCAGTGAAAAATGGGAATGATCAATGAACATCGCCTCGTCTTGCAGTGATTGAATCGATGCATCTCAACATCTTGTACTCTATGAATAGATTTGATTATATATCGACTGAAACCTGAATGTCCAACGAAGACAATCCAGTGCTTGGGGATTCACTTCTTCGGCGAAGATGATTCATAACAATGTTATCCTTGTTAGTGATACAGACATGATACAGAAATGGCCTTGATCTGGTAGATATGGAATGATGAGTGGGCAGTCTTGGTAATGCTGGCCTATTTGGTCGCAAATTTTACGTGTCCTCGAGGTTGTCGTGGCTGAAATCTCTTCTCGATCTAGCAGAAAGACCATCGGTGCTGTAGCTTGAAATGGCCTGCGCAACGATGTCATCGAGCATCTCTGGAGAAAGGTCATATTCGGAGCTTCGAACAAATATTGCATATGCGGCTAAAATCAAGACCTAAGAATGGGTGTAAGATGCAGAAGGAGAAGGAAACTTTACCGTCTTCTATCTTCTCCAAGGACTGTGCAGTCACGTACTGCTTTTTTTTGAGCTCCCACACGTAGGGAGTCAGACGCTCAAAATCTATGATTAATTAGCATCAAAGAATCCACTAAGACCGATTCCACCCTCGCCTGATTTGCAGCCCCGAACAAAGGCGCAAACTTCGCTGGCTTTCTTGCGACCGCCTCTTCGAGAGATGCCAGAGATGGCATATCGCATAAGTTCGCCCGTCAAATCTGATAAGCCCAAAAGGTAGTCTGAAATTGTCAATGGAAAGTACTAGAAGGGGAACATGAGCGCGTATGCAAGATAAATCAAGTCAATTACTTACAGGAATGCCTTGGCTATCAGCTAATGTCCGCTGGACTTGATCAAAGGTGATAAGCGATCCATACTCCAGGTAGTGTGCGAAGCCCAGTGCCTCGATGTATTCCTGAAGGCCGGGCGAAACCTGACTCTGGTACCGCCAGAACCTGTCACCCTCCAACTCTTGCTTGAGTCCAGCATAAATGGTTTGAACCTCGACAAGTTTTTCTCTGCCACGCAATGCAGCACGCTTCCCGGGTGCATTGTCTACTGTGGATATATTTGAATCTTCCATCATGAGTCGGTGAAGTAGGAAGATTGTCTTCTTTGATAGGTTGGTGACATCGCGACTTGCCTTTTGGTGGGTGAATTAACGTTTTCGCGGGTACACAAGGAAGGGTAAGTACCTTGATGAGACGCTCTCTTCTGTCGTTGTGGTCGTCAAGATCTGCTCTGAAGTTGTCAAAGAGCTCAAGTTCATCGTTCGTTGCCGACATTGCCGCCATAAAATAATCACGTGGATGCTGCGATCTCAGTTGATGGTGACGCTTCTTTGCCAAGGTCAAATCTCTCCCTGCCGCGCTCGCCAGTCTCTGCAACGCCGTCTATCTCGCTGCAACGTTCATCTCGCCATCACTCATGGCTTTTGCCCCCAAACTTGGCTGTCCTATGTGCAGCATCGTATCGGCTGCGTCGCATGCCACTCCTAATTCGCCCCGTTCCCCTTCGTTTCCCCCAGGCTCAACGCAACCCGAAGTTTTATGGCGCGACGACAACTTTACAGCCTATAAAGAAAAGGCAAATCCTGTTTCCAGTCAGGGGCATATCATTGTAGCCTTCAAGTAAGCGGTTCCATCATTGCATCTAAAGACGTGTGTTCATTCCAGTTGCAGTTTGCATGTACCATCAATATATACCCTTGTACGTCCTTTACAATTAGCTCGCCATCTCCACTCACGCGATCCATTTTTTTTCAACCTAGTCGTCCACTGACCTACCACTCCTCGTCAACGTACGAAATCTTGCCACCCGTCTGCTTGCCTCATTCCTCACCCCATCTTCACCGCCTACGCCCTCCGTTCTCCCTCCTGTTCCCAAAGATTCAAACCAACAATTCCGTATTGGTTTTATCACACCCCCTTTTAAAGACAACAAAATTCCTATAACCGATCATCTGCATGCGCATGCTTTCATTGGTCCCCCCGATTTGATGGGTTGGTGGAGGGGTATCGCGTATGGGCCTCTGGCTTGGTACTCTATCGAAGATTTGATCGCTGAGATTAGGTCCGTTGCGTACCGTGTATCACTCTCCTTCTTCTTACTTTATTTCGGTTTTCCAGGGAATCGGTTTCAAATAATCGCGTCAAGTCGGGTTATGAAAATCGTCAGAGAGCACCTATCGACATGGTTCCTCAAGCCGGCGCACGAGCTGGTACGGCAGACGGAATTGAGACAACCGAACCTGGACTGGCAAACCTGAACGATCTTGAAGACGGCCAACGAACTCCAGTTACTCTAGGTCCGCGGTCACCGAATTCTTTGTCTCCCCAGAGTCAGATACCCCACTTACGCGTTTAAGTGCTGAGATTATTGTATGCGAGGGACAGTTGGACATGCAAATTTCTTAGCCATATTGGGCCCCACTGTCATCTCCTTGCCCGTGGACTTTTCAGAGAGATATGGCATTTATATACCATAGGGCGCCATTTTTTATTTTAAGTTGTAAGAATTCTCGTTAGATTACATGCGAAGCAGTAGGTAAATACTTATGCATCTGTAAATCATGGTCAGCGAATATCCGTAAAAGTGGTTTCGGCCATACAGTATGACGATCCTGTAAGCAGAGTTGAAAGTGCAACAAGCTGATGATCGTCAAATCGTTTCGAGTCTTCATGCCACGTATCTTGGTGCGTCCTCTTGAAGTTGCTCGCGCACTTTCGGACTGTTGTGGAGATGGGGATCTGCATAGAACAATGAGTTAACGAGCATGCATCACACATGTTGTCAGCTCACTGGATCATATGTGTGCTCTGCTAAAACATTCGTCAGAAGCTCTGGCATCCACTTCTCTACAGTATATGGATAACTGTCGACGAGGGCACAAATGCCCAAGATGGCCGCGTGACGTCGCCTTACCGCAGTGTTGTAGCTTGGATCTTGTCGGTGGGGAATGAAACTATTCTTAGCCAGTCGAACAAACCGGTCCTTTGGCAGGCGCGGGGACAGTTAGTTTGGCCACGGTTCATCCCAAAAACTTACTTTGAGAGTGATGATGCTGCGCCGCGGCGACAGACGGAGAATGCCCGACAAGGTGCTGTGAAATAGATGAGCATAACAATGACACTGGGATGGAGTCAATCACTCACCGAGCTGCCATTTCCCTAACTTCCACGACTTCGTCATCTAAGCATTGACATAAAACCTTCATAACCTCTCAAAATGCTTATCAAAAATGAAGGTAAAAGATCTAAACCTCTAAAATCTCTACTATCTTGATATCTCTGATCAGTGGGACCTGACGGAAATAGAAGACTTGAGAGGAGATAATCAAAAAACCACGTTTCACGGGAATGAGGGAGGGAGGAATATCGAACCTTGCACAAGGGGTAGAGCCTTTAACCGAACCCTCCAGGACTGCAGTCAGCAGTGTAAGCGTTGCTGCAAGGGCATCCAAAAAGTAAACACGAACGGGCGACCTCCTGATAGCTTCAAAAATTGCATCGAGAAGTGGATCGATGAGTGGCACAGGAGGAGTCACCCCGCACATTCGAACGAGTAACGTGCTTGCGCGGGAAGCGAGTTCATTGTTGTCATTTACTGGGAGGTGGAATATAAGGTTCCCTGTGACGATTCGCAATGAAATAGTGTACCTTCCGTGAACCGGAAGAGCTCAGGCTACATGCAACAAGATTAACGGATGCATATTTTTGGGAGAAGAACACTTACCATTAAAAGGAGAATGTAATCAAAAGTAGATATCGCATGAAGATCGTGGATTGACTGATACAGCCACTTGCAAACCGTGATTCCCACTCTAAAACCATCGATCAGTTAGCGTTTGCACCAAGAAAGTCTCCACGGTACCGGTCGTAGGTTGATTGAAAGGCACGAACACCTGGTGTACGTTCTGAGCGCCAAAGTTGAAATCGATCGACGAGTTCCACCACTCTTGCGCGATGGTAAGTTCCCCGTATCCCCATAATGTCGTAGTCTGCGGGAAGGCGAGAACACTCTCGCACGAAGACTTCTACGGTTGGAAGCGACGGCTTGGGGAGCCACTGACACCCAGTCAAGATCTCACGCGCATCCAAACAAAGCGAGATCTACTACACACCTTAATATTCTCAGAAAAGGCCAGGATTTCGCTGATGAAGGCGCGGACCTGTATCAATCAAGTTTAATCAAAATTGGTGATGAAGCAATAAAATTACTTACATCGTCGTGTTCGCTATGAATCTCAGCCCAAGATCTCCGTACTGCATCGTCAACCCATGGGGAAAATTTCCTTCCTAGTTCCTCGTAGAATGACCTGAATAGCGAGATGATTTTCACAGCATCAAAGGACATCTCCGCATTGTAATCCATAGAGTTGAATGATTCCATTAGAAAATCAACGATGGGCTGTATACGTCGAGGATCTTTGTGATAAAACATGTACTGTTGCGCGAAACTCAACTGGTCCATAAGCAAGCAGCCAAAAAAAAAAAACCAACCTCCAAGAAAGACGTCCAGATCATCAGAGTGTCAGATTTTATGTTCTGGCTTAGGAGAATAGGTATGTTGGGAGTAAACCATACCCAGAGTTTCTTTTGCTTGTTAAGAGGCCAGTGCTTCGACCCTACGCAATGTGAGACATCGAAAACTTACTCGATATTTAATATGACTTGCCTCCAAGGACACCTGCGAGAAGTTCCGCTGCGGCACGCTGCTTATTCTGATCTTTATCACTTATCAATTTCTCCACCACAGGCTTGAAGGCCTCAAACGGTTCATCTTCAAGAAGTTGAACTACGTCGCTTTGAGTCAGTGAAAAATCAACAAGAATCGGCCAGACTCACATATGGATTTGACACAGGAAACATTGTCTTGAACGATGGTCGTTTCATGATTTTCCTCTGAATAGTACGTAGAAACAGTTTCCCAGTATGTGGGGTCAGTGACAAGTTCCCGAACAACTTCAATAGCATCTGCACTGGCGGATTCCCATGGACTGAAAGTAGATGCTACAGCGTCGGGCAAAATGTCGACGCAAATTGAGTTCGGCCAAGCAAGCCACCCAGGGGGATTCTTGTCGAAAAACACTCTGAGCAAACGTCAACATGGGTCGTTTGAAAAATGGGTCACGCGTATGTTTACTGACTGTGTTTCGCCCTTCTCTGCCCAGTTGATTGGCGTTCCGAATCTATGCAGGAACTGTTCCGTCAGCTGTTGGGTGGGGCGAATAGCTATATTCCTTTTCAGAGGGTTTTGGCAGTGAGCTACTGCGAGTTCCAGAGGACCGGAGCAATAAGTCCTTAATTTAATGTTTCGCAAGCTCTTCATAACGGCTCGTTGCGCGTACTACAGATCATGAGGACAATAAAGAGCCAGCCTTGTTAATCGAACTCACGTAGCGCTACACGTTCGTACAGTCAGATTCCATTGAGAAGAAAAAAAGCAGTCGGGCGTACAATGTCTGGGTGGTCATCATGAACCTTTTTTAAGAAATACCGTATCTGTTCTCCTTTCAAAGGCATGTCCTTTCGAACAAGAGTTCGCAAACATCGAGTAGCATATATCCCATATCGCCAGTGGGTTTGGGAAGAGTTGCCAATGTTTAGGACGGATTCATTCTGTAATTTGCATTTTGAGCGTCTGACCGTTTGAAGGCGAAGGTTAAAGTTACTTACAATCTCCTCGATGGCCTCGTCATTGAGACGAACACGTTCAATACGTTGGTTGCGACAACGGGCAGTCAGACCGTTTTCACTTGTCCCAAAAACAAGAATCCTTTTCAGGTTCACCAAAGCTTCGTCCATGGCAGGGTTGGGCACATCGTACATCAAATTGCAGGGCTCGACAAAGCTGTTGAGGCCTGAAGAGGTAGGTGTGAGCGTGAGGTGTAGGAAATATCAATTTGTCTCTCACAGTTATCGAAGACAGTCGCCACGCAGTCTTGAATAGAGGGCTGTCAAACTTCGTTTTCAAAGATTATTTATAACCAAGGGCCAATATAAACCTTTTCATTATGTTGACAACCGAAAAGCTTTGCCACTAAATCCTTGGCCAGAGTTGGTTCTGCAAGACAAAATATGTAAGTAGATTTAATACAAATGGCCCTGAACTGTACCAGAGATTGCATGCTTTCCGAATGACGGGCAATTGATAGTCCAGAGTGCACCTTTCATACGATCATCGTCATTTCTCGGTTCCAATGCTTCGATTAACCGGGGGAGTGCCCGACGCCTAACACCGTCGTAGATCTGAAAATCAAAAGCAAAGGGTGAGTTAGGTACCACGAGGAAGAGGTAGACGTAATGGAATTACAGAGCATATGGCTTCTAATATCGATTGGCTCGATCTAAAGCAAAGTGTTTAATTACAGGCGAGGTTTGAAAGATGCAAAAGATACTCACTGACGTATAACAGCGTAATGCCACATTGACCACTCCACCAAGTCATCGATAAGATTATCTTCTAAAGGACTACGTCTGCGCTCGATGGAATTCCAACGTAGGCGAGCTGAGTTGTAGTAACTGCGTCATATTTAAGGCATGTGTCGTGGAAAGAATAAATGGATGCAAACCGGGCACGGCGGACGTATACAGCCCTCGGCCAAACTTTCTGGCCCGCGTATTGCCGAGCTACATTCATCTCAGCCGTATACTGTTCATCGTTAAGGTAGTAACTGATAGTGACGTGAGTGGTCGCAATGACGGGGGAGTTATACGGGAGGGATTTACCTATCTCTGCTGTCGCCATACTCCATCAAGTACGTCCGCACGGATCTAAGCTACAATGGGGTTATTCTTGAAAGAAAACAGAACCTTGATGATGCGCTCACGAGAATGTGGACGGCGTCCACTGTGTTCTCTTCCCCTTGTTGGCGAAGGGTTTCAGAAGCCTTGTGTAGGAAAGTTCCAAACCGTTGCCTGAGAGACGTTATGTACACATATCGGGGATCTTGTGGGTCAGTCAGTGAGAATCCTGAATGAATCGGCTGGATGGAAGCAATCATCTCCGGAATTTCATCCCTGTCAAAACGTCAGCTGAACACCTCGAGCCATGACAGGTAACTCACAAGATATCACTTGTTAAGGCTGCAGCTCTCAGCTCTTCTTGGGAAAGAACTTCTTTGAAGAGGGTCGGAATGCCAGCAAATGCATTCCGAACAACCGTTAGATAACTACGCTGTGTGAATTAGAGATATTCGGAGGAAAAAGTAGAAACGAACCGGCAGAAATCGTTCCGCCAAGAGGCATCCCTTACAACGTCTGTAGCACTCCTTTAGCATTACTTGGAGAAGCGGGATACATGTTGATATATTACCAGGAGCGAGGAGATCTTCAAGAGCCGTCAGAGTAGGCTCAACCAGTTCCTTGAATATTTGGAGAGCAAATCCGATTTCCTCGGGATCAGGAACATGCCAAGATATCTACAAGTCTGTGTTATGGCAAAAGACATGAATGTATTTGAGTGACGTGCCGTGACTTCATCTGACCTGTACAGCTTGCCCCAATGTCGATGGTGACTGTGTTTGAACTCTAGGGGAAAATATCAGGAGAGAAATCTGCTGCAGTTTGACGTATACACATCACCATCACTGGACCACTCTTCTGGGTTGACGAACTTGTTTTCCAATGGGTACGTATGCGTCAGAGTAAGCAGGAGGCTAGATAACAATTTCCCAGCCCAGGAAAAACCTCGCTTTGAGAATGCCTTGTCGCGGAGAAGATGTAGCAACGACATGAGTTCCTTCTTATACTTCAGGATCTAAAAATAAAGCTACGGAGAGGGTTCAAGCCTGGGAGAAATTTTGCTGCGTACTGCTCGTCCATCACTGTGCTCGCTTGATTAGGGAAAGATAGAGCGAGGAAAATTGCGACCCACTTGTATACTGCGCCTCTAAGTATAGCCAGATCTAAAACAAAGCATACATTAGCATTGGCAATACGAAGATGTTCTAATTTGCGTACTCCAGTGCAACGTAGCATCTGAGGGAAGTGGAGTGGATGCAGATGTAGTTCTAAGCGAACTAGCACCGTTTTCAATTTCTACGCGGATGCTGTTGTCACAGAATGGAAAAAACTTAGCCAAGGTTTTGACAGGATCAGCATTCGCTACACATTCCACCAGTTGGTGAATCGCTCTAACAGCATTTGATCGAACGTTCGTGGTAGCATAATCGAAAACCATCTTCAACACCAGATCGAAAAGTGGTTCAGAGAGATGCACGCATATCTGGCTGCAAGCACCTGTGACAGCATCAACGACCTGGACTTTGGTCATTGTCAGCGTCAGTCCACCACCTTGAAATATTCACCTACTTTCGGTTGCACCCCCGCTGGACCCGTCAGGACCTTCTTCCGGAAGATTTTCCAGCAACTGTATCACTCTGTGAATAAAGCTGGTAATCCAATCAGGGAAACTGCGTGTAGAATCCTAGCGTTCCAACCATGCTCGTTAATGGTATTTGAAACTAAAACGTTATTGGTACCTTGAGTAAGGCGTCCTCTTCCTCGTCTGTGAGTGTCGATCTCATATCTATATATGACTCTTCGGCGTCATCTTGCGTAAAGGATTGAAACGTGACTTGAGTATCGGAGGGAAGTGTGGGCTCCAAATCGAGGTTGGCAGCAACTACTTCATCGTTTGTGAGATCGCCGATCATGATGTGCTGGGATACTTCGACAAGGAATGAGGTCGTGCAGAGCTTGAGAGAGCGAGTTCCATGTTGATTCGAATATTGAAAGATATTTTACATACCGTTTTTGCAGGGTCATTCTGTACAACGATGTGAGTTGATATAGGTTTGTATAAATCGGCGAGTGCGTACAAGATCAATACCCGGAATCAGCAGCTCCAGTATAGGCACGAGGTGTTTGGCACCGGGATAATAAACCTCGCGGGAAACGATGGCAGGTGCCACCGCTCCAAGTGCCTTAATTACAGCGAGGGTTCGTTGAGTCTAGAATTAATTTAATAAAAGCTAAACCAGATTGGTATCACTGCACAAACCTCAACCAGAGCTTCCAGGGAGGGCACTGCTCGTTCTAGTATTGGATATAAGATTAGGTCAGGCTCCATCACACTCATCGATTTTAGACAGCCTTGGATGTTCGATACCGTGGTTGAATCTTGAGAAAACATAGCAAGCAGCGTGACGGTTCTGAGTGACTTGACTAGCTCCCGCTTCATCAAGTTTGTTAATCGACGATTCTATTTATTGGACTGTTAGAGAGATTTAAATTTGCAGATGAATCATAGGAGACCTTTGGGGTTTTGCAGTCGGGCTTCTGCTCTTCGTGCCAGCCTGTTGTGCCAAGTTAGCGTAGGTTTTATGAAGAGAAAGTGGAGTCACGTTTATTGAAATCATAGACAATATATTTGATAAATGCACTCAGCTGGGGATTTGTTGCTCAGACACATGGTGTTCTGGGGGAAATATTACGTACATCCGCCGTCCAGGAGCCAGAATTTGAAGGATGAAAAAAGCTTTCTGTGGAGGCTATCATTCTTGCCAAAGAATCCAATGCCTTGCAACCTGCCAAGTAAGACTTGGTCTTGGTTTGGACCTTTTTTCCCAGAGGTGATGAGAGATAGTCAGCTAACGGAGTGTCCTGAATATGTGGCGTGCTGATCCCCGATGGCAGAGGGGAGAACATGGGTGTTGGGGCATTGGATGGCGGAACAGTAACGCCATCATTTGCCATTGAGTAAACAATGATACGTGCCAAAGATGCTAATATGGCCGGACATTGGTACCCCACCGCGTTTTGAGAGACGAGGAAACTCACGAATCCGCCATTGAGGTTTTGGTAGTCTGCCAATCTCGAAACCAACTTGATTATCAGCCGATGGGCCTGTGGTCAGAGAGCCACCATCCGCCAAAGGTATTTCTGATAATGCCGTTCATAAGCGTCGCAATCTCCGTCACAACTGTGCTGAGCTTACCCATTGACGCTAGACATTTACACATCAAGAAATTCCACTCATGGTCAGAGAAGATACCAACATCTTTGTAAATGCCTGGCCATACTCCATGATCAGGCAGGCTTGTCTGAGACCAATCAAATCGCCCTTCATCTTCAGATCTCTCATCGTCCGGAATCTCTTCAATTCGTCGGGGATTGCTGACCTCAGAGGCAACATGCATCTCCGATAACTTGGAGAGAAAATGCAACATGCCTTCGTCATACATGTAAGAGTTTATCGACTCCCACACACGAAATAACATTGGAAGATAGTATTGTGGGTGAGAAAGGGGCAAGAATGTCAGGAGGTAATAATGTGAGGATAGAATGCTCTGAAGACAAAGCCACTGAGAATACAGTCCAGAGCTAACGCACAATTACTCACATCTAGTTTGGTCCCGTCGATCAACGGGACAAAAGTAGAAAGCATTTCATTGATTGCAGCTGGATGGAAAAACCTGCGAGCATTTTCGGCAATGTATCCCATACACCACGAGACTTGACTGTTCAAGAGTAAGAACGGAGTCACCGCAATGGCGAAAGCCTACGCACGTATATTCAAACTGCCGCCTGCGAAGAAACAAATCGTGGCTAAGGACATCGTAGATGGGTTTCCATGGGAGCCTCATGTCGCTAATTGACAGCTTTTCCTTGGATGCAGTCAAAGCCTTGAAGCCATCTGCGCATGTCGCGATCATCTGCGGAGACATTCCGGGGGTGATACTAATGTGAAAATATAGTTTTGCTAGCTTGATCCGTTTATCTTTCGGAATAGGATACTTTAACATGCTCCAGCTAAGGAGTGCCAGCATCAGTAATGGAACAATAATGGTTAAGTTTCGTGACGTACTAGTTCAACATGCTGTCCCATTGCAAGAGGCCGACATCATAATCTTTTGCCTCCACGCATTGCGTTATTCGCAGCAGGATGAAGTCCAGCAGCTCCGTCATCTTCGCGTATGGCTCAATTGAGTAGGGGAGGGACTCGGCATAGTTTTTGAGTTTTTCCATGTACCGGTCTCCTCGGGTGTCGAGAATGTCTTGCGGGACGTGCCCTTCAGTTGGAGAGGTTGTGCTTGAGCCATTGATACGCAAACTCGAAATATCAGGCAAAGCCATGAGGGATGGAGAAAGGAAAAGTGTGAGGGGGCGAGTCTCGTATACTATACTTATAGTCCAAGTTTGTGTGTGACCCACATTTCTTATTTGTAAGAACTTGTATTATCGAGCACCCACATTTGACCCACATACATGATAATTTACATTTCTGCGGTGGCAAAGGCGACGTCTTGTAATTCTTTCACGGCTCTCTCACGTACTACGTCCCAGATCGTACTCCGTTGCGCTCTGACATCACCGAGACCCTCTCTGATTTCGTTGAGTCGTTCAACATATTCCCGACCATCATCCTGTAATTCTCGTAGCGTCGCAAGTGATTTTTCGAGAGTCTCTAGCTGCCTCTCTGGCAACGTGAAATGTGAAGGGTCAAAAACCGGCGGGCCACCATGAGAATATGAGAGGAGAAAGAGTTTGTGCGTTGGTGGCGTTATATCAGAAGAACGAGACTGGTCGTCTCGTTCTTCCCGATCTTCGTCATCGTCCTCGCGCTTCGGAATGAGTCCTTCGCTTGCCTTCACATCTGGATCCTCGCTCATCACTTGCCACAGTCTCCCTAGTGCGCTTTTCATAGCAGCTTCACCTTCAATGAGACCGTTGGCAGCATGCTCCAGTTCGTCTAGAAGACTCGACCGAAATGTATGTGTGACAGATTTGTCCAAGACGAATGATGTATAGCTTAGATGCACAGGGTCTGGTGGGGGGTATGGGGAAACTAAAGGAGGTGATAGTGGGCGTGAGAGATGAGGGAGTGACAGAGGTGAAGGAGAACGCTTTTCTTGAGGAAGAAGGAGTTTGATACGCTTCCGCGCACGCTCTTCCGACTGATAAATGTGTTAAGGCTACTGGGTAGGGATTTGAAAGTGCCCATACCTCCCAATCATCCATACCTGGTCCCCATGGCGTGATCTTGCCTCTACGTACCCATCGAGCTCTCTTGGCAAACTTGTGACCCCAGTTACCTTCGTTCAAACCCACACATAAATCTTCCTCGTCTGAATCATGCCCATGGGAGGGGTAATACCAGGAGTTCTGATCACCTAGAGGAAGGTCGCCACTGGTTTGGTGAGGATGGGACGGTAAATGATGGCAATAGGACTCACTTTGGCTGTTCAGGATGATTAGAACGAGGATTTACAGCGATAGGCTGGTGCACTATCAGCGGTTGGGAATTGGGTTCAGCCATAAAGTACCTCACAAACTGTAACAAATATTGAAATTATCTCGTCCGGCAGGTGCCGAATCATCTTTACTCGCAAATCCTCCTTCCAATCCATAACTCTAATCATAAAAAGTGCTTTGCGAATGCCGTAGGGGGCAGATCGCAAGGCCAAGCTCCCGCATAAACAATTCCTTCAAATAATTCCTGACAGGAACGGAACAGATCCATCGAGGCCCGCGCAGACTCTAGCTACATCGCAGAACGTCAGTTCTGACGCTCTTTTTCTTTTCTTTTTCGGGACAAGACGAACAGGGTTTTCATAATCCAGGCCGACTTCCCTTCCCATGAAAATGCTCACAAGTGTCGGCAAGCTGACGAGGCACCGACTTTTGAGTCTCTTCCGGAGCGGGCGAAATAATGCGAGGTCGCGTGTGTCGAGTGCTGGATGTGAAAGTCCAAGCACCTTTCAATGACCTGTCTGTTATTTCGAAAGGGATGCACAAATATATGGCGCTCACAGAAAGAAATATCCAAAGACGGTGGCCAACAAGAACTCTGCCTTTCATCAGTCTTGCTACCCTCTGTTGAACATCTACAAATAATGGTGCTGCTCTCCTCAAAGTCATTTATAGAACGACAAGATTTTCGCAACATGAAACTAACCGCTTTCGAGGTCGGAAGGACATAAGCCTGTGTCGACCATACGATAATCCTCGACAGAATGCCTGAAGAAATGCTCCATTGCACACATTATAACTGCCAGGCGTACAGGGCTTACGTTGGACGGACAAACGTGTCGAGAAGGACATTTCCACGATAATCTGTCATCGACACACGACTATAATTTCAAAAATATAACGTCAATCTCCGGGGTTCAGCAGCAAGAACTCGTAACACGCGCGCAACCATAGGAACTCTCTCGTATACACCGTTGACTTCGACGACTCCGATGTACACGTTTATCACGCCCACAGCGACATATCTTTGACGTCATTCAGTCCTGCTTGAACGAGTTAACGGATGATAAAACGCTACCTGTGTGACGGTAAACACCTCGGGGTGTAATGGTTGGTGGGTCGTGGAGCTGCCTGTTGATAACTACTGCGGTCGGAAAAAGAGTAGGTGGAAGCGTAGTCATAGTTCAGCTGGCAAGGAACCGACAGGCGAGCGTCGTACGGATTCATAAAATGCACAAAGCCGAGGAGCTTGACTTCCAGCTGGTGTGAGGCATCATATAGAGTAGTGTCTGGCGGGCGTCCAATAATATGCATCAACAGTTTTTTTTCGCGTTGGGTGCAAGAAGCAGCTGTCGCCGATGCCGGTAATTTGTCTGGGTTTTGACGTGGGGTTTTCTCAGATAAAACCAGTGGAACTCGACGAACCACCATTGGCGATATTCAGGTACAGGACACTGAAAGATCTTGGAGCTCTCATAAGACGGCTTGCTGATAATTCAGACCAACTTGGAAGGCTTAATCAATAAAACGGGGTTCGGTGGAAGAGCTCTCGTCTTTCTTGCACATTTTGCATTGACAGGAGAAGCTGCAAAGTGCCTGGTTTTTTATTTCCATGGGTGTTGTCGATTTCAATACGTATTAGCCATCACCCATCAGTACGGTGTGTTTCTGGGAGTTAAAAATCACGCCGACCAGCCCGGTTGGACGTTCGCGTTTGTCCCGACGACGCGAAGCAGGGCCGAGAACAGATTGGCGATCCCTACTCTGGGCTCAAAGTACATTTAGATTTTACATTCCGGTCTACAACACAGGCTCAGGTTTCAATTTCGCCTGAGGAGATTGGTCAAACACTAGGTGAGAAAAGTCGATCATACACTGACCATCTATTGCGCGTCTGCTTGACGCTCCACCGCTTCAGGGGCTTCCTCTAATCTGGATCCCTCCTTCTTTGCAACGTTCTCCTGCTCAAAGCTGCGCATTCCCGAAAGACCCCAACGATCCATCATGGCCTTATCCTTTGAATTAAGAAAAAAAGTTAATTGATATAACAAATACCGCGCTTTTTCTCTCTTTGCTTACCTCATCCCATGGTGAACCTATTAAATTATCAGTGATGGAGTAGCTCTCGAAATCGACGTATACTCACAAGGTGTCGTGAGCATTTGTTCTCCTGTGAAGACAGCATTGGCGCCTGCCATGAAACACAACGCCTGCTCTGATTCCGCCAGAGTGTTCCGACCTGCGGCCAGACGAATGATTGTCGCTGGCATTGCAATTCGGGCGGTCGCGATGGTGCGGATCAACGTATGGTAGGGAACAATCTGTGGACATGATAATGTTAGAGGCAATCGAAAACAGGTGCTAGTCATGACTTGCGTCATTTCCCTCCAAGGGAGTACCAGGGATTGGGACAAGGGCGTTAACGGGGAAAGATTCAGGGTGCTCTGGCATACTAAAGTAAGACTTATTAATAATTAAACAGACATCAGATCTGGTTCGGGACGCACTTGGAAACCTCATAAATTAATCCAACTCGATCGGCATCGCTCTCTCCAAGCCCAAGAATACCGCCTGAGCATACGCTGATGCCTGCATCGCGCACAGCGCTAATAGTGTCAAGTCGTTCATCGTACGAACGGGTCGTGATAACCTTGCATTAATAGTGAGCAGCTTACATGACATATATATATTCTGGGACGGACCTGGGGGTAAAACTCGCGAGAAGTATCAAGGTTATGATTATAAGCAGTAAGCCCTCTGGTTCAAAAAAAAAATCAACTCAAATATCCAGAAAGCGGTGGGAATGTGCTTACGCCTCCTTAAGCTGACGGGCCTGTTCCGGAGAGAGCATTCCAAGAGTGGTGCAAACCTCCATACCCATGCCGCGGACTTCCCGGACCATTTCAAGAATTTTCTCAAATCCTCGTTTCCGACCGGCAAGATCTCTCCATGCCGCGCCCATGCAGAACCGAGTGCTTCCGTTCTCTTTTGCCTTCCGAGCTGCCTCCAACACCGGCTCCAGCTCGATCAAACGAGACGCTTTGGTTGGCGTCGAATATCGCGATGATTGTGAGCAATAGGAACCTGAATGAACTTTCTTTCAGTAGATAGAAGATTAGCTGATGATCGTAATCCATACAATCCTCGGAACATCCTCCGGCTAAGTAGGTTGGAGTTCAAGCGTTGTGGAGATGCGGCGGATGTAGCGAACGCACTTTTAATATTCATAAGTGTGCATAATTGTATTTTCGTTGGGTCTTGGTGCTGTCGATGAACAGAGGCTGCGCGATATACAAGCTCTAAAAGTGGCGTATCATAGATCTGTTGGATTTCTTGCTTTGTCCAGTCGTTCCGAGTGAGCGATCGAGTTGCAGGCGCGGACGCATGTGTAGCGAGTGCTCGACTGAGCTGGACGTGTCGTACTTGAAGAGAACGGAACATAACGAAGGTCGTAATCCAAGTGGACAACACCTGGCGATGGAGAGGGTATGAAAATCGATTTACAGAAAGTTCTTGGGGTTTATTTAGCCCCAAAAGTCCATCTTCACTCTGGTCCGCCATAGAGACGCTTAGGCCTTGCGCTCTCTCAACTGGCAAGGTCTGCTGAAAGGATATATAGTACTTTGGCTCATATAAAAAAACATCTTCAGGGGGTAAGAATGGAAAATAGCCAGATTGTTATAATCACCAGGCCAAGAGTGGCAGATTACGTATAGCGAATACATAAGACAGCGGGATACAACATTGATGAGTGGATAAGAAACATCCAGCGAGGACAAAAATATTAAGAGGTATTAAATAATCCTACGATAGCGCAAGTTCGATGGCGTTGGAGAGTGGGTAGGATAGCGTGGTACATACATGTGTGCGATAGGGGGTGAACGATGATGACACTGGATGACGCCTTGAAAAAATAAAATAAGATAGATGTGGAAAAAAAATGCAAAGTCCGTTTGTTCGTGGCTTGAGTGCACAGCGTGTTCGTGAAGGGTACGTCAAATATAAAGACGGGGCCACGTTGAAGGTTCGTGATAGAAAAGATATAGGAGCGTTGGTAGAAAAAATCCAAAACGTCGAGCGTCCCATCGTATCTTATGCGGTTCAAGCTCGGATTGAGCGCCAGCCGTTTGAGGTTGTCGTGGTGGCGGGTGAAGATGCCTTGTACTTTGGCTTGCCAGCCTTGGGACCACCGCCAAGCATAACGCCGCCCGTAAGAACAGTAGTCTTGCCACCGTCGTAGGGGGTCACCTCGGTCTTTGAGGTGTCAACAAACACACGTGCCTGCCTAGCTCTCTCTCGACGTGATTGCTTCTGCTCGGGCTTTGCACCTGATGAGTTGGACACGGAGGTGGCAGCGCTGGACGAATCTCCGGAAGCAAAAGAGTAACTTGAAGAGCTGGAGTTTGATGAGCGCGAACTACAACGCGAGTACGTCGAGAAACCGGAAAGAGGTGACGAGGATCGGGTGGAAGCAGGGAATTGGGTGAGAATAGGTGATGTCCAAGTTGGTGCGCTGACTTGGTGGGCAATCATTGAGAAGAGCTGATCATCCTCATCTCTGTCCTCTTCAAGAAGCTGCTGCGCAAGGGTCTTGCTGTGACTGCCGCTTGCTTTGTGAGTGGGTACGATGGTGTTGGTGACGCCTTTGAACTCGGGCTTGGGAGCAGCGGCTGCAGTTGCAGGAGCAGAAATGTGATCAGCCCAGATGGTGACCATCTGACTGGGATTGGTGCTCTGTGGCGCAGGGGCGTAACGAACAGCTACGCAACCAGGATCAACGTAAAAGTCAAACTCGCGCCCACCAAGGGCGGCGATCCAATCGAACCACTGTACACCTGCTGCGAGACAGGCTGAATAAATGGAACGGGGAGGCAGGCATGTAGGAGACAAGGTCATGCAACGGCGAGAAGAACCACGCAAAGGCTCCTTGATGGACCATGTTGGGGCATAGAGAGCGGTAAGATTTGCCTCGAGAAGGGACTGGAGTTTGATGATGGTTGTTGCCGAGTAAGTTGCAACAAGGGGCCGCGTGAGATGGGCGATGGCATGAGCGAGGGTGAGGGAGAGATTGGTGGAAGCAGAAACAGGCATTTAGAAGGCGAATGAAAGATATCGGCCTGCGATGAGAGGGAGAGCGAAGATAAGTAGTAGATATAGAGCAGAGATTGGGTTAGGGAGTGTGCTGGAGTGCTGGAGCGTGTTGGAGTGTGGCGTAAAAGTGCGTCGGCGTGTCTGTGGGGAAGACGAAAGGGAGTTAGTACGCCATTCGCCTGTTTTATCAGGCTCGGGTAAACTTGCCTAGCTCGGATGCGGAAGTAGAGTCAAAACTGGTCTGGAATTAGGGAAAAGGGGCGAACAGAGAACGAAAGGAAAACCAGATCCTTTTGAGTGTACCCCAAGTACTTGGGCAACCCTTTATATACATATCATCGCCATGCATTGATCGTGCCTCAGCGACAGCAAGCAGCTCTCGGCTCGTTTCCAGTTCTTCATTTCCTTATTTCCTTTACAGACAAAAAGGAGTTGGAAACAAAGACGTCCATTAGGGGGCCCTGGTATCCTTGTCCTTTTGCGGAATCAGACAATAAAACTGTGACGCTTCTCGAGTGTTACCTTGTCCGACTGATTCCGCCTTCTGTTGGCATTCTGATCGATACTTTTTCTCCTTTTCACAGGTCAGGTCAGATACTGACCTCTCCTATTCCGTACCTTGATCAATGAATCTATGACACCTGTACAATTAGAACTCTCCATCCTTAGATACGTCTTTTGATGAATTCACATCTCTACTATTGTCAAAACTGTTATCTTTGCGTGTCAGTGACATGCATCATGTCATTCCAACACTGCAATGCAGGTCATACTTGCAGCTGAAAGCAGAACGTAGTAAAGAGTCATTGGGACGCTTAACGGTGCCGACAGCGGCTAGATAATATTTAAACTCCGATGCGAAAACCCAAACCTTGTTTTCCACTTCCACACAACGCACTCGCGTCAACTAATCCAAAAAAAAAGAGAGTACTGCTCCTCATCTACATCGATAATCTACCCAAAAGTTCTTTACCATGGTGAGTCTGTCATGTTTTGCATCGACCAGCCCACTCATTTTTTGTTCTCGTCAAGACTCTCGCCGTTGATCTCCTCAATCCTTCCGCCGAGTACGAACTCAAGCAACACAAGCTCAAGCGTCTTGTGCAGTCACCAAACTCCTATTTTATGGATGTCAAGTGTCCCGGTACGTCCATCATCGCCCATTCCGATGTTTGAGGGTGCTCTCCCTCGTCATCTAATGGGGGCGCACGACCTTTTCTTCGATCATCCAACTCATGTTATCCTCATTCAAGGCTGCTTCGCTATCACAACCGTATTCTCGCACGCGCAAACCGTTGTGATTTGTGCATCATGCACGAGTGTATTGTGCCAACCCACAGGTGGTAAGGCAAGGTTGACAGAGGGTACGGGTTCCTATGTTTCACAATTTCCACCATGGCTCACCTCGTCCTCATTCCTCCCTCTCTAGGCTGCTCCTTCCGTAGAAAGAACTAGGTCGCTCTGTCCCTGTCTTAACTACTCTATACACACTGCAACCCGCATTCTGCACTCGCCCACCCACTCGCATCATCCACAAATTTCGCTGTCTTATTGCATCTCCTCTTTGGTTACTCTCGCTCGACTTTTACTTCACGGATTCGACACATCGAGCCCCCTCGTTTGAGAAAATTCTGCGCCTCTATAACTTTGTGTATTTCCAGTATCATGAATCTGTAGTTTATGGTTTCCACCGTTACAGAATCGGCTTTACGAACGAACGCAATTCTAAGACTTGGAGAGTAAAAATGTTAAGAGAGCAGTGACACGCGTACCTTGATCGTTTATGTGCAACAGTTAAATGATGATTGCAGGTAACTCAAAAAAAGTAAGTAGCCCACCGCGAGGGTCGAACTCGCAGCCTTCAGATCACCCGGACCTCCGTAAAAGTCTGACGCTCTATCCGATTGAGCTAGGCGGGCGATACAGATTGCTGTACGTTCATTTCTATGATCAGTCTTTAGTACGTGCAACAATTATAGTACAATTTACATGAAATCCAATGTCTACAGTCACGAAAGCAAATATATAACAGCCCCTACCCTTACACGCCAACTCTATGGACAACTTTTTTCTATTGAACATCAGCCAATGTTGACCTACAACCAAGATAACCTCTTACCTGACCGGAGAACCGAATGATCTCCCTCTTCTCCATTATGTACAGCGTTCTTTCAAGAGAGTGGCTAGAGCGTCCTTGCTGCGTTACGAACTCTTTGACCAAGCTTTGGTAGCTGGTGCTCCATCCGACAGGAAGGCGTCTTCGTAGCTCTTGCTCTATGTGGGACATTTCTTCGTTCAACTCCCCACGTGAAAGCCCGTCTGCCGATCCTGCTGAGACCGCGTCCATCGTGGAGAATTTGAAAAGTCGAATGGCTTCCTCGACGTGGTGGTTCTGAACGACCGGCGACAGCGTCATCTTGGCTAGTGACTCGGATATCCGAATGATAGCTTCCAATTGTCTAAAAGACGTGAGATTGAAATGATTCCACAGACGGGGACCTTACCGAATGGTTATTGGTATAGAGCTCTTCTCGTCGTTGTCCTGTTCGACTTGTTGAACTTGTTTTCGTAGACTCACAAAGTGACTGCTCAGCATCTCTTGGGATTCAGCAGACAAGCGCGGAGCGCATTTGCTTGGAAACAGTTCTGTCAGCAGACAGTCGAGTGCGAAGAAGGACGCGCACGTTTTGCAGTAGGAAATGTATCTCTTCATCTTCTCTAGTGGTATTTCACCAACGTTGCCTCCATTTTCATCGATGTTCACGTTCTGCCTATTCATATGAATATTCATGACGTGTTTTGCGATCATCTAATGGGTTTGTCTTAGAAATTGTAATACGCGCAGCTCTGAAGGCGAACCTTGTCGCGAGTTTCATTGTGTTCATCCCTTACAATGAATATCATATCAAACCTCGATAAAATTGTCGTTTGGAAGTCAATGTTCTGTGTCAAAATGTTAGTTAATGTCATCATCAGAGTTGAAGTGGAGTAGACAAGACCTCTCCGGGGCTCTTCCCCTCGTCGTAGCGTCCAAACACTGGGTTGGCTGCAGCAAGTACGCTTGTGCGAGAATTCAAAACCGTTGTTATTCCGGCTTTCGCTATAGAGATAGTTTGTTGCTCCATCGCTTCGTGGATTGCCACTCTGTCTTCATCTCTCATCTTATCAAACTCGTCAATGCAGACAACACCTGTATCGGCCAGGACCATGGCACCACCCTCAAGATAGAATTCTCTCTGGGACAAACCTCAAGGGGCGAATGAAAAGGATGTTGGAAGAACGACTCACAGAAACGGAATCGCGTTGTACGGACGCGGTTAAACCTGCCGCACTTGAACCCTTGCCAGATGTATAGACCGCAATTGGTGCCACCTATTGGATTGCAATTAGCCTTGCAACGAGAATGATTACAGGAAATTTATACCTTCTCAACAAACTTGAGAAGTTGACTCTTTGCAGTGCCGGGGTCTCCAAGCAGCAATACGTTGATATCGCCTCGCAGTCGCATCCCGTCTGGCAGTACTTTCTTTGAACCGCCAAATAAGAGGCAGGTTATTGCCTTTTTAATATCTGCAGTCTGTAAGGTCACAAGCGCAAGGCAATCCGCAATTTACTTACCAAGGCTGCCATAGATACTCGGTGCGACACTTTTAGCAAATCGTTCATAAAATCCTTCACTACGGGACATCTCTCCAAACTCCTCCTCCTCTTCAGGTGTGAATTGTACGCCAAAAGGATTAGACCCACCGCTACCTCCGGAAGGAGACATCATTTCGAGATGTACAACGCGAAGGTACGGTTGTCGGAGAGCCGCAGGTCCCGCATTTTTCTGCGAATCACGGTCGAACAACTGTATCCATAAGAATATAAACGCTTACGTTTTTCGCAGACTGGAAAGTTGCATAGATGCCTGTCGCAATGACCCTCGAACCAGGAACAACCTTTCCTGTAAGATGTCGATCCGCCGAGAGAAGCATGTGTCGCGGGAGCTCTCCCACAGGAACCATGTCAGGTGCCTCCTGCAGTTTCAAAGTTTGCTGGTCGGCAAACGTCGATTTGGAGTGAATGATGAGATATGGGTCCATCGGGCAATCCTTCTTTTGTCCCTCAGGTTCTGGAGCATCGCAAATCCGTGGTAATCCTCTGTCTGACCCTCCACCAACACCACCCATCCCACCTGAGGGGTATATTATCTTTGTGGACCGACAAGAGCGACATTGAAGGTGCAATTTGGTTGCTCGAGATGACAGAACGGACGCGGAAATGACAATGCCTGGTATGCGAACGAGTTTGTTCATGGTATTGGCAGTAAGTTCGCGAAACTGGAGCATGTTGAGGGCTGATTGTATCGTTACTTGAACTTTTGGGATTGCCTCAGTAGCTGCCTCTGTCCGGTCTTCTGAATTGGCAGCCATGGGGTACAGGATTAATCGGGCGGTTTTGGTGGCTGCATTTTCGAACTGAAACGGATTAAAATCATGGTTGAAATCAATGACAGGAGCGCTTACCAGCGGTAAGACATCTGCTGGTCTATCTTGAATGGCGTGCGCCAACTCATCGTTGTACAAACTGACGTGACGAAGATCAACCTCTAGCAAATGTTGTTTTAAAAGCAAATTTCCGCGTAGCTTGTCTCTACGATACAATTAGAAAGACAGAGGGGGGGAGAAATACGATTCTTGCCTGTAGATGAACTCGCCCCCAACACGGTACTGCAAGAGAAATTCGAGGAAAAGTTTTTCGGTTTCAGAGGGTGAACCAGGCGAGATGGGTGGAGGTTGGTCATGTACAGAAACAGTGTACACGTTGTTCGCATCGAAGCCGGACATTGTTGAAGGACTAGGTCTTGAAGGTGGTTGTTCGCGTCCAAATGCGAGTTTAGGGCATGTTCATACGCGGTCTTTTGCTTGGCGTTGTTAGATTTAAATCACGTGCCTTTTCTGAAAGGAGACGAGTTCGGAACGATAACTTCGCTTTCAGGGTAACATAACTATAATATCAGTAGCTTACATACCTTTCATCATAATGTTGTCCAACACGCCTCTTCTTCCAAACTCCACGACTACGGGCGCTTCAACGTCAGGAATGACCCACTTTATTGGCGCCGTCGAGGACGAATGGCAATTGTTCAGGTACGCAATGTCCTTCTCGCGCTGTCTTTCGACGTTACCTAACACCTAATGTTAGTGACAGAGCGTCTGATTACACCATTGGAGAACCAATAGGGTTTGGTGCATCCTCTATTGTTTATTCAGCCCAATATCATCCCCCTTCGGATGCCTCTCGAAAGTCAAACTCTATAGTACCATGTGCGCTCAAGGTCTTGGACCTTGACTCGCTCCCGCCACGCTCACTTCAGTTGCTGCAAAGGGAAACAACCCTTATGTCGCTTTCAAAGCATCCCAATGTTCTTCGTGTCCGTGGTTTATGGATGGATGGTCACAAACTTCACATCGCTCTCCGTCTCATGAACAAAGGCAGTGCTGCCGACGTTATGCGCTACGGGTGGCCAGGAGGCATGGAAGAAGATGTCGTACGCTGTATTTTGCGACAAGCCCTCAAAGGGCTGAAGTTTGTTGATTCTATCCGTCGTTCTATCCCAATTGACTTATATTATCTAGCTATCTCCACATCAATGGATTCATCCATCGAGACGTGAAAGCTGCTAATCTCCTTATAGATGATGATGGGACTGTGCTCCTCGGTGACTTGGGCGTTGCCGCCGACCTTGCAGAAGATACTTCCCATCATATATCCTCGTCACATCTACGATATTCAGTAACAGCAAAGGCTGCAGTCTCTGAACAGGAACCCGACAGCCATTCCAACAAAGTGGCATTCGAACCCATCTTATCTCGACCGAAAATTGGAAAGCGGAAGTCTTTCGTCGGGACTGTGAGTCCCTTTTACAAAATGAAATGTCATTACTAAATAATATCTTGACAAGCCCTGCTGGATGGCCCCTGAACTTATTGAAGGACGCCAGTATGATTCTTCCGCTGACATATGGAGCTTCGGAATAACCGCTCTGGAGCTGACTCAAGGGCGCCCGCCAAAGTCTAGAGAGTCTCCTCAACGAGTATTGTTGAAGACGTGAGATGTTAGCCGATAACTATTCTATCAACTGCTAACTTTCTCTCAGTTTGCAAGAGGATCCACCAACCCTAGACCGTGAGGGAGGAGCCTATAAGTACACTCGCGCATTCAAAGAAGTCGTTGACAGCTGTTTAGTGAAGGACCCGTCAAAGCGGTCTGTGGCTCTTCCGTCTTCTTCTTTCGTACCCTGACCAAACTCAGCCCCACAGCAGAGGAACTGCTACAAACTCCATTTTTCCGATCAGCCAAGAAGAAATCATACCTAGTTGGAGCCATTCTTAGTATGGCGTAGATCTCGCGATCCATGAATTTATCGCTAAATATCATTTGCAGAGGATCTCCCCCCTTTAACGAAACGCCAAGAGCGTCGTGCTGTTAATCAGATACACTTTCCACACTCAATCGACTCTTGGGATTTCATGACGACGGTCAACTCGCCCGCCACGAGCGCCTACCGACGACGAGTGCTAGAAGAGTTTGTTGCGGCAGAAGACGGAGAAGGTCAATATCAAGAGACTGACGACGAGCAGGACTCTCGGGGAGAGTCCAGAGCTGTAGCTTGGGATTCGGAACCGGCGCGAGGACAAGATCAGCAGTCGAAAGCTGTCACAGTTGTGTCTTCTTCCCCTTCCACATCTGATTCTGGTCTCTCGGACTCCCGCACGACACCAAGTTCCGCTTCTTCAACGGCCTCGTCCTTTGCCGAGTCTTTGGTTGTACCCCCCAAGCCCCAGGAACGGAATGACTCTCCTGGGTCAGCCGCAGATGAGACAGTAGTTTCCGAAATCCTGCGCGAAGGAGAGGCCATAGAGAAAACCGCCTCCGTGGACACTGTTTCGCAAATACCTGATGGTAAAGGTTCAAAGGTTGCGCAACAAAGCTCTTCGTCTGGTCAGTTGTGGCGGAAATTCAAAGGAAAGCATCTCAGCAGCAGTTCTGATTCGGGTACTGGGGCTCGCAAGGAGAGAAGCGGGATTGGGATTGGGAGGGTTTTCTCAAGCTCAAACAAGAACAAGTCGTCCACGTCAACCGATAGGACTGTTACTGGTGTGTTATCTCTTCCATCCATTCAAACACCGCCCTAAAACTGCCGTTGGTGTAGGCAAATAATTGATGACTTATTCATCTTTTTTTTTTTGGTTTACCCCGTCTACTTGCCCTTTCTTCATCCTCGATATCATATACCATGTACAAAGGTGTGTCGTCTACGTGCACCTGCATTTCTAATTAATTTTTCGATACCCTATCATTGCTATGTTGTCTTTGCTTTATCTATACATGTTAGAACAGTACAATACAATAAAATGTGCACAATGGACCAAACGTCACCACAAGCAGAGAGTTATTTCAAAATGTCTCCAGAGTCAGATTTCTCTCAGCAGAAAGGATCTAGAAATGAAAATTGGGAGAAATGATATATTTTGGCAACATTTCTGATCTGAAGTCTTGCAGGCTCGGTGATCGCCACACCTTGAGGTTGGTGAGATGCACAACGCCTCGTGGAGCCATTATTATATCGTTGGGGCTCCAAATGCTGAATCGTAACTATAATTGATTTTCCCCCCGTATATTCAGTGATATCAAGAATGATCCTCTTTGCACAGTTTGATGTTACTGCGAGTTTAAGTTCCTCTCGTTCTAAGGTACATTGGACATTCTCATCACATTTTTACAATTTTTTACAACAAACAATCTCGCCTCTTGAGTCTCTGAAAAGGGCACCTTGGGCAGAAGTTTTTAAACAGCTCAGGACCCTTCTGACTTTAATGAAGGCGGTCTCCCCAGTCACCGCCCGGAATAGTCCCCTGCCGCCCCATCCTCCTACGTTGACCGCGATCATCTCGACCTGCGGTTGTGACTAGATGTTTGTCAACAAGCTAACAGGTAAAAGACCTCGGTCAGCAAGGCAAAGACTTTTACTTGGAGGCGAACTCACGTCATTCAGGATATTGGCAGATTTCGTCAAGGAAGAAAGGAACGCAGTGAGCTGCACATCTTCATATTCCTGTGATGATTTTAAGGGATATTTCGGACGATGTGAAACAAAAGTCTGCATACTGTTTCGAACTCTTCGCGAAAGGCTTTGTTTTCAGATGCAGGAAGTGAAGCAATCAGTGCTGCCAAAGATCGAAGGATGTCGTGATTCTTTTTTGCTTGGCCTTTGATTCGTTGTCATTTTGGCATGAAGTAAAACGAGGAAAGAAGGCAGAAACCTGCGATGACGTCCGCAACATATTTGACAAGTACCAGGATCCTCTCATGTAACATCTTTACTGCAGATCGTTGCGTCTGCAAGTGTGATTCCACTGAGTAGATAAGCAAACGCAGAAAACCGAAAGAGTTTGACTGATTGCACGACTTACAACTTGTGCCACTTCCACCACCTCGTGCTGTCCAATCGACTGCTATACGCTCGGCTTCCCCAGTTTCAACATTGTAAGGAACTTCAATGTAAACTGAACGCGATTTGCGATCCCTAATCTCGATTGAAGGCTCGAAAGCCTTAAAAGGAAGGGTCTGTGCATTGACATCAGCACTTGAGATCACTGCCAGGGTGGGTTGCAAGATCAACAGCAGTGGAGTCGAGCAATATCCTGTGAACTATTGAAGATATTGTTAACGCGACTTGTAATAAGGGTAAATAAGCTACACACTTGGTCATGGAGAGCAATGTGGCGTGCTGTTGGCTTAGGCGCCACTGTGTACCATCCGATAAACTCAAGTGAAGGAAAGACTTGTTTGTCTGTCGTATGTTGTGGTATCAGACGCGAGAGAATAGGTCCAAGAAAAAAGAATAACATTGATCGCGTCTTGATACTAGAAAACCGTGGTCGACAGACTCGGCTCCGCCCTCAATCGCGAGTTCAAAGGTGTTCACTATTTCGACTTCTCGTCCATTCTGAGTCCCCAATAGCGCGCCAAGGACTGCGAAGGATATGAGAAAGGTTAGGGCTGATATTAAGGAGGAAGGTTGATACCGAAAGGGTTCGCTGAATTCGTCTGGAGTTTCAGTCTGGTCAGATGCTCGGAGATGTTTAGGATTGGCAGGGGATGGCTGATCGCGACTTTGTTGAGTTGTGAATCGCATAAAGAGAGTGAGCTTACAGGGAAAGAGATAGACCAGAGGTTGCTGTTGACGGCAGAACAACAGAGATTTCATCAGTCTCCATCGAGCTCATTATTCAAGCGATGTTGACACAAATATAGTTTTAAATATATCGGGTGTGACCAATGTGTCACAACCAATGAGGGGCGGTGTAATACGGATCGTGCCCATCTTCAACATCGTCTGAACATCCTCCTAGATCCTCCTCAACCGCCTCTCCTCCTCCCTCCTCTCCCTCGACGTTGTTCCGCCTTCATCTGTGGGATGGCCTCAAAGCAACCATGTGCAAGGTATCAATACGTAGTAACCCCAGCAGGTCCCAAGATCTTACCGGTCGACGAACCGTCATGCAAGGATGAGGAGAGTCCCGCAGATTATAATGCTGGTGGTTATCTTCCTGTCAAAGTCGGTGATGCTTTCAAACATGGTCGATATCGTGTTATTCGAAAACTTGGGTGCGTTTCTTGTATCTTTTCTTAGCCGCTCTGCCTCATCGCACGCAATCATGGCATCATTCAGGTGGGGACATTTCTCTACTGTATGGCTCGTAAAAGACACACAGTTAGTCTTACTTTTAAACCTTGAATATCTACGGTTACTTAGCGATTGTTTCAAGGACGCACTCCCATTCCGCTCTCAAAGTCGTCAAGTCTGCTGGTCGATATGCCGAAACGGCACGGGACGAGATCAAGTTGCTATCTCAAGTATCCTCCTTCGCTCCAACGCATCAAGGTCGATCGCATATTGTTTCCTTCCTTGATTCCTTCTCGCACCAAGGACCTGAAGCTTCCCATATCTGCATTGTATTCGAACCTCTGGGCGAAAACCTGCTTGCGCTGATCGAGAGAAATAAGAAGAAGGGTGTCCCGAGGCCGCTCGTCAAAGTGATAGCGAAGCAAATCCTTCTTGGTTTGCAATACCTTCATGATGAATGTGACCTGGTACACACGGACATCAAACCAGAAAACATATGTAAGTCTCCCTCAATCTTACTTCCTACAACTTTGACTGATCATCCTCGTTTAGTAATTTCCATTCCGGACATCGAAGCCCACATACATAGCGAACTTTCTCAATCACCTTCTCCGACCTCCCGGCGCGTTGGAGTGCCACTTCCGACAAAGTCTCGAGCAGGGGTTTCAATTCCATCCAGCCAACAACGTGCACGTCGGCAGGTTCAAATCTTTAACTCTCAACCCCTAGCCAGTCCTGGGCGAAGTGTGGGTCGAAGTGCACACGGGCACACAAGTATGAGTATGAGCACCCGTTTAGAAGATAGCGGAAGCGGAAGAAGCAGTCAAAACAATAGTTTCATTGCCCAGATGCATCTCTCGAGGATGGCTGCCGCTGGCGCCACTTCAGTAAACCATCTAACTGGTACGACTGCGAGCATGGGTTCCAGTGCACCCAAAGTATCAAGCGCGCTGTCACAATCCGCGCCCCTCTTTCCGCCCAAGCCAAGTGACGCGGGTTCTTCAGGGAAGGTTGCTGCTGATTCCCCTTCGACTTCCTCCTCGTCCTCTTCGATTTCATCTGCAGTGGCTTCCATTGGTGCTGGATCAAGCAGTATTATAAGCACGCCTCCTACATCGCTTTCTCACTCCTTCAGCAACCCTAAGGCAGCTGGTTTCCTCGGGATGAAGAGTATGAATATTGAAATTGAGCTGAGGTCTAGACCCAACCTTTTTATAATGTCCGACGAAGATAAGGAGTTGGAACAGGAGAGGGAAGGATTGCCGATGAAAGGGAGCAAAGGAAAGAACAAAATGACTCCACTGCAGAATGAACTAGATGCCGCTCTCTCTACATCGTGGAGAGACAAACTATCGCCCACCCTTGCTTCATCATATCAGTCCACGTCAAGCAGCCACAATTTAAGCAAGCTGAGGAATCAAGTCGGTCACGGACATGCGCGCTCCCATTCAGGAGCGGGCTTTTGGAAGGATCCAGGGACAGGCGCACCTGCCCCAGCCGTCCTTGTCTCAGCTGTCGCTCGCGCTGATGAGGAGGCAGGAGACTCGTTTCCTCAATTGACCGTTGTAGGTGCCGGCGAAGTGGGAAAATCGACCTTTGAAAATTCATCTGCAACGACGACTGTCCGACCGTCGCCGAATATTACACCACCGCCTGGCCCAAAGACGAGCAAGACGACAACTCTGATTAACGGGGTCAACAAAGTGATAGCCGAAAATACTCTATCCGCCAACGAAACTCATAGCGTCGTCAAAGCTTCGGCTTCGTTTGAAACTCCATTCAATCCATCAAACCTTTCACGGTCACTCCTCACACAAACAGCGCCGTCAAAAGTCAAGGTTCCTACCGTTTCCCCACTCAAGCGGAACATCATTCGTAATTCCCCTCCCCAACAAGTCTCACAACTTTCCGCCCACATGCACATGCACTGTCCGCCGCCGCACAGTAGTTGCGCTGATGCGATGCACAATCACATAAACACTGCTAGAGCAAATAAGCCATCTCGTTCTTCTCGTGTTAGCCCTCCCCCTGTGACTATGCCACCGATTCTCCCCACGTCCGTGACGCCTACACCAACTTCACCGACCCCAGCTGCGCCACCTCCTACTCCCATCGCATCGCCTACCGTAAGCTCACTCGTACCTTATTCCGCCCCTATCACGACCGCTGCCCCTGATGGCTTGCCTTCTCTTCTTCCAATCCAAACACCGTCCGAGGATGCGGCGGAAAGGCCGCCTCCAATATCAGTCAAAATTGCTGATTTGGGAAATGCGACTCCCTCAACAAAGCATTACACCGAAGATATCCAAACACGTCAATATCGTGCTCCAGAAGCGATTGTAGGTCGTCGTGATTGGGACGACAGAGCTGACATTTGGAGTGTGGCTTGTGTGGTGCGTTCATGGTAGCGCTGCCTTTTCTATTCCGTCATTAATTGTCTTGTTTTTATGTTTCAGATATTCGAATTGTTGACAGCCGAATACTTATTCGACCCTCAAGGACAGGGAGAACTCTTCACGAAGGATGATGATCACATGGCCCAGATTATAGAGCTGCTTGGCAACTTCCCTCTGGAAGCGAAGATGGGTGGCAAGTACAGTCGAGAGCTGTTTGATCATACTGGTTTGTCCTGTTTTTTCTTCTTTCCTTTTCGATAATTACCTCAACACATCCTCAATACCAGGTGCTTTACGATACATTCGGACACTCAAACCCTGGCCACTGAAGCGTGTTATGACGGAGAAATATCTTTTCACGGAAGTCGACGCCGCGTCTCTCTGCTCCTTTCTCCAACCTATGTTGGCGGTCGACATGCGTGAGCGCGTGCATGCGCGTGATATGATTGAACATTCATGGTTAACACTGCATGGGGAGGATGAAGCCATAATGGAATGGTGATTATATAGTCAGCATTGGCTTCGTTGCCAGTTCGCAGAACTTGGCTAATTTCCGTGGCAACAGATCGGGGGAGCTGCTACTCACACTAGACTTATAGAAGATTTAGGACCCACCTCTTACTGTTCGCCCCATTTCGTCTTTTTCTTCTTCCTACATTATTCTTCCGATGCCTATTTTTCCTCCTTATTTCGGGCTTGTGTTATTCTCTCTATTCCCGTCACTTCACCATACCCCTAGATTTGGTGACTGGCTTGTCACCATTATTCCTACCATAGTATGGACATTTGAATTCTGTGATATAATGCCAGGCCTGGTTTTGAATAAGTCACTGCTTAAGAATAAAGAGAGATTCGAAGAAATGCAGTGTTTTGGAGCGGACACATGTGTGCGCAATAATACTACTGTAATCACAATTACTTGATATCCATATTGGTCCATGGTCTTAGCATTGTTTTGGGTAAAGACGAAGATGCGTCAGGATGCAGAGGTTTCCATCCCGGCAGAAAGTGGGTAGTGAAGAGGCAAAAAATGAGTACGTAGAAGTTCAGATAGTAACAACGGTTCGGGTATCAAATGGCCAGCTGAGCGTGAATGGCTGCCTGTTCCGATCAACACCAGATTGCTGCCGCGAGGCCAGCGAGTCCACCCAGGAGTGTGAAACCGTAGCCAGCATTGAGACGGACTGGGTCACTTGCGGCAGACTTGGCGGTCCCGGTGGATTGCGCAGAACCCGGAGCGCCAGAAGAAAGTGTAGTCACAGCCGAACCTGCAAAATTGTTAGCTCGCCTAAAGATGTTTAAGGAGCCACAACGTACCAGATGCGAGGGGTGGGTTGGTCTTGTTGTTGTTAGTCTCGATGTATGCATCTGTCATCGGCTTGTTCAGGCAAGAGATGATCGGCTCGATCGTGAAAGGTGGTTGATGGGCCAAAGCATCAGGAAGGATGTAACCTGTCGCGACTTCGACAGTTTGTTGAAAAAGATCGTGTTCCAGCACGATGAAACCGCTGCTCATAGCTGTAGCATTGCTGATAATGTATTCCCAATTTTGCAACACTTGCTCTACAGAAATCGAACCTCCGTGAATATTGAAGTCTGCAAATGGGATGTGACGTTTGCGAGCAGGTAAGATATAATAAGGACCTACCACCCGTATCAAAAGTGGCAGTGGGACTGATGCGTGTCCAGATGACGGGTGTCAGGCCCATCGCGATTGAAATAGCTCGAACACGGTCACTAGGCAAAATTTAGGCCATTGTGACCACTCTGAAAATAGAACATACTCAATGTCCCCATACGGCGGCCGCATCATGTTGGGTGTCACACCCAGGACATCCTTGATGACCTTCTTTGACCAGCCGAGCTCCGCAATGATCTCCTCGTTGGTTTGGGTGGTTAAGGCCGTATGACTCCAGGTGTGAACGGCGATTTGATGGTTTCCCATGTACTCGGCCTGAAGATAAGCAGGAAATTGAATGGCGCGAGAGCCAACGACAAAGAATGTCGATTTCAGATTCGTTTGGTCTAGATAGTCCAGTAGATTGGGAGTGTAATATCCTGGGCCGTCGTCGTAAGTGAGACCCCATTGTAGGGTATTGGGACAAGTGGTGATGTCAGTGTCTCTTGTACAACCACCGCAAGTCCACCAACAACGCGTGGAGTCTGCAGCAGCGGCTGTGTTATTGGGGCATCCACCTAGAAACGATTATCAGTCCGGATTGACGCGAAATTTCAGAATGACGATAGACCTGGTGAATTGACGGGTATGTTGGGAATTGAGAAGCCAGAATTCGCCACATCTTGAATCCACTGCTGTACTAGTTGCGAATCTGTAGGTGGTGGAAGGTCGAGTGCAGGATAGTTGGAAGGAGAAAGCGAGGCGACTGTAGAGCGAAGATTGTCAAAAGCATGAAACTACTCGAGGAAAAGAAAAAGTACAGTTCGGTAGAGGAGGGGCGCCAGCTAAGGTTGGCTGAGCACCAGGAACGGCCGTAGTGTCCAGTGGGACTGTGGCAAGACTGGACTGGTTGAAGGTGATCGAGGCCAATGGAACGGCGGTAGGATTTGTGGCCAGGAGAGTAAAAGAGAAGGTGGTTGCCGGTGGGCTGAACGTGGAAGAGTTTACAGCACTCGAAGCCGCAGACGCGGAGGACGCTGTGGAGGGTGCCGTAGATGCCGTGGAGGATGCTCCACTGCTTGTACCAGCGACAACAGTACGTGATGCGCTTGTTGTTGATGATGTTAATTGACGCGCAGCATGATGGTGGTGATCGATGTGAGCAGCGACGAGAGCAGTGAGAGCAGCAAGGACGGAGGAACGAGTGAAAAACATTCAAGAGAGTGAGACCAAGTCAGAACAAGAGAAAAACTTTGAAGGAATCCAAGCACTTCCCATGCCATCCATTGTGCCAAACCTTTATATTCATCTATTAATAGCTCGGATACATCTCGGCATAAACGTTTATTCTTAGACCTTTCTCTTTTTGCTTCTTGGCTTTTCAAGATCAATTTCTTCGGCATCGTCGTCATCCTCATCCTCTTCGTCTTCAGAGTCGCTTTCGTTGCTGATGTTGCCCAAAAAGTACTCGATTGCCTCTGGGAAAATCTCATTTGCTAATGCAAGGCCAAGCTGTACCAACTTATCAGTAAAGCTTTCAAACCCATATCGTATTTTACACTCACATCAGAAGGATCAGTCTTGCATTCGAAAAAGTTGAAAAAGCTGCCAGGTTCGGCAGGTAAATCGTCTTCGCTATCCCCACCTTCACGAGGGTACAACTTAGTCAGCGCCTTCTCGGCATCCTTCCAGTTAATTTTGGAGACCTAAAAAAAAAGTCTCCATCAGGCTGAGTCTGAGGTACACCAATGAGGTACTTACCGACATTTCTACGTCACGTTCCCATGAGAAATCGAGACTTGATTCCGTGATCCCGTGCTCGTCTGGCTTTTCGTCCTTGGCCGCAGGAGGGGGCACAAACTTGAACTCTTTTTTTAGCAGCGTGTCATGGAAAAACTGATTTTCTTTGAAATACTAACAAAACGTTAGTCAAGACCGTTTCAAAAAATGAAACACACGCGTCACGCACGAACTCGATCGTAAAGCACCTATGCTCATCAGCGCTTTTCTCCACCCACATATCCTCAAGGTAGCTCAACGCAGTCTGATCAGCGCTATGTTGGGCATGGTATGCGATCACGCTGTTGTTAAACAATGCGACAGGCCAGAAGCTGGGGATCGCCTTGACGATCTCACGGCGCCTCTCATACACGGGACGCAAAATGGCTTGAGCCTGGCGTTCTGAAGAAAGTAATTCAGTGGCATGCTCCCGTTGCACAAAGTGCTGATATGGACATACCTATGACCAATTCAGCACGGGCAAGTTCGCGTTGTATGCCATGCAATTTTTTGGCATCCTCATCGCTAAGTTCCACGCTTTGGAGGGCGCTTTTCTCATCCTCCGCCCCAGGGGAAGCGCGTTTTGTGCCTTTGGCCATTTCTTTGGTAATATCTACGGAATAAGAGGAAGAGGGAGGCAGGACAGAACGCGCGGAAGAAAGTCAAGATCTGGCTGGAAAGTGAAAATTTAACTCCGTGGCCCACATGTAGCAGATTAATAAGCAAGCAACCTTTCTTGAAAGTACCAAAGAGCAAGTATTATAGAGAAAAAAGTATGCATGGCTGAATACGAGCAACTAAAGGGTCATCTTAGTCTACACGCTTTTTGAGAGAACCAAGTTCAACTTCTTCAGGCCCAGTTCTGACTCTCCCGTTGGCCAACCGAGCTCTCTTGGGCCCCATGTCCGTCTTGCCCTTCAAACCCTTGCCATGATGCGCAGAGCGGAACCCAGGGCCGTTGTAGTAAATGATATCGGTCAGGGGGTTGAGTCGTGGCCATGCAACATAATCAATGCCGTGAATGGTAATGAATGCAAGGGCCATCGAGAAGAGTGTTAACCACAACAAAAAGTAATAGAAGAGAGAGTAATCTGTCATCGCTATCAAAGGAGTGCTTGGAATGGATGAATTGATTGAACTAACCAGATGACCGTGGCAAAGTTAGACCCGCGCAGATCATGAAGAGCGAAAAGGATGCAATAGCAGGCATCTAAATAGCATTCAGCATTAGAGGTCGTACAACGAGGGGGAAAAAAGTTCACAGAGCGGGTGATCAAAGGACGAGTGTCCGAAATCAAAAAAAGAGACGAACTCGGACTCTTTCTGGGAATCCAAACCCCCGTAACCAAATCAAAGCCATCCTGAGGAACGTCGGAAGGTCAGCGGTGGCCGGAAATAAAAAGAGAAATTTCACTGATACCTGTTTCGCTCCATCAAAAAAGTTGTTCTTCAGGTACCTCATGGTAGACTTGAAGCCATCCTCTATAGCACCCTTGCGAGTCCTCTTGTTCGTCCGGGTGAAATCCGACTTCAGCGCGCCAGAGCCTCCGTATGCCTTGGCGATGGCGTCTGCATGGTCGGCCCACACTGAAGCGGGGAGATGAGTCACCAGCATCGCAATGCGAAAGATGACACAAACTTTCTCTAAAATCTTTGCTAACTGCCTCAACGTCGTCGATACTACCTTCAGGCGACAGGATCCCTAACTCCCTCAATTGTCGATTCAATGTCCACCTCGCAAGTGAAGCTTGCACGACATTTGTACGATCCAGATTGTCCATGCAATTTGTTCTAACGACGCCTTTCTGGAAGTTCACGGAGGTCGGGTCGTTAGGGTTGGACGAAAAGTAACTGACAGGTGGATTGTTTCAGAATTGCATTTCGAATCGAAATGGTGAAGATTGTACCTATGCCTCTCAAGGTCCTCCATCATCTTGTCAATCAACAAACTTATACGATCCCATCGCATTTTCCTGCACTCGTTATGGAAGTCAAAGTATTCGTATCGGACTTTGGGTAAGTCAAGCTATGGTTGTAATTCAGAGTCATATCTTCATAGCAGAGATAACACCTACGAGGGCGACGTAACGTTCATATGCATCTTTGACGGGCTTCTCGTGGCCGGTATGGTTGACGAGGTTGACGAGAGCCTCTTCCCCATAAATTTCAACTTGCTCCGTCAAGTGACTCCGCATTGCACTTGCCTGATAAATTCATTGATCCAAACCGACACACTCTCAAAAAAAAAAAGCTTACTGTCTCTGGCAAGTCCATAATTTGTAAATCGGGTTTGTACCTCAGGGTGTTGATTTCTGACCAAAACACTGGGACGCTCCCACGTATTTGTACAAAACTGAGCTTTGTGTACTTCTCTTCTGAAGCACCCGATGTTCCAGGAGCAGGCTGCCCTTCGAGAAGTAAAATTTGTTCAGTTTCATTGAAATTGGCCACATGTCCGTCACGGTCAATACCACGCCGGAAGTACCGCGTCCCAGCGCGAAAGCGTGAGCGCCGGCTAATCAAACATAATTGCATGTGGCGGCCACGGAGGAAAACCGGCCGAAGGTCAAAAGCTGAAGGGAGGAACGTCATGGATTATTTCCGGGATGCAATTATAGTAAGACTCACTTCCAAACAAAATAGGAAGGATATATGAGCCATACTGCGAGAGGGTATTAAGACTGGCTACATTGTGAAAAAGGACGACGCACGTCTTTGTTCCGATCCGATGCTGCCAAGTCTATAAGCCTCGTCTGGATAAATCTATTCCACGTCGAACGATGAAGATCGAGGATGGGATTTTGACATATGAACGCACCTATTCCAAAAAAAGCGATCGTCGGCCTAAATGTTGTGAGAGATTGGTACAAAGGCGTCGGACCGAACTCACCACTTCCCAAAGCGACTTTCCAGCTTCATTCTCGTGCTTTTGCGACTGAGCCTGCAGTCGGCGCGTTAAATCCCATGTATAAGAGAACAGAAAGTTCCCTCCATAGAGATGCGAGCGGACAAGGGCCAGCAGATGAGCTTCCACTGCGTGCGGGGGGTTGTGTGCTGACACATTAGGATTCAGGGGAAGGAGGTCAAATTCTGTTGCACGGTAGATGTCGTGACCCATAAGACGAGCCTGAAGCTCCCTTCCGCTAATTACAATTACATACTCCGCTGCAATACGTGCAAGTGAGAATTGGAATCATCAATGGCTAGAAGGGCGCACATAAGGATAGGGATATCAGGCCTATAATGCCGTATAACGGCTTTCCAGAACGACGGGCGAAGGTGGGTATCGGTGTTTTATGGGCTATCTGACGGCTTCAGGATTGTTAACTCGAAATAAGTCCCAGAACGCACGGTTAAGAACAATGTCTCCAGATGAGCGGTGAATAGTGAGCGTCTGGCCATCGACGCCGTCTGGCACGAAGATATACGTATCATTGCCTTCGGCGTATCTAGAAAAGTGAGGACACTGCAGAGGGTTAAGGTGGAGCGAGTGCTCACAAATTAAGACGCTGGTGGAGGGGAGTCATGGTAGAGGTTGGCGGCTGAGCGCTGATGCTTGAACAAAGAGAGGTGAACGCGTTGAGCGTCTGAGTCTGAACCTGGTCTGAACTTTCGGACACTGATCGTTGTCGACCTCATACTCAACTCCTCAATGAAGCTCACTCCAGAGCTACTGGCCCAGGCATCCTCGCAGTTAAATCCCGTAAAAGAGCGCCAGCTTGACCTCAGAGGTGAGCAGCACCTTTATTACACCCACGCAATTTGTTTACATAGATAATAGGATACAAAATCCCTGCAATCGAAAATCTTGGTGTCACAAGAGTATGTCCTCACCGTTCCCCGCATTTCTTTCCACCTATCAATTTCGCGTAGGATCAACATGATGCGATAGATTTCACCGACAACTCTATCATTACCCTGGGCAACTTGCCGTTGCTTAAACGACTGCATACCCTTTTGCTTGCGAACAACAGGATACAATCCATTTCACCTTCAATCCACCTCTCAGTTCCAAATCTGACGACACTCGTTCTAACAAATAACAATATTTGCGAGCTTGGCGATCTAGAGCCTCTCAAAGAACTAAAGAACCTCAAGTACCTCTCATTGCTCGCGAATCCTGTGAGAGAGAAAAAATGGTATCGCGAGTGGCTTGCCTGGAGAATTCCTGGGCTGAGAGTTATAGATTTTCAGAGAATCCGGGACAAGGTGCGCTCACCTGCACCTACTAGACGCGTCGGACACAACCGCTCATCTCCCGCCTCACAAACGCTGCTTTGTCAACCTTTAGGAGCGTTCAGTAGCAAAATCGCTGTTTATGACCCCGGAGAAACTACCAACTGCACTTGCGACCACAATATCCACGACAGTATCAGCACACTCGACGAAGGCGGTCATCACAATCGACGAACCAAAACTGGCGCCGCTGGCAGGGAAAGCTGGACGGCTGATGTCAAAAGAGGATCAGGACAAGGTCAGAGCTGCGATTGCGAAGGCTACTTCTATAGAAGAAGTGAGGAAGCTGGAGCGAAGTCTGAGGGAAGGGTATGTGCCCGAGTTGGAGTCTGTAGGGGCATAAGGCCTTTGTTGTGTTGTTCAAAACTTGTATTCTTGGCTTTCCATTGCTACATGAAAAATTCTAAACTCCAGTGACTTCTGTACATATTTGAGTGGTCTGCCCCCACCAGCGGGTAATAATGCTGTATCAATTTCTCTTTATGCCAGCATTGCCGATCCACAGCCCATGGAACCCGAGTGAAATAACAGCACCCAGGTTCGCAAGAGAGCTGATACCATGAAGCATTCCAAACTTACGATTCAATGCTTTCATCTGGCTGGAAACCTGTGAAACCCGTCGTCGTCATCTGGATTATAAGCCTGAGAAGTACCAGGAACATACCCCAGATTCATTGTACGACTTGCCCTCCTCTTTTTCGAGTCTGTGGCGTTTGAACATAGTCCTTTCAGAATAATAGTTCATCAGTGCGTCGCAGGTCAGAAAATCTAAAACGTACTTGCTGGTCATAGGACCTATGACGAAATAGTTGAAACTTTGAGAGAGAAACACAGTGAGTAACGCATACGCCTGCGCAACATCAGCGATGTTGGGACGAGCGTAGTGTTTGAGGACATCCGGGTGGTTCAAAATCCAAATTGTAAGAAGTCCTGCAGAAAGGGCGATTGATTTCACGAAGTAGACGGGGAACGTTTTGTGCTGGAGGGCACCGAACTGTTGGCGAGCTAGTTGGTGCCATCAATGTCTGCGCACAGTATGTTTGAAAGAAAAACATACGAAGAGTCCGATAGGCGATTACACCTGTATCGACCTGTCAGTGGTGAGCTTATCTGGGACGCAGAATGTGCAACCAACCTCCAAAGAATGTAATCCACAGAGCTTAGAATGCGTTCAACTGTTATTTCTTGGTCATTTCAACGAGAATCGATCCGAACTTACACATCCCAAAGAGCCATGCATAGCCAAGAAGGTAAATACCGTCGAGATTGATTATAAATGGGAGAGATTCAGTGAGAAGGACAGTCTTCGCCATCGCTGTCAAGAGAGAGGTTACAGAGGGAGCGTTTTTCGCAGGGCCCACAGCAACCGACTAATGATTGAAATCTATTCATTCATTGCGTACGGACGTCATTCTATGTAATGGAGCTTGCAATCCGTACTCAGGAAATAATCATTACCGACTTCTATGAACAAAGGAACAAGATCATCCAATGACGACCTTCTCATCCCCCTCAGTGAATTCGTAGGCGGGCACCTCGAGATTAAGCTAGGAGACATCGTAAGAATGATACTTAGTTGACGAGAATGACACTCACGGGAGCGGGTCCTTTGCGAGCCCGTCCAGCTAATATAGCAATGCATGTGAGCGGTTTCAAGCAAAAGAGCTTTTAGAAAAAGAGCCTACAGATATCGTAGTGAGAGCCATGGCAAGGGCAAAACCTACACATTGGGACCCCATCAGAGATGCAACGCTTGTAAAGGAGGAAAAAACAAAAGCTCACCATCCTCCAAAATCGCCAGCCTCGCCGATGGGAACACAACCCAGATGCGTGCAAACGCCCAACATGACCAACCACTCTGGCTTCTTCACGCGGTCCTCGTCAGGCTGAGGATCCCTGAAAGATTTCCAGTCCGAGGAACGCGCCTCCTCGATCTCAGCCTGTGTCCTGTGCCTGATGAAAACAGGCTTTCCGCGCCATTTGATGATGACGTTCTTGCCCTCAGGAATCGCGCCCAACTCAACTTCAACTTTGGCCAGTGCCAGTACGTCGGCGGAGGCGGCCATGGTCTGCAGGAACTCGGACACGGAGGACTTGGCCATGGACGCAGAGAGGACACCGAGTGAGCCAACCATGAAGTAAGAGAGAGCACGATTGCTGTCGGGGTTGGTGCGGTAGGAAGAGAAGTCGGGAACCTCAGGCGCGTCCTTGACGGGTACGGAAGTGTGGATGAGGCGCTGTTGGTAGTTGGTAGTGGAGGTAACTGTCCACAATATTTTCAAATTTCCCATTCAACTGAGAGGGGTTGAAATTTTACCTGTGGTGAATGACTTGGAAACGAGACCAGTCGAGGTTGTCGAAATGCCACCCGCCCACCGTGGCGGCAGGTCAGAACGCGGTCCAGCACCATGACCGTGGCTATAGGCATCATGAGGTGCTTTGACGGCGAGATTGAGTAGGGAAGCGACGGGAACACCGTTGGGAAGGGTGCGAACGGTGGGTGCGAGGGTCACCGCCTTTTTTACGGCGTGAAGGGATGCCATGGTATGACGAGAGTGACTGACTTTTTTTGCAGTAACCAATTGGTAGCCAAAAGGGCAGCGGAGTTATGTAAACTGACTTTTCCCGTTCCGTCCCGGGTATACACAATATTTATTTCACGTCCTCTGTACATGTTGGTCTAAACACTCATACACCCTCTTCTTCGGAAATTTGGGAGCAACAGAAAGTCCTCGCTGTTTTATGAAACGTCGCATATTACTCGGATAATCCGAGATAATCCCATCCACGGCCTCTGAATCCATAAGATCCTCTGCAATACTCATGGAGTTCACCTGTGTAGATCGACATCAGTCAAGGCAACGAGAAAATGATCAAAGTTCATTCACCGTCCATGGTTTGACACTCATTCCCACTTGGTGTGCTCTTCTTACCATCTCCTTCGTCGTAAAGAGAGCGTATTCAGGCCCTGTGTAATCCACAGCTGCCGGTGAAAGAATCTGCGCTCCAATAAAGCTTGCGGCGTTCGCAATTCGGACTCCCAGACTCAAACCCGAAAATTCGTCTAGGCGAAGACCAGCTAGCCACGGAGAGGTACTGTTGTCCGCCGTTGTCGCAGTGGATCTTAAGACGAGTCTTATCAGCGCCAGGATAGAACTCGAGCGAAATAAGCTTACACGTCGATCAATGCAGAAATTGCAATACGGGGCTCAAGTGCCTGTCATACAGGTCAATTAATGGTCACGAACGTGATCATATTTCAAGCCGTACCTTCATCGCAATGAGGGTCCTCCAGTCAAAACTTTGATACTTCACCGTGTCTTAGCATGATATACTGGAAAACGATGACCAACCACGTACTGTGATTTGCGATAACGGATAAGGACTTGAAATAAACTCCTTGTGTTGCTTCTCGACAAAGTCTTTGACACCTCGCGTCTTGTTGGGGTGCACGGGATTGACCTTTGATTCGATGTTCCACAAAATTTGATGCATGGGGTCGACACAGTCTACAAATTCAAATACTTCTCGAAGTGTTGAGATCTTTGTGCGTGGATACGTTAATTGCAAAGCTGAGGAGAGGAAAGTTAGAATTTAGCGATAACGGGAACGCGGTGCGGCTTACGGTAATTTGGCAGGCGTAGTGAGCCGCAGTCCAATGTTTTAATCTGAGCCAAAGTAAGCTTGGCGATAGGTTTCCCTACATATGGAAAGTCGGGATCGTCTTTCACCTAAGGCAGAAACATTAATTAGCGTTTAGGAACTTGACAGGGTTCGACATACGACAGGAGCGGTGTCTATACATTTCTCCGGAGTAATTTCCTCGTCATGCCACACTATCACAACGCCATCCTGACGGGACTGAGTTTTCGCCATAGAAAATAGAAGTAGCAGAAGCACCTTTGTGATGCCATTGTCTAGTTCTAAGGTGGTGACGCCGTCAATGAGGCCCCTGGTGTTACGTTCAGCAAACACAAAACACATATTAAATGGGAGCCGTACCAAGCGAAAGCAGGGAGTGTGCTTTCGACCGCCTCGCCTCTGCTACCGCGATGGCCCTGGAGAAAAAATTGGCCCCCAAGGGCGCATGCCCTGATTTATGATCATACCTGTATGTCAAAATATCTGCTATTCGCTGGTAGGGGATGTTGAGCAGGTCCACAGGAAGCCACTACAACACAAGAGAGAATGGAGGCTGCAGATAAGAGGTACATCGCGGATGACCGGTTTGCCTTTGTGGGCTTATCGCAGGAGCCATGTTATAGATATGTAAGAATAGCAAAGATGTTCCATTATTGAACCGGGGGGAAGGAGTTGCACGGTTGAGGTGGAGACGAACGTGTAAGTTTTCAGCGTCCGATTGGTTCTTGGCCGAGCAACGTTGATGTTCGGAGCACGGCCGGAGAGTCCTTTTCCAGTCACTGCGCAAATACATCGCCTTTCAAATGCTTCAAGCCATTTGAATAATGTTCTGAGTGTCGTAAACCATTTCTCAAAGTAAATACCTGGCAAATACCACGAACGTGCAGAGCGTCTTTCTCACATTTTCTAAGCTCGCGTAACGTCCATGGTGTCATTCCTTTTTGGGCGGAGAGTCTCCTGCCTTGCTGTCGACGTTTGCCAACCCCAAGTTCTTCCATTCATCCCGCTCCATCAAGCCCCTGGAAAAATTAGTGCAACCAACGGACTGAAAATCAAGGCATAGACCCACTTGTTCATCCGACAATCGAGATATGCTTTGCTCAAAACTCGACAAGGACTGGAGGTGCTTGAATTATTGCGAAGACAGTTCATGTACTGGTTCATCGTTTCCTTACATTCGCCTTAGATTCTACTTTTAGTTCCGGTTCTACGAAATAGCGACCGCCACCAACCGTAATGGTCGAGGGGGAACGAGCCACGATCTGGAGCTGACACTTTAAAGCCAACATTAATGGAAGGGGGTCTGCCAAACGACATTGATGATGAAAGATTTCTAACAAATGTGCATTGTAATTTGTGAGTATCTTCCGTGAGAATCTTGAGATAAGATAACAATTGTTCGTAATCTTATCTACCCTTTCCTCAACACCCCTAACCTCGACTTGGCTTTTTCCCCTTCCCTTTCTTCTTCTTGCTGTCCTGTTCTTCATCCGATGACGACGAGAATTCAGAGACATCCTCAGCCCGAGAACTTGAACCAGACTGGCCAGGACCATCACCGCTGCTTGATGCTAGGCGTTGAGAGAGGTTAGCTGAAGTAAATCGCGTGCCCTTCAGCATAACAATCTCCTTCAACCATCCATTCTCGCGCCTGAGGTCAGTTACCTCGCGCTCTAGTTCCTCGGCACGGCCTGTCAAATCTGACACCGACCGCTCAAGGTTTATCGTCTTCTGCTTCTTCTTGATCCTGAACCGCGCTGTGACAACCATACAGGTCAAACAGGAGTTCAATAAGACTAAGCGAAGATCAAGTTACCTGAAGCAGCAGTATTTCTTCGACGCTTTTCATCCGACATTGCAGCAGGATCGGCTTCCGTCTGCTCCACTTCAGGAGAACTAGCGGTATGTGATGATGACGCCTGGGATTGGCTCTGCAACGTCCCCCCGGGGTCGCTGCTGGTCCCGGCGCTGTGTGGTGGCACTGCCCCGTATCGTGGGTCGATGTAGGGCGTCCCTCGTTGGGGTTGATAGTGACTGGGACCAGGGTGTTGATGAGGCGGAGGGGGTTGTGGCAGAGGTGGTGGGGGGAGTTGATGCCAAGGAAAATCCAGCGACGAAAGAGGAGGAAGTTGGGGGTGCGCCATGTTACCGTGGTGGAAGTAAGGGGGATAGAAATCTGGGGCGGGACCCATAGATGGGAAGTGGTCCGGTAGAATCATTGTCGAATAAGGTTGATCAAATTCCATTCCAGAGCCCGCGGCAGCAGCAAATTGGGCCAGTAAAGCGGCATCCTGAGAGTCTAAATGTATCAAGTTCAAGACAAACAAACGGCAAAGAGGGACTTTTGGGTCCATACTTACTCACCCTACCACCGTCATTCTCCGACTGAGCTGTAGCGCCAGAGTTGGAACGTGACCCTGGCGTGTTCCGAGAGTGGCGTTCTCTTGAAGAACTTGGTTGCCCGCGATTCATGTCAAAGAAAAATGCTAATCGTGCCCCAATGAAAAAAATCGAGTAAGGCTCCAGAAGGGGTGGTCGTTGGCTTCAAGTCATGATTTTGCTTGCTTTTGAGAAAGGGCACAACGACCCTAATATGCGCATTCCATGATACAGGCGGTGAACATATGGCAGCAAGAGTCTTGATTCGCCATTGGTACACAAAATTGCGACACATCGAGCCAGTTACACGCCACTGCTGCTTCTTGAATTGTCAATTGCCGATCTAAGGCAAGAAATTCAACCCAAATAGCTTGCCAGGTGTCCACAGAAATACGGTTGGCAAGAGACCGAAGAATTGACAGTGAGAGCTTTGTGAGAGCTTATGTTCAAGGTGATGTTGAACTTAACGTTAGGTTATTCCATATTCCAGTTCGGGCCGGCAATTTGAGCCACACAAGTCTTCAAATAATTCCGTCAACCCATGATCCAGGGACAAAACTTTGCACTGACGTCTTGTAAAGACATTGCTTAGCATTGCTGCTTACCTTGTACTTGCTTTATTGCTCCCTTTGCATCACTTATTGCATTGCGAGTACTTGTTGGTCGATTTGCGTTCGCTTGTGGATCAACCAAACGGCCGTAAATTGGTTTGATGGCTTAGTCAGCAATTACGCGTCGACGCGTTTCGCTCTCAAGTGCCCTCAAGGCTTATTATATCTTATCCTCAACATCCATCTCTACAGCAAAAATGGTCAGTCCTCGTTTCATATATAGCTATGCACGCTAAAGTACTGCAGTTGATTAGGGTTAGATCGAAAGATGGCAATTTTCGGTTTGAATTAGATCCCAATAGCGATATATCTCAATTGCTGGCGAAGGTATGCAATCCTTCGTTATATCCTCGTCATACTCATGTTATCGATTACCATCTTCGCTACAGATACTAGAAACCTCGTCTGATGCAGATCCATCAAGCGTGACCCTTTCAAATCAACCCCGCGGCAATGAAGCTAAAGCGTCCACCTTGAAAGGTAGAACACTGAAGAACCTCGGACTTAAGTGAGTGTCGATTTCTATGCTTTATTTTGACAAAAAATTGAATCCTCCTCTTCAAGTCATGGTGACCTTGTTTTTGTGGGCTATCAGTCGAAGAAGTCATCAGAAAGTACTTCCACTACGCCGTCCTCTTCCACCGTACCTCCACCTGTCGTTGCAGCGAAACGACCTTGGGAGTTGGTGAAAGAAGATCCAGTTGACGAGTACTGGCGCGCGCAATTAGGCAAAATTCCGCGAGGACGCGATTCACGTTTCTGCAAGCACGGATTGAACGGCATGTGTGACTATTGTATGCCCCTTGAACCATTCGATGCTGCATATCACAAGGAGAATTCAATCAAACATCTGTCGTACCACGCGTACTTGCGCAAGATTACGCCAAAACCTACAGCATCAGCTGCATCCACCCTTCCTCCCCTAAACCCAGCATCGTACAAGGTCAAAGTCCCATGTCCAACTGCAACTCACCCACCATGGCCGGCTGGTATATGCACAGCTTGTCAACCATCGGCAATTACTCTTCAATCTCAGCCATACCGCATGGTGGATCATCTGGAGATCGCCTCTATGGACATCATCGATCGTTTTCTTCAGGCGTGGCGAAAAACTGGTTTACAAAGATTTGGGTGGCTCGTCGGACGGTATGAACCCTACGACAAGGTACCTATGGGCGTGAAAGCCGTTGTGGAAGCCATCTATGAGCCTCCACAACAAGGGGAGCTCGACGGCCTTACCCTAGGATGGCCATGGGAAGACGAGACAAGGATTCGAGAGTTGTCCGCGTCTTCTTCTACGCCTTTGACTTTGGTTGGGTATATCTTCACTGATTTGGACCCAACACCAGAAGACAGGACGAAGAACGTCTACAAGCGACATCCGCAGTCCTTTTTCTTGTCATCTTTGGAAGCTGTGTTTGCTGCTACGATGCAAAAGGCTAATCCCACGCAGTCACGCTCGTCCCCTACTGGGAGTTTTGCTTCTCGCCTCGTGACAGCTGTCTTAACGGGGACGGAGGACGGCCAGGTTGATATTTCTGCCTATCAAGTATCCGAGCAGGCCGTAGCGATGGTTGAGGCAGACATGATTGAAGCCAGCGTCGATCCTGGTATCGTGCGAGTCAAGGAAGAAGACCGGACTCAAGATTCCGCAAGATATGTTCCTGATGTATTCTTTTCGTTCAAGAACGAATACGGACTGGAAGTGAAGAAGAGCGCAAAGCCTTGTTTCCCAGTCGAATATCTCCTTGTCAATGTGCGTGCAGTACTAGTAATATCACTCCGTGTTATTCGTTGATTTTACGTTGATAGGTCACACACGGATTTCCGCAAAACCCGTCGCCTCTCTTCCGTTCCGTCGAGTTTAATATTGAGAACCGGCCGGGGCTGGAAGATCAAACGCTCGAAAGGGTTATGGCGCATCTTTCCAAGTTGGACGCACCCTCGATTCGCCCGGGAGAAACGTACAAGAAGATTGAGCTGGCGAGGTGGCTGAGCAATTGGCATCTCATCGCCTTCCTCGAAACGACACAATTGATTTCACCTGTAAGTTTCGTACGAATAATATATATATTCACTCACGATGCTCGACTTAGGAGGACGTGAAGCTCTTTATGAAAATCGTATCATCGCCTACACTTCTGGATAATATCTCAGAATTAGACCCTCTTCTATCAACGGACAGCTGGCAAACGCTCATGGCGTTTACTCGTGAAAGTGCCCGTAAGTTTTCTTGTTCATTTCGTGACATTGACTATTTTACTCAAGTCCATCAGCTTCTCGCCCTTCGGCCACCGTTGGAGGCACACACGACGACGACATCCCTCAGGAAGTGTTGGATCAAATTGCAGCAGATGAGGTGGGAGGAGCCGGAGCTACTCATGAAAGGATTAGAATCTGTCCCCATTGTACTTTTGAGAACGATCACAGTCGCCCGGACTGTGATGTTTGTGGGTTGCCTTTGTAATGTACATATTTACTGGATTCACTTGGGAGTTTCAGCTCGAAGACTCTTGATGTTAACTTATTGACAAGTAAAGAGCATCCATTGGCTATTGCTTTTTTACAGTTCATACAGACTAGGGCTCAAGCTAGTATTGGACATTTCTAGCACATCAAGATCTTGGATGATTTTCGAGGTAAATCAGCGGCCACGTGGACGCCCACCTCCAGCTACATGCTAATATAGGCAGGTTTGGAAGTGAGCACGCAGGAGCTCAATCTCTACATCCTCAACAAAGCCCTGGGCGCCCTTCTGTGGTTGTAGATACATGTCTTCAACGGGGAGTGATGGAGCCCCAGACAGTTCAAAACGATACAACTTCAATCGTCCATCACTCTCCTGGTAATACTGCTCAGCAAAGGGTATCATGAATATAGATTATGTAGGCTGTAAACGCACCCTCATATACCCTATTTGGTAGTCGTCAAAGACATCGTGCACATCAGAGCGCATGAGCATGACATTACGTTCCCGGTCAGCATCATTCCATGATCTGATCCAGTGGTGGAATCGTGGACGTAGAGCTTCCTCCACCTAGAACAACAGATTCTTGTCAGTGATCAATTAAACTTCAATGGATGCTTTTCTTGAAGGCATACGCCAGAGGGAAGATGTGTGCAGCTTGAAAGCCTTTGAAGTTTGCACCTCTTGCCCGACGGGGGACAGGAGTGCCTGTCACCCAGCAGCACATGTCCCTTTGACGGACACCTTGGACTACAGCGCGAGACTGCAGCGCATTTTGAGATTTTGTCCCAGTAGTCACATACAATAAACAATAAACAAACCCTTCGTCGTCTTGGTGTGACAGGAGTGCCAGCTTCAGTGTTAACAACCCGCGAAGTGAGGGCCGTGGTACCCAACCTGTTGGATAGAATTGTGCTCAGAAAGGCACTGATTTCCGGTGTTGTGGCATACTTTGACGGTCCCTATTATAGAAAGCTAAGCAGGATTGTATCGTGGAGCACTTTTTTGGCACTTTTATGGACTAAATATTCCGTGTGTAGACTCCGAGTTCAAGACCTCTCCTTGCTCCGTTCTTGCTCTCTGTCCTTTCAAAGTCTTCATGCTGTCCATCTCAGAAGTTCCTGTTGAGAAAAACAGTTTGTGAGTTTTCATTTGTTGTCATTATACTTATGAGTGTTATATGCATATGTGTTTTCAGTTTCAGTCACCGATCATCCAAGCATGCAGTGCGCTTGGGATGGAACTTTTTTTTCATTTGCCACATTCAGTACAGTTTTTTTCGGGTATGCGGGGGTATGATGTTTTTTCATCTTGTTTCATAAATTCATATGCTCATTTTTATTGCCAGGTTTAAATTTACAAAGGCACCTGTCGCTAACAATCGCAACGCTTTATTGCTGGTTGGACTTGCTTGACCAGGACAAAACCGAACCTTGGTTTGCACCATACAAGCTATGGCGTGTAACAGTCACTGAATATGATGTTCTGCGTTATTCAGCTGTTCGCAATGGACTCCCTCTCGATGCTTCTTCTATGGAGTTTGTCCAGCCAGGAGACTATGCTGCATACTCAGGTGTCTTTTTCTTTCTCTTTTCAACCTGAAAATTATGGTGCTAATAAATGGTGGGGGGCAGGATCATATGATAATCAACTTCATGGAAGACACATCAACGGAAATGGTGTTGGTGAGCCATGGCCATCTTTTCATGAGTGAGAGTCCATGCTAGGATTGTCAGCTTATGACCCTGATACACCACTACATGTGCATTGCTTTTTCTCTTCTGGAGATGTGTGCTCAACACTCTTTTTGAACTAGAATGATATGAGCAATGATATCATAGCTGCTGTCAATAGTGATGAGCACGGGTAACCCGCGGGTGTTTTCACACCTACCTTTACCCTTACCCGATGCAAACCCGTACCCTTTCCATGGGTAAGGGTATTTCAGGGGTGGGGGTAGGGGTTTGTACAGGGTTTGGGGGGTCGAAAACCCACAACGGGTGGACGTTAGGGTCAAGTATAATGTACACTACGTAGTCTAATCAATCAGTACATAAGTCAAGGTGACACCCCCCTCTTCTTGTCGTGTCATCAGATGTCGTTGTGTCGGTCGTTCGACCGTCCACTGTCATTGTCGTGGCATTGTTGTTGTCATGGCGTGGTGTCGTCGTTGCAGCGCGGTGTCATCATTGTGTCATGTAATCTGTGGGGGACATGTTAGAGACGTGGGTTGGGATAGGGGTGCTCACCGGTGGGTCATAAGATGGATGACAACAACAAATGACGAATTGGCCGTCGTTCATCGTTTGGTTGCCACGTCGCTAACAGCAACGTAGCACCTGGATTCAATGTCAAAGGAAGGAGTGAGATGACGGGGTTGTAACGACTCACCTGAGCTCGAGTGGTGGTGCTGGGCATTCGTCACTTTTCATGGTGTTGGGCGCTCGTTGACATGCCAGGTCGTCGCCGTCACCTGTCATCCATTCGGCTGGTGATGTGGCGTCGCCTCGTTGTTGTTGTTGTTGGCATGTGTAGTGGTGGTTCGGGGCATCGAACCACGGTTGGGGAAGGTGGCGGTGGTTAGTCGCAGTGGTTAAAGTGTGGTTCGGTCGTTGTCAGTTGTCACGTCGCTGACGTGGCACCTGTTTGTTGTGTGAAGAAAGGAAAGGGTGCGGGGGAGGGATCACATTGCGCACCTGAACTAATGTGGGCAGTGACGACGATTGCATTGTCACCGTCTGGACGACGTGGCACGTCCGTTGACGTGCCAGGTCGCCGTCAGCCGTTGGGCTGCTGACGTGGCGTTGCCACGTTGTCGTTGTTGTCGACGTGTGCGATGGTGGAACGTCGAACGGCGGTGGTTGCAGAAGGTGGGGTTGTTGGTCGCGGTTGCGGGTGGTCGTCGATGTGGATAGTGGTTGTTGAGAAAGAAAGTGTTTGTTTGTTGTTGATGTATGTAACGTTCCTGGCAAACACCGCTCATGCGGCTCACATGATCTATTACATAATCTGTTGACCAGACTTACCCTCACAAAAACCCCCAACCCTTGTCAAGGGTTGGGGTTTTTTGAGGGTCAGAAAATCCTAACCTCTACCCTTACCCTCCTTACCCTTACCCTTGTACCCCTAAGGGTTTGCAAACCCTTGCACATCACTAGCTGTCAAACAGCGTGACCAAGGAAAATGCTTCATAACTGGTTCTGTGATGAACACCCAGCTTTGTTGGATCATTCCACCTGTGTGGGCAAATGAGGTTTGTCACTAACATATGTTTGCTTATGTAGGTATGATTCTAATGCTTCTTTCCAGTGTTGTGAACCCAGTCAAACCTTCTCTGGTTGAGTTGACGTTGTCAATGCCTGTAAGGTCCCTGAAAATGTTGTTACCCTTGTGCAAGATTTGGTGGAACCCTTCACCAATAACAAGTTTGGGGTTGACATTGATGTATACATTTCTTCATTATTCATTCATCCTGCTCATCATTGTTATTTCAGGATAAGTATAGAATTGTCATCTTTGAAGACCTCCAGACCACTCTTTTACAAAATGACACTCAACTGCCTGTGTCTGGAGATCTGTCTCAGTGTCCAAGAGATGACTTCTTGCGAGATCACTTCAAGTGCTGCCTTGGAGTTCACTTCTTGGGTGGAGACATTAAGCAGGATTTTCCTGATGATGCTCAGGGTTTGATGGACAAGGCCAGGGAGGAAGGGATTCACATGGAGGACCCCGAATGGCAAACATATCCTGGGACAAAAGTTGTTGAACTCCTGATGGAACATAAGTTGGTATGGGATACAGAAGTTGAGGAGCAAGACCCCGAAGAGCTTCAGGTGTCTGGGTAAGAGCATTCAACGGGTTGCTAGTTTTCATCCAAAGAGAAGGTGAAATTTCTTGCCCATTACTTAGTAATTTTGTAAGAGTAAACCATTTTTGTACACATCCTCAATGAGCCAACTTTCCCCAAAAACCGCCAACACGTTACAGTATGATGGATATGATAGAATGTACAAAATGAAAGTGCCAATGTATAGACAGATTGGTTTTGCCAATGAGCAGATAGTTGGTGTAGCTGATGATGATGAACATCGAATGAGAGTGTTGGTGAGAGAACACAAGTTCCCGTAGACCTACGTCTCTCAGCTTCTCTGCGTCTTTCCTTCACCTGAAGAAGGATAACACATACATGATGAGTTTGACATTTGAATAGAAGTAAAAGACACAGAAACCCGCGGTCCTTCCTCTTTCTACTATCCTTTTTGATCACGTTCCTCTGCATCTTCCTCTTCTCCGCCGCTCCAGGGTTCGTAGCGACCTGCATCACCCTTGCAACCTTGCGCTCTCTCCTCAGCCCAAAGATGCGCTGCCTGATCTGGTTATAGAGGTTCACGAATTTAGCCACGCCGGCCTTGGATTGTAGCAAGTCTTGGAGTTCAGTTACTGTCGTTTTGAATTCAGCTAGGTATAATTTCGGTAAAGGAGCACTTGGCATGGGGATGAAACTTACTCATTTGAGGATCTCGAACGGTACCGTCCTCCGTAATCCGGTAAACTGGTATAAGGATGTGGACTAAAAACTATTCCAAACGTGTAGTGATGACATTGCGCCGAACCAAGGGGGAGCACCTAACGGTTGTTGCGACCAGGTAGGTTAACGACATCGGATATATGGTTCGACGGGAACGGGGAAGGAGATCACAGAACAGTTGGCCCGACTCCACCTAGCAATGTGTGCGGGCCTCAGTCAGCACGAAAGCTTCGAAAACAACCACAGAAGCGGGTTGGGATTCTTCGACTTTTCCTCATCCACCTTGTTGCCCTCATCAACTTCATATCCAACATCTCCTCAATCGCAGAGGGATCGACGACAGGAATCAAGTAGAAACCTCCCCAATATAACACAGGTTCTTGACGACCTGCAAACCCAACGCATCGTTAAGGTTTTCGCTCTCAACCTGTTAAGAGATTATTGGCAGCGTCTAGCACCCCGTCTCTCGAAAGGGGATGGCCTCCGTCGAGATTCACCCGTGAAATAGCAACGGGTACAGCGGTGGAAAGAAGTCCAAGAAGCCTGCACGCTGCTGTGCCGACCCAAACATGAGGGTACGGCGGATGCGAGCTAGTGAGGTTCCACGCAATCTTATCATCTTGCGCTGCAAGATTGGGGAAAACGCGAAGAATCTTGAACAGAACCGTCAAACACTGTCCATTCCAAATCAATATCCATCGACGCAGCTTCGTCCTCCTCTTCGCTGGCCTCTATGCTCAGAGATCTACGTTGAAGGGTGGCGCCGTGGTCTTCCAAAATGGAGGAGATGTAAGAAACGGAGTAGGCTGGCAATTCATCAACAATGAAACAGTACACCTGTGATGACATCCAGGTCAACTGTGGTTGGGCCATTGAGATCACAGCCGCCCTGGGTTGCCTTTGTTGGATTTCCTCGAGAGTTGAATATTGATGTTAACTTACCGCCAAGTATGTAAAGAGCTGTTCCTTTTTTGCAGATCATACAAACTAGAGCTCGAGCTTCGGATCCTATCATCATCGCTGGCTCTATCAAGGAATTTGACGAAACCTACTCAAAAAATAAACTGCGCTTTTTTTTGGTGATAGTAGTGAGAATTGTCGACGTTGCGAAATCAAAAACTCCAAATTTCAGTCGGATTGCTTTAGAGCTTGCTTCTGTCATGATAACTAAACTAATTTCGCAGGAAAGGATTATTTTTGTGCCTTGTTCTATCTTTCAAGAGGCTGCTATGGAACTACCTCGTGCGGCCTACATACAGGCTCACTCCCACTCCCAAATTCAAATCGTATGATCTTTGACCGCCATGCTTCGTTATCCTCCTGAACCGACATCATACTTAAGTCAAACGTTGAAGTTCATGGGAGCGGTCTTCGAGTCTCCTTATGGATTTGGCCTCCTTGGCCAGCCTAAACTCTATTCTGATACAACGTCGCTCAGTTCTTGACCAGCGTATCCAAATATCCACGGGTACGAAGAGAAACGGGAAATGAAGGTGAAAAAAAAGAAACCGGATCAATTGGTGTGCATCACTGGCCACCGAATATCCACCACCCAGCAAAAGCGAGACCGAGGAGAATACCGAGGGCACGCGCTACGATGACTACTACGAGAGCTTTGCGTATCGCAGCATAAAACGTGCTTAGTGCTGAGCCGGACCAGTTGATCCTGAAAGTCATCTGTAACTCCGGTGTGCAGATATGTTCAAGTTATATAGCTTACCGGCGATCATTGGTTCCACCCGCTCGAACACTTGCTTCCCACCCGCGAACAACTTCACGGTAACGTTTTCCAAATACCCTACAAGGACATCAGCAAAATGTCAAGGAATAGGGAAGATGAGCAGCACCAGATCCAAAAGTTGACGTCGGGATAAGAGAATCGGGGGAAGACACTGGCTAGGCCCGGAGCAACGTATTCCATCCGAAAATCCTCCGCGACATTCTGGTATGGCAATTGCATCACCTGTGATAATGGAGACGGCGGGGTGGCATCCCCTCTTCTAGATTGACCTTTGATGTCGTTGTTCGGTGTTGGGAGGATCATATATGACATTAAATCAAGCGTCATGCCCAAGGAAAGACCCCAGAGCTTGAGGTGCTTGGGTGGCGGGATGGGATGACGATCCTGCTCTAGACCGTCATTTGTCTTCTGTTGGACTATGGACACGGAAGGATTCCGTGAAGGGTCTAGAAGAATGGCGGGAAACTCCATACTTCCTACCAACACGCGAACGAGAACCCGCAAGATTGCAGAATGTTTTGGGGCGAGGCGGGACGCAGCGTCGACGGTGACAGTAGACCATTTCGGTGGCAAGTGAGGAGATACAAGTGAAGAGAGAGGCGTCCAGTGTAGAGTTGTGGTAGGGATTGGGTCAGGAAGAGGGGCGTGAGGAGTGAGTTGGACAAAAACGTAGGGCGACAAGATCATTAGGAGGCGTTTCCCCAAGGACGTTGTAATTTCACGGTCGTCGAGCTGCCCTACGCAGGTGTAAATGGATTCAGCGAGATCAATACCTATTTCTTCCCATGTTTGTCTCATTGCTAAGGAGAGCACAAAGTCAACAGTTGTGGTTTAAGAAATGAATCTTGGTTTACCAGTGTATAAACCACCTTCATCTTCTGGCTCCATTCTCCCCCCGGGAAAGACAACATGAGCTTCGTCGGTGTTACGGACCTTGGTTTGACTATAGCTGGCATCGCCGTCGGAAGAAGTACTGCGGTGGAGGAAGAGAATTTCAGGACGGGAGTTGGGGTCTTTAACCCAGTCCAAGTCAAAGAATTCGTTCAAGGAGGGTTGAGTGGGATGTAAAACCGGCAGATTGGCCGTAGGTGATGGTACAACACGAATAAGGATAGCTACGGCTGCCCTGCGAGGCTCTGGATAGATGATTTTAAAAAAATTGGAAGAACGTAGAGGAGGCGGACGTACGCGTTGGAGGAGAGGCGATGATACGAGGAGGGGTAGAGCGAATACGGAGCAGGGCGCGAGAAAGAAGAGATATGATGGGTATGAGTTTTTCTAGAGGGAGAGTGAGCTGATAAGGATTTAGTGCAAGTTTGAAATAGACGGTACCTTGGGACATAACTGGTCGTCAATTACCGTTGCTCGAGGAAACAATGAAGGTCGCTGTCGTCAAATGCCGTCGTCGTTGTGGGTGTCGTTGCCGTGAACAGGCTAGATGGGAGTAGGATGTAAAATGAATGAAGTCTGTGAACAGGTTTATTTAAATCTGAGCGCTGCTGGAATGTCGCAGTTGCCTTGTTCGTACATCCCCAAACAATTTGCTCTGACGTCATGTGGTTCGGCATTTCCCGAATCTAAATTAAATATTTATCGTTATATTTCAGCCCAACCTCCATCCGTTTCCTCTCCACCTCCTATCAGTGCCAACAAAAAGACAATCACACTCGCCGTCAATCTCATACCCAATCCACGATACAACTGCCCAATCCCTGTGTTTCGAAGCCAGCTGTCGCCATCGTGTTCTTCTTCTTCTTCTTCCTCTTCCTCTTCTTCTTTTCCCTTGCCCTTTGAGGTGCTCATCCTTCTTCGTCGTAGTGACCGTGTGATAGGAAGGTCAGATCGTTCTTCTGTTAGAATATGCCACAAGGTGTCCACAACTCCGTTGTAGGGCTGTGGCCGAAGCTCAACACATGCCTTGAGTGGTTTCGCTGACCCACGGACTTGAACTTGCAGTCGTCGACGGATAGTCTCGATGGGAAGAGTAACAAGGAGCCCGATGCAACTGCCGCAAACCTCTGCTATGCCCCAAACAATGGGGTGAGTATCCTCGGTAATGTGGGTTCCACCGAAGTGCGACGCGATAATACTAGGCAAAGCGAGCGACACAATGGGCCGCAGCGTGTTGTCTAGGAGTGTTGGAATGAGAAGATGTGGATGGAGATAGATGCCTTTTATCCCTCCTTCCTCACGTAAAATCTGCCTAAAAGCATCAATGGGGCCACTGTATGATTTGTAGCGCCCTGTAAACGATTGCACAATTAGGCGTGTCCGGATAAGGTCAAGTGGGGAGAGAAGGAAGCCCGTTATAAGATGAGAGGTTACGGGTAGAAGAATTGGCGGTTGTTGGAAAGGGGACATTGAAGGGAAAAAGATCGACTGCAAAAGGCTGTTGATAAGAGGTTGTAGTGTTGAGGAGAGTACCTCTGTCACACAGGACGTCAGGAGTCCTTGAGAGAAAGAATAATTTAGCGATCAGAAATTGAAGTAGTTTCGTTGGCAAAATACCTTTCCACAATGCCAACCAGCCTTCTCCTCTGAATCGACCGACGCGCTTTATCATGCCCCACACGCCATCTGCACTTCCCACTGGAATGATGTACTCTGGTCGAGTTCCTTCTTCCAGTACAGATCGACGAATGACGTAACCCTGCTCGTCAGTCTTTGCTCTTGTGCTGCGGTGGTATGTTGACGGGCTCGCACTTGGGTCGGCAAAGTAAGAGTCATTGTCATTTGACGAATCACTCAGCTAACCATAGCTTGAGTAAAATTTTCAATGGCGTGCTGTGGTATATACATACCGCATCGTCATGATCTTCGTCAACGACGGACACATTCACCGGTTCGGGGTCGCCGGCATCTCGCGGCACCCATTGGACTTGCAAGAGAAGCTTGCCTACCTCCCATGGCATGACAATGGCTGTGCTGGTGTACTGAAGGACAGCTGAAGCAGCAAACGCCTTGAGAAGTTGAGAGGCATTAATTCCCGAAGGTTCCGAGAGGTTGAGGGAAGGAGATAGGTCAAGAATGGAGTTGTGGGATGGTCTAGCTGACCATTGGTAGACTGGAGCAGGAGATGGTGGAGAAACGGCCGTGTTTAGTTGTGGAGGAAGAAAAGACCAAGCACTGGAAGGATCAATGTAAAGGTCTCGAAGTGAAGATGGAGTCGTCATAACATTAGAATTCCTACAAAGTAGTAAGTACTTAGTAGCCACAATCCTTCATGCCGTAGCCAAACATAAGCATAGCAAATCACGTGTCCTGTCAGAACTATTTTTATACACATCCCTGGACACCGTGGAGCTCGTCCAGTGCTACCCCATAGCTTGGAGAGGTAGTTCGTGCTACTTCGTTTTACTCTAGTGCTTCAAGAAAGTCTTGAAAGAGCTCTGAAAGGCAGGAAGAGCATGTAACTTAGATAATAGCAAGGAACAAGGGGCGTAACGTTTCGTGTGACGCAAGGCGAGCGTATGCACAGTGGCGCAGTGACATCAGGTATGCAACTCAACCTTGAACCTTGCTAATTTTGAAATCCCACCCCACGTTCCCTGCTTCTACTCTACGTACGACTTACAACTCACCTTTACCATATTCAGACGCTGCCTCTGGTCATGGCGTCCCTCTCAGCCACTAATGGCAAGACTGAAGCTCACCACGTCAAGGAACATGCTGAAGCAAAGGGCGCTCCAGTTCATTCCTTCGACCCAGACGCTTCACCGTCAGAGAAGGCAGCTGTTGCAGGCAAGTCGCGAGACAAGCTGCAGTCAGTCATCCCCAAGGACGACGACTATGAACGAGGTGGGTGATCACACAGTCAAACAAGAAGTCACTGATAAGCTCCTGTAGAGGTTCACATTGCTGCGCCTCCGTTCCAACCAGTCCTGCCAACCATCACCATCGAGGACGTTGACGGGAAGAAACCTGTTGTATCAGCAGCAAATACCTCTCAGGTAGCTGAGAGTGTTCAGCATGACGAGGCTGCTCGTGTACCTGGCGCTCTGCCGACGGCGGCGGCACCGGCTATCCCTGATTGGTACCGTGTTGGTTGGCGCCAAATGTCCGGAATTGATAAACCGCCGCTTCCGGAGGGTGAAGAACGGGACAGGGGTGTCCTTGATATGTTTTTATCTGAACAGTTCTACGGCGCCTGGTACCACAACGGTGCTATAATCATCTTTGTGTGTTACCACTCTTAATGCTCGTTCCTGCATAATTCTAACTTGGTGTGCCATTTCACAGGCTGTACTATCGTCTCATTTCCTGACGCGTTTCCACTTTGGCTGGGGTTGGTTATTCATTGTTCTAGCAATCTGCAACACCTACTACTCAACCTCCATTCGGCGTGTGCGCCGCCATGCTCGTGACGACATTCAACGAGAGCTCGTTAAAACACGCCTTGCATCGGAGCACGAGTCTGCGGACTGGATCAACAACTTTCTTGATCGTTTTTGGCTTATCTATGAACCTGTCCTTTCTGCAACCGTTGTTTCATCTGTGGATCAAATTTTAAGCACCAATACACCTCCTTTCCTTGACTCTATTCGTCTTACGGAATTTACTCTCGGTACGAAAGCGCCTCGCATCGAAAAGGTTCGGACATTCCCAAAAACCGACGACGACATCGTCATGATGGACTGGGGCATTTCTTTTACTCCAAAAGATGTTTCGGAAATGACGCAACGCCAAATCAAGGGCAAGTCCAATCCCAGAATACTTCTTACGATCCGTTTGGGTGCAGGCGTAGCAACGGCAGCTATGCCAATCCTGGTAGAGGACATAACCCTCAGCGGTCTTCTCAGGATTCGCATGAAATTGATGTCAAACTTTCCACATGTTCAAATCGTGGATCTTTGCTTTTTGGAGAAACCCGTCATTGATTATGTTCTCAAGCCCATAGGAGGAGAGACTTTTGGTTTTGACATTGCCAATGTAGGTCATGTTTGTTACGATCCTTCAGTCTACTAAACGACCAACTCAGATACCTGGTCTCCATAGCTTTATCAGGGACATGACGCATGCAACTCTAGGGCCAATGATGTATGATCCAAATATTTTCACACTTAACCTTGAGCAATTGCTTTCGGGAAAGCCCCTCGACGCAGCCATCGGTGTCATTCAAGTCACTATCCATTCTGCACGCGGAATCAAGGGCACCAAAATAGGCGGTGGTGTTCCAGATCCATTTGTTAGCTTGTCGATCAGTGGCCGCGCCGAGCTTGCACGTACGAAGTACAAAGCCAATACGTGAGTTTTATATCAGCTGAACCACCTTCAATACTAACGCGCTGCTGCCAGCTACAACCCCACATGGATGGAGACCAAGTTCATTCTTATCAATTCTTTACGCGACTCTTTGGTCTTCAGTGTTTGGGATTATAACGACCACAGAAAAAATACTCTGCTAAGCTCCGCCTCCTTCGAGCTGGCGGGCTTGGCGGAGGACGCTACTCGTGAAAATATCGTGTCTCATCTTCTGAACGATGGTAAAGAACGTGGAGAACTCAAATACGATATATCATACTATCCGGTCATCGAACCTGAAGAGGGCAAGGAAGATTTGATGAATACAAGTTAGTCACTTGCTTTGAAATTCCTTGTATGATTGACCAACTCATTATACCCAGCTGTTGGTATTGTTCGCTTGATGATCCACCAAGCGAAAGAGCTAGATCACACCAAATCTCTCTCCGGCGAACTCAACCCTCTTGCAAAAGTCTATCTCAACGGTCAGAGTTCATCAGTCTTTACAACACGCCTTTTCAAACACACCAACAATCCTGTTTGGGAAGCACCGTACGAGTTTTTGTGCACGGATAAAGAGTCTTCCCTCGTCGCGGTGAAGGTCATCGACGATCGTGACTTCCTGAAGGACCCTGTTGTTGGTTTCATGTCAATTAAATTGACTGATCTGCTAGAATCTTCGGGTCAGGCTGGCAGGGATTGGTTCCCTCTTAGCGGATGTAAAAGCGGCAAACTGAGGGTGTCCGCTGAATGGCGTCCATTGACCATGGCGGGAAGTTTGCACGGGTCTGATCAATACAAGCCACCAATTGGTGTTGTCAGGCTTTTACTCGAAAAGGCCGTTGACGTCAAGTGCGACGCCTCTCTTTTTGGCTGTTTCTTGTTATAATGCTCATCGTTTGTAGGAACGTGGAAGCGACCTTAGGAGGAAAGGTACGAACTTATGTGGTATCTTCTTCTGAATATGCCTGATGCTTCCGGGTAGAGCGACCCTTATGTTCGAGTTCAAGTCCAAAATACCACCAAAGGGAGAACCGAGGTTATCAACAATAGTAGGCAAAACTCTTTTTCGTTTAATCCTTCATTTCACACAACCAATTCAGATTTGAACCCTGTATGGGACCAAATTATCTACATACCGGGTAAGTACAACAAGCCCTTTTGCCTTAATTCCGACATCTCATCCACTTCATAAGTTTATTCTTTAAGAGAGGTCTGTACAGCTTTGTCCACCATTTCTAATTTGTCTGATTCTCGTCACGTACCAGACCCTCATGCTTGAGTGCATGGATTATCAGCATCTGACTCGAGTAAGCAACAATGTATATGGAAGTTTATGGACAATACTAATGTGCTAAAATCAGGATCGCTCTCTCGGATCGGTCGAACTTGAGCTTTCTAGGCTTGCAGCTCCATACGATGATCCACGCTTCCCTTTTCAATCCAAGGGCATGATCACGGCCGTGGATCCTATTCGTCTCGACAAAGGCAATGCCACCAAAGGAAGTCTGCATTACAAAGCATCTTTCATCCCAGCTCTCGCGATCAAAGGCGTCAAGTTTGATCATGCGCACAAAAACCAGACCCAGACGGCAACAGATGACGAAGAGGATGGTTTCGTGAACGACGATCGAGCATCGTCAGCGTCTGATAGTGATACACTTCCCGACGGCCCGACAATCAAATCCTTGAAGAAATTAGGACAAAAAGAGATTAGTAAGGAAACCACGGTGACCCCAGTCACCTCTCCAACCTCCGCCACTTCGAAGGTTGAGGATGTCGCGGCCAAGGCCAAAGACACCGAAGAAGATGGTACCGTCGAAATGACAACGGAAGAGTTGCTGGCTCAGCGTAAGCCACCTTGAGGCCACAGTGATCTGGTTTCTGATTGACCAACCTTTTAGAATCTGGTATCATCGTCTTCAATGTCATGTCAGGAACTATCGTCAAAAAGGCTCGTTTGGAAGTTCTTTTGGATGATGGTTACTGGCCTTGCTTCAGCACCACGAAGGCCAGGAGCACAAACGCACAATGGGATTACGTCGGCGAAGGCTTCATCAAGGAGATTGACTTTGGCCGAGTCTGGTTGCGTCTAAACGAAGCACATGAAGGGGAGAAGGACGATATAATCGCTGAATGGAAAGGCGATGCCAAACCTTTCCTTCAAGCAACATTGGCAAGCCTGATCGTTTGAGTAGTCTCTATAAGGCGCTAACTTTTTACATAGACCGGTCCCCAGAAGTATACGCTTCTCGATAACGAGGAGGGGCCAACATCCACCGTCACCATTGAAACTCGTTATCTCCCAGTTCCTGTAACGCTTGAACCTAGAGAGAGCGTCAACAGTTAGTCACTCATTTTCTACCTAAATCACTATTTACCCACCTCACCCTAGATCAGGGAATACTTAGGGTGGACCTCATAGATGGTCACGATATACATGCTGTCGACAGAGGAGGTGGGCATTGCTATCTACTCCCTTGTGGTCTAATCTAATTGATCTATTGTAGGGAAATCTGATCCTTTCGCTGTCTTCACCCTCAACGGGCAAAAAGTTTTCAAGTCTCAAACGAAGAAAAAGACGTTATCCCCAGAGTGGAATGAGCATTTCGAAGTCAGCGTGGTATGTATTGTCCAGCCGATCTTCTTGTTTTGGTAACAATGCTTTCCAGCCTTCGAGGGTTGCTGCCGACTTTTCAGTGGAGATCTTCGACTGGAACCAAATCGAGGCAGCCAAAAGCCTTGGGGTAGCGAAGATCGAGCTTTCAGACATCGAGCCTTTTCAAGCCGCGGAACGTTCCTTGAAATTGTTTCTCAATAAGCTTGGTGAGAAGGGCCAGATACGAGTCCGACTTGTATTCCAACCAGAGATAATCGCCAAATCGCGGAAGAACACCTCGACCTTTACAAGTGCGGGTCGCGCAATGACCCAGATTGGTGGCCTTCCCGTGGACGCTGGCAAAGGTGTTTTACGAGGTGTTGCAGGCGTTTTCAAGAGAGGCGATCGGGATCATGCAGAGACGGCAACAATCCCAGATGTACATTCGGGGCAAGCTTCCCAGCCTGTCGGAATATCAGATCATCTGGAAGCAGTATCAACACCCTTCCCTTCGACCCCCCCTAACGAAGTAGCGTCGAATGAACCAGGCACTCTCAGAGTTACTGTGTTAGACGCCAAAGACTTCAACACTGGGGAGATCAAGCCCTACGTCGTTCTGCGGCTCGGAGACAAAGAATATAGAACGAAACACACTTCGAAGACGGCGACACCGGAATGGTATGCATTTTCGACGAGAAAGTCAGAAGGTCACACTGCTAAGTAATTTGTTAGGAACGAAACATTTACATTCGCTGCGTCAGCTTTGACACCAAAAATCTTGCTTTGGGTTCATGACCATAAAACACTTGGTAAAGACAAGGAGTTGAGTTCGGGCAGCGTTGATGTAAACCGTTCTATCTTAATCCAAACAATCCATGAAAGCTGACTATCCCCTAGATTCCGCGCCACATCAAAATGGACTCCGTCTCTTCCGCAGACGTTTTTGTAGAACTCAATCATGGCCAAGGTGGCTTATTACGCCTGCGGCTCGAATTTGACCCAGACACTCATCCACTGAGTAGTGGTGCTTCCTTCTCCTTTGAAACCGGTCACAGAACACTGTCGTTGGCTAGTCCTTCTCGGTTTAGCATGCGGAGCCGCCGCCCTGGTGGTGAGCATGACGATTCCTAGGCGTTTGGGGCAGCTGCGCATGTTAACACACTCCAAAATTTACTCTGATTCGATGGACACGCCTTTGTGTATGGTAATCTACTTCCGTAAAAAGTTTTTTGAGCTCAGCGTGTAAATCGTACGACAAAGAGATGTTCTCTTCCTGCGCGCCGCTGGAGAACGATCTATACGTGCATATGTTTCAAAAGAAGACATGACAGAGAAAGAGTGTATCAGAATCGAGATCGCGCTTACCTCACTCTTCAACCCATAGGAGTGGAGCATTGATCGACGAATATGTTCAATGTCGTTTTGCTTCACTGCGACCAAGTAAAATTTGCCTTGCAAGGACATCAAATGCTTTTACCACTAAGCGTTTCTTTTCGATCAATGCAAGAAGGGGTGCATACCTCTACCCTCTCGAGGAAAACATTCGTTAACTCCATTCCGTTGAAACCTCCTGCCCAAGAACCTTCTATCGTGCGCCCCTCCTGTGCGTCCTCGGCCTCGTCCGAAGACGTAGGTACGTAGGGAGGGTTAAAAAGAATGATATCTACGCCATGTACCAACCTATATCGCACTGCAGAATCTAGCGAAGTGTTAATAGGATCGAGGATAACCTGTAGCTTGCTCAGCGGTACCCATCCATTGACATCATACTCACTTGATTTTGAACGCCAGTCAGGAATGTACATCGACATGCGTGGAAATTGATATCCGTGCATAGATAGACTGGACCAATGTAAGCAGCAGTTATCGGCGTCCAATTTGTTTACGCACGTACAGACGGCCCAAGAATTTTGGCAAGAAAAGTAGAAACACACCCAGACCCTGACCTAAAAAAAGTACGAGTCAACTACGATCTCGCGTATTTAAATCGAAACTCACCCAATCTCTAGACATATCTGCGGTTTTGCTGCTCTTAGAGCATTGGCATCAAGTTCTAAAGCGTCAAGAAGTAAAAATGTATCCTCTGAGGTGTAGGAGTCAGGTGCGTCGAGGGACAAAAATCAAGGCATTCATACCGGCTGGTTCATAGACTCTGTCATAATCTCTTCTGGTCAGATGTGATAAATCTGGTGTTGGTTCCATTTTGCTGCTAAGTTCGTATGTATTTGGTTCTCGCGTTCAGCGTAAACAAGTTGTCAAATGCGGAGACACGTCGGTTTTAACTTTTCCTCACTCAGTGAACACTCTCATTCGGATCGTTTAGTTCAGGTATGACATTTATAGGATACATGCACGAAGGACTCCTCCAAACCTCTACATAGTGACGCGATTAGTGCTGCCCATGGAGCTCAGGAGGCTGCACCGTTGCCCTAATCCATTCGTTCGCATTAGCGCCTTCAGGAGAGTGGGATGCACCAAATGGCAGAAAAATTGGGTTCGCTGCGCTACCGCTTGAAACGGTGATCAGCGCAAGCCAACTCACTGGTATGAAGGTCGTACTTACCAGGGGAGACCATACTGCAAGAGACTGCAAGGCCAAAAGGGACCTTATTGTTTGATGTATTGTACTAATACGCAACCACATCGGGCATACATGATAACAGTGCGGAAGGTCAAATTAGATGAATGGAACCTAAACTGACGGATATATAGGACCTCTCAACGTCTTCACGGAGCAAAAAACCTGAGCACTTCGTTATACAATGTGGTGATCATCAGTTTAGGTTGGGACGAAAGCCCAATCCACATCACATCCGTGAAAAGGGAAAGCGAGCCAAGCATAGCGTCAGGTTTTGGATGTCTCTGTTTTGATGGACGGGCTACTTCAATGGTCATTGTAAACTTAACAGAAAAGGATCCAACATCTCGTCTCACGGGGTGCATTTCTATCGCTTTGGACGACCTTCCAGCGGACGCAGGAAAGAGGGCGAAGGGTGGTGGCCACTTGTTGGCTGTGAGGGCGGTCAGCTCAAGATGACGGCAATTTGTAAGTTCATTGAAGTGGACAAGTTGGCTTTGTGATTGCCACACAAAGGAGGTTTCCATTGCCGTGGTGTGAGATAGAGGGTATAAAATATTTTCAACAATAGAGTCGAGGGAGCCTATTATTTCTCGTTAAGTACTGTCCAGTCAATTTCTGCGCCTTCTCCGTGGTTGCTGCGCAGCCACTCATTAGCCAATTTGAAGTGACCATTTCCAATAAAACCCCTATGAGCTGACAGAGGCGATGGATGAGCTGACCTAGGGCGAAGTTGTCAGCGAGTTAGGTATTCAAAAGCAAAAATCGTACTCAAGGAGGAGATGCTTCTTCTGTTAAAATAAATTACAGATTTAACTTTGGAACGAATGAAGAGACTCACTTTATTTATGTTTAACTTTGCGCAAGTCTTTTGTGCTGGCAGGCCCCATGCCATGAGCACCACGCCTGCGTCTTCCTCATCCTTGCGCTGCAAAACGGCACGAAGGACTTGGCCAGTGAACACCTCCCAACCTTTGTTGGAATGAGAAGCTGCCTTGTGGGCTCGAACTGTTAGACTAGTATTTAGCCACAGAACACCAAGTTTGGCGACTGGCGTCAAGTCGCTGTTGTAAGCGCATGAGTTAAAAAGGAGAGGTCGGGCAAGTTTATATGTTCACCCAGATTTTGGTGTCGAAAAAGTTGGAAAATCCGTCGAGAGTTGTTTGTAAATGTTTTTCAATGAGCCCGGTGGTTTAGTTGGGGGCAGAACGGAGAACGAAAGACCTGATGAGCACCGTGATGAAGATAGAGAGCATGTTACTTTGATCGAATATACCATGAGCTTGGCCAACGTTGTGATATGGGTCCTTCTCGGTGAATTAAGCAGAGCAAAGGGAAGGGATGATGCCACATAGTACCTGGCCAAGGATGACAACTTTGACTTGATCTAAAGAAGTCAGTCGCGACCATGAATAAATGTTGTCCACTGAAGCAGAATAATCAGCTACTGAGTGCGTATAGAACAGCAACACATATACCAGAAGGGAAGATAGTGTGCGAAAGATGCTCTGCCACTAGAAATTCTTTTAACTAAATAACGACTCAGCAGACGAATAAGAGAGAAAAAGCTCTGCACACCTTGCAAAAGTAAGGTTTCTTAAACTCCGGTGTGAGAACTCTGATCCAGGAGGTGCCCATAGTCTCATTTTCCAAATTATGCAGCTTGGCTTCTATAATGGCCTTTGTCTGTGATTGTGGTGCCGTCGACAACGATTCAACTGGCATCTCTGAGGGGTCCTGAACAGAAGAAAGAGAGCTGAAATATCACACTCAATTCCGCCCTCGATGGAATGGGAAGAACGATAGCTACCGCGCTGGCTTCCTGGTGGCTGATTTGACTGTAATCGCGGAGGTCATGGTCCTTACTGGTCGTGTACTCGTCTTTGGTATCAATTTGGCTGCTTCCCCAAATATGGCGTCCCCTGTCGGTAATTTCGTGGCGTCTTTGGGCATTGTGGAGGAACGGTACAGGACTTAGCGGGTTTGTAGACGCGTTCTTTGCGCGAGTTTGCTGCTATTTGCCTATGTTTATACTTGTGGCACAGGCTAGTCTTATTCTTTAATACCATTGGCGTTCTTTCTAATTCGTCAATTTTTGATATTCTAGGCTCTAGTTTGGCTCTAGTCATCCTGGAAATATATCAACATGCACCGGCTAGTGTTACACTTAGAATTGAAAGTCCACTTGACGGGGAAACATTTTTACTCAAAGACTGTGCATTCAATCTTGGTGATCTACACTCTTTGTTCCCTCCAAATTTCAGAGCACTCGGGTATGTTGCTGGTGAATAACTTCAAAAATATTGGTGTAACAGAGATGTTTTCTGTCAAGTACCCACTTTTGCACAATCAACTGCGTATGTCGTATGCACACTGTGGCACAAACCTTGGGGATAGAACATATATAGGAGCTCCAGGCCAAAAATTTTTCAAGAGAGTAGATGCTGGAATTTTAAGTGGATCGTGTTCGTAGAAACAATGTTTCCGTCAGCGTAGCCTACGTCTTTATTCCAAATAGTACTGCATATTAATTTTAGGCAGCTAATCGTAATCTGGAGACCTCGCGCGTTTGCCACCTATTCTCACGACGACCTGAGCATTTTAACAGCAGATTGAGTATTGCGAAACTTATTATTCAAAGGAACAAAAGCGTAATATTTGGTGGTGTAACACGGGGCGGTGGATGAATACAAGATGAGTAGCTTTCCTTTCGATGAAGACTGGTTCTAGGATCCGGCCTCCACCCCATTGGGTGGATCGGTGGGATTAAACATATGGAACTTTGAAGCTTGTGGTAGCGTTGAGAGATCAGTTTTGTTTACTAAAGGACAGTCCTCAGCTGCAGGCTGGATATCGGCGGCCGTTCTACCTTTTGCACGAGAGTACTGGTTTTAGATCCTGAGCAAGGAAAATATGCCATCGTTCGCCTGCTTGCGAATCGGTCGCTATCAATAATAGGAAAGGTCGGGATCGTGAGTCCAGGATACTCGTGTTGTAATACCAATCTGTATCAATTTCCACCTAACCTTCTGATCATCCTTGCTGCCGTCTTCTCGACGCGTTTCTCCACGGCGTATGTGGCCATGTCAATGCCTTCTGCTGTAACGACAGGGTTTTTACCAAGTTGTCTAGCAGACGAGAGTTATAAAAGTAAAAGGCAGGATTGGATGAACCTAATACCGCTTTTTTTTCTTCACAATTGGAAGTTGTGATTCCTCCCCATCCTTATCTTCGTCCTCATCCACATTGACTGACTCTGGACGTGCTCGGAATTTTTTTACGGGAACGATGACAACGGAATCGTCTGGTCCACTGGCCTGGAGTGACAGGCCATCCATTTGTTGCGCCAAAATCGACGCCTGGAGGTTCTTTGGCAGGGACTTGGGCACATGGTTCGTGATTTCGGGTAAAAGGCTAACCACATTAGCCTTTGCTTTTGGTGTCTTGTTCCCCAATGTTGAGGGAGGGACCCAGTCGTCTTCCCCACTTTCGCTAGTGTATTCATCTCCACTCTCATCTTCACCAACTTCACTTGTCGCTACCTCTGTAAGCGCTATGCTGAGGTCGTCATCTCCCTCTGTCTCAGTCAGTTGAGCGTCTTCGGTATCCGAAGGGAGCATAGGGGGATCTGGTATGAATCTGCGTTTTTCGACTATGCTTTCTTTCACGGGATGGTTTTGCTTCTTCTGTTTTCCAGCCAGAGGCGACATTGACAGGGAGCGACTGTCTCGAGAAGAAAAGTCACTTTCATCACCAGACCCCTCTGCTGGGCCGTATTCGATCTGAAAAAAAGTTTTAGTTGACATCAGGGTGAGTGAAGTCATCCCACCAGGCTCAATTCAACATCCTGCTCCTCTTCAGAGAGACTATTGCCTACATCCACAACATCGAGGTGGCTCTTCTTGACAGGGCTGCCAAACAGTCCAGATTGGTGTAACATATCTATCTTGGCATCGGTTTTCATCTCGTTTTGTTCCAGCTAGAAAAGCGTGAGCCTTCTGAACTTTCAAGCAAATCAAAGACTGACCTCAGTCATCAGTCGCCTAGAATACATTTGTTCTATAGACCTCATACGTTCCTCCATTTCGTGCATAACTTCTTCCCTGGTTTCCGCCTCAATCACAGCACATCTCATCTCTGCTTCAAAGAGCTGGGGGGGATGAGTCATGACGATAAAGTCTTTCGCATTCAAAACGTACCTGCATACGGAGATCTGCCACTTCGTCAAACAGCGCATCGATAAGAGGGCTGATAGGGTCGTCGTCACTCAGATTTGCTTCGTCTTGTCCGTCTGCCGGTTCGTCCTCTTAGTAATATTACGATAATCAGCCGGTTTACAGAGAGTCGCATCGAATCGGGGACTGACGTTCGAGAACCTCAAGGATGGCCTCACTAGCCTTTTTCCCATTACCATGTCCAGCAATAGAGATAGTCACTTTTCTGCGAGACGTATGGGGAGCTATCTCAGGATCCTTTAGCGTCAGAGGGCCAACCTCTTTAATTTTCGTCCCTTGGAGTTTGCCAGGCCCGATCGTAGGCACACGACGCACAGGTGCAGGGGCCGGAGTAATATATACCTCCCTCGCGAGTGCAGCAAACTTCATGACGTGAGAGTTCTCGTCGTAGCCAGTGTCGTACGGGTTGACGTTGACGATCATGACCTGAAAGGAGAGTCAAACGTCAGTTCTTGAAAAAAAGCTAGGAAGATGTCGACTTGCAGCCCTGGCATCACCAACGAAATAATCCATGAGGACTTCAGTGAGCTTGCTATGCCTGAATGGTACAAGCGCCAGCCCTTTCTTCACGTCTCTGGTATCTACGCGACCATCCTTGCCCGTACCTTCGTGGGAAAGACTTAAGGCAATCTTGCGCTGATTTGAGCGCATGACCTCCATACACTGGCCGAGTACCATAAGAGATTTGTTGATATTGCCTGCCTCTTTCAGGCGATCCCCTGTAGTGTGTGTATGCTTTGTTCGCTCAGAGCCGGCAAGGTCGATGAGTGTGAGTCGTGAAACTTGGAGAGACGTGGGATCCTAACATCCCTCAGTTGCAATGCAAGGAGGAGAGTAGGGAACTTACGTCTTTTTCACCCCTGTGACCTTTCACGATTTTGATGATGACCATGCCGTGGCTTCGGCTGCTCTCTCGGTTGGCGAGGGTACCGAAAACGCGACGATGTAGTTGTCCCAGCTTCACAAGGGCTTTTGCCTGGAAAGCACTGTGAACACGGAATTGGCGGAGTCCTGCAATATATTTTCCGTTGATATCTGAATCATTGCCATCGGAAGCTGGTGAGGGCCTAAGAGGTAGTGCCTGGCGGCTCAAGAGAAGAGGCTTTCCAGCTAAAGGTCGTGGAAAACTACTGTCCTCGGGATTATTTGATTCGCCCTTTACGGATGCCAAAAGGTCATAAACTTTCTCGTTATACACTTCGGCATAAGAGATCCAGATCGTATATTCATAATTACGATCGACCTTAACGATTGTCGGATCGATGTCGAATTCGGGTTCGGCGGGATTGTCCAAAGACCCAAGAACTTGAGCTAGCGAGGGTTCTGGGATGACATGGGGTGGCTTCAAATCGGTGGGATCTGAGGGCTCAATACCGTGAAGTCGGACAGGTCGATACTAGGTGAATTAATTCGATCAGCTCATGAAAGCAATTAACATCAACAATTGCTACCACTCACTTTCCCGTCGCCATGCAATCCTTCAATGCTGTTGAAGATAACATCTAAAGTGCGGGGCAAAATCCCTGCGGTGCCTTCCTCAGTACCACCTTGCACAGTATACGTTTTCCCGGAGTTCGTAACGCCATAGGTGAATAGGAGACCATTTTGACCTTGAAGGGCATCCCTTACTAGTGGCAAAGTGGTCTTTGTGAAGAAGTCCGATTGAGTTGTATTCGGAAGAAATACGTGAGAGAATGTGTAAATGGACGAAGGCTGAACAGTTGAGGGTCGATAGCGAGAACGGCTATGCTGCGGGTCTTGGGGGTCCGTCATCCGGACTGAAGTATCGGAGAGTGGTGTCAAGTAAGGTGAGCTGGGAGACTCTTCTTCACCCAAGTGCGGTCGAATACGAAGGTAGGCCTTTCTGACTATTAGCATGGTGAACCAGCCCTTGGAACGTTTCATTCACCATGATTGGTTCGCGATCCACATCTGACGACCCATTCTCCTGCTTTCTAGTTTTGCGCACAGTGGTTGGTTTCAACTTGAGTTGTTGCACTACCTCAGTATCGTTGGCTTTGTTTACAATGACTTTCCTTGCAGTTGTCTTTGTTGTCTTTCCGGCTGTTGAATCACTAGCCTTCGTTGTAGTTGCGGTTCGTGCCCGCGTAGCTCTCGTCGTTGATGGTTGAGTAGCGGTAGCTGTCTTGAGTCGACTTGAAGTTCTCGTAGGGGCTTTTCCAGACATAACGCTGCAATTGAAGAAAGAGTAAGGATTTATGAGAAATTCAAAGTGGACAGTCCACACGTGGTCGACGCGTTGAGCATCACATGTCACATGATGGCGTTTTAAGCCACGTCCACGTGACTAAAACGCGTTGCTGTTGAGGTTTTATTCGCCTACGCCAGACCTACGCGACTCGTGAACGTCCAGGAAGACCATTTACCTCATTTACTTGCAGTAGAACATGGCAGTCAAGAAGGACTCGCCCAAACGCCGAAAATCTATTGCAGTCACCAATCTCAACCAGCGGTCTATCGTCCCAAAAGGAAGGCGTCGAGCTCACAGTATCGTTCCTGGAGCTAGCCTTAGCCCCCTGGCGAAAGCTCGCCGGTCACTGGTTAGTGGTACTATACACTGGGTGCTTTCATGATTCCACGTTTCTTTAGGTTCCTCGAAAGAGTATCCTCAAAGCGCCCATCAACCTCCTCAACACGGAAGATAGTCAATGGGATTCTCAATTCTCTCAGAACTCAGCGCAATCGCAGAACTCCATTCTTGACGATATCAATGTTACGCAGTCGATGGATATGACGCAAGACTATTATGCAAGAGTTCATGACAATACTTCACGGAAATCACTTGGTCGACGCGTCAGCTTTGCCGAACATGCCCATGTCCGCCTTTTCGAGAAACCAGATAAGAACCATACCAACAGCACTAGCTCTCCCCAATCATCTCCCGTTGTTAGCCCTTCTAGCCACCAGAATGTCGTCACGGACGAGAACGCTTATGATCGGCCCACTCCCGTTGCGGGTCAGCACCATAGTTCTGTTCGCCACACCGTTATGAATAGGAAAGCCGAAGATATGGACCTTACTTCGGTTGCCCCATTGACATTTCCTATATCGTCTGGAACAGCAGGTTCGGCGATCCTAGATGAGGAGTTCGACTACGACGATGTAGATAATGACATGGAGGTGACGGAAGTGATCAGGGCAGAGCTTCTACGCAAACGCTCCCTTTCGCTCGGAGGCCGGCAACCTCTATCACAAGTCGGATCTTCCATTCTATCTGCAGACGAATCGTCTGATGATCTCGAAGAAACTCAATCATCAATTGGCAACGACTCAACGACTTCAGATGCGCTCTCGGAACGTTCTCAGGCTATGGAATTTACTATTCCATTGAACCAATCCCTTCGCCCCCCTGCTCACGAAGACGAAGCTTGGCTAGCCTTGAGACGTGCAACGCATTCAGGCAACACACCTATCGAGCCCGTGCCGACATCCGACGATGATCAAGACTACCCCCCTAATAATGGTATGGATTTGGGAGATGCGGTACAGCGGTTGATGCGAGCTCGGGATTCACTATCCCTCCCATCCCATAATGAAGAGAATACCCCCGATAATATGGTACAGCATCTACCACATGACGAAACCTTTTCGAGCATCGATGAAAGTTTTGAAGCCGATGCCGATGACGGCGATAGGACCATGAACATAAGCAAGGTCCTTGGCCGTGCTAGCCTCAACGATGTGGCTAACGCGCGTATGAGCATGGGTTATCAAGATTCCACAATGGACGAGTCTGAAATCTACGCCACTCTTGCCCCAAAAGGAAGCTCAATACCACGCTCATCATTGCTCCAGCAGAATTTGGGTGGGCCTTCTGGGCAACAGCTACTCAAGCCATCCGTCTTCCACCCTCCCCCGGAGGGTGTGGATACCCAACCTTCATCCGGTGCAGGGCAAACCAAGCAAGCCACAGCTCCTATACCATTCTCCTTTACCCCGAAGGCATCGGCCTTCCCATCTAAACCGAAACCCTCTACTTCTAAGCTTGACTCCCCAGCAAAAAGGAAAATTAAGCCCGTTTTCTCTGCCGCATTTGCGCCACCTGTTACACGTCCATCTCCGAAGAAAATTGCGACTTTCTCAGATGCTCGTCAACTAAATAAGCGCCCACGCGACGAAGACGTGGAGAATAATCCTAGTCCTGCGAAATCTCAAGCACTTAAACCGCTTTCTCCGAGCAAGAAAGCTCTCTTTCAAGCTCCCACAGTCACTCCGTCTGCGTCACAAACTGCACCAGCCGTAAGGAGACCTTCAGGATATTATGCACGGCGTAAAAGTCTGGCTCCTGTGCCTTCAATCATCCCAAATAAGGGGATTGAAGATGTCTTGGCGACTGTAAAATCACCAAAGAAAAAGTTAGGTTCTGGTATTGGGCGCGCTAGCGTCGGCTCCACCCCTGTTGTTGCCTGGGATCGGGCAAGCGTAAGTCAGAAGGGCAAAGAGACGTCAAAAACTGGAGAGGTGGACAAGTTAGTAGTTCTGCCAAGCACTTGTGAAGCCACTCAACAGCTGGCTGTTTCTAGTCCAACGGGGGATTTGCTTACTCCGACCTCTCCTCGGGTTAATTCAGCTGCCCTCGTGGTGCAGCCTTCCACAACGACGAGTGTTGTTGATTTTTCCACGATAGTCACCTCAGGCTTTGGGGAAGACGAAGAAGCAGACATGGATGTCGACGCAACGGAGCAATGGAGAGAAGGTGTCGAACAAGGCGAATATTTTGAAGATGACCTTGTAAATTCTTTCTCATTTTCAGCTTCACAACAAATTCTAATTCATGTCCTTTGATAGCCCGTCATTTCCATTAGCCAGTTCTTTTCTATGACCGGGATTAAGTTCATGGATGAATTAACAGCTCCCAGACGGTCAACGCACCCTTCCCAACAACCTACCCGTCAAGCGCGAAATTCCTCTGATATTCCACTATCAGAATACGTCACCGCAATGGCCATTGACATTCCACAACTCGTTTTATATTCCCGTGTCTCCAAGGACCTCGAAGCCTGGATGGAGAAGAGCAAAATAGTATTTGCACAGGCGGAAGATGAAGCTTCCAAGGTTACACCCGAGCTTTTTGTCGAGTTCTCGCGGGCAGATGAAGACGGTCAGGCAGAACTACTCGTGAGCGTTGGGGATAAACATACATTAATAATGTGTTGACCTCTTTTCAGCACCAACTCAATCTGATACGGACGAACACGCGGGGTTTGGCCAAGTCAGATTGGTATGATTGGAAGCTGCAATGGGTCGAGGGTCTACGTCTTACTGGCGAGAAGGCTTTCAAGGCGCTTGAATCGGTATGTTTGTAGTTGTTCCGTTCAGATTCTTCTTAATTTTCCATTTTAGGATGCGAGAGCTTTGGAGGGGCTGAATGCTTTAGCAGATGATCTTGTCCCCGTTCTGGAGAAGGAATATGAGGCAATCATGAAAGAACTGGAGAAAGAACAAGCAGAAGTAGCTGAAATCGAGGCGTGCGATCAAGACTACCTCAACGAGCTGAAGGCGGAGATTGCTGAACAAAAGTATGCGTATCCAAATATATTTATATGCCATATTTTGTTTTGACCATTCTCATTAGCATTGAAGTAGAAGCACTGAAGGCAGAAGTGATAGAAGGCAACGGGCAGCATGTTTGGCTGCAACAGCGTCTGAAAGAAGCAGAGGTTGATAAGCAGGAGACCTTAGCTGCCATCGCTACAACCGAACGCCTTCTGCACATCCAAAAAAATTCTACTCGATCCGAGGTATTCCGCCTGAAAGGTAAATTTGGCCATCCTACTTTTATAATACTCTTTACTAAATACAAGCAGATGAACTAGAGGCACTGGAAAATCTCCACATGTTCCGAGTTACCACAGTCAAAGCCAACATGTTTGAATACGTACACGCCTCGACATTCCGCGTTTCTATCCCTTGTAGAAACTTCCAACCACAGGTCAGCAAAATCGATATCACGCGCTTCGACAAGGCCTCGAACCGGTACAAGGACGATTTTCCGCAATTAAGTGCTTTCCTTTTGAGCAGCGCGAAACAGCTTGTCGTTGAAAGTGACGATAATACTGTTCGTCAGGTGCACCCGTTTAATTCTCCATTTTCTCGATCATACTGAATCGATTCACAGATTGTTCATCGACTGGGAGACTACTGGTCATCTTGCGCGCAGCTTCGATCACAGCTCCGATTCCTTGGTATCAAGTACCCCATCGAGATTGAGGTCTCTCAACCATCCCAGGTCTTCAAGGCAAAGACGATGGTGATGTTCCCCTCAATAATGGGAAAGGCATTCATCTCCTTCATATTCTCTCTCGAAACTTTCAGTCGTTGGCCAATGTCAATTAGATCCCTTGATTGCGAGGTGGAGGTCGCATATGGGCCTATTGAGTGAGCTCCAACCAATGCTCGCAATAGCCTCATCTGACTTTCTCAACAGTCGTTCAGCAATTTTGACAGCCGTTATGGAGCGTTTGAGTGAAGCAACTCCATCCGATAATTATGCGTGTTTATTGGATGCCTGTATCGAAGCCCAGGAGACCCGTCACTAATTTTATACATACGTTCTTGTAAATTGTAATCTACAGTGTTCCGGCACTCCTTCGGACAGGCTAAGGACATTCCCGTTTTGTAGCGGCCACACACCAAAATAATCCATTCTGACTTGACATTCCTGTTTACCAATACATCTTCTATGTAATTCCACATTTTCAAGATAAACGAAGCCCGGAACATGAATAGATACGCTGTTCAAGAAAGTGGGCAAAATGTCACGGAATTCACTCCTTCGGACACCATGTGACACCGCCAAAAGTGTGGGAGAAATCAGCTTATGGCCATACCGTGCAGTCACATCGTCAATGTTCAGTATGTGTAACATTTCCTCTGCCCCCATTTTCCTTCTAAACGTCCCAATTCTTTTATTAATACCGTTGCGATAGGGTTTTATATCTACGAGATTTTTTGCTGTATGGGTGGTTCGTCGGATCTGAGCAAAATCTAAGATTAGCATAGCAGCCTTTCACAATTTGATCACTTTCAGTGTAATTCACTCATAGCACCTTGAGAACTTCACCAATTAATCCAATTTTATATATACATGACCTCTATACCTATCTACAGACATATGCCAAGTTTGACGATGAGTGATGTTGATCTGCATGAGTTAGAGCCAAGTGTCCGAAGGAGTGATAGTGTCCGAAGGAGTGCCGGAACACTGTATTGTAGTATTTGTTGCTGGGGAAATAGTTGGTTATTTCAAGAATAGTAAATATCATACATAAGTATCACAAGGGAGCGTGTAGTGCGATAAGGGGCATGTATGGTGTCAAAGGGTGCTTCGTAGAAATAAATAGATAAGAAATTACCTACAAAGTGGCAGGAGAGCGTCAGCTACAGAAAAGGAAGGGAGAAAAAGAGGTAGCATACGAGGAATCAAGCAAATGTGATGCACATCTGATTCAGTTCTTCCAGGAGAACCGCAAGAACTGCCCTGTCACCCCTGATGATGTCGACCTCAATGTCGCACATATCCTGAACAGAGGCCCACCCCGCTACAGCTAGATGAGCACAACCTGCCATTTCAAAATTCTGGCGTTGCGCCTTCAACGTAGATTCATGAAACATTCGGACATCCTCTCGGGTGCGTGCAGCAGCTTCTTCGACCGCCTGATCCTTATGCTCCAACACATGCCGAAGCTGGTCCTCTAGCGACGATATATAGGCAGCTCTCTCGTCACCCGACCTTCCATGAAACTCCATATACTCCATTTGCTTCAAAGTTTCTTCCATTTCATGGGAACGCACTTGCTTGAGATGATGGATCTCCTCTTCCATTGCTTGCAGCTGATGTAAACGTTCCTTGGCTATATTCTCGGCAGCTGCAAGTTGCAACCTTAGCATGGTAGCAGTTGAAGAATCTATGGTCAATGTTTCTGGGGAAAGACTGAATCTAAGCGAGTTGTGGTACACCGCAGGCGAAGGCGTCACGTCAGGCAACAGGACTTGAGAAATTGATCCATATCCCCCTGGAGAATCAATAGCACTAAGGCAGGGACTCTCAGGAATATCCAACTGACTAGTAGCAGGTGAGACGGCACCAGAGCAGAAAGGAGCCGGTATGTCCGATAGCAGATACCCGAGCTCGTCCTCTCCGAGGGTCCTGGATGCCTCGCTCGTAAGCTGCTCCCAGGACAAGATTGAGCCGCGTCCGACTTTATCGCCCCCAGGTTGTTGGGGTGGTCGAAGAGAGGATTTCCCATTAGAATCGGGGGGAAGCGGCGAAATATACGAAAGATTTGCTCGACTAGGAAGGTTACTACTGTTGCGAGTGGGAGTTTGCGGGGCAAGCCTTCTTTTCTGGATCCTTGGCATAGCAGGAGTAGGCGCACCGAGCGCAGCAACTGGGGCGAGGAGCAGCTCAACATCGTCTTCTTCACTATCCTCGCTATTGCCTTCAGAGATATGAGACATGTTGCCCCTATGACCGACCGCCGGAGAGACAGCCGTCGTCGAAGGCTTACGCGAGTGACGAGCAAGGGGAGACGGCGAATCACGAGTGGAATTATGTGGGGAGGATTTTACAGGCGAGGTTCGAAGTTTGTCCTCCCTTGCCCGACTTTTGGGGGTGTGATGGATGTGTGAACTGGATGTAGAAGCAGAAGAGGCTGGTCGTGGAAGGGAAGAAACGGAAGCTGATGCAGCAGCAATCGTTTTGAGAAGCTTAGTCGGACGAGACGGCGAGGCTTTGGACACACTAGGTGTAGCAAGCTTTGCCTTGGATGGAGTCGAGGGTGGTGTGGCATTCAAAGCGTTGGAGGCTTTGAGGGCGGCTCTGTGAGGAAGCGGGCTGATGGGCCTAGAGACTTTTTCAGCTGGAGAAACAGCTGCTTGGGGCCTCGTTTGTTCCTTTTTCTCATCATCCGAGCTGCTGAGCCGCCGACGAGTACCGGCCCTAACTGGTGACGGCGGCTTGGCTTCTTCCATAGTCGTAGATTTTGGACGGTACTTGGGCAACGCTGATGAAGCATTAAGGTTCCGTGGTCGAAGAGTGGAAGTGCGAAGAGGGGGCACTCCTTGTGGTGTGGAAGAATCGGATTGCTTGGCCGGCGTTTCGGCATCCGTTGAAGACCTTTGCAGTGAAGCCGACACTCGTCTACGAGTAACGGCCTTGGATTCCGGTGTAGTCTCTCTCCTAGAGACCTGAGATATTGGTCTAACGTCGGTCATGGAAAGGCGTGGTGGAGCTGGTTTAGCGAGGTTGGTAGCACTTAGGCGGCGAGAAGCATCCTTCGTCTTCTTAGCGTTCTTGCTTGCCTCCCTGGCGTCCTTGCTTATCACGTCCGCAAAAGCTTTGCTCACTGACGCGAGGTTCAAAGACTGTCTGATGGAGCTTCTCGTGGTGGGTTTGGATCTGGGGTTGCCACTCGCAGCTGGCTCTGAAGGCATGGAGTGAATGAAACCAGGGGAATTGAATAGTACAATGTGATCGTAATGAAGTCGTTGTCGTCGTCGTCGTCGTCGTCGTGGCCAGCAACTGCCAGCACCAGGGTTCAGCTCAAGTCAAAATCAAGTCAGGCTTAAGTTCAACTCAACATTCATCAGTCGCGTTTGTTGACAGATGTTTGGTTGTACGCGATCTACCACATGAACCGTCCAACCCCGTCTCTAGCCCGATACAGAAAAACACTCATTGTTACTCCGTTGACAACCCCATACCACAACCCTTCGATGACCAGACCCCACGGCGGTATAAAAGTCACCTGTGATCGCATTAGGATGTAAGGGATGAGAAAGTAACGCGGTTCTAAAAGAGGTGTCGGCAGCAATGTTGGTATCACAAACACTGGAAGAATCAAGGTTTGTAGTATGGTCTGTTCACGGCCTGGAGTTCGCATGTCAACCTCGATCAGGCTGCGGCGATGAGTCTTGGGCACATACCGACACGCAAAAACCACGCCCAAGCACAGGCCAGGTAAATCGGAATCAACGCATATGGAGCTAGAGGGTGGAACATATATATCCTTCTCCACACATAAAATGTGTAGTGTCTGTTGTCCGAGAGCAAGAATGGGTGGTGTATACTGCAGGTGCTGGTGTGAGGAAAGAACTTGAGGGGACAACACGACTAACGTAAAGAATTTCACCGTGACACCCATTGCTAGGCAAACGAGAACATTAAACAAACAACGACTTCGTAAGGTAAGCAAGGTCCAGAATTGATTGTGTGAAGAAACATACAGTTTAGTGCCCAACATGCGGCTCCAAACTCCACGAAACAACAAAGGGGCACCTCCAGGGCCACTGATCAGAACAGGCCAGCCAAAGAACGTGCTGAATGCAATAAAGTAGTAAAGCTGTGGAATATGGAGGGACGGTATGTGATTTGATTTGTCGCCTAGAAAGTATTCAGCCGCAATAGAAGATTCCTATTCGAAGCATACCAAGTACAACACCCCCATTCCAGACAACAAAAGCTCCAAAGGAAGTGAGAACCAACGTGTAGGGTACGAAAGAAGGCAAAATATCCATTAAAATCCAAGGGACACTCCGCAGACACTTTCCTAGATCTCCTGAAGCGAGATGTGATGTTTCACGATCGAGAGATGGGAATGGGTACATCACATACCTAGCTGGGCAGCAAGAGCAAATGGGTCGTGCAGCTTCGGCAGCAGCTCCGCACCCGGTCCAGGACGCCTGAACCGCAGAAACATGAGCTGACTTGAGGCATATGCATAGAGAACCCAAACTATGTTGGTTTGTCTAAATGCGCAGCTAATCAGACCAAGCTATCAATATTTAGTCGCTTGCTTCCAGACCTAAATGAGAACATACCAACGCTGCAAGCCAGTGACGGTTATTTGAAGCAGCAACCACTGTCCAAACTACAAAAAGAAGGCTAGGCACTTCTGTGTAATAGAGGAATCCGAAGAACCACGCGATCGGAAACAGGGAGAGGACAACGGACTCAGGCATCGGCGAAAGAAGAGAGGCTGGCGGCCTTTCCCGTTTATGATAACAGAGTAAACGGGTCAGCGCAATTGGGAGTGCCAAGAGTGTCAACAGTGTGGTAAGGCGTAGCATGGGCAAACTGCATTTAAACAAAAACAAGCGTTTGAGAAGGACGGATAGTAGATACCTGTGATGCGGTCAGACATGGATTAATGCCAGGAGTAAGGGCAAAAGGTTCACAATCCTGGTGGGGTCGTAATTTTCGGATCCCATCTCATAAAATCCCCCGAACAATATGCCTGCGCCTGCGGAATGTGGAAAGGTTCGTCCTTTAGGTATCTAGCAAGTCAATGGATGCGAAGGTCAAAGTGGGGTACGCGCACCATGTATGGCTCATCGACGATGGCATTGAGCTCTTTGAGAACCGTTATACATATCACACAGAATGCGAGGTAGAAGGAGGACATGGACAAGGACTTTGGGAGTGAGTGATGGCGCTGAAGCACAAGAGCGACACGTATTACAAGCTTTCAAAATTTCAAGCTCAATGGCCACGACGTTTGCACGACGTCGTCTTCAAAATCTTGCGGTTCTGCTAGAAAAAATGTTTTGCCACCTGGCTGACCGCAACAAGTTGCATACCGGTTTGATACCGATCATACTTTTCTCAGATACATAACAGGCGATACATCACCAACACATCATGTAGGTAGCTAAAGACCATCTAACGCGCGTATGGGTCGTTCGGCTTGTGGCGTTATCCTAGCACCGTGTCTGTGTTCGCCGGTGTTCTGAAAATCAACAATTGCAGACTATGTAAGTAGTAGCAGGCTCGGATATGCATATGAATTTTGCGACAAAAGAGTCCACATGGCCGTTATTCTGCTACTTATCCGGATCCTACACAATTACTGTGTGTGGGCCCCATTTAACCCGTACCTGATTGTCCGCACTTTTATCAATGCGGTCATAGAGGAACTTGAAAAATGTTTTTTTTTAAAAGTGTCCCAAGAGCCATGTCAAACATCAGGAAAACGGTCTGAGCTCGTAGTTTGGTGTTATTTATGTAGCCAATTAATGTATTGAATAGTCAATTCTAACAGTGCGCAGGGGTCCCGTTGAGAGTGTACACCCAGTCATCGGGAGGCACCCCGTTACCGGGGAAGAAGCCATCTATGTCAACAAGCAGTTTACCCGTAGTATCGTTTGGACTGAAGCGAGAGGAGTCAGGTGTGATATTGTTCTAATACTTCTATACACCTACCCCACGATGTCCAGGGTGGGAGAAATTAGCTTGCTCGACGCCAGAATGAACAGCTTTCAGTGTTCGCAAGAAGGCCATAAATTGAGGAGACAGTTCCTTCAAGGGGAATACCTGGGAAGTAAACAACGTATCACCACCAGTTTGAGGCTGGGAAAGAAGGAAGACCGTGGTGAGGCCAGGAGGTGGCCATGGAAGTTCGTGTGAGACGTCGGAATGCCACTATGAAGGTGATACTATCGTCGATCTCAAAGTTGAAGGTCGATTCTGCGTCCCTTCAGAGAATGAGTTCTTTCTGTGTAGCTCAATACGAAACAATACATGAATACCAAACGGATCTCTGGGTAGTTTTAGGGATGGGCAGATGTAAGATGGATGTGGAGCCTGTAAGTAGGCGTAAGCCAATGGTTGCCGACTGGGTTCGACACGCTCACCTTCCAAAGTCCAGGCTCCCGCACTCTCTACAAAACTATGGGTCTCGGTCAATGAAGCCTTCCCGATCCCTGAAAACGAACAATTCTCTGCAAGCGACGTACAAATCTAAAAGGTAAGTTGTGAGTGGACGGAGAACGGTGGCGTGAACATGTTTACCTCGAAAGCCAGCTGGTCCCACCCGTCAGCATTTGCCTCCGTTATGTTGATTACCACAACTTCAGTGCCAAGGTGCGGAGTTATTTCTGTAATGGACGTGGCACCGTTGAGAAAAGACCGAGGATTCGGGTGCGACAACGAATGTAATCCAGGATCAACATGATCAAAAGGCGTCAACGTTGGATACCTATCTTGATTCTCTAGAGAAATAGGGAGAGTAACGGTAGTTCCTCCTTAGGATTGTCGTTGGGTGTGGTAGTAGTCATAGTTAAATTGGCTCCATTTCGAAGTGCGCCATCGTAGCGATAGACTTGAAAAGGACATTGCGAAAGCTGATGGAATTTTGAGTTTGACACAAGTTTGACAATATTATTGTCTTGAAATGAATTTTGGCTGTAACAACAATGGAAGCAATATTTAGATCTGATCGGGAGAACAGATGATCGAGGTACAAGCAGTGCCAAACAATAAAGACAATAAGCAGACGCCGGTAGACGCCGATCCGTGCTTGAGCCTTCTTTGAACCCTGCCAGTAACCCCTGGCCACTAGGCTCCCATTATACACGCCTTGCTCACTACCACCATCGTTCTCGACAAGTTTTGCTGTTAAACTTGCCGTAAAGTACCCAAGGCCAACCTTGAAGATGTGTTGTCCTACGATTAATGGCTTTTTATCTTGTTCTGTGTCCTATATTGGCTCACGTCGAGTGTGTGATTTTCAGTCTTTGGTTTCTATTGTCTAATTGTTTCGGGAATAGTTTGGACCTGACTCAGTTCCTTCCATGATACCGTACTGGGTTTCAATAGGTTTCAATCAGGCATTCGCGAGAATCCTGAATCCCCGGCGCTGCCTCCTCAAAAGGCCGCCTACACAACAATACTTCCTTACCCGCTATCCCCCACTTCCTGCGGTCCACCCATTTCTTCCCTTTCATACCTTGCCCTGCTCTAGTCAGTCACTGATATGGAGGAGACTAAGCCCTATACCAGTTCTACGGAACAGATCGACCTTCCAAGTCTACGTCCTCGCAACGTTCCAGATGTCCCAGAAGATGTCGACTTCCTCATGGAGCATTTGAACGACCCAAACTTTGACTATAACAAAAACCGGCCCCCGTCTATCGACAGTTCGGCGGACATGTCGAAGAAGAAACGCTTCTCCCAGAATGACGATGTCGAGTCCCGCTTTGAGTCCGATCGGTACTCGACCTCCAGGGCTGAATCGAGGAATTCAACCGCGATCGACTTTGATGAGCGCGTACTGTTTGTCTTGCACCTGCGCCCTTGCTGACCTTCCTTCCAGCGAATCGCCTTATCCCGAAGTTCGGGCCGCTGTCGCGAGCATCGATGATCCGTCGATGCCAGTGAACACTTTCCGGATGTGTGTTTTGTTTTCCTTCAAACTATGATCTCAATGTTAACTTTCAAACAATAGGTGGTTTATGGGCATCCTTTTCGTTATCCTTGTGACAGGTCTGAATCAGATCTTCGGCATGCGCTGTAACTTTTCCCTCTCCTCTTTCAATTGCCAGCAGGCGTTTAACGTCTTTGCAGATCCCTCGGTTTACATCACTGGTATCGTAATCCAGTTAATCTCATTGCCAATCGGTAAAGGCCTTGAGAAGCTTCTGCCTACGACGAGGTTCAATACTTTCGGTCACGTTTGGTCCTTCAATCCCGGTCCTTTCTCCATCAAGGAGCACGTGTGTGTTACCGTCATGGCGAACGTCGTCGTCAGTGGTGCCTACTCCACCGACATCGTTCTCGCACAGAAAATCTTTTACGGTCAATCTGTCCCATTCAAGTATCAGATCCTTCTCGCTCTTGGGTCACAAGTCCTTGGCTTTTCTCTCGGAGGTCTTCTCCGTCAGTTCGTGGTCTGGCCTTCCAGCATGATTTGGCCTGGTGCCCTTGTCAACTCAGCCCTTTTCAACACGTTACATAAAAACTATGGCCAGCGCGATCGTGGCCACATGACCCGGGAACGTTTTTTCTTAATCGCGATGGCTTGCAGCTTCGTTTGGTACTGGGTTCCTGGATATCTGTTTACGGCGCTCAGCATGTTCAATTGGGTATGTTGGATTGCCCCCAATAATCTAGTCGTCAACGCCTTGTTCGGGACAAATACCGGCTTGGGCATGAGCATGCTCACCTTCGATTGGTCAATGATCGCATTCATCGGAAGTCCTCTTGTGACGCCTGTACGCATCTCCTGGTACTCGATTTTTTTAATTGTTATAATTCTTTCTCCAGTGGTGGTCCGAGATGAACACTGGAATCGCCTTCATCATCATGTTTTGGATTGTTGCACCCATCGTTTACTGTAAGCGTTCGGCAAAGACGACCCAGCTGTAACTGACAGAAATTGCTTCAGTCACCAATAGCTTCAATGCAGCTCACTTCCCATTGTCTTCCTATCTCGCCTGGGATAATACCGGAGCGCCCTTCTCAGCCAAGGCGATTGTGACCAACGGAGTTTTTGACCAGGCGAAATACTCTGCCTATTCACCTGTCTTTCTGTCTACCACTCTCATCTTGGCTTATGGCATATCCTTTGCCTCTTTCCCGTCCGTCTTCGTCCACACCTTCTGTTCGTTTGTCATTTTTTCTATTACCTTATCCTGCTTACTTTGCCTCTCTAGTGTGGTTCCGAAAGGATATCATGCGTCGATTCAGGCATACACTCAAAGATGAGCGCGATATCCACTCTCGCCTCATGCAGGCCTACCGCGAAGTTCCCATATTTTGGTATATTGCAGTCGGGGTCATCGCATTTGCATTTTTATGCATCTCTATCGAAATCTTCCCTACGCAGTTGCCTATCTGGGGTGCCGTTGTCGCATTCGCTCTTGCCACTATCCTGTCTATTCCTCTCGCCATGCTTCAAGCCATCACCAATCAACAGGTACCTACGCAAGTCATGCACGAGTTGGTTGCTGGATATATGCTACCCGGCAAACCCATCGCCAACATGTTATTCAAGACGATTGCATTCATTGGCTCCAACCAAGCTATTGGCTTTGCTGGAGACTTAAAGCTTGGTCACTACATGAAAATCCCGCCCCGCGTCATGTTCAGTGTCCAGGTTGTCGCGGCCGTTATCAGTTGTTTCATTGCAACTGGTGTGCAAGATTGGGCATTCGCCAACATTGAAGACATTTGCACACCGCATCAAAAGCAGGGCTTCCGCTGCCCGGGTTCCACTACCTTTGCGACTGCCTCCGTCATCTGGGGCGGTGTCGGTCCTCGACGGCTTTTCAGCCCCGGACAACGGTTAGTTTCCTACTTTTGACAAGTTTTACAATTTCTGATCAGGGGTCCACAGTTATTCCGCTCTCCTTTGGTTCTTCCCCATTGGTATATTCGCGCCGATTCCTTTCTACTTCCTTGCCCGCCGTTTCCCCCTTTCCATCTGGCGTTACATCAACATTCCCGTATTCTTTGCCGGGCTTGGCGCCATCCCACCTGGCTCGGGCATCAACTATATTTCATGGGTTCTCACTGGCTTCACCTTCAACTACTGCATTCGCCGCTTCCACTTCAGATGGTGGATGCGATACAATTATATCCTTTCTGCTGCACTTGACGCAGGCGTCGCACTGAGCGTGATTGTGATATTCTTCTGTGTGCAGTACCCCAAGGGTGGTGTTGAGGTCAATTGGTGGGGAAACTCGTAAGTATTTTCCTCACCTCTATTTTCGATCGATTCTTATGAGGTACTTTGCAGTGTTTGGATGAACAACGCGGACGCTAATGGTATCCCATTCAAAGCCATTCCTGATGGTACAACTGTTGGTCCTACAACATGGTGATCACCTTCCCGAACGATTTTTTTATTACTTACAAGCAGTTTGTAACACCACCCACCCCCTCTCATACGACAATCATTTTCCTCACAGCATAACGATTACTTTATTCAATTCACGTTCCTCACGGTCATCATATCGCATATAGTTCTTCATGTACTTAAACGACTCCATAATGAAAAAAAAAATTACGCGTCTTATCTGAGCAGGTCAACATATGGGGCCTTATCATTTATCAGTTATTCGGAGAGCTGCAATACATATATATATCAAGAATCAAGGGGATATCGATAGCTCAAAAACTAAGTAGAAGGTAAACCCCAGATGCGGACCTCCCTTCCACTCGCCCCCCATATCTCTTTTCCTTGCTCCCCGAAAACGAGGTCCGACACCTCACCTCCTTCGTCTAGTCTGAGAAGTTCATCCCAAGTCTTGTGTGCGAAGATCCTGGCACCTAAACTTCCTGCAACACCGAAGTACTGGGCACTCGTATCATATACAACCTTGTTCACCTTGAAGTCGTCACCTAAAGAAATAGAGTGTGTAGCTTTCTGCTTGCGCAAATCCCATATGGCAACTGAAGAGAGCGAATTGGGGGCCAGAAGGTGATACCCATTCTCTGAAAAAGTCAAAGAGTTGACGGTGAACGGGGCAGCATCAGCGGATGATAAAGTCGCAGCCATGGCGCCGGTGCGAATATCGAATATTTGAATTGTGGACGTCGGGGTACCGAGCGCGAGGAGGGTACCATCGGGATGGACAGCAAGGGATGTGAAAGCTTCTTCTGAAGGAATGGATCGGAAGACTTGTGTAAATGAGGAGAGATCGTGGAGTGAATACGTTTTGTCGGTGGAGCATAGTGTAAGTATGGTCGAAGTAGGGTGCACAGCCAGTCCGGTAAGCTCGCCCTTGTGCGACCTGATAGTTGATTTGGGAATGTACTCTCCTGAGGCAGAGTCGTGCGCCCAAATCTTAACAATTTTGTCCGCTCCAGCAGAAATCACTAACGTTGCGTCGCTCTCACGCTCCCGGAAGGCAACGTGGTTGACCTTTTTTGAGTGACCCTTTAGCGAAGCCAAAACCTTATCAGTACTTCGGTCATACACCTGCACTATCTTGTCGTTTCCGCCAGTCAAGAAGTGTGACGGATTGAGGCGAGAGACGGCTAACGACGTAATTCCTGACGGCGACGCAGAATGAAGGGATGGAATCGTATGAGTCGACACGTAAGTTTTGACTTCAACGGCGGTGGCATAATCAGTAGGTGGTTTGCGTTTCTTGCGTGCGGCGGAAAGCGCTTGGTGAGTTTCATCAATTTGTGAGATGATATTGGTAGGAAGTGTGTCCTCCCCAGCAGCATTCTCAGCCATTTCAACGTCTTCATTTGCGGGCTGGGCAACGCCGAGCGTCGCTTGTACGTTTGCCAGAGCTCTGTCCATAAAGAACTCGATTAGGTGGGAAGCAAAAGTAAATAAATAAAAAACGCACTCTCTGGCAGCATCGCGTTCGCGAATCAAACGGGCGACGACTCGACTTGCGGCATCTTGGGAATACAAAGCATAGCTTAGTTCTTGGCGCGTCGCGTTATATTTTTGCTCAAGGGCATGGGTACCAAGCACAAGAGCGTCCCACTCGTTTTGAAGGAGATGTAGAAGTGCAGGGATCGAGGTGTGCGTCGGAGGACGAGGTGCGGCTGTGTCTGGGCCTGCGTGAGTTGGTCAGTAGTGTCGCCAAGGTGGGATGAAAAATCGTGAAAACATACTAGCTTTTATTGCAATGAGATCGGATTCCTCGAGCTTGTCGCCTGTGATTGGGTCTGTGCCGTTCTCGCTAATGTATTTGACGATGAGACGCCTTTCATAGACTTTGCCAGACTTTGCCGAAACGACAGGTTCTTGCGGGGGTTCACCCGAGATGGCACAGAAAAACATATGAGAGTGCGCTTGGAAAACGGAATATAAAGTCGGCGGGCGTCAAGGCGGCAAAATCGATGTCGAGGGTGATGAACGTTGTCGACGACCAACGATACTTGTTGACCGTTTTGTTGATACTTGTTTACTTCCAACACTCCTGTCCTCTGCCATGTCGGAAAAGCAGCAACGTCTCGTCTACTCCATCATCGAATTTCTCAACCAATCCATCGACGATGGCACAGTGAAGGCAGACGATAAAGAGAGTCTAGAGGTGGCCAGTGCGTGTGGTATTACTTTGTTGTATTCAAGTCATGTAACATCACTGTTATATCAGTCCAATGTATAGGGGAGGCCTTCAATGTCGATCCATCTAACCCGGGACAGGCAGACAAATTGAGCGTGAAGCCTGCCACTCTCCAGAGTATATTCGATGTCTTCATCAAAACTCGGGATAAGGTAGCTTCAAATGCGCAGCCTACAACGTCATCCCCAAAGTCAGTTTCTGCGGACCATAGGGTTCAGGCGGATAAACTAAAGCAATCGGGGAACGCTCTCATGTCAAGCAAGAAATACGACGAAGCTATTGACGCCTATACCCAAGCGATAGCTCTTGATCCTAAAAATCCAGTGTACTTTTCCAACCGAGCTGCTGCACATACAAGCAAAGGAGATCATCTCTCCGCAGTTGGTGATGCTGAGCAGGCTATTTCTGTGGACCCTAAATTTGTGAAGGCTTATCACAGACTGGGGTTGGTTTCTAATAGTCCTCATTTTTCTAATATTTACCTTTGATCTAGGCATGCCCAGTATTCTCTATCAGATTTTGAAGCAGCAGCGAGCACTTTCGAACGAGGACTGAAACTAGAACCTACCAATGTTGGTTTGAAATCAGGTCTGCAGAACGCACAAGCCAAGCTCGCCGCGGATGAAGATTCCACCGCCACCGCTTCGCCACCGCCGGCTCCCGGCCTCAGTTCCATGGCTGACATGATGAGAGGCATGGGTGGAACGAGCGGGGGCATGCCTGACATCGCGAGTATGATGAATAATCCACAACTAATGGCTATGGCTCAACAGCTGGCCTCGAACGGCGGACTCGCCAGCCTGATGCAGAACCCTGCCGTGGCTAACATGGTAGGTGGTATCAAATGATTGGAAGTCAAAATATTCACTCTGTCGAAAGATGAATCAAGTTCAGTCAGGAAACATGCCGTCAATGGAAGACATAATGTCGGATCCTTCCTTGCGCCAACTGTAGGTCGGTTCCTTTCTGACTCCGTAGTCTACTGAAATGCCGACGATAGTGCAAGTCAATTTGGTGCCGGCGGAGCGTAGGTATGTATGGATACGCCACAGGTACACTGGAGGAACAGTCACAGTTACTAATCGCGGAGGATGTAAGCTTATATTGTATCAATGGACGTTTGATCAATGTTCATAAGGACATGCTATCAACAACTCTCGTACAAGTAAGTATTTCTGCGGAAAAGTATGGTGCGAGGTTTCGAATCGGAACATCGAGCTTGAACCTTGAACCTTTTTGTCTTTCGCATGAAATCAGTTTTACCAGCCCAAGAATTCGGAGCGTTGAATTCCTAGATCGCATATTGACTAAGATGTGATATCCCCAAAATTAGGATGATTGTTTACGGCGCATTTTCCTGGCTTTTGCAGGAAGTTGTCGTGCCAGAGCTGGGGGAACGAGTGGGAGCTGGACTGGCATGTGTTCAGGATGGCCCTACATCATTACAAATGAGTGCCAGAACTTTAGATAACGTGCAAACTGTGCCAACGAACGTGAAGAAGGTGGTATCGGAGACCGCTGTGCTGTCGGTAGGCCTTGAAGCAGTTGGGCATGAGACATGCATAAGTGCGGTGGGAATTATCAGGGAATAGGTCTACGGAGTCAGTTTGTAGGTCACCCCTTGTATCCTGAGCAGAGAATTGAGACGATAACGCATTTCTGAAATGAGCCGCAGAGCTGTGTGATACATGAAATATGAGCAGTTGTAGAGTAAAATCAACGACGTCACTCACAGTTGAAGATGATACTGAAGACCGTTTATGGACTATAATATCCATTCCTCGTAAAATGAACCCGCAGAAACAAATAACTGGCTAACCTTCCAAGACTTTCCACACCCAGACAAGCCGCACCTGAATGGTTTATCTCCAAGAGGCTCTCCTTCGTGATCTCCCTTGCTGTGCTCACATAACTGCTTAGAGGTAGCAAAGCATGACTTGCTCATCGATGCTCCAATTGACCAACATCCTTCTCTGCCACAAGCATAAGGCCGAACCTTTGGACTGAGGATGTTAGTATTGAGACGTGGGATTCGCTAAACTGGAGTAAAATCTTACTCGCTAGATAAAGGTAGGTTCGAGGAGAGCCGAGAGGCTGCATCGGGTCCCTTCGTTTTCCGAGGTTTTCGACGTCGCGGAACACTTGATAGTGAGTCTTGTATATGTAGTGTGGGACCGGTAGGTAATTGTTCGTTTGGAAGTGCGGGACTCATTGAATCGGGGCTGGAGATGGGCGACATAGATGACGACGTCGTAAATGGCGTTGATTGTGTCGACGACAGATCATCATGACTTGAGCTGAAGTTCAGTCCCGAATACGATGCTTCTCTGGGTAAAAGCGGCACGATATTTGGAAAATTCGAGGATTTCCACAAATCAAATCGGAGTGAGTGGGTTCGTAGAGGATTCGATTGTACGGGGTCAGGTGATAGGGGTCCAATGGGCAAGGAGTCAGATTGCAGGAATTGCATCGGGTCTGATCGTGTACAGCCAGATTGGGTAGGCCCAGACAGCAACGAATCAACTAGCAGAGGGTCTGGAAGATCGCTGGATTGACGAGGGCTACACGGAGCAAGATCGACATCTCGCGAATGGTTGGTTATGCTACCATTTGCTGGTAGTGCTTCGAAGGGAAAATACCGGGAGTGCTCTGAAGGGAAATCTGATGAGAGTGGGAGAGTCTCAAGATCAAGATCAAAAAATTTGTCTGTCGCATCGTGTGAACGAAAGTCCGAAGCACGAACGTCCACGATATCTGCCAGGACAGTCCCCAATTCGAAATTCAATGGGTCACTGCTCGTCATGGTATCGCGTGAAAAAGTTTCTAGGTCAAAATTCTGCAGCTGGTTGACTGTATTATCTGTTGCAATCATATCCGCCTGAGACTCTCTGATTGAAGCGGTATCTCTTGCGGTGGTCATTGAATCGAAATAATCAGAGTGGTTTGCTGTGCCGTCGTTGGGTAAAATCGCCTTCGAATTGAGATCCTGGAACCGATCAAACCCAATAGAACTTACTTCCCTCGCATCGGTATGGGGAGGTTCGACTGTTGTGGCGCCCTGTATCGTGGCACTTGTCATTGCAAAATCACGGAGGCCGACACTTTCATTCGCTGTCCCACATGGTGAAGGCTGTCCGAAGATAACAGATAGTAGGGGTTCCAGGTCTTGTTGATTCAGAATAAAGTCTGTCAACGAGTGTTGGGCGTCATTATATAAATTGATTGTTCCAGGGCGATGAGATGGGGTATGTGCTTGAAGGTCAAGCAGCCGGTGATCGTGCAGGGTAGCAGTTTGTCCTTCGGGGAAAGCATGGGGAATGGGACCACACAACACAACATTCGGAGAGGAAGTTGGGTGCGGGGATATCGATGGAGTAAGAACAGGGGAACCTGACGGAGGACTCGATTCACGGAAAGTGTTTCCCAGCTGAGAGTGTGGGAAGAGCGAAACAGATTCATGAGACGGTCGTTGTGTAACAATGCTCAAAGTTCGAAGACCTGAACCCTCAAGGACCAAGGCTGCTCTGGCTGCGCGTTTGCGTTCAATGAGACGCCACCTGACACGTTTTAGTAATTGACCGCTTCGGCAGGGTTGAGTCAAACAACACCTATTCCTACATGCCAGGCCGCTGCGTTGGAGTTCTTGCCCTATCAACCCCCATTTCATGCCGTGTTGAATGTGAGCCTGGTTAAGTTTATGGTCCTCCTCCGGAGTCCACACATCCTTTTTTAAGCTTGGGTCGAGAGCTTCCCGATATCGTTTTGAGCATGCGTCATCTGTTCTACCTGGTATCTGGCGAGCAATTACAGACCATTTAGGACCTTGTTGGTCATATAAATACAAGAGCTTTTGGTCTTCTTCAGCCGTCCATGCAGTCTTTTTCACGCTGGGAGAGAGAGAATGGAGCCAACGCTAAACAAGGTGGTCAACGAATGCAAAGCTCCTACGTCAGTTTATACACCTTCCTACAAGCTTTGTTGGTTCGACCTGGAATCGAAACAGCAATTGTTTTCCAGTTCTCCTGCTCGCCGAAGCGTTCAACGCCCTGTTGTAACAGTTTGTCTGCATTGCTTCAGTGACACGAACAAAGACACAAACCCAGAACTACCTTCTTCTGCTGTCCATGGTCGACTGGCGTTTCTTTCGGCCATGGGCAGAGAATCATGAAGTCATGACAGGGAGTAGTGATATTCGTAAAATTGTCACGCTTTGTCACATTGACTGTGTCACTTTCACACTCAATTCGCACTCCTCATCATCGTCCTCAGTCAATATGTCTCTTTCTCTTTCTTATTCCTCAGACGAGGAAAGTTTAGCGTCAGTGGCCAAAGATGCTTTTGGATTGACAGCTCTTCCTGTGGCAAAGAAACATCGCGTCGAAAACGCGACGACAATTACAACAGATGCCGCTCCTGACGTTCTGGCAGAGGTACCTACATTACGTCGTTGACGGCGTCCGTGCTATGCTGACAGCCAACCAGGATCCCTTGAATCTGACTTCGCTCGTTACACGACCGACCGATACCCAAATGAATGTGAACATTCCTTATCACGACATGATGCTCCCGATTCAAGGGCCTGAAAATCCTTTCGGTGACCGCAGCCGCTTTCTCAACCAAAACGCCTTAGCAGGGCACGTCGAGGAGCAATCTATGTCGGAACATGCATTTCGCGCACAGCACCTAACTCACTCTATCCTCGGGTATTCTGCAAACCCATCTATTGACCCTAATGCTCCCTCCGTATTGGGTGCAATAGATGTTGCACAAGCTAATAAATTTGCTACGATTGACACTCTTCGTGCGACGAGAACCCAACGAAAAGAGTTGAAGCGTAAGCGGAATCAAAAGGGTGACCTTGACGTGGTGGAGGGCGATGGCGCATACGTTGGTCCGTGGGCGTCTTGGGAGGGGGAAGAACCCCAACAACACTTCTTGGCTGGAGTGGAGGCGGTTGATGGCGAAGATATTGAAGAAGAAGAAGAGGAAGAGGAACAATCCGGCCTCGTCGCGAAAAAGGCTAGGCCAAAAAAGGGTGCCCATGGTCAAGAGCACTCCGTATTCCATGGCAAATCTATGACTGATTACCAAGGACGGACGTACATGTCGCCGCCGGTTGCAGAAGCTCCAAATTTGCTGCAGGAATCAGGCTCCCAAGATTGCTTCATCCCCAAAGTTTGTGTCCATACTTGGACTGGCCACACCCAAGGGGTATCGGTCATTCGAACGTTTCCAGAAACTGGACACCTACTTCTCAGTGGGTCTATGGATACCAAAATCAAGGTGAGCTTTCATTCAACTCAGTCAACCTCCCGCTCACAAAGTTGTAGCTCTGGGACGTTTATACTCATGGTAATTGCCTTCGGACGTTTCAGGGACATGTGAAAGCTGTCAAAGACGTTTCATTCTCTAATGACGGACGCCAATTCCTTTCCTGTGGCTACGATCGTCAGATGAAATTGTGGGACACTGAAACTGGACAATGCATAAAACGATTCAGCAATGGAAAAATCCCATACGTCATACGCTTTCATCCAGATGAGGATAAGCAACATACGTTTCTCGCCGGTATGTCAGACAAGAAGATTGTGCAGGTAAGTTCATTTGAGACTAAATCTTGTTGACGTCTAATTGGACCAGTATGACATGAATTCTGGAGAAATCACTCAAGAATACGATCAACACCTTGGACCAGTGAACACGATCACATTTGTTGATGAAAATAGACGCTTTGTGACGACATCCGACGACAAAACAATTCGAGTTTGGGATTACGACATTCCTGTGGTTATCAAATACATAGCAGAGCCACACATGCATTCAATGCCAGCTGTAACACTGCACCCGTCTAGTTCGTCATGTTCTTGTTTCTTTTTCTCGTCTTTACGATCTCATTTTTTTAACAGATAAATACTTCGCGGCGCAGTCGCTCGATAACCAGATCCTAATATATAGCACAGATAATTTTAGGCAAAATCGCAAAAAACGGTTCGCTGGGCACTCAGTAGCGGGCTACGCATGTCAAGTGGGCTTCTCACCTGACGGTAAATGGATTAGCAGTGGAGATGGTGAAGGGAACGTCGTATTTTGGGATTGGAAGACGGGACGCATAAAGTCACGTCTGAAGGCACATTCCAAGGTTGTTATTGCTCATGAATGGTTACCTCATGAAACTGTAAGCACTTACTTTTTTCCTACGTGCACCGCAACCCCATTGGCTGATGCCAATTCAGTCAAAAGTTATCACTGCATCTTGGGATGGCCTTATTAAGCTTTGGGTACGTGGCTTGAATTTTTTTTTCCCCGTCTCGTGTCGATAAATGACCGCGTCTCTTGACAGGATTGATTTATAAGCCTGGATGTACGTTAGAAGATGCATGTATCATAATCAAATTTTGTTCCTCTACCTGGACCTCTACTGGATGATAGAAAGGCAAAGCAAGTGAAGACGAACCCATTTCGATCTCATTATCTCCATCGCAACCTTTATTATGCGGTCTTGATGGCGGCACTTGCTTAGGGCGGCCGCGAGGATTTGAAAAGTCTCAATCGTAAAAGTATTGAATCAAGACCTCTCCGCGAGTGACCAATTTAATGGCTACAAGCAGAGAAAAAGTGGTTCGTTGGCACTCTGTAATATTGTTGAGTGTCAGGGTCAGGTGATTGTGTGACGGCCGCGTCGCGTCACATCCCATCATCCTTATTTTTAAGTAACTTAGCTCTTAGCCACGCTGGACCGTCCTCACATACGCCCATCATGTCCATGCTTGATGATGCCATTCCCCAAGATGACCAGATGCGCGCGCGCACCCGTGTTTTCGAAGAGTTTCTCGAGTCGGATTCGCCAATCTACAATTACAAGGACGACATCCATCGCATGCTGCGAATGGATCAAACTCGCCTTATCGTCAACATCGATGATTTACGCGACTACAACCGTGAATCTGCAGACGGTCTACTCAAACAACCGGTTGACTTTCTTCCGGCATTCGACGAAGCTCTATCACAAGTTGTTCAGCGCGTCTACAATCCAGAGAAACACGAAATAGAATCGAAAAGTTATCGTGTCGGCTTCAGCGGATCATTTGGTGACCATCATGTCAGTCCTCGCTCGCTTCATGCGGCTCATTTAGGCAGGATGATATCTTTGGAAGGCATCATCACCCGATGCTCTTTGGTACGGCCAAAAATGTTAAAATCTGTTCACTATTGCCCCGACACCAATCTCTTCCATCACCGCGAATACCGTGACGCGACATCATCTACATCCAACTTACCACCTACCACATCTCTCATTCCGCAAACGGACGATGATGGACACGCGCTACAGACAGAATATGGTCTTTGTACTTTCAGAGACCATCAAAGGATCAGTATCCAAGAAATGCCGGAACGCGCGCCTCCTGGCCAATTGCCTCGCAGCACGGACATAATCATGGATGACGACCTTGTTGATAAATGCAAACCTGGTGATCGAATCCAAGTGGTTGGTGTTTACCGCAGTGTCGGTGGTGGTTCAGGAGGAGCCTTCAAGTAAGTTCCGATCTATCAAGCTCAAACTCTGCCTTGACAATATGATATAGGTCTCTTCTGATGGCTAACAACATCAACCTGTTGTCTTCAAAAATTGGAGGTGGTATTGCACAGACCCCTCTGACAGATACAGACATCCGAACCATCAACCAACTTTCGAGGCGTTCAAACATCTTCACTCTGCTATCCGAATCTCTTGCACCCTCGATTTATGGCCACGAATTTATCAAGAAAGCCATTCTTCTTTTGCTGCTCGGAGGCGCGGAGAAAAACCTGCCCAACGGGACCCACATCCGTGGAGACATTAATCTGTTAATGGTTGGTGATCCTTCTACCGCAAAATCACAACTCCTCCGATTTGTCCTTGGGACTGCCCCGCTAGCCATTGCCACTACTGGTCGCGGAAGCTCTGGTGTCGGTCTAACGGCTGCTGTTACCACTGATAAAGAAACAGGCGAGCGGAGGCTAGAAGCTGGCGCGATGGTTCTTGCTGATCGAGGGGTGGTTTGTATCGATGAATTTGACAAGATGTCCGACGTCGATCGAGTTGCAATTCATGAGGTAATGGAGCAGCAAACAGTCACGATCGCCAAAGCGGGAATTCATACCAGTCTCAACGCTCGCTGTAGCGTCGTTGCCGCCGCCAACCCAATATATGGACAGGCAGGTCTTTAGTTCGTTCCTCACTTCCCAGGCGGAAACTGAACCATTTCTCAGTATGATATCCACAAAGACCCTCACAAGAACATTGCGTTGCCAGATTCTCTTCTGTCTCGTTTCGACTTACTTTTCATTGTGACTGACGACGTCGAAGAGAAGAAAGACCGAATGATTGCGGACCACGTCCTGCGTATGCATCGATACCTACCACCTGGTGTTGAGGAAGGTACACCCTGTCACGACAGCCTTTCGCAACCCCTTGCTGTGGATGGGCCCGGCGTCACTCTAGAAGGCGAGGCTGTGGAGACCAGCCCATTTGAGAAGTACAATCCCTTGTTGCATATGGCATTTGCGGATTCCACAGGACGACAAACTCGAAGTAGCAAGCCGAAGAAAAAGGAGATTCTTAGCATGGCTTTTGTAAAGAAATACATTCAATACGCTAAAAGCAAGGCTGCTCCTGTTCTGACTAAGGGGGCAGCGGACCATATTGTGCAAGTCTACGCTGGTTTGCGAAACGAAGAGATGGAAGGAAATAAGAAAAGAGTAAGACACCACTGAGAATTCGGCACTTAGAAATGTTCCACTAACGTTGTTAAAATTCCTTAGACCTCTCCTCTGACGGCGCGTACCCTTGAAACCCTAATTCGGCTAGCTACAGCACACGCCAAGGCCCGTCTATCGACGAAAGTTGAGTATACCGATGCACGTCAAGCAGAGGAAATCATGCGCTTCGCCCTCTTCCGAGAGGTTCCCAAGCGCCAGCGAAGGAAGAAGCGCAAACTCAACAACGGTCCAGCGGCACAGAAAGGATCTGATGATGCTGATGGCAGCGATGAAGAGAGCGAAAATTCCGGTGATGAACACGATGCTGACGCTCCCGCCGTGGAAAGACTAAACGTAGTTCCCATTGTCGAGGCACCCTCAGTCCCCGCTGCACAGCGTAGTGAAGACCCTATCTGGGGGGATGATAGTCAAGATGTCAACATGGATGTCGATTTGCAGCAAACCCTCGCTCCATTGGCACCCCCTGACAGCATGCAGCCCCGACCTGAAAGGTGAGTCTCTTCTGTTGGTACCCCTATGCAATTCTCTTAAGTGTCGAACAGATTACAGCTCTTCCGCTCTCGCATGGCAAAAGTCTTCGGAACGCAAATGCAAGACGAAGAAACGGGATTCTTGAAGGATATCCTAGAACACATCAACGAAGGACTGACGTCAAATTCGCTCTTCGGATCGGCGGAGGCCACGGAGTTGTGTAAGATAATGGCAGATAACGACGAGTTGATGATTAGCGATGGTATTATATACAAGGTCTGAACCAGGCAGTTTCCTTCGTTCCTTTCGTTTGTATGTAACATTACCAGTCTGTTCCAGTGTACTTTTGCGATGTTATGACGCTCCCGTTGTCATTGAATAAAACTTACCATTGGAATTTGGCCTCTGTCCTTCGCTGTCAATTGATGTGTTGTCGCAATAACAACATAAGCGCGTGGCGTCGGAGGAAGGATGGGACAAGACGGCCGACTCTGCAAAGGACAACGTTGTGACAATCGAATCGAACGTTCTTGTACCTTGTTGATAGGCTCAACACCTCTCAATGCTCTTACTTATCTTGAACGTTGAGCGAGTACTTATAGGTGAGCGTGCGTTGAAGATGCAACGTGCCTGATCTTTAAAATAGCCGCATCGGAACTCAGATCTGTCTACGAGGTCAAAGCGAGATCTGTGGAAGATGACACTCATGTGCTGGCTGGCGACACACATCCGTTAAAATATTTTCAAAGCAGTTCAAGACTTCCATTGTCAGGCTCACAACAGATTCTCGCCGGACTCCTTGACCTCAAATTTCAGTTTGATTTTTTGCCGACTTTACGTGTTCTTTCAGAGTCTACCCGCCCTCCTGAATTATTTTGTACTAATCAGGTCTGCCATACCGAAATCTACGTCAGGTCCTCAGTTATCTAAATTTTAAAGTCCGGCTGTACGTGTAATTTTCCTATCGATAAGTATGAAAACGGCTGTAATTACCATCGATTGACGATTGTAAGCGCTTACTTGCCTCGTTCACTCTTGTGGTGAGCCTATCAGATTCACTCGGCTCTTTCGTTCACCACGATTCAAGTACTCGGCACCTCCCTCTCTAGCTCCGCCAGATATTTAATCAAACCATTAACGATTCGCCCTCTCTTGCTCTCTCTTTCATCAACCAACTCCTCAAAAAATGTACCCATCCGATGGTATCCGATCCCAGCTCGAGTGGAACTCTACTTTGAGCACCACCAATGTTCCTGTACCCACAGAAAGCTCTAAATATCTCCGCAAGGTACTTACTGTCATATCCAATGAAAATTCGAAGCTCATAAAAATCACAGACTTCTATCATTGCCACTATCGGTACAACTCCGTTTGAAATTCCTATTCGCCTCATTGACCACCTCAACTCTTCATCAGGTCCAAAAGTCAACACTGTTGAGAAGCTTGCTGACCTTCGACGTGCTGGTGTCAATGTTGGTCAGTGCCGATGAGGCGTTTCGTCTTCCTCTGCTAAAAAAAATGAATCTTGTTCCGACAGTTCGCATGAATTTCTCCCATGGATCCTACGAGTATCATCAAAGCGTCATTGACAATACCAGGAAGATGGTCGCGCGTAAGCTACGCTGTGTCATAAGAACCACCCCGGTATTGACTGACTCTATACAGAGGATCCTCAAGGACGCCCTGTTGCAATCGCTTTGGACACAGTAAGCTTTTGAACGACGCTGACTCGGCCTGGAATTGACAGTCGTGTAGAAAGGTCCTGAGATTCGCACAGGTCTGACGAGAGAGGGAAAAGATGTATGTTACATCCATTTGCCATGAGAGTGCATCTCAATGGTCCTATCAGTGGCCTGTTTCCGCCGGTCACGAGTTTGTGATCTCAACCGACCCAAAATACAGCGAGGCTTGTGATGACCAGGTTATGTGGGTTGATTATGTATGCATTCCTCTTCCTTGTTTCGCTTTATGGTGGACTGAAAATTCTTTCTAGACCAATCTTCCTAAAGTCACGGCACCTGGAAAACTAATTTACGTGGATGACGGCATTCTGTCTCTCCTGGTTCTCGCCATTGATGGCCCTAATGTGCGTGTTCGCACTCTGAACAACGGGAACATTAGCTCCCGCAAGGGCGTGAATCTTCCCAAAACCGATGTCGACCTTCCAGCTCTTTCAGACAAGGATAAGAAGGATTTGCTATTTGGTGTTAAAAACGGAGTTGACATGATATTCGCTTCCTTCATCCGCAAAGCCCAGGACGTCAAGGATATTCGCACAGTTCTCGGACCAGACGGTGCTAACATCAAAATCATCGTCAAGATTGAAAACGAACAAGGTGTCGCGAACTTTGACGAAATTTTGAAGGAGACCGACGGCGTTATGGTTGCTCGTGGCGATCTTGGAATTGAGATCCCAGCTAGCCAAGTCTTCCTTGCCCAAAAGATGATGATTGCTAAATCCAACATTGCTGGAAAACCAGTTATCGTCGCAACCCAAATGCTCGAGGTACGCTTCAGTGCTGGCTGTTCGTCTGCTCACCGATTGACATGACTTCTAGTCTATGACAGTGAATTCACCCTTGTTTGCCAGCTTATTCCCTTCTAAATTTGTTAATAGTACAACCCACGACCCACCCGTGCTGAGGTCAGTGATGTAGCCAATGCTGTTCTCGACGGCGCCGATTGTGTTATGTTGTCGGGAGAAACTGCTAAGGGCAACTATCCCATTCAATCTGGCAAGTTCACTTTCTCAGTGGTTTCTAGTACAAGCTAATACGTACTGCAGTTCTCATGATGGCTGAAACCTGTCTTCTTGCTGAGTCGGCCATCTGCTACCCGCCCCTATTCGATGATATTCGAAGCATTCAGCCTCGGCCAACTGAGACCGCAGAGACTGTTGCCATCGCAGCCGTAGCAGCTGCCTCCGAGCAGGGTGCTAGTGCTATCATCGTCCTCTCCACAAGTGGACACACTGCATGTTTGATCTCCAAATATCGACCTTCTGTTCCAATCATCACTGGTAGGCATCTTCATATGGAATCTTCAAAGCACCAGGACTGAAGTGCCACTTTAGTTACTCGCAACCAGCAAACTTCTCGGCAGATCCACTTGCACCGGGGCTGCTATCCCTTCTGGTATCCTGAGCCCAGAGGAATTGAAGGCCACCAGTGGCAGACTGACGTGAGTACGGGCAAGACACCCCATGTCCTGATGCTGATCCGAATCCAGGTGGACAATCGAATCCGCTTTGGGCTGCGCAACGCACTTGCCTTGAACATCATCACACCTGGATCAACGATCATTGCCGTTCAGGGATGGAAGGGTGGGCTGGGTCATACCAACACCCTACGTGTCCTGTCTGTGCCCACAGACAGCGCCGATTTGGAGCTGCAGCCGCTCGGCTCTGTGTAGATCATCACATGGACATTGCATGTAAAACCGAAAGTGCCCCCGATTGTACCAGTAGTGTTTATAGAGTCTAAGATATATTTTACGAGTTTGCCAAAAGGCCGCTTTTGGAGGCGATCGGGGAGCGAACAATCATCTCACGGATGAAATTTCAGCAAGGAAACTAAATCGCTATTTTGAAGGTGCCTCCACCGTTTCTTCGTCGCCGTCTTCAACGACTCAACACTGAGCCCCTGAACTACCGACACCATTCATCTGGTTGTCCCACCTTTCTACGCCTACACAAGGCTGTATGGCCTCGTCTTCGTATTTTGCAAAGCCGCAACGCCAGAATGGTCTACATCGAGGTCGTTTATCTATCAGCAACGCTCTCCCCGTATACTCCTCCTCCTCCTCCGCCGTTCAAGAAAAATATGCAAGAAGAGCCCAACTCTCTCCTTGGTGGATTCCGGTCTCTGTCGCCATCCCAGGTTTGCGAACGCGTCGCCTTCGTATTCTTGTCTTGAATCCTCGGCGTGTTCATGACTTTAGTATGACGCGTTTTGGCCGCAAGAGGGGTTCTCTTCTCTTATGTCTTGCAATCATGGCCATAGTCTTTGCCACCTTTGCGCTAGCTAAACGGTTTGGCACACATGCTAAGCAATGGCCAACACCCTTCACCGGTGACCAGCCCACTCTGGTATACAAGCGTGAGGACCTGCAGCGAATCTGGCAGTGGGAAATTGATAGTGGACACTACCCAAGTCGGCGAAATAGTGGGTGACCATACTCCTGTTCCTTGACGTATTTGACCCGAACTACGAACAGTACCGATACAGCTCAAACTCAAAAAGACACCAGAGAACCCAGCCCTTGACTCACAACGGCCATCTATCCCCTCCCGATTTCGACCTCCTTCCGGACCATATGCAACAAATACGCGAGGTGTGGGTCCCCGTCGAGTTTACCTGGATGTCCAGGCTCAGCCACCAATGGTCGCATACCCCCCGCGGCCGGCCCCCGGAAGCATCGCAGATTTAGACACTGTGATGGACCATTGTGACTTTTCTGAAAAGAAGGTGATTGGGTTTATTCTAGTCATCAACTTCTCTCATTAGTATTCAGTTTGTGCGTGACTGTTTAGAGGTCCTTCGTGTTGGAGCTGGGCTTGACAACGGCAAGCGTGTAAGGAGGGGAAAATTTGATGATTGGAAATATGTGTTTGTGGAAGAAGACGACAGGTCCGCACACATCGCTCGCTCTTTGGACGAGGAAACGGCAGACATTAATGAAGCTTCGGACCCCGGGGTAACGAAAATTGATGATGGTTCAGACCCAGATAGCGGGCTTACGAAAAAGCGCGGTGTACCTTGGGAAACACCTCCGATCCGCCTCGCCAAACCTATTCGCCCTCGAGCTCACTCCACTTTGGACTCGCCTTGCGATCCAGAACATCCTCGCATCTTCCACATGTTTTGGACTGGGCCATTTACAGATAAGCCCTATCTCGCACTCCTGTCCTTCCTCTTCACGCAAAATACTGGACTTCATCTACACGCTAGCAACAAGGTCTGTCGTCCCCAATTCTGGATGTGGATTAACCCTGGTCCTGCTGCTGCCGTCCCTAACCCATCTGCCGTCCGCGATATGTATGCCCAACTACGATTGAACCCATGGGCATCGCCATTCCTGCATCCAAAATTTAAGGACATTATTAAATTCAAGATGTGGAATACAACGGAACAACTGGATGGTGTCCAAGAGTTGAAAGATGAATGGCGGTCGAGAGATCTGTTTAATTCGGGTGGGGTAGTCATCAATGTCCCATCCAAAGTCAAAGAAGGTCTTATCACCGGGCCCAACGGGACGACCGCTGAACCATCTGCGACGAGGAAGGCAAGCAAAACTGGAGAGGACGATATGTTGAACCGCACAGGATCCAAATCTCTCTCAACCTATGATCGTCTTTCGGTCATTTTGTCTGATATGGCGCGATTTATTCTTTGCCATCGGTTCGGAGGCATCTACCTCGACGCAGATACAATATTTCTACGTGACTGGGAAGAACTATGGGGATGGAGAGGCGCATTTGCGTACCGATGGTCGCGGTTGGAGAAGTATAACACTGCGGTCTTACGGCTGAACAAGAATTCTGCGCTGGGCAAATTCCTCTTTCGAACTGCGCTAAGGAACAATCTGGACTTCCATCCAATGACCGTGTCACGGTATACCAAGGAAGCACACTTGGAGGGTTTACTTCTCAGACTACCCGACGCATTGTTTGACTCTGCCTGGCTTAATACTGAGGAGTACCAGCTCTCGCGCCCGCCCCAACCATTTTTTACAAGGTAATTTCCCTCAACTGATTTCTTGACTTGTCTGATGATGGAACCACTCAGCTTTGACCAGTTTTTCGATACGCCTCCGACGGATAGTGCAGCTCCTCAGGCACTTGGTTTTGATGGCTTTTTCCGAGGCGCCTTCTCATACCATTTCCACAACTTCTGGTAAATCTTCCTTGATACAATTCACACTATCGACCTGTTTATCGGATCCCCCAGGTGGAAACCATTTGATCCTGCGCGGAATTGGCCTGATCTTGGACCGCGCTTCGAGGAAGGCGAACGTAGAGCCCGTCAGGGTCTTCGAGCAGCTACTACAGCGAGTGGGCCTGACGCCATTCCTCCCGAGGACGGAGGGGAGAATGTAGAGGACGACAGACGCGATTTAGATTGGGCCACAGTGCTGAAGCGAACATTCGAGTCCTATATCCGAGGGGAGCGGCCGAACATGTATGGGGAGTGGATTCATTGGTAACTGAAAGATGGAAGCGAAAGAAATACGTTGAGGAAGACGGACCTCTTTCTTGCCTATGGACATGTCACGACTGGACAATGACACCTACTTATGACGCCACCCCTCAAGGAAAGTCAATGCTACAGTGCTCGCTTGCTCGCTTCGCGTAAGGCACATTCATTGTTTTTTTCCCTCGCCACGCCCTGCCGTTCCAACGTAACACTCGATCACAACAAGTAACCACTAGTACTCACTTATGTTAATGTAAACGTTACGATGCACTGGTAATTTCTATACCCCATTAATAAATCAACAAGCAGACTATCTATCTGTTGGCAGTCTCGTCTCACATGTAGAATTCTAAATGATATATACCCGCTACTAATCTTAGTACTTAGCACCGCTCTGTGCTTGGGCTGCGTTGACAGTGTCTTTCAACCTCTGAATGACCTCCATAGGGTTCTCCGATCCGAAAATGGCTGTGCCTGCAACTATGACATTGCTTCCTGTTGTACAAACTCTGATCACAATAGTCCTCCGGAAACTAATAGAAAAAGACCAACCAGCATCAGCGCAAATGCCGATTGTGTTGGGACCAACTCCACCATCAACTTCGATGTCTTTCTCTGGAAAGCGGGCTCGAAGCTCAGCAACCTTTGGAACACACCTTTCGATAAACTTTTGGCCGCCGCGTCCTAGTAGGGATGGTTTGCAAAGCAGGCGCAATGAAGAGGTGGACTTGAGACGAACCGGGGTATACAGTCATAACAAGCAGCATGTCTGCAGCATTGGCAATTTCGTCTGTGATAGCAGTTGAGGGAGTATCAGGCGAAATGGCAACGCCAGCTTTCATGTTGCGTTTGTGTATGGTGTTTATGAGGGAGACAGGGTCGGCTTGAGACGCATAAGTTATGGATCAGTGATAGGGGCAACAGCATCACATACAGGTAGCTTCGATGTGGAAACAGTACAATGAACCACCTGCGTCTGCGATGTCATCTACCCACTGTCCTACGGATGAAAAAGAGAAGAAGAGAATTTGTTGTATGGAATATGACCTGTTCTGGCTTGGCGACCATCATATGGCAGTCCATAAATATGCCTGGAACACCCTTGTGAACGCAGGACAGAATGGGTGCGCCTGGCAAAATTGGTCAGGGGCCAGGGTGGTGTATATCAAAACACAGACCCATTGTGATGTTTGGTACGAAATGACTTGCAATTAGAATAGTGAGATGAGAATGGATGTGATGTACGGAATATAGTCACCCATCCATGACGTCTAGGGGACAAGTGGTTAGGACAACGGTGTAAGTAGGAAAAAGGGCAGTAGTGCACACCCATGTGGAGCCATTCTGCGCCTCCCTTAATCATGCGCTTACATTCCGCGGTCAGCTGGCCAAAGTCAGAGGCAAGAACGGAGGGAGAGATGATCGCTCGAGGCATGGTGTTGGAGCAAAATGAAAAGATTAGATAGTTTACAAAATGGAGATTAGATTTGATTAGATCAAACATAGCCATCGGAGATTAGATTACACTCGCATAGCCATCAATCACAGCCATGCGTAGCAACGCGGGCTCCGGAGTCCGCGCAAATGCAACGCAAATGTTATAAAAAAGCAATCCACTTTCTTTCTTACTATTCAAAATGCACGCAAAAATATTCCTCACTATTCTCTTCGCGTCTGCTGTCTCCGTATATGCCTCTCCTCAACTTGAGGAACGTCAAAGTATGCCATCTGCACTCGTTTTACATCATCTTTCTCACAAATTTCCTAGTCCTCAGCGGTGTCGTTTCCGCTATCACAAGCGCAGGTGCGTCTCCAATATCACTTTCTACTCCAACTCAACTTCAACTATAGGAGGCGCCGTAGCCAGTGGGGTGACTTCCGTTGCTGGTCAAGTCACAAGTGTGGCTGGTAGCATAGGCGGGGACATCACCAGTGAAGCTGGACAGGTCTTTCAAACCGTTACTTGTCAGTCTTTGACCCCTCCATTTTTATTTCATGATCTTACTTTTGACGTGCAGCTATCGGCGGCAAGGCAGTCACCATCGTCACTAGCGTTGGCGGTGACGCGATCACCCTTGCTACCTCGGGGGCTGGTGTCGCTACGTCCAAATTTGGTTCGGTATACACTGTTGCCACAGCCGCAGCTGCTTCTGAAGCAAGCGCGGCAACGGGCAAGTCAAGTGCTGCACTCCCTATCCATGGCCTCCAATCCAGCCTAATCGTCGGTCTTGTTACCGTCGTTGGCAGTGCTTTGCTCGGCGCAGCAATCACACTGTAAAATTTCTGTGGAGTAGCTCCATCATGTATGGAACATTTGATACCCAATCGATATTTATACCTTCATTCGTTCAAATCTTTCCACTACTTCGTATTTACTCGCAGCTACAGACGCTCGTGGACAGACTTCGTATATAATGTAGTTCACTCCTTTAATGTAGTATACTCAGGTTCTCAACTCTGTGATCCAGACCGTAGGCCGCCGCTGTGGAACGCTTGCATCATGTTCGCCATAACCTCACTGCCCCCGCGGCTAAAGGACTGTTGCATCCTATTCCGCGTATTATGTGAGTTGTGTTCAGCTCGCTCGAACGTAAAAGATTCGTAGATTTGGATCGCCGCAGCAAGGTCAAAGCTTCCCTCTCGCCCGTCTTTATGAGCGATAATCGCACGTGTAAGCTCGAGGGCGTCGAGCATGGTAACGTTTACCCCAACGCCCGCAAATGGTGTCATCAAATGAGCAGCATCACCTATGAGGGTCACTCCAGGATGGGAATTCCACTGAGTGCCGGTGGGTAGCATGTATAGCGTGCGAGGAATGAGTCCGTCTTTGCTCTCCAAGATGATCCTCTTCAAATCGTCGGGGTGGTTTGAGTGAATTCAAGAGGATGTTCCGCAGATCAATCCGATCGATTTCGGGACGACCAGCGGTCTCGAAAGTGAGTGGGGCGTCGCCTCCGTTCTCATCCCATAAGACGGTACCTGCTGGGTTGACGATTTTGAGTGCATCACCCTCCGGACGAGCGTACTTCTTAAACTCGTCGTAAAGACCGGCTTCGCGGAGGGCGAGCTGCCCGGATTCGGCATGAAGATCGAGTGTGAGAAGTCTGAACTGCTTTCCTGCCGATTAAGACTCCTCGTCAATGTCACCATGCATCTTCAAGATGTTGCTCGCATCTGCATGTTTCAGCATACCTCTCTTGTAATCCCCCCAGACTCCTGGTAAACGATCTGGGGTGACAATGGCAAGCCCAGTCTGGACAGATGATGGATAATCTTCATATGGTGAGATGTTCTGGAGGCTGGTTTCATGTTCCTCCGTTGGGTCCCATAAGACCAAAGTATTTTCTGCACTTTGGACTCGCACACCATATCTGCTGAAATAAAAATCCCCTCCTTGTCGAGGGCCAAATGAGCTGCGGATTGTCAATGAAATAGCCCATTTGTGTGGCTGTTGTTCAGTATGGATTGCACTGGTTTCAATACATCAGTAGCTGTAAAAAACCGTAAGATTCAAAACGAATGATATGCCTACCGAGCATAGTTTTGTGCCATAACCCCACATGGAGGTGCCATCTCAACATCATGGAATTCAAAGCCAACATCCCCAACATGCACTGTGTATGATCCAAGTGCTGGGCCCATCCCAATAGCATGTCCAGCTGCATCCTCCGGGGCACCCATATGAACCATATCCTCCCTTCTCATGAATGCATCAAAGTCTTCAATCACCTCATTCGGGAGGATGATTTTGCATAAGTTCCACAACAATGCAAATGCGGAGCTTGTCTTTTTATCCAGATCGCTTTCGGGCACCTGCTGAATAGCCAATTTGCACAAGATTTCCTGGATCTTCAAGCTGACATGACAGCTTCAATCAAGGAAAGGATGGTGAAGCATGTGTAGGCTTACCCTAATGCTCTTGCGGGCACCCACAGACAGTTGGATGATATCGTGCAGAGCATCCAGAAGGTCATCAGCAGGACAGAAGTCCCTCAGAACTATTCCAACCAGCCGGTTATCGGGTTCTGGAGTGCGCAAAACATAACTTTGATGAGGTAAGATGTCGAATTTTAGCTGTGATGGGTCAAGGAGATGCATAGGCCGCCGGCAAAGCCGGGGGTCTGGCTGTGGGTCCTGCTGAAGTTTTTTCTCCCATTTTTCCGCGATCTGGGGACTATCGTAAATCCAGTGCTTCAAAGGAGGATAGGGTTTTTGGAGCGACACAACACGAAGCACGTCGGTGTTTTCCATACGCAGCACTCGCTGTGTTTTCCCCGAACCGGTGTACATCAGTGCCTGGATGAGTGATTTTCGAGCACTTTTCCGCTCCTTCCTTGCAGTTTTCAGAGAATCTAGAATGGATTTCAACGGTGGCGGGAGCTGCTCTGCATTGCTGCAAGCTTGCAGAAGGCTGCTGTAAATATCGGACTCGTGCTGGGGCAGGAGCAAAGCAACATCATCTTGTGGTAGATTGGGAAGGATCCTGGCTGCCATATGACCTACAAAGATCCTCTGGCCCTCCGAAGTAAATGATGCAATTAGGAGGCTGGAGGCTGTAGGGTCAGCTGCAACTGCATCAATCATGCGCTTTAGCACACTTAATTTCTTCTTCTTCTTCTGATATTCTGGTCCATGAACAGCCGGCAGCGGGTCCTTGCGCTTTTTTGAAGATGAGGTAGACTCCATGTCCATCACTGGTAGCAGTAACGTGGTTGCGAACTAGTTGCGAGCGAGATCACCCGGACAAGCAAATACAAACTGGCGCACCACTAGGCGTGTGAAGACAGTGAAGTACTGATGAAGTATTCAAAAAGCAAATCAAGACCGTCGAGGATCGTGCTCGAAAGCCTACAACAAGCTTGGATTCTGATATGCCCAGTCACATACCTATAACCAACGACAAAGGGACGTACTCTACTAACTACAATTCCACATCTTTTCATAGTTAATCCGTTCGAAATCCGCGTGAATGCGCTGACCATGGCCACTAAGATGGCCAAATGTACCCCAGCCGCCCCGA